TGGCAAAACCCTAAGTCCCGATTTGAACCACTTTAGTTAGTATTACGACTACCACCATCGTAAAGTTGACGAAATTTGCTCACCTTTCACGTCTTGCTCCTTCCACCACTCCGACTCACCAATGTCTACTCGCCGTGTTACCCACACCAAGAATGCAACTCAGCGTCCTGGTCTTGTAGACGCGGTCCCGAAGAAGAAACGTCGCACGGCTGCAGAAGTAGCTGCTGAGCGTCAGGCTAAGTTAGATGCCAAAGAAGAAAAGGAACGTGCCAAGGGCGCTGGGATCAAGCGTGTTGCTGAATATGAGAAGAAACAAGCAGAAAAGGACGCGTCAACCGATGCTACCCCGCGGGCTGCAGTCTTACCGAAGTCAAAGCCCCGTCCAAAGCCCATTCCAAAGAAGACTCACGCAAAATCACCCACTCCGCCTCCTGAAGACGACAGATTCATTTCTGATGTCGAGATGGACGACGCCGCCATTGACACCAGCACCTACAACCCAGATCCATCCCAAGCCTCAGAAACAACTGACACCCGCATGGATGGCTCAGAGTTGAGTGAAACTCCTACTTCGCCACCAAAAAAGAAGGCAAGGATCGACAAACGGGAGGGCAAGAAGGTGCCGGCTGAGAAGACTAAGGTGCGGGATGCTATTAAGGTGGCGCAACTGGAAGAGGCAAATGAGCAGGAGACGAGGAAGAAGAGGAAGACAGCCCAACCTCCCAGCACAATAAGCATTGACTCAGATACGGAGTCGAATGTCCTGGTCATTGATGCGACGCCTACAGCAGCTCACAGCAAAAGATCAGCCCTTCAGCAAGCCGATCACTCGGATGACGAACCTATGCTTACTGATATCCCAGCTAAGCCTCAGTGGGCAATGCCAGCGTTGAGCAATGAGAACACACCTAAGGCGCGGCCTCGTGGTAGTCAGACTGAGGAAAGGGGTAGCAGGAAGGTGATGGAGAAGGCGAAGGTGAAGGTGACGGAGAAGGCGAAGGAGAAGTCAGATGATAAGGGGGAGGGGAAGCAGCAACGTGATAAGAAATCGGTTTAGCCGAAAAGGTATGAAGTTCCCTTCTTCTTTTCCTGTCGTCACTTGTCCATCAATATCATGCTCACTCTCGACGAAACGACACTTTATTATTTTTTTCTCAGTGATTCTGCTAGTGCTATGGACTCAAAGGAATTTTCAACTGGCATCAATGATTGGGCTGCGAGCATCCCAGAGAACTCAAAGCCTGGTAGCAAGGCCAACACCAGCCAGCCCAGCATTTTTAAAAATAGATCAGCCTCGTGCCGCAATGGATCTGTTCTTCCCCCCTGACCAATGGCAGCACTCGATCATCGTCCAACTCAGTCCTGACTAACAATGTTTTGATTTCTCACGCAGAACCGGTCATTCGCATCAAAGAAGAACCCAAGAAGAACTATCACCTTGGAGTCATTGATGGAGGGCTCTCTGACGAGGATGAGACTCAAGGTCTCGAACGTGAGGCTGCAGTCGCCAGCCCTCCCAAAGGGAAAAAACGAGTTATGAGCTCAGTAAGTGTCTGTTTTGACGTCATGTTTATTTCTACTACTACTGACTACTACAGGCTCTTGTTAAAGATTCCCCCGTCAAGCCAATAGCCCGTCAAACTGAACGAGCGAAGAAACCCAGCAATGATGACCTCCCCGAAGGCATCGATCCCAAAATATGGCGCCGTGTCTTTATCTCGACATACATACAATATGTCGCGACATTGGCGAATCCCTGGGAGGTTCCCGCCAAGCTGGCCTGTGAGAAGATGCAGGTGATATGGGATGCGATCTTTCCCCATGTCGGCCACACAGTGACAAGCCTTAGTTCAGTCTACTACATCGTAAGTGCGCTCAATTTTACTAACACAGTACTAACTTAGATCTACTTCAATATAGGCTGTCCAGCGAGTTGCCGACTCCTACCGCAGCAACATTGGCTCCGCAGCTATCGCAATTGTCATTGCGTACTTTGAGTCTCAGGACTCGCTGAGGGACTCTGATGACAATCGTGCGGAATTCGCAGCGTTCGCACTCAGCAACCTTCGATTCTTATACAAGAAGGCAAATGGTGATGACAAGTCTGTACGTACTCCTTCCGTCTCAATCAATTTCCGAGTTGTTGTTGTTGTTGTGCTAATGCTTAATGCAGAAATTCCGGGGCCTTTATCAAGGCGCATTTGTTGTGCAAACCTTCGGTGCACACTTCACCGCGACCCGTGGTGCCCAAAAGATACCTGGGGTAGACAAGCCAGGTGTACTAGCAAATCCTGCTGGGGGTCTCGCATTGTCATGTGCTGCGGTAAGTACTCATCATCCTATTTATTCTCAAAACTCACGAACTGACAATTTTAACTAGGTCGAACGAGCTTTAACTCTCTGGTCTACTCATACTCTCACCATCAAAATGGTTCAGGCCGCGAAGAACAAAACCAGCATCTCGTTGCCAAAGACAATGAATCAGTCAACTGGCAAGGTGTCCTGTCGGCAAACAGGATTCAACGACATCTCCTGGGGTACATCGATGTGCGCCTATGCGAAGGCTATCATGAAGAATCTCCGCGAAGACAAGTTCGAAGTCATCATTGCATCTGCCATGGAATTCTCGAAGAAGAGTCGTCATCCTGGCGATGACGTTGATGATGCTGCTGTGGAGGATGACCTTGATCTGGATGAACGCGCTCAGCTGGTGGACATATCCGACACCGAGTCCAAGGGAAATGATGGATCTGACTCGGATGTGGAGTAGGAGCCTCAAAGTTGCTTGTTCATTCCTCCTTGAAGCCGGCGCCGGTGATTCTTGTTTTTTTTCGTTGTTTTACTAGTACTACTTTGCACAACTTGAATGCTACTGCATGTGACTTGAACAGATTCTTATCATGCTGCGTTTGACTTATCTCAGTGATTTTATGTCCTTAAGGGTGCACTCAAGCTCAGTTCAGGACCTTTCAGAGCGTAGTAAAGTAGTTTGAAGTACATTAAGTGGTGCACGTGCAATAAACAGCCCTAAGTCACCCATGCAAAAGTTCAGTTGTTTTTTACTTAATATTGACTTTTGAAGCTTTGGAGCCTGAAAGTACTTTGAAACAGTCTTTCTGCTAGTAGTAGCCTTAGTAGTACTGTACTACTAGTACTTCCTTTCACTTAGCTCTAATAATAAGCACAGTAATCAGAGCAGCTAAGTCACATTCAGCCGAAGACCCTACTACCTTTCACTTAGCTCTAATAATAAGCACAGCAATCAGAGCAGCTAAGTCAGATTCATCCGAAGACCCTACTTGTGGCAAGTCACAATCCCCTTAATGTTTTTTGGCTGAATCCGACTTAAAATATTTATTAAGTGATGCTAAGTCTATCTAAGGTTCATTAAGAATTTTTTTGATTTTCCTGATGGATGGGCTTTTTGCCTGTCCTTCTTGTGCACCGGGCTGGCCGGCTTTCTTATCATCTACTACAGTTTTGTGCTAGCAGCTTGCCTACCAATCATTTGGCTCAACCGGCTTTCTCGTCCTCTATCAAAGGTGTTACATTTCTGTGCTTGCCTGCTAATGGACTCATGCAGATTCTAAACTGTTACATATTTTCACTCATGACTCATGCAGGTATCTCTGAAATAAGTCTGGACCAAATCTGTGAGGGCTGCGGCTCTGATGTTCCTATATAGTTTTGTTAATGTACTTATGTCGTGTCATACTCTATTGCATACAAAATATCTTGAGCCGGACAGACCCAGCCGGACTCGGCCGGACGGACCCGGAAATTCGAATTCCCAGATGCCCTCTTTATTTGTACCTGCTTGGTCCAATCCGTACCATCAGGCCAACTGGACGAGCGCCAGCACACAAAATATTGTCAGTATCTCTCTGCCAGCTGCTGGTTTCTTACTTGATGTAGTCAACCATCCTCTCACAATGCCCTCGACATTCTCAACTATGTCTGAAACCAGCTTTAAAAGCAAAAAGTTGACGTGGCTGCTGGGTAATGAGCCAAGGCCCAAGATAGACAGCTAGTATGTCACTATCGCGCCAACGTGGAGTCAGACCGTCGAGTCGAAAATCCGATCAATTTATCACACCAATCTACTCGCTATATTTTTCGTTTCCCTCACAAAGTAGTGTGGTATGTTTCACTTTATGAGTGCTTTGATTCCAGTGTATAAGAATGTAGGCAAGTGCTCAACTTCCTAGACACCTTTTTCAACCTTCGTAATATTACTTTTGGATCTAGCCAGAGACACAACTTATGGAACCTGTAGTCTCCTCTGCTGCTGCTACCGACTTTGTTACCGTACCCATACTCTCCATGACGTCATCGCATTGCCGACTGGTATCCGACACACGAGCTTAGTTTCATAAACTCCTCGGCACACGATTCTTCCATTCAGGCGAAGACCTTCAGCATGTTCAACCAATATGTTCGCAACCTTGCACAGGCCATTCTTAAGTGGGGCAAACCCACAGGCTCAATTATCGTGGTATACCTGACGGAGTACGAAGATAATATGGCTGCTGTCCGGGCGTGCCTACTGTCCGGCTATCTGCCCTGCTTACAGCTCGTACTCGATACCCACTAGATGCATAAGAAGGGCCACGTCATGTATATCACAAAATTGTTTGGGTCTGCAACTTGGCTCACCAGCAAGCTTGGAGCTGAGCAGATCACCTCCATCTCTGGTCCTGAGGTTTACTTACTCTCTGAATTAAAATCATCAGATTTACTGTTGCAGCTGACTGGGTTGCTCATGAGGCTAAGCCAGACGATGCTATCCTGTTCCTGACGTCAGGGTCAACTGGGTTCTCGAAGGCACACGCACCGGATCAGGAGTCCCTGCTGCATGCCGTGGCCAGGGGAAAAACTACGGCCTGACTTCTGAACCCAAAGTTCTGAACTGTAAAGCACACTGATCATCCAAACTTTCTGTTGAAATCGATCTCGACATTCAGGGATCGGATTTGATTTAAGCAAGGCCAACTTGCGAAGCACGCAGCGTCTCCTTCGTCGTCCCGTCCATTGAGACGGAAAAAGTATTTATTAAGATATATGCTAGCATCTTCAAACTGGTAGAAAGCGAGGCGTCGATGAGCGACAACTTCTTCGAGATCGGCGGTACTTCTCTCGATGCTATCTGGTAGGTATATCCGTTTCGGCTTTCAAGCCACCTTCACTAACACATAATCTCCAGGCTCGAGCGCGAAGGAGAGAAACAGTTTGACTTGCCTGACATTCCTGTCATCCAAATCCTGAAGCACCTCGTTCTCTCCAGCCTGGCCCACTACGTCGATTCCACACACTCTAAGGACACCCAGATGAGGAGTACGATCCTATCGTTCCCCTTTCAGTGACCGGATATAAGACGCTGATATTCTTCGTTCACCCTGGTGTCGTAGAGGTCTTCATTTTCCTCAATCTTGCCAGATACTTCCAGAATGAGCGTCCCTTCTATGCTTTCCGTGCTCGTGGCTTCGATTCTGGCCACCCGCCCTTCACCTCCATGGACGAGATGGTTTCGTACTATGTCGCAGCAGCCAAGAGGATTCAGGCGACGGTATCATACACTATCGCGGGCTACAGTTATGGTGGTCGCGTTTGAAATTGCTAAGCAGCTCGAGGCCATGGGCGAAGAAGTGAAGTTCTTCGCTCCCATCAATATTTCTCCTAATATCTCCTACCGCATGCGTGAGCTCAATTGGATGACCGCCTCACTCAACTTGTTGGCCTTCCTTGGTTGAGTGTCAAGATATGATGCTGATGATCTGCTTCCTTCCATGAGTCTGTTCACGAGGCAACAACAACTCGAGTTCGTATGGACACTGTCGCCTCCTGAACGTGTCATCGAGCTCCAGCTGACACTCAAGAAGCTTGATAAATGGACAAATGTCGCTACGTCTCTTATCAATTGCGGAGTAGACTACACCCCAACATGCTCAGTTTGTAAGTCATTCACTTTCTCATTTCAGAACTGCTTACCCATGTACCTGCTCCACAGCAACAGTCGATGTTTTCTACACCACTCCCTTCGCCGGATCCGATGTTGACTGGCTCAACAACCAGCTCAAGCCATGGACGGGCTGGAGCCGCGGCGAGGCATCATATATATTAGTGCCTGAAAACACCACGCTCGTGGACTTTGAGTATGTCCCGCAGTTCCAGAAGACCTTCCGCAGTCGTCTAGAGGCTCGTGGGTTGTAGACATTCGGAGGTGCCTATTTTGGTTATATCTTGTCTCTAATCGATGATGCTTTCAACTACAAGTGATTGCCGCTGCGCGGCTCGTCGTATGCAGTTGCCGGAATTCTTACTCGTGGTTGGTAGTCCTGCACGACTCACCGCGGTTACAGTCCTGATGGTCGACAAAACGGAGCTGTTGTCCCTGGACGACTTTTGCAAGGCACCGAAGAATCAGATCCAAGATCGTGAGTCGGACCAAGCATAGTTCTTCACCGTCTACTCCTTCAACTGCCACCACCGAGGGCAACTCACATCAACCAGGTGCATAAAAGTCTATCCTTGAATGCAAAGTGTTTGGTGATATCTGCGCACTCGACTGACGAAGTACCCATGCTTTGACTGCCTGCGACAGATAGACTTGATGATAAGTCCCAAGCACTCACTCTCAGCTTCGAATGGTGACAGATCGTGCCAATTCAGTTGTAACAGCCAGCCAGACATGCAAATATCCATTTTGTGGCCACCTACGCGGATTGTGTCGAGGAGCCATGCATGTCCTATGGAGCATCACAACAGATGGAGGCAGGAGGATTAATTGCGAACTCGTTGTGGCGTTTGATTAGGCCTTTATGTGCCCAAGTTTGTCCAGTGAGTCACGCCACATTTGGATGCATGATTCGCCGTTCTCAAGTTGCTGTAACGAAAAACTGTTTGGTCGGTGGCCTAACTCCTCTACGTCGAGCCACACATGTGGCAACGGATGGTATGTACCCGAGTGCAGCTACTGGCCAGGTGCGGGCGCCCACCTAATACACGGGACCTTTGTTGAACGGCGAAACTAAGGTCGTGTTTCTAGTGACAGTCACGGTACGCTATTAGTACTAGGTCCTGGCCTTGCCGACACGACATGATACTTGCTTGTTTCAGACACTCATATCATTCCCAACCAGAAGTTCGATTGACCCATCAACGTCAATTTAGGTCGGGCTGGGCACGTCGATCCGGGCAATCATAGTACGTAATGATCAACACTCATCGATGCACTCATCAATCATCCGGCTGTTAGTGAAAGAGGTAACTCTAAACACTGTTGTCGTAGGTTGGTAGAGAGGCTTGTTGATGCTAAAGGTATTTATGCATCTCAAAGTCATACGTGATGGCAGGCGTTCAACAAAAAATGCGATTGCTTCCTAGCGTTACCAACAGTACGAGAACAAACTCCTTCCTTCATAAATGGATAACGGCGAGACTATAGCAGTAGCAGTACAAGACAACTTTGTTTCAAATGATGGCCATTCAAGCGAGTTCCCACTGTTCCCCGTTCTCCGTGTAGAGGAGTTCGTCCACGGTCTCACCGTCCACAGACAAGGAAGACCCAACGGTGAAGTTGGTCAAAAGGGTGCTAAGAGTCAACCCCGTCAGAGGAGCAAGTGAAAGGATCACCTGACCACTGGTGGCATTGACGTTGACTGACAGATCAACAGTGGCCAACGTGATAACGATATTGTCAGGGCCAATCATGACGGTCCCTGCAGTACCGCTGTCGGTGCGACTAACGGTGAAGCGAGTGCGTCGGGTGCGCGAAACATAGACTGCTTTCGTCGCGTTACACGATGGGGGATAGTACCAATAGTCGTAAGGAGCGACTTTGGAGCGAATGAAGAAACTTTGGTAGGGCCGCTATCAGAAAAATGCAGAACATCCCCCAAGTAACTGACTTACGATTTTCCGCTGATGTGGTCCGCGAAATGTTCGAGCCGTGGGATAATGCTCGAGCCGCGACCAGCCAAGTCGTTCAGCAAGGTGAAAAACACCTTGCCGAGGAATTCGGTCGCAACCCCAGTCGTGGTGAGGGAGTTGGCGGCGTTTGCCACACTCACGTTATGGGTGTAGAACTGGGCGTTGACACGCTGAACACTAGTCACGAAACTAGTGACGGTGGAAGTGGACACGGCACGCCACCACTCATCCGCAACTTCGCGGCTAGCAAAGGTAATCACGTATCGATAGGTCGTGTTGGTCGTGATCTGAACAGAGATTTAGCACGACATCGCAGACAACGAAGAATGGATTTTGGTACATGTTTGACATATGCGTAGAAAACCATGATTGTATATTCAACAGGAGAGATGATTTGTTGGCTGTGGTTGGATTGAAATGAGTCGTTCGAACGCTGCACATTATATATAGAGAGAAAGTTGTTTGGTCGGGTTAATCATAACATCTGGACCAACTGTGATTTGAAAATCAAGAAGGGTGGATAAAGAAATACTGCCGATCCGAGCGAGGACCCGATGGAAGATATGACGATTTGACCGTAACGTCGCGCCCAGTTGGACATTCCGGCAGGCTGCATCTCCCGGAACCTGAGAATGCACAAAGTCAGCCACCTCGTCCGACGGGCGTGTCAAAATAACAACCGGCATTCTATATAGCCTTGATCCCCCTGGATCAGCTGTCCTTAGTATCACAGTGGCGACTCGTCAGTGGTGGCATGTCTGTCTTTCTGCAAAAGGGACAGGCAACATGATATTGTCGAAGCGTATGCGAGACCTTCGAAGACATTATTGAAGCTGTAAGGAGGTGATTGACAAGGGTTACGACTGACTTTCATCTACACATCGCTCAGGCTGAGCCTGTGTTCTTTCTAAAGTGGGAGGTACGAGTACCAAAGAAGGGCGACTCATGACCAGGAAGATGGGCTGATGGTGGCCCGGGATGTCCCACATCTTCTTGCATAGAGCCGCCATGGAACCTAAGTGACTGCAGATCTGGGACAATGGATCTGCATTTTCTGCGCCCTACCTGCCCCAGGCCTAGACAGACAGACTCCCTCTCTGCTAGCTTAGGGACCTTACTGTAGTGCTAAAGACTTTGCTGAGACCAAAACTGTAAGAGAGTGATAGACAAGAGTGACGACTTACCTTCATCTACACATGACTCAGACTAAGCCCGGACTTCGTACATACCGTGTTTCGTTGCCTAGCACATGTACATACCAGTGTCGCAAGATGACACCATTATACATTCAAATTCTGCACTACAGCCTAGACCTGATAGGTAGGCTACCCTCCGAAGCCTTTGTGAGTTCCTGGACCTCTTTAAGTCCAGGTTCTAGATTCACCTAGGAGAGTTCTGCCTGCAGCTCCACAAATTCATGAGAAACTGACCGTCATGTGGTTTCAAAACTGTACATGTACAGTAAGCCCCTTTTCTTCCGCCGTTATCTTGTCTTCATTTTGGAAAGGACCGCTGATGATTTGAGCCAGCTGACTGCGGAAACAAAAGGCATCCCTGAATGCAAAATACCGATCCATGACGGGTCTTAGCACGAGAACGAGGACAGACAATGAGACGGCCTTGTGCTGGGCAGTACTACAGATGAGAAAGCCAGCGCAGAGAGCCGGAAGGAGGGGCTCCCAGACCCAATCGTTACCCGAGTATAATAACTTCATCAAAGCGCTCAAATGTTTTGCGATCATAGTGGAGCTGTGTCGGAAATGAGCAAGGAAATGAAATAACAGATGTCGATACATCATAACATTGGTCAGAAGCCAACCAATATAATTTGTCTGAAAGACAAGAGACGATAACGAACACCTTGTTGTGAGTCACCACAATCGACTCGCCGTCAAACCACACACAATCTGCCAACAGCCAAGTGCACAAACAAACAATGGCCTCAGCGCTCACGAAAGTCAGAACATAAGTCTTCAGGGATTCGAAGCACGACAGATGAAATTCAGGGTAATAAAGTGCATCATAGTGAATGGGGTATGGGCAACCGCATGCGGTGGACAACAACGTTCGTCAATCACACGAGCGATGCGACACGTGAATTTGTCAACGAACATCGTACACTGCAGGAAAAGATAAGCCAGGAGAACAGAACAGAGAGCCTACGAAAAGCAGTGTAAGATACAACAGCGACAACACTCAACAGCGCGGAGAAAAGAGAAAGACGCCGCAGCTTGATATTCGTATCGTGCTTATTCATGAACATTATGGGCACCTACATGGATTCTGTCGAGGAGCCATGCATGCAGATGCGAGTCAGGAGGATTAATTGCGAAGTCGTCGTGGCATTTGATCAGGCCTTACGTAACAATACAAACGGTGACTTCGGTCCGAGTCGTTGCTTTTCAACGCACTCGAGATGTCCGACTCGGAGTCATCCCGCTTCAAAAGCAAACTATACCTTTCTCCTCATTTACTCCTGAAAATAAGAGCGCGGAACAATGCAGTATATAGAGTGCTCTATATTCACTTCTCACCAAATTTACAGTACTACTAATGCTTGTCCTGTGTGTTTATCGCGCTTTTGGAAATCCATATCAAAACTATGGCTTTTGTAAGTGCTTTGAGATACGGAATGCACTTCTTATAACCATCCTTTAGGAATATACTCAACTTTTTCTATCCCAACGAGACAGAAAATCAAAATCATTCAAATCGGCCGGGTCCGCTGTTGAGTCCCAGTGAAAACCCCGACTCTAGCCTGAGACACAACTTATGGCACCTCTTCTATTACTACTGCCGACCTCGTTGCCGCACCCCGTACTCTCCACGACGTCATCGCCCAAGCTACCGACTGGTATCCATTACATGAGCTTGGTTCCATAACCTTGGCACTTGACTCCTCCATTCAGACGAAGACCCTCAGCGTGTTCAACAAATATGTTCGCAACCTTGGGACGGACCATGCTTGAGTGGGGCAAACCTACAGGCTCAATATGCCTGACGGAGCACGAAGATAATATGGGTGCTGTCTGGGCCTTCCTTGGTTGAGTGTCGAGATATGATGCTGATGATCTGCTTCCTTCCGCGAGCCTGTTCACGAGGCAGCAACAACTCGAGTTCGTATGGACGCTGTCACCTCCTGAACGTGTCGTCGAGCTCCAGCTAACACTCGAGAAGCTTGACAAATGGACGAATGTCGCCATGTCTCTTATCAATTGCGGCGTAGACTACACCCCGACATGCTCAGTTTGCAAGTCATTCACTTTCTCATCTCAGAACCGCTTGCCCATGTACCTGTTCCACAGCCACATTTGATGTTTTCTACACCACTCCCTTCGCCGTATCCAATGTTGACTGGCTCAACAACTACTATTCAAGCCACGACGGGCTGGAGCCGCGGCGAGGTATGGTCTAGCTTTAGCCGCGGCGGGGCATCATATATATTGGTGCCCGAGGAACACACTACGCTCATGGATTTTGAGTATGTCCCGCAGTTCCAGAAGATCTTCCGCAGTCGTCTGGAGGCTTGTGAGTTGTAGACATTTGGAGGTGCCTATTTTGGTTGTATCTTGTCTCTAATCGATGATGCCATCAACTACAAGTGATTGCCGCTGCGCGGCTTGTCATGTGCAGTTGCCGGAATTCTTACTCGTGGTCAGTAGTCCTGCATGACTCACCGCGGCTACAGTCCTGATGGACGACGAAACGGAGCTGTTGTGCCTGAACGACTTTTGTAAGGCACCCGAAGAATCAGATCCAAGATCGTGAGTCAGACCAAGCATAGTTCACTCGTATTCTTCACCGTCTACTCCTTCGACTGCCACCACCGAGGGCAACTCACACCAACCAGGTGCACAAAAGTCTATCCTTGAATGAAAAGGGTTTGGTGATATCTGCGCCTTCGACTGACGAGTGCCCGTGCTTGTGTGTACTTCACTGCCTGCGACAGATAGACTTGATGACAATCAGTCTGGACAGTACTACATCTTCGTTTCTGATTCTCTGATGTAGGCCGCGGAATTTCTCTCTCCCTCGATGTGTAGGAAATTGTGATGCATATCCATGCAAAAGAACTTTGGGTCACCGTCTGACAGGCCATGGTCTTAGAAGTACCGTATCAAAGGTGTCATCATTGTTGACGGTGCACCAGTGACTATTGTGGTGACCTGTCTCAGCTTTAAATTTCACGGAGCGTGTTTTGTTGGTTGCATGGTAATTTCCGCATGCTGAAACGAAGAGGTACCAAATCTGAATTCCAATCATGGCGTTATACCGTAATACTTGAAAGCTTGACCCAACAGAGGCAGGCAGCTATGCAATTGCAGCGATCAAAAACCCAAAAAACCCATTTCAGCAGTCGGCTCTGGCCCTTGTATCGAACCACCATATAAAGGCGCGATCCTGTGCGGATAGTAACATCTGTACATTCCCTAAATCATACTCTTCCCCGAAGCATTTGACCATATATTTCACTCATTCGCCCATTTTACTTGGTCTGTTGACTTACAACAAAAGTTGTTATGTACGGTGATCATGACAGTGTTGGCTCCCTCGCTACAGAGGTAAGTAAATCCTTGCAACTCCGATGCCTGATAAAAACGTTCATATTTCTTCAGGACCAATTAATTTCCCTGCGGGGGCAAATTAATGAAATCAAGAAGCACATTGACTTGCTCATGATCCAAAGCGCCATCATACGGGAGCGGAGGTGCCTCCTTCAGCATCAACAAGATATCAAATCGCTTGCGACAACGGAGCAATTGGATTTTACGTGCCTGGAGAATAGCTCCGTCGATCTCATTGACATAAAGAGTACTCAGGATTCCGTTGTCCCGAGTCCATCTTTGGTGTTGAAGGGCGCAGCCGACTTCTCCGCATCTCCCGCCAAATCGGAATCAATAGTGGTACGTGATGACTTATGTGTAGCTGCTTTCATCTCATACAACATGGGTACCACCTGGAAGACCATCCCTTCTGATAACGCCGCCGTTGTTGTTCAACCATCAACACAATCTCAAGGCAGTGCATCTAAGCTGCGCGCCATACCACGCAGATATAAGCCAGGACGTCGTGAATTCCAGGGAAGGTCTGCACGACACGAACCCCCTGCATTGTTCCAGGGTTGGGCGGACGCCTCTAGCAGCATGTTCTGAACATTCCGGTTGGTTTGATACTAATGATCGATGATATATATAACCCCTCAGAAGCACAAGATATGTGAAATTCTTGACGATAAAGATATACTCGCAGCGTTTCTTCTAGTGGAATAACATATTTAGAGGAGGTATCTGTGAACGAGCTCGGATATGTGTAACATGTTCAAATCAAAGTCTTTGGCTGTAGGAGATGGATGCACACATGAGGAGAAGCGCACTTTCTTATAGGCATTTTTTTTAGCATTTAGCTGCGTAAATGTATGGATACAGTTTGTATGAACAACATGGTGGAATACAAAGCCGACAGTACCTTTTTCAGACTCGACACCCTGTATAGTTGGCCTGCAATTTGATGGTCTCGAAGTAGAATATCCATTTATCTTCGCTACTCCTTAACGGATATCTGCCCCAGTAGAATTGTTTGCGTTGTCCGTACGTCCATTTCCGTCGCTCTATAAATCATCGACAAACACAATTAGCTCAATAGTGAACTTGAAAGTTGGGTTTGAATGATTTTGTAACGAGATCGATCAACAAAACAGAAAATGCAGCTCCTTACCGCCAACAAGAACATACCCCAGCAGCCTGTCTTCTCGAATGACCACGCGCTTTAAAGCTTCTCCGAATCGGAACCATTGACATGTCCAAGCAGTAGTGTCTCTATAGCCGTCTGAAAAGACATGTAAGTTTGGCCGAGCTTGCCAGGATGCGTCACGGTTAACGCGCGCTTACCGTGATATCATGCTGCTCTATAGCGAATATGGCCAATTCCACCTTCGAAGGACTGGAAACAAGATGTGGTTAAACCTCTCGAGATAAGACTGAAATTATCCCCAGCAGTTGTCTTGTTACCTTGGGTTTCTGCTTTTGATGGTGACCTGAACGACTGTCCCGATGTGATCGCCGGGATTCAACGATTCGGCTGTAGTGCTGTAGTGCGGGAGTGCTTCCAAGTACAGTAGTCGAGTCTTGTTGAGAGGTAGCGCCATCGCTGTGTCTTTGCCCAATACTGGCTGCCGCTCGCCGATTGATGTCTAATTCAAAGATTAGAATTGACCCGTCTAAGCTTGCTGACTAATAATTTACCCGTTGTGCATAGGCAAGGCAATCCCCTGTGACCTAGTGCCAGAATTCGTAATTCCGAGTCATTGGTCCATTATGCCTGTGCTTGAATTCTCTGAGCTCTCGCAAGGGGGGAGTGCAGTAACATGAAACTTGGGTCGGCCATTCAACATTCAGGGAAGATTGCGGGAGCAAAAACGATGCACAATGAACGTTAAAACTTCTATCTCTTCAACATCATAGCAATTGAGTAGCGGGCACAGCCTCAGGCCTCAGTGCTCTGCTTGACGCAACCATGATATATATATTATATACCTGGATCTGTCCCAAGCACTCACTCTCAGCTTTGAATGGTGACAGATCGTGCTAATTCTGTAACAGCCAGCCAGACGTGCAAATATCCATTTTATGGCCACCTACGCGGATTGTGTCGAGGAGCCATGCATGTCATATGGAGCATTATAACAGATGGAGGCAGGAGGATTAATTGCGAACTCGTTGTGGCGCTTGATTAGGCCTTTATGTGTCCAAGTTTGTCCAGTGAGTCACGCCACATTTGGATGCATGATTCGCCGTCCTCAAGTTGCTGCAACGATAAACTGCTTGGTCGGTGGCCTAACTCCTCTACGTCGAGCCACACATGCGGCAACGGATGGTATGTACCCGAGTGCAGCTACTGGCCAGGTGCGGGCGCCCATCTAATACATGGGACAAATTTGTTGAACGACAAAACTAAGGTCGTGTTTCTAGTAACAGTCACGGTGCGCTAGTATTAGTAGAACCTGGCCTCGCCGACACGACATGATACTTGCTTGTTTCAGACACTCATGTCATTCCAAACCAGAAGTTCGATTGACCTATCAAGATTTAGGTCGGGCTGGGCACGTCGATCAGAGCAATCATAATACGTAGTGATCAACACTCATCGATGCACTCATCAATCATCCGGCTGTTAGTGAAAGAGGTGAGTCTAAACGCTGTTGTCAAAGAGGCCTGTCAATGCTAAAGGGATTCGTGCATCTCAAAGTCATACGTGATGGCAGGCGTTCAACAGAAAATGAGATTGCTTCCTAGCGTTACCAACAGTGCGAGAACAAATTCCTTCCTTCCTTCATAAATGGATAACGGCGAGACTATAGCAGTAGCAGTACAAGACAACTTTGTTTCAAATGATAGCCATTCAAGCGAGTTCCCACTGTTCCCCATTCTCTGTGTAGAGGAGTTCCTTCACGGTGTCACCATCCACAGACAAGGAAGGCCCAACGGTGAAGTTGGTCAAAAGGGTACTAAGAGTCAACCCCGTCAGAGGAGCAAGTGAAAGGATCACCCGACCAGTGGTGGCATTGACGTTGACCGACAGATCAACGGTGGTCAACGTGATAACGATATTATCAGAGCCAATCATGACGGTCCCTGCAGCACCGCTGGCGGTGCGACTAACGGTGAAGCGAGAGCGTTCGGTGCGCGAAACATAGACCGCGTTCGTCGCGTTAGACGATGGGGGATAGTACCAATAGTCGTAAGGAGCGACTTTGGAGCGAATGAAGAAACTTTGGTAGGGCCACTATCAGAAAAATGCAGAACATCCTGCAAGGAACTGACTTACGAGTTTCCGCTGATGTGGTCCGCGGACTCATGGTCGAGCCGTGGGATAATGCTCAAGCCGCGACCACCCAAGTCGTTCAGCAAGGTGAAAAACACCTTGCCGAGGAATTGGGTCGCAACCCCAGTCGTGGTGAGGGAGTCGGCAGAGTTTGCCACGTTCACGTTATGAGTGTAGAACTGGGCGTTGACACGCTGAACACTGGTAACGAAACTAGTGACGGCGGAAGTGGATACGGCACGCCACCACTCGTCCGCAACTTCGCGGCTAGCAAAGGTAATCACGTATCGATAGGTCACGTTGTCCGTGATCTGAACAGCGACTTAGCACGACATCGCAGACAACAAAAAATGGATTTTGGTACCTGTTTGACATATGCGTAGAAAACCATGATTGTATATTCAACAGGAGAGATGATTTGTTGGCTGTGGTTGGATTGAAATGAGTCATTCGAACGCTGCACATTATATATAGAGAGAAAGTTGTTTGGTCGGGTTGATCATAACATCTGGACCAACTGTGATTTGAAAATCAAGAAGGGTGGATAAAGAAATACTGCCGATCCGAGCGAGGACCCGATGGAAGATATGACGATTTGACCGTAACATCGCGCCCAGCTGGATATTCCGGCAGGCTACATTTCCCGGAACCTGAAGATGCACAAAGTCAGCCACCTCGTCCGACAGGCGTGTCAAAATAACAACCGGCATTCGATATAGCCTTGATCCCCCTGGATCAGCTGTCCTTAGTATCACAGTAGCGACTCGTCGGTGGTGGCATGTCTATCTTTCCGCAAAAGGAACAGGCAACATGATATTGTCGAAGCGTATGCGAGACCTTTGAAGACATATATTGAAGCTGTAAGGAGGTGATTGACAAGGGTTACGACTGACTTTCATACACACATCGCTCAGACTGAGCCTGTGTTCTTTCTAAAGTGGGAGGTACGAGTACCAAAGAAGGGCGACTCATGACCAGGAAGATGAGCTGATGGTGGCCCGGGATGTCCCACATCTTCTTGCATAGAGCCGCCATGGAACCTAAGTGACTGCAGATCTGGGACAATGGATCTGCATTTTCTGCGCCCTACCTGCCCCAGGCCTAGACAGACAGACTCCCTCTCTGCTAGCTTAGGGACCTTACTGTAGTGCTAAAGACTTTGCTGAGACCAAAACTGTAAGAGAGTGATAGACAAGAGTGACGACTTACCAGACTAAGCCCGGACTTCGTACATACTGTGTTTCGTTGCCCAGCACATGTGCATACCAGTGTCGCAAGATGACACCATTATACATTCAAATTCTGCAACTCCATCACTACGGCCTAGACCTGATAGGCAGGCTACCCTCCGAAGCCTTCGTGAGTTCTTGGATCTCTTTAAGTCCAGGTTCTAGATTTGCTTAGGAGGGTTCTGTCCGCAGCTCTACAAATTCATGAGAAACTGACCGTCATGTGGTTTCAAAACTGTACATGTACAGTAAGCCCCTTTTCTTCCGCCGTTATCTTGTCTTCATCTTGGAAAGTACCGCTGATGATTTGAGAGCCGGCTGACTGCGGAAACAAAAGGCGTTCCTGAATGCAAAATACCGATCCATGACGGGTCTTAGCACGAGAACGAGGACAGACAATGAGACGGCCTTGTGCTGGGCAGTATTACAGATGAGAAAGCCAGCGCAGAGAGCCGGAAGGGGGCCATCAAAGCGCTCAAATGTTGCGATCATAGTGGAGCTGTGTCGGAAATGAGCAAGGAAATGAAATAACAGACGTCAATACATCGTAACATTGATCAGAAGCCAACCAATATAGTTTGATGAAAGACAAGAAGAGACGATAACACGAACACCTTGTTGTGAGCCACCACAATCGCCTCGCCGTCAAACCACACACAATCTGCCAACAGCCAAGTGCACAAACAAACAATGGCCTCAGCGCTCACGAAAGTCCAGAACATAAGTCTTCAGGGGATTCAAAGCACGACAGATGAAATTCAGGGTAATAAAGTGCATCATAGTGAATGGGGTATGGGCAACCGCATGCGGTGGACAAGAACGTTCGTCAAGCACACGAGCGACGCGACACGTGAATTTGTAAACGAACATCGTACACTGCAGGAAAGGATAAGCCAATGCACATAGGAGAACAGAACAGAGAGCCTACGTGTAAGATACGATGGCGACGACGCTCGACAGCGTGGAGAAAAGAGAAAAGAGAAAGACGCCACAGTTTGATATTTGTGGATTCCGAAGCAGGACCTGCAGGCAACCAGCAGTGGGGTTTGGATGCTGGCCAACATCACAAGCGATGGAATATGTATCTCGGTCCCTCGGAATTCCTGATGAATGGGTTTCTGGAAAAGATCATAGCGAGAGTGAACTTGAAGTGAGGAAGACATTACCTGCTCCGTTCGATACATATCTAACTTATGTGATTGACAGCGTGGCCCCTTATTCAGTGATAACACTGATGCTACATCTTTGGAGTCTGCAGACGAGCTATCCGAAGCTGTAGTTCCTTCTCTGCCAGCCGAAGAATGTCCGCCCGTTAAATGTCGATGTGCTCCACAGGCTCGAAGGGTCCAGAGGAGGAAAAGAAAATAGTCATTGGCTTATGTATACCTAGTTGTACATGGCTCTATGGCAAATAAAATAACAAAGGAATGGTCGTGAACTCATCCAACTTGATCTGGAAGTCGAATGTAGAATATAGGAATGGCGCGTCAGTGGCCGCGTCAAGGCTCGTTAGTGCCGCGTCAGTGCCGCGTCACATCCGCGTCACGGCCGCGTCACGACCGCGGCAGGCGCGGCAGGACCGCGTCAAAATAGCTACGCCCCAAACGGTGACTTCGGTCAAACTTCGGTCCGAGTCGTCACTTTTCAACGTTGCAACAGCAGTCTGTCCGACTCGGAGTCATCCCACTTCAAAAGCAAACTATACTCCTGAAAATAAGAGCGCGGAACAATGCAGTATATTGAGTGCTCTATTCACTTCTCACCAAATTTACAGTACTAATGCTTGTCCTGTGTGTTTATCGCGCTTTTGGAAATCCATATCAAAACTAAGTCTATGGCTTTTGTAAGTCCTTTGAGATACGGAATGCACTTCTTATAACCATCCTTTAGGAATATACTCAACTTTTTCTATCCCAACGAGACAGAAAATCAAAATCATTCAAATCGGCCGGGTCCGCTGTTGAGTCCCAGTGAAATTTTTTGACTCTAGCCTGAGACACAACTTATGGCACCTCTTCTATTACTACTGCCGACCTCATTACCGCACCCCGTACTCTCCACAACGTCATCGCCCAAGCTGCCGACTGGTATCCATTACATGGCTTGGTTTCATAACCTTGGCACACGACTCCTCCATTCAGACGAAGACCTTCAGCGTGTTCAACCAATATGTTCGCAACCTTGGGACGGGCCATGCTCGAGTGTGGCGAACCCACAGGCTCAATATGCCTGATGGAGCACGAATATAATATGGGTGCTGTCTGGGCGTGTCTGCTTGCTGGTTATCTTCCCTGCTTACAGCCTGCACCTAGCGCCCAACAGGCGCACAAGGAGGGCTATGCCGCGCATATCAAACAATTGTTTGAGTCGCCAGGCCCTACGGAATATCTGTGTGAAGATGATCACCCTGCCACCTCACTTTGTCGTTTACATCCCTGCGAACCTGATGAAGAAGACTGCTGTCGGAAAACTATGTCGTTCGCGTCTTATGAGCCTGTCACATAAGCAAGGCCAACTTGCGAAGCACGCAGCGTTTCCTTCGTCGTCCCGTCCATCGAGACGGAAAAATTACTCATTAAGATATGTGCCAGCATCTTCAACCTGGTAAAAAGCGAGGCGTCGGTGAGCGACAACTTCTTCGAGATCGGCGGTACTTCTCTCGATGCTATCTGGTAGGTATATCCGTTTCGGCTTTCAAGCCACCTTCACTAACATATAATCTCCAGGCTCAAGTGCGAAGGAGAGAAACACTTCGACTTGCCTGACATCCCTACCATTCAAATTCTGAAGCACCTCGTTCTCTCCAGCCTGGCCCACTACGTCGATTCCTTACTCTCTCTAAGGACACCACTATCGTTCCCCTTCCAGCGACCGGATATAACACGCTGATATTCTTCGTTTACCCTGGTGTTGCAGAGGTCCTCATTTTCGTCAATCTTGCCAAATACTTCCAGAATGAGCGTCCCTTCTATGCCTTTCGTGCTCGTGGCTTCGGTTCCGGCCACCCGCCCTTCACCTCCATGGACGAGATGATTTCCTACTATGTCGCAGCGGCCAAGAGGATTCAGGCGACGGTACTATACGCTATCGCGGGCTACAGTTATGGTGTTGTTGTCGCATTTGAAATTGCCAAGCAGCTCGAGGCCATGGGCGAAGAAGTGAGATGCTTCGCTCCCATTAATATCCCTCCTAATATCTCCGACCGCATGCGTGGACTCGATTGGACGGCCGCCTCACTCAACTTATCGGCCTTCCTTGGTTGAGTGTCGAGATATGATGCTGATGATCTGTTTCCTTCCGCGAGCCTGTTCACGAGGCAGCAACAACTTGAGTTCGTATGGACGTTGTCGCCTCCTGAACATGTCGTCTAGCTCTAGCTAACACTCGAGAAGCTTGATAAATGGACGAATGTCGCCATGTCTCTTATCAATTGCGGCGTAGACTACACCCCAACATTCTCAGTTTGTAAGTAATTCACTTTCTCACCTCAGAACCGCTCACCCATGTACTTGCTCCACAGCCACATTTGATGTTTTCTACACCACTCCCTTCGCCTGATCCAATGTTAACTGGCTCAACAACTACTATTCAAGCCATGACAGGCTGGAGCCACGGCGAGGTATGGCCTAGCTTTAGCCGCGGCGGGGCATCATATATATTGGTGCCCGAGGAACACACTACGCTCATGGATTTTGAGTATGTCCCGCAGTTCCAGAAGATCTTCCGCAGTCTGGAGGTTCGTGGGTTGTAGACATTTGGAGGTGCCTATTTTGGTTGTATCTTGTCTCTAATCGATGATGCCTTCAACTACAAGTGATTGCCGCTGCGCGGCTTGTCGTATGCAGTTGCCGGAATTCTTACTCGTGGTTGGTAGTCATGCATGACTCACCGCGGCTACAGTCCTGATAGTCGACGAAACGGAGCTGTTGTGCCTGAACGACTTTTGTAAGGCACCGAAGAATCAGATTCAAGATCGTGAGTCAGACCAAGCATAGTTCACTCGTATTCTTCACCGTCTACTCCTTCGACTGCCACCACCGAGGGCAACTCACCAACTAGGTGCACAAAAGTCTATCCTTGAATGAAAAGGGTTTGGTGATATTTGCGCACTCGACTGACGAGTGCCCGTACTTGTGATGTACTTCACTGTCTGCGACAGATAGACTTGATGATAATCAGTCTGGACAGTACTACATCTTCGTTTCTTATTCTCTAATCTACGGATTATGTAGGCCGCGGAATTTCTCTCTCCCTCGATGTGTAGGAAATTGTGATGCATATCCATGCAAAAGAACTTTGGGTCACCGTCTGACAGGTCATGGTCTTAGAAGTACCGTATCAAAGGTGTCATCATTGTTGACGGTGCACCAGTGACTATTGTGGTGACCTGTCTCAGCTTTAAATTTCACGGAGCGTGTTTTGTTGGTTGCATGGTAATTTCCGCATGCTGAAACGAAGAGGTACCAAATCTGAATTCCAATCATGGCGTTATACCGTAATACTTGAAAGCTTGACCCAACAGAGGCAGGCAGCTATGCAATTGCAGTGATCAAAAACCCAAAAACCCATTTCAGCAGTCGGCTCTGGCCCTTGTATCGAACCACCATATAAAGGCGCAATCCTGTGCAGATAATTCCCTAAATCATACTCTTCCCCGAAGCATCTAACCATATATTTCACTCATTCGACCATTTTACTTGGTCTGTTGACTTACAACAAAAGTTGTTATGTACGGTGATCATGACAGTGTTGGCTCCCTCGCTACAGAGGTAAGTAAATCCTTGCAACTCCGATGCCTGATGAAAACGTTCATATTTCTTCAGGACCAATTAATTTCCCTGCGAGGGCAAATTAATGAAATCAAGAAGCACATTGACTTGCTCATGATCCAAAGCGCCATCATACGGGAGCGGAGGTGCCTCCTTCAGCATCAACAAGATATCAAATCGCTTGCGACAACGGAGCAATTGGATTTTATGTGCCTGGAGAACAGCTCCGTCGATCTCATTGACATAAAGAGTACTCAGGATTCCGTTGTCCCGAGTCCATCTTTGGCGTTGAAGGGCGCGGCCGACTTCTCCGCATCTCCCGCCCAATCGGAATCAATAGTGGTACGTGATGACTTATGTGTAGCTGCTTTATCTCATACAACATGGGTACCACCTGGAAGACCATCCCTTCTGATAACGCCGCCGTTGTTGTTCAACCATCAACACAATCTCAAGGGAGCACATCTAAGCTGCGCGCCATACCACGCAGATATAAGCCAGGACGTCGTGAATTCCAGGGAAGGTCTGCACGACACGAACCTCCTGCATTGTTCCAGGGATGGGCGGACGCCTCTAGCAGCGTATTCTGAACATTCCGGTTAGTTTGATACTAATGATCGATGATATATATAACCCCTCAGAAGCACAAGATATGTGAAATTCTTGACGATAAAGATATACTCGCAGCGTTTCTTTTAGTGGAATAACATATTTAGAGGAGGTATCTGTGAACGAGCTCGGATATGTGTAACATGTTCAAATCAAAGTCTTGGCTGTAGGAGACGGATGCACACATGAGGAGAAGCACACTTTCTTATAGGCATTTTTTGTTTCAGCAATTGGCTGCGTAAATATGGGGAATGTATGGATACAGTTTGTATGAACAACATGGTGGAATACAAAGCCGATAGTACCTTTTTCATACTTGACGCCCTGTATAGTTAACTGGCAATTTCGTGGTCTCGAAGTAGAATATCCATTTATCTTCGCTACTCCTTAACGGATATCTGCCCCAGTAGAATTGTTTGCGTTGTCCGTACGTCCATTTCCGTCGCTCTAGAAGTCATCGACGAAAAATTTAGCTCAATAGTGAACTCGAAAGTTTTTGTAACGAGATAAATCAACAAAACAGAAAATGCAGCTCCTTACCGCCAACAAGAACGTACCCCAGCAGCCTGTCTTCTCGAATGACCACTCGCTTTGGAAGCTTCTCCGAGTCGGAACCGTTGACGTGTCCAAGTAGTAGTGTCTCTATGGCCGTCTGCAAAGATATCAATTGAATATGTAAGTTTGGCCGAGCTTGCCAGGATGCGTCACGGTTAACGCGCGCTTACCGTGATATCATGCTGCTCTATAGCGAATATGGCCAATTCCACCTTCGAAGGACTGGAAACAAGATGTGGTTAAACCTCTCAGATAAGACTGAAATTATCCCCAGCAGTTGTCTTGTTACCTTGGGTTTCTGCTTTTGATGGTGACCTGAACGACTGTCCCGATGTGATCGCCGGGATTCAACGATTCGGCGCTGTTGTGCAGTTGTGCTTCCAAGTACAGTAATCGAGTCTTGTTGAGAGGTAGCGCCATTGCTGTGTTTTTGCCCAATACTGGCTGCCGCTCGCCGATCGATGTCTAATTCAATTAACCCGTCTGAGCTTGCTGACTAATAATTTACCCGTTGTGCTGCACTACCTAGTGGAATTTGTGATTCATTGGTTCATTATGCCCGTGTTTGAAATCTCTCGCAAGGGAGGGGTGCAGTGACATGAAACTTGGGGTCGGCCGTTCAGGGAAGATTCGATGCGCAATGAGTGCTAGCTTTTATCTCTTCCACGTATGGCACGGTAGACAGTGGGCGTGACAGCCTCAGCGCTCTAGTTGACACAACCATGATATATGTACCTGGATCTGTCCCAAGCACTCACTCTCAGCTTCCCGACAATGGATTTCAGTGAGTTCGTCATTTGCTCACCCCATCTAGAATCGTGCTAAAAGGCTTACCTCTAAGTGCATACATCGTCCTCTAACGACGCATGGAGGAGCCTATGCGATGTCGTAGAACACAGCGGCATTTTCGATTCCGAAAAACGTCAGCCCCACTTACGATGCATGGAGAACACGCGTGTTAATCTTTGGCGGAGTCTGAGAAGACTCCTCCACCGACATGATCAAACGAATGTTTGGCTCAATGGCTGCGCTGGCATTGAAAAGACATCCATTGCGTTCACCATAGCTGAGGAGTTCAAAAGAGCTGGAAGACTTGCCGCCACTTTCTTCTTCTCGCACAAGCATGCACAAATTGCTAGCAAGATTATTCCTACCATCGCATATCAGCTCGCACTGACTTTCCCGCGCATTCGAGGCGATATCATACAAGCGATCGAGAAAGACGAATTTCTCTTATTGTCTGAAAAGTCCCATGTTGACCAGATGCGGGAGCTGGTTATCAATCCACTACACACGTTGCGATTCCGTCAAGAGAGGCCTTATGTCATCATTATCGATGCTCTTGATGAATGCTTTTCTTCTCAAGAGGCGGGAAGACTGGCTAGGCTGTTCGTGGAGATGCTCTCGGGCACGAACTTGCCGACCATCCACCTGATATTTACGAGCTGCCCCAACGCTCATATCCGCGCGGCCATGCCACCTGGCGTCTGCCAAATTTCCCTCACTATACGTGATTCATTTATTGTCCAAGATGTTCATCTCTTTCTGCGAGCATCACTTGACAACATACGGACAAGTCGTCCCGATGTTTTCGGGCGGCCCCCCAAACCTTGGCCGTCGGAGGCTGAATTCGAGACCTTGGCCTCTAAGACATGCGGTCTTTTTGTCTATGCTGCTATGGTTGTCAATTTTTTATCTCCCGTCGGTCAATGTCCCCAGCACAGGCTAGACCTCTTACTTCGTCAGAAGTCAAGATTTTGCGTTGTCATCGACCGAGACATCAACGAGCTTTATCGACAGATTATTGAAACTTCGGAGAATCCAGCATTGTACTGCCGGATGTTAGCATCCATCCGTCTCATGCAACCGCTCCCTCTTAGAGACCTCCAAGAACTTTTTCATGCGGACAGAGAGAGCTTGGACGTAATGCTGGAAGCATTTTCACCCGTGATCTCGAATCCACCCGATGGAGTTGGAAACGTCGAGATTTATCATGCTTCGCTCCACGACTTTATAAAGGATCCCTTTCGCTCGGCAGAACACTACGTGAGCCACGCTCGTGCTCACGAGTACCTTGCGTGTCGCTGCATTGACTTGCTCACACGAACGGAACCAGCATATGGAGCAGTGGCACGCAATGCGCACCAGTATGCACGTTTTTGGTGGGGTACACATCTTTCTTCGGCCTATCCTAGCAGCGAACTTCGGCATCTGCTCGCTAGGTTTAAAAAGGAGAATTTGGAACGTTTGGTAGCAGTCGCAGAAGAGGATCAATCACTTGGTCCTCTCATATTCAATTTGCTTGAAGCAAGAAACGCTTGTTTTTCTTGGGTGAGTGTTTTGAATATTGGTAAGAGGTGTTGACTAATCAAATTTTGTTTTAGAAATGGATCAGAAGTTTGTCTGATATTGTCGTTGCGTGGCGTATTGTCAAAGCTTCAAGAAAAGTTTATAAAAAGGTGAAGAAATCAAACAGTGAGTGGACACGAGTATAGCGCTGTGTATACTGACCTGACTTCTTTAGCTAACGTAACTAATACATAAGTAGAAGGGCAAGTGGCAACTTAAATCGCCCTGCAATGCGAACTCAATATGATGTTCAAAGCGCGCAATCTTCGGTGTTGCAGGCAATCGTAACAATTGGAGGGGTGGTTGTTGGGCGGTTGGTCATGACGCATCTGACTAGGGTTTTGTAGGTCAAATTTGTAGATAGGCGATGAAATCTCACCCACATGTATTGTCTGTATCAATGATGTCACTGCGCTGGAGCGTCACGGTGTTGCTGTATTTGCTTCCTGTGGGGATTTAGGTTGCATTGTGTGTCTAGTGCTAGGCAACGGCCGATGCTGTAGGACATGAGTATTGTAATACAGCATGAGCACTTAGCTGTGGCAGGATGACGAAATTCCAGTCGACGACTGAGGAAAGAGTAAATTTATAGCAGATGCTATAACTCAGAGGGACATTAATGTCGTCAAAGTCAGGGCCTGACAAAGTTGAGTATTCGAGCCTGGACTAACATTGGCTACTAAGAAATAAGGAACGAGCTGCAATAGAAAAAAGTTCTATAGTTCGGCGCAAATGTTAAAGAATAGCCTGGAGTTTCGGTATTGGTGACATGAAATACAGGGAACATTGGGCGGGGATGACGACATCGACTTTAAGAATGCAGACACGGAGAACATGAGACGAATCGAGATTCGGCAGAAAGAGATGGACGCCGTGCTCAGCGCGCACTGCGCAAACACGTGTGGAGTCGCAGGTATTGCTGTATCGTTTTGGCAAGCTGTGGCGACGGGTCTGGGATCAGTTGTCATGCGTTTGGAATCAGACAGTGATTTGACGTGAGAACACGTACAATGATATTGAGCGCTGACGAAACTGCTATCGGGCTTTTGAAGCAAAGCTGTGTACATGCAACCATTATGGTGAGGATAATTACTACCCGAGAATATCCAAGTAACGGTACCTGCCAATGAAAACATTATTCGATGAGTATCCGTGTTACCATGAATAAGGATAGCGCATATCAAATACACGGAACACATAGATCACCGGTCTGATTGTGATAAAGCTTGAAGGACATGACTCGGTTGATAAAATGAAAGCCTGCTAGTGGAGCAACAATGCGAGCAAGATGTCAGAGACGATGCAAGTGGTACGATCACTTACTACCAGATGATCACATAGGTGGTACACTGCTCTTTGCACTGCGGAAAGTGGTGCGGGCTTGTATCGCCTTTGATGAAGGGAGTCCCAGTGTGACGTTGCGGTGGAATCATGATGAAGGTTTGATCCGAATCGGCTTGATCTACGAAGATTTGATGTTTAAACTAGTCAGCGTCAGTTTTTTCGGCGCAGACTGATCACCGCTGCGACTTGGAAAGTTCCGCGGGAGCAAAAATGGTTATCCGTTGCAAATGGAAACATGAACAAATATACTGTATCTGCCAAGAAAGGCTTAGCTTGAGCCCCGGGGCCCGATTTGCTACTTGCATTCAGATACACTGAGCATGGTGCAACCAAATTATTTCTGTATAACATCAAGAGTCGCTTGCTGTGTCGAATAAATAACCTTCTTTCATTCCTTCCTTCATTTTAGACGACTCACGACACAATTTCACAGTCCAAAAAGCTAATCGACCGTGACGGTGAGCGGCAACTGTCAACTGACAATGAGCACACCTCCTTCCAGCACTACATCAGGTGTCCCCGAAGTTCGTCTTAGCTCATCTACCTCATCGTCACCGCATCCCCCAACACGATCCTTACCCGGTGCAGACGAGAATCAATCATTCTCCGCTCTCCCTCCAGAGCCTGTCCACAGTGTGCCATCCCCAGGAGATAGCACCGTCCATCTATCTCGTCACGATGACTGTGCCAGGAACTCGAATCAAATCGCAATCAGGTCCAATTTCTCCGCAGGTGGTGGAGGACATGGAAGTAAGAATATGAGTGCGCGCACGATTGCTAATATACCTCGTGACTCCATTCTTCTGTCACCGGCCAATACAAAATTTGAAACATCCCCTACACCATCTGTCATACTTACTCATCATCACCATGATGACGGAAAGGCCTCGTCAGCCCCGACGTCACCTATGGAGAGGGTGTCACCTCCGGCGTCTCTTGTGCCTGTGTCGTCAAGCGAACGCTCAGACTTGTTTCGTTACTTGCGACGCCAGTATCATGAACCCCAAGGAGATACACCGCCGAATGGGGTACCGAGGAAATGGTGGTCACGTTCACCTTCGAAGGAGAGAGGAAGGTCTCTCTCGCCCTCAAGAGGGAGAAGTGTCCCCTTCCTTAGAGGTATATTTAGAGACCCGGTAGTTTTTTCGCTCGGGTCGGACTCCAATCTCTCGATGCCGGATGATTTTACAGAACGGGAAACTCCACTTTCTTCTTCGTTGCCCAACCATATGTCTCTTGCTCCTTTGTCCAATAATCTTCTCTCTTTATCCCGTGAGGATCTTCACATCTGCGATCTCGATGAGAAGAACTCCAGCGATGAAGATGGAGGGATTGAGCATTCGCTTTTGCTATCCTCTCCCGAGGCTACTCCTGCCACCCTTGTATCGCCCGCTCTCCCCGTTACTGCACACACATACCCGCAGACCCTCAAATCACTAGGCATAGGAATTGAAGAGGGTCTGCGGAGGGATGACATCGAGAATAGCTATTGGCCGAAGCTATTCAAAATGTCTCCAAAGTCGTCTCCCAAGTCCCTTAGTGCCGATTTAGGGACAAGTGGGTCCGCAAACGAGACTAATCTGCAAGTTGAAGAGGGTCTTGTTGTCTCAATGGAGGCTTGGGACGGAAAGTCCCTAGATGTCCCTCCTTCGGTTATGTCCCTTGGTTCATCCTCACCTACGAAAGGTAAAGCACCTGGACTACCGAATCTGGCAGTGTCTTCGACATTACCTCGTATGTTCTCTTATTTTTTTCTGTGATACTGGTGTCTCTAACCCCGTCAGAAAAACGTGCTTATCCTGGGAAAGGTAAGGGGAAAGCCCAAGATGCACCCCACAAGGAGCCTTCCACCTCTACACCGCAAGCTCAAAGCAAACACTTGGAATCATGGTTTGATAAGTTCGCTCATCGTCAAAGCGCAAAAGATCAAGAGAAGGAGAACAAGGAGACTGATAGTTGGCTTCGGACGAGGGAGGTGAGTTCTATCTATTTTGTACCTTATAAGTACCCCGTCGTCTTTAATCCCGTTCTTGCTGGATGGAGACATCAACCAAGAGATTCGAAGTTTCTCCTTTCTTTCGTTTAAGATCAAATTCGTGCTCATGTGTATCATTCCAAACAGAACGTATCCTTAGCGTTGAATGCTGTCCTTTCTACTTCTGAGCTCGCACAACTGTCAGAAACAGGAAAGGCGTTTGCGATGGAGGGTCATGCTGCTCGTACCACCGCTGAGCAGGACAGTGGTAAAGATGTGAAGGCATCTTCGGGTACCAAGAAAGGTGCTGTGACCGAGACTTACCAGGGTACAGAAAGCAAGATTGGGACCAGCCAGAAGGCTTGGTTGACGAGTGAGTCCTCCTTGCGTGAAGTTGGGCTTCACTAACTTCATACTCTTTATCAGTGAAATCCACAGCAACATTTGTCTCGCCTATGCTTCGAACCTCCCTCATGATTCTTGGTGACGTCGCCAAACTTACACCTATCCCTGGGCTCCATGAAGCTGCGAGGATTTTGCTGGCAGTATGGGAGGCTGTGGATGAAGTCGAGGTAAGTGTTTGATTTCCATCATTCTTTTTCGGGAGCAGAGTTTGAGAGAGAACTTACGTGGTTTCAACAGACTAACCGCCTGCAATGTCTTCGCCTTACCGAACGCTGTGCGATGGCGATTTACTCTGTGCGCGCTGAGATAGCGGATGCTGAGAGGGACATGCAGTCTCAACAAGGTCAAAATGGAGATGTTGGTGTTGTGGGGCTGGCAGAAGAGATGGAAGGTCCTGTCAGGAAGCTGAACGAGTGCATTGAGATGGTAAGTTTTGCTGTGCTTTAATTTCGTCACGGATCGAGCAACCATTTTGTTTGTCCTATGCTTGAGCGCTAATACTCATTCTCTAGGTATACAACTTCCTTCTAAAGCTCAACCGTCGTCCATTCCTCAAGCGGTTTTTGCGTAGCGACGAAATCCAGGAGGAAATTCTAGCATGCGACAAGGCGCTTGGGGATGCCATGCAGATGTTTAGCGTGTGTCATCTTTGCTTCGTTTTCGGTTAAAGTCCATCTAACTTTGACTTGACATAGATTTCAATCCAAATAAGAATTCTCAAAGAATTCAAACGCTTCGCGAGGGATACGCGTCTTGATGTTGTGCACCATGCGCAGGGGCCTACGCCTCCACCTATATATGCATCTCCTCTGTCGCCGACCCTACCCATTTCCTTAGACTGCACCCCAACAGTAGGGACACCAGCACTTCCAGAACCGCATGACATTCTCCCAGCGGCATCTGGGCTGAGCAGGAGTCCTCCAGCACAGAATCCACCATTGTCACCACTTCAATCCGTACAATCCCAAACTTACCACACTGATCCACCCTCCGACGCGCTGATCTCCCCTCTCACTGAGCTTCAGGACCTTCACGTTGTTGAAAACGCCTCTGACAGAGAACAAGACCGTGCACTATTCCGCAGCACACTCCAACGTGCCATTAGTGCTCGAAGGGATGCTGAGGTGTTACAGGTACTAGAAGTGCGTCCTGGAGAGGTGCCTGAGGCACTAAAGGCACTTCGGAGGGCTGAGGAAGCGCTGAGAAGGGAAAGAGAAGCTATTGAAAAGAAAGGAGGAGATGTGATCGACGAAGGCCTGGAGAGAGTGTTCATGGAGACTGGGATCGAGGCTATGACGAGGTTGAGTAGTGTTGCTGTACAGAAGGCTGAGGATCAAGATGTGGATGTTCCCTGGGATTTACCGCCTTGGACTATTACCCGGTACGTCTGGTTTCAGTTCCGTTTGGGCGAAGTAACTGAGCTAATGATATTTTTCTAAACAGCTACGAAGTCGACCGCCTCACCATGATTGGTAGGGGCTCCTTCTCCAAAGTCTACCTTGGTAGCTGGTCCGGGCGGCGTGTCGCCATCAAAGTCCTCCCCCTCCACACTCCTGCACCCCTCTTCAGGAAAGCGGTGGAGATATGGAGGAAACTGAAGCACGAGAACGTGTTGGGAATGTGGGGTGCGAGCAGCGCGCAAGGCGAACGACCGTGGTTCATAGTGAGCGAGTATTGTAGCGGCGGGAGTTTGGTGGGGTGGTTGAGAGAGAGGAAGGGGAGGGTTGGTGAAACAAGCGCTGGGGGCATTGACTCCTCCCAGTGCAGGTGCTAGGGGAGATGTGGATCTTCTCCGGTGCATGCACCACATTTCGAAGGGGATGGTGTACTTGCATGATCAGAATGTATTGCATGAAGACCTCAAGGTCAGTGTTGATCGTTACTTGGTCTTCAAGTCTGAGTTTGGAGTATGTAGGCTTCGAATGTGTTGGTTGATGAGAACGGGCGGTGTGTCATCTCTGACTTTGGGCAGAGCGAGATGAAGTGGGAGGCATCGAGGAAGCCCATTATGAGTGCGTTTACCTCGTCTCCCTTCCATCCTTCTTCGTTTGACTGAGGCTCCATGTAGACGGGACATTACGCTGGCAGGCACCGGAACTAATCAATGGACCCATGAAATTGTCGAGAGCTACGGATGTGTATGCGTTCTCCATCTGCTGCATCGAGATTCTCGGCATGGGGGACCTTCCGTACGGACATCGCGACGACATGCTTGTTGCATTCCTTGTCAATTGTGAGTTCCGACCTATACGATACACACATTAGTAACGCCTTCACAGACCAAAACAAGCGTGCCGAGATTCCCTCGACACCCATCACTTCACTTGTGGAACCTCTCATTCAAGAATGTTGGGTTCGCGACCCCGAGCAACGCCCTACGTTCACACACATTGCTGCGACGCTCAAGCGACTTCGTAAGCATCAAGGAGGGGTGGAGGAATCCCCTATTCCAGTGCAGGCCGAGGTACTTTTGACGGCTTGGTCAGACCCGCCCCACCACTCGCCGAGCATGCATCCTCTAGAACTACCAGAGACGTCTCCGTATACCCTGCAGGAAGGTCAAGTCATGCTGGACGATCACTTAGATGCCAGTGTGGGAGACGAGTTTGGTACTGCGTCTGAGGGTACGGGAAGAATTGATACGGAGTCGGTGTCAACAACATCACGAGAATCGCAGCTAAAACCGTTCTATCCAATCGGACAGCCGCACAGCAATCCATCGTATCATTGGGAACCCACCGTAGATTCTCATACGGGCAATATGGAGATGCCCGAGGGCGGGATTGCTATCTATACGCCGACTCGCAAATTATCTTTGGCAGAGAGCGATTCGATGAGCAGTGCCTCGTCGCATCTCACGTCAAGTCCAGAAGCTGAACACAGCGCGTTGGAGGAGGTTCGTCGTCGTCATCGTTCGCCCCATGTTGCCTTGGACAAACCGTCTCTGCCAATGGATGAGCAACTCGCAGAGAGGAAAAACGAGTTGCGGTTCAGGTCATTAGCACAGTCGAGCCACGAGTTCCATCATTCTCGTATGTCTTTTTCTCTGTGTTATAACCGTTCTTAGGTGTTCTGGCACTGATTGAACATGTGGTTTCGTTGGCAGTTACCTTACCCCTTTGGTCACCTTCTCATGTCGAGCTGGGCGCAGTGGGATATCTCTCTGCACCAAAAGGGGAGTTCATTACGCTCTTTGACGCCATGAAGCCCCACAAAACAGCGGGGAGCAAAGTGACGAATATTCCTTCGCTGGCTGGGTACCTCGAGGGACCTATTCGTATTGGGAAGAAGCCTGATTCAATCCGTACGATGACGCAAAGAGGGCTTGAGCTCATTTCCGGGTTGTTGACCTTCCCGCTGATAGATCGTGATGGGTCATATTCGTGAGTGCACAGCAGGTATATTTTTGACCAGTTTGTTTTAACCACGCACGTTCAGGGAACGCATTTCGAGGCGTCACCCATTCCCCCTTCGAGCGGGTCATAAGGCTGCATTTATCTATGCAGAGTCGACGATGTACCGATTCATAGAAGACCTCGCAGCACCGAAAGACTGGTTCAAGGCTAATGTCAATACCATTATCAAGGAGTATGCTCCCTATCATCCCATTCAAAAAGAAGACGTTATTTTGGGTGAGCATCCATACCCTTCTATTCATAGTCGAGAGTATACCGACTTTCCCCGATAGTTTGCGGTACCTTGTCTGCACCCGAATATGCGCTCTTCGTGAGCCATTCTCATCCAAATGGCCAAGCCCATTTCAACGTCTTTTCGGATCGTCAGAGTGGCCGACCATGGGGCACCTTCACCACAGATACTGAGTACCCTTCCGATGAGGGTGGCCCCTCATACATCGAAGAGATACCCCGAAAGGCCGTGTTCGCGAGCAAAGTGTCGCCAGTGCGGCTAAATGCTGGATCCAATGACAAGGACTGGGACACGTTGGTGTTAGCCAGGCTCCGCTTCCCCACGGATGCAACTGAGCCTACTTCACAGTAATGTCAAAACTTGACTTATACCCTTCATTATTTATTAATTCTGACCGGTTTTCACCGACTAAGTATCACCTAATCCTCATGTTGTATCGCTATATCTTATGGACCGTTATGAGTCTTGTTTTACTACATGATTATTTTCTCTCACCTGGATATTTTAATTTACTGCTTCATGTATGTACGATACCCATCAACTGAACTTCTGGATCGTCCCCTGCTAGTGAATCGGCAGCTTGTGAGTTCGGAGTAATATATTTGAGTCGACGAGGCAAGTTTGGGTGTTTGATTATGCCTGTCACGCCAGACATGCATGGAGACATTCACGAACGTGCAGTCTGCTTGCTGAGAGTCGCGATGCTTAGACCTGAGGTCATTGCCCAATCCTCCGGAGGTGCCTCTTTTCGGACAATGTTCTGTGACAAAATAACCAGTCCGAGCGAAGAATTGAAAGGATACGCAGCCTTCTTATCTTTGGCCATGCCGCGAGCTGCGCATTGTGTAGAGTCCCTGCTGTCCCTGTTCTATTCCTGCAGCTTTCCTCGTGTCTTGCCGATACCTTGGGAAGAATATTGGTTACAATGTAAACACTGACCCGGTTGGACGGCCTACCAGTGTAATCGCGGCCTAGGGTGTTATTCTTGAACGTTTGGTACCATATTTAAGTATCGGTACAACTTGAAGAGACGAATCACTTACAGTACGTAAAACGAGTGACTGTGCTAAGTATGGAAATATCGGAACTATGCTCACTGCTCAGTGCATGTCACCGATTGCAACAGCCTCTGATCAGCGCTCAGCCAGCCAGCAAGTGACACTTGGTTGAACCGGAACATTCACAATTTCACATGCACACCCGAGGTGCACATGGTCACCGTCTGGACTCTGACATTGCAGGTCTCGATATATATAGAACTCTGGCAGCAGTAGCACAGGCTACCACCTAGTACTACCACGGTATGTAAATTTTCTCGCCTATCTTTTGCTCAACTTTTGCCAAGTTGAAGTTCAATTGACGGTATGTGATATGTAGGTCATTGTACAACACCGCAGAAACCGCCGCTTCGAGTCGGACAGCGCTCTTGTAAAAACGGATAGGCGCTGTTGACGTTGTTTCATGACAGCCGGCGGCTGAGTTGGATGTCTTCCTACAAATATAGCCTCGGCTGTGGCATGCAATAATTGCAATTCTCAGGACAAGAGGCCAGGCCTACATGTTGGACTCCTGTGAGCGTGTCATGATTTCAAATCTCACTTACCAAACGCTTCTGTCTTTTTTCGACCAGCACTTTACAATGAAAACACTTTCAAAGTCTTTGATCGTCCTCATAGTATGTCACGTTAGTTTATCATGAGTCTATCTGCTTCATTAACTGTGCTCGTAGTACTACATCGTCATGGTATGTTCGATGGACGAGCCAAGGAACATGTCAGCTCCCGGCAGTCAGGACAGTCTGACTCAGTAACTCCGGTTACGGGCCATTCCAGCTTATCGGCAATTTTAGACCTTGGTCGCAAACATATCATTAGCGAGTCATCCACACCATGATGGGCTAATTTGAGGACGCTGCGGCGTGCATGGTAAGAATTCCAACCCGGTATCTACTTGAAAGAAATGATTGCAGTGCCGTGGCGTGTATAAGGTTCCCATTGTTCAACGCTCAACACCCACCAACTGGAGGCCATTCCTCTGTCACAATGTCCTTTGGCTCTGTGTTTGTTACAACTAGTAAGTACCTCAATATGAAATTTCCCTCGGTGACTTCTACTAATAAGTGCGTCAACAGCACCAATTACTGTTGGCCCGTACCACTACGTCCCTACAGAGTGGATATGTATCCTTGTGAGTTGTGTTGTTTGTGCGGTTTGCATCTATTTCACATTCTTCCCTAGTTCCTGGTGTTGTACAGTATCTCAACTGGTATGAATTTCGACTGGTATGCACGGTCATGGCTTAATATTTTCAGTCCTCCACTTGGGCCAGGCGGTCAAGTATAGACTATGGTGGATGATCCCCACAGCGACCTTCGCGGGTATCTTGGAAATTCTAGGATGGAGTGCCAGATTATGGTCGAGTCGGAACCCCAAGCTTTTGACGCCTTATGAGATCCAGTAAGTGTTCATCCAGAAGGAATCATTCGTATGCACACTTAAACATCTTCGCTGCAGAATCGTCGGCACTATAATAGCACCTACTCCGCTTGTCGCAGCCAACTTTATCATCCTTGGCAGGGTAATTACTCAAATTGGACCCCAGTACAGCCGTCTAACCCCAAGGTTATGTTAGTGTTTCTCTGACACTTCTAGCATCCGATTACTGATCTAGTGCAGATACCATCGTTTTTTGTTGCTTTGTTAGTGTCATACATTCAAGTGGTGTGAATCCTTCACATACCTCCTCTTCCTATTAGGACATTGTTTGCTTGATTGTACAAGCTGTGGGAGGCGCATCCGCTGCGCACGCCGCCAGCACGAAGACAAGCGCTTCGATGGTATGCACATCATCCCATATTTTGTCTGACGTTCACGTCATCGAAACAGGGCGCGAACATTATGCTAGGAGGAATTGCTGCTCAGCTTTGTGCGTGATGAGTGCTCCTGTATGCTTCTCACTAAAATTTACGACCTTCGCTTTCCAGTTGCAATAGTAGTCTATGTCGCTTTAGCGGTTGAGACTCTCTTGCGTTTGCAATATAATCGACCCTTCCGCTACGTTGAACAACGTCACATATTGGAGAAAGGCCCACGTGTTGTAAGTAAGAACTTGCGACTTATGCTTTGTGGCATGGCGTTCTGTACCCTTTGCATATTCATTCGGTTAGTGTTCAGCATATCTTTTTATCAGTAGTTATGATATGCTGAAATTTGTCCCTAGATCGGTGTACCGTACTGTGGAGCTCGCCGATGGATGGGATGGGCCAGTGATTACGACGGAGCGCTACTTTGGTGCGTTGTTACTATCTTCACCAGGAATACGCTGACAATGCTGTAGACTGGCTCGATGGTGGCATGGTGACTCTTGCCATCTACACTCTCAATTTCTTTTACCCGGGTATCTTGGTGAAGAAAGACAATCCTCTGACTCACGCTTCACAGCAATCCATCGACGAAGAATCTAGTTCGACCAAGACCTAAAACATTGAGTGCTCTTGGATTTTACTACAAAGAGACGATGGACCGTGGTATTTATTAGTAGATCAGTTGTCAGGACGTTCTTCTATACTACTTCCACTCAAGTATCTACTTAGCAGCTTGTGCGATTGTCAAACATCTCTGGCATATCTTGGCATGTTATAATAACGCCTGTTTTCTATTTCCTGCCAGCTGCTATACCGGTGACTCCTATCCTTTCACTTAAGATTTCACGGTGCAGAAAGGCTTAACGTTATAAATTTGAAGGATATCCGGTATGACTAGTACTTAGGCTTGACTGGTCTAATTAATTTCCTACCATCTAAGTACTCAAGCTGAGTCAAGCAGAAGACGAGGCTGTAAACGAGTCGAGTACACAAGTACTTTAGTGAACATTCTAGTCGACGAAAATACCACAAAGTATACGAAAATAAGATAGCTGGAGCGCAAGAGTATGATATTAGAATCATTTTCACAACAGATCGCAGATCAACAGTTTGTGAATATGTACCAGGCGATAGGAATACGACAGAACTACACACCAATATGAACAAAAACCATTCTCTGCTCCAGCGGCACTTTCGTCTTCACAGCGTGCGTAGCACGGTTCAGTGCCCAGGCCGCCCTCGTACAGTCCATCACACCACCATCCTTCGAATCTTTGAACATATTCTCATAAAAGACTTTGACGACATGTTGTGCGACGGAGTCGTCAACCTGCCACAGCGTCCCAATGACGCTCTTGAACCCTGAAAACTGAAGACCAGCTGCGAGGTGAATCACTTCGTCGGGGGTCTCCTCATCTCCGACGGCGGTATGACACGCTGATAGGAATGCGAACTCGGCATGTGGAATGTCTCTCTCCATGATATCGAGCAGCGTCAGATCTTGGTCTCTCATGACGAAATGTGAATTGTAAGGCTGCTTTGGGTCCTGCTTGCCATGACAAGCAAGGTGCACCCAGGTGTTCGCTTGCAAAGCTTCGAGCGCACCTGCTCGTGTGGCTGCGTCCCCAGAAATAGTAGTGTATTTGGCCGTCGCAGGAACGAGCTTATGGACAAGCTCAAGCTCGTTGTCCACAGTCAAGAGCGCCTTGCCTTTCCCTGCACCCGGTTGACCCTGTCCGATTGTCATGAAGGACGGAGTGACACGCTTCTTCATCATCTGTCTAGATCTCACTAGAGCCGAAAGTGTGGGCGTGTAAGAGCAAATGTAGAGATCCTCCAGGCATGGCTCCTTAGAGCCATCTGGGTTGGTTCGGAACGGGTGAGCTGCGTGGAGAGGAATAGACGTGAAAGCTGCCGTTGGACAAAGCCAGATTCGAGAGTAGTATTTTAGTTTCAGATCATGCCGGAGGACGTTGACGATGGGTAGCATGATCTCGTCCCATACTGTCCGCAAGAGGACTATTAGATCGTTTCGCGGCAATTTGGGGCCCAGGGCAGATGCTTGTCGTATTGCCCTGGCGAAGCAATCCTTGAGATTGGTCAGATCTGCGAGAGTGACAGACGGCAAGGGAACATGATGGGGGTCTCCTGACGTGGGGACGATGATGGCGCTACACGAGTATTGACTGGCAATGAGGATGATGACCGGGCCCTGGCGGGCTGCCGCTTGCAGGTCTGCATACAGAGGTGGGAGCAGGAAGCGCGAAAACGCCGGAAGATCACGTATCTCAGCTACCGCAGTTTCCCATTGCCTTGTAAGTCTTCTGTACTCCATTGCTGCCCGAGCAGCAGCAGCTCTGTCAGTGATATGTGCAGAACTCTGGGCTGCATTGGAAATGCACTTGCTCAGCTCCAAATAATTGTGCGCCAGTGCCGGATTTACTGACTCGAGGTCTTCAACTGGAGTCCTGAGTCGAGATGCCAGCGACCATTGCTGGCCACGGCCCTGCTCTGCGAGTTCGACTGCGTGTCGTAGATCGCCATTACGGATAGCGCACGATGCTGCATCTACAGGCAGCGATCTGACATCATCGAAGGCAGCAGCAGCTACGCGTCGTGAAATTGTCGATGATCGCGTTGCTAAATGACCGTCAAGAAGGTCGAAGCATGTGCTGTAGGCCTGCAGTAAGGATATATGACTGTGCGTCTCTGCAGCGGTGACCCATCTCCCGGCTGTTCTAATGCGATATGGAAAGCCCTGAGTAGGGTGCCTTGATGCCAGTCTCAAGTTCTCCACTGCAAGAGACAAATCAGCAGGGTCGTGTAGAACCCTGTAACGAGACAAATAGGCCTCCTGCAGCCACATGTAGCTGAAGTACCTGTCCGGGTGCAGTGAAGACAGAGCCGCCAATGAGTCTTGGCAAAGAGCAATGGCCTCCTCAACATCTTCGTTCTCCTGAGTTTCCGTGAAACGAGAGCAGAGTGCCGAGCTCAAATTGGAAAGAGTTAAATGATGCCCTGGATGGTCAAGCCGCCGTAACCGAAGGGAATCGCGATACCAATGAATGGCCTCGTTAAGATCCGCGCTAACTTGCGACTTGTCATATCTGTTTTGGAGCGCGTGGGCAAGGCTGTGAAGGGTGATGGTACGACCTGGATGCCCAGGTGGGCGCAACGTCAGTGCCTCGCGATAGAAGCTGATGGCTCGGGTCATGTCTTCAATGTCTTCACGTTCCTTGAAACGGTCGACGAGGGCGACCCCTAGGTTGCCCAATGAGTAATCACGAAATTCGTGCCCAACAGGGCGCAGGTGCAGCGCTGCTTCGTGCAAGGATATGGCTCCATCAAGGTCGTTATGATTGCCTTGGTGCTTAAAGCGGGATACGAGTGAAAACGCCAAGTTGTTCAGGTAGGTATCGCGGTCAGCATGTCCCTCGGGACACAGAGACACGGCTTCACGACGAAGCTGTATGCTCGCGTCAAGATCATCGATGCCGCCGTGCTGATCAAAACGTGCTTCAACTGCTTGTGCAAGCTCGTGGAGGGTTATGGGACGAAGTCGGTGGCCCAGAGGACAGAGCTCGAGGACGACTCTTCGAAGGTGGATGCCTTCATCGGATCCATCAGGTGGAAGACCATTGCATCCGCAGATCACATAATCAAGACTATTTTTGCCTGCCGCGATGCTACGAAGGTACGTGCCCTCTGGACAGAGAGGCAGTAGCTCATGATATAGTTGGGCGGCTTCCCGGATGTCGCCAGCAGTTCTTGTCTTGTTGTGGCGCCAACTCAGCGCCACGGCGAGATTGAATAGAGATAAGGGACGATCGGGATGGTGCTGCGGACGCAATGCAAGGGCGTTGCGGAAAAGGGAAGTGGGGAAATCAATGTCTTGAACATCATTTTGGAGGTAGCCTTGAAGGTAGGTCCATGCGAGGTTGTTGAGAGCTGTTGCGCGGTCTGGATGGCCGACCGGACACTGGTTCAGAACCCACTGAAAATCCTCCATAGCATCGTCCAGGTGAGAGACATTGTCGCTTTTCATGTATGAGGCAAATTGTGCGTGGCCCGTATCTGCGTCTCGAGCAATCTCGCAGTCTACGAGGGGCTATAGTTGGCGTTCCGTCAGCAAAACTAACAGGACAAAATCCGGGATCGCTTACATCAAATAGCGTGCCGTTTGGATTGTCCCAAGCATATACAATAGCAACCCTCAGTGTAATGGAAGGTTGGACACCGCGCGCGGCTGGGAAGGATAGATCTACGAGATTTTAACATATGTGCGTGAATGAGAAGTGAATCACTCACCAAATGGGTGATCTCCATGATCGAGTAGCTCATCCCACAACATTTGAAGTTCCCCAATGACCTCTCCACCGCCTAGCATTCGACCAAGCTCATAGGACGCCCTGATCTCCACTGACAACGCAGGTGAGGAATGTGATGATGGTCTATATAATCCAAGGATCAGTTCTCGCATCACATCAGAAACTCTCCATGGACCTCACAGAGTTATAGTATTCCCCCACGCTACAGATTCGTCAGATGATAAGACACAGATAGCTGATTTCCAGCGTCTCCGGGAGTCGATATTGATAGACACGTAAATGCCAGCGGGAATGCGCCAGGAGGGGACTTGAAGATTCTTTCCGCTGATGACTGTAGATAGAGGTTGAGGATCATGACACTGATACGAAGGTAATGTGAAGGAACTCGCCTTCAAGTCTGATATATCGGCGTTTTGAGCGACGAGGCATGATGTTGTGATGGAGCAAATTGATGAGGTTGGAAGACGGGCTGGGTGGCGTGGAAGGAATCGGTGAGAAGGGAGGACGGGGGTAAGGATATGGGGACTGCAGATAGAGTTCTGCCCAGTGGGAGATTGAGGCCTAGGGTTCAGGTCACGCTGCATGTGTATTTTCATATTGTCAGTGGATGTTCGGCACGATAGACGCTGGCATGATCCCACAAGCGCTGGGGATGGAGATCACCGGCCACAGAAGAATCTGTGCTAAAGTAGAGAATGGCATGAACAGTCTGTGGCAAAAGTGGTCTGCCAAAGTTGAAAGGGACATGTGAGTCTCAGAGTGATTGCTGCTCCTGGACTTGCATCGTACTACTCAGTTAGCACGCAAAGGCAAAATGTAGAATTGAGTATATTTTGTGAGGTAACGACAAAGGCAAAAAATGTCTATATCGCTGAAAACGGCGCGCAAAGAAAAGTACATACGACTGGTCCAATTGAGCTGACAGTGTAATGGAGGAAGGATGATCTTGCCTGCAGCGACTCGCGGGGAATAAGAAAGAATAAGGCGAGAATGCAACCAATTGTATTCTCGTTCGGCGAGGGATGATTGACGAACGAAGTATTGCGAAAGCTGTGACAGCTACCGGATTCAGTCACCGCCGAGAGATATAAACTGAACCCTGCGGAAAAGGAATATCCATTATAGGTGGCACTGCATGGATAGGTTGGCAGGTCCATAGTGTAGGGAAGCCTTGAAGGTGACAGGACTATACTTTGGCCAAGGATATGATTATTGACATTAGTACGACTTGAGGCTGCAGAATGGCAGAGGTTACAGGAGCGGACCATTGCAGTGAACGTTTGAATGTGGAGCTTCGACGAGAGGGAGGGGTTGTATTTGAGGTAAGGGTAATGTCAATGGAACGAAGTGCAGAGTGACTGTCGAGTCAATAGTGAAAGAAACAGCGTGAAGAGGGAATCACCAGATATGAGGCGTATCTCGTAGGAGATGGACGTGGACTGTAATGATATGAATGAGGTAGGTGGTGCGGACAGCTACTTTACCAAGCGTAAATCGTCGTGCACTACGTCCCCCTTGAGCTGCATCAAGTACGAAGAGATGAATTATGCGGACTCCATATAGAGAACCGTAAGATAGACGTGCAGAGGCACAAGGAATTCGAACTTGGGTGTCGTGGTCCACAACTTGAAAGTGCCAGACATGCGCCCGTTCTCACGGTATTTCTTAGCGCTTGCATAGCAGTGGCATTTTGGCGCATCGTGGGAATTGTCTGGTTGCAGCTATTTGGACAGGACCCTAACGCCACAGGGGCTCCGGATGAAATATTGTCTCCGAGACCTCCGTTACAACGGGTCGGAACAAATGACGTCATTCCGTTCTGCACTCATCCGCAATTATATTGGCATCAACATCGTATAAAACGAAACTTGGCAAGCTGGTTATTACTACTTCAATATTGCACACTCTTGCTACAAGCCTTTATTTTTACTAATCTCACGAGCTCCCAAGTCAACAATGAATCAAGTCCACGACATCACCATAAAATTTATGGATTTCCCTGCCGAATTACTGTTGCATATTCTTGGTCACCTAGACGTCTACGATCTAGTCCGAGCACGCAAAGTACGTCTCTTTCAAAATGCCCAAATCGCTACTAATGCGGAATCTCCAGGTATGCAGTAATATTCGACAACTCATTGACTCTTCCTCGGAGCTTCAATACTTGATCGATGTTCGATACTTCAATGCAATTCCACCCTCGTTGCCTGGCTGCGACTTCGCCATTGCAACACGTCGCCAATTGCTTCAAAAAAGCGAAACTGCGTGGCAGAGAGCCGAATACTCTCAAAGAAATTCCACTACGATGTCTTACTCTCCCGACAACTACCGTTGGTCGTGTGGCATCCTTGGAATCCCAGCGAAATCTCTCGAACAACTCAAGTTCATCCAGCCCTCACTGTCAGATGACGACACCCACACCATCGACTTGCGACAACGCATTTGCAAAATCGACAACACAGCATTCGAGGGTTATAGTTTTTCGCCCACACAGGATCTTGTGGTTATCCTTTCCAGGGCAGCTCGTGGGTGAGTTTCTTGTTGCATATGAAGATGGGCTATATTGACCGCAACAGAGAGAGTCATGCATATGACGTCACTTTCAGATCATTGTCTGAGGACAAACCCCATCCTGATGCTGCATTCCCCCTCGTGAAAGCACTGGACAATCAAATCCATCCACAACTCTTTGACTCCCCCTACACGCAAACTATGATCTTCGGAGACTATTACGGCTTGTTCTGCAAATATGCTTGCAAAGTAGATGGTGAGCTGGTCGATTTTTTGCAAATTTGGAACTGGAAGTCCAAGGAAGCTTCTCAGGTGGGTCAAAGTCTCCTGTTTTGCTATGATTTACGACCGAGTTGGACTTGCAGTGCCTCCAAATCTTTGACGTGGATCGCGGAACGACGAATTTCAGTTTTTTAACGAACGATAGATTCCTCGTCGCCAGCGCGACGGAACTAATGCTGTTCTCCCTCGAGACTATCGATTCGGTCAATGCGATCCGGCTTGTTGCCAAATTCTCCTTCCCTGCATTGAGGGACCCCTTCATCTTTCACTACATCACCTTCAGTCCTATTCCTTTCCACGCCAGCACTCACAATCAACTCATCGCTATCAACATGTGCATGTCGGCGCCTACGACCACCAAATCTCCGTATTTCACCTTCTATATCGAGCGCAACACCCTCTTGGAGCTCGAATCTACCTACATCAGCTGTTATGGAGAAGCAAGCCAGGATTCTCCTAATTTGCCTTGGTCCGCCTGGGGCTCAAAGCACACCCGGTTCTTCGAGAACTCTAACAGCTCCTGCATACACCGCATCTTTGGATTCCGCAGTGCGGATTTGATTGGCGACCTTGTCTCTCGTGATGGGGTGCTACAGTCACGATCATTGCGCATCCGCGACTTTAATCCTCATAGGGTGACGGACTTCAAGGCTGGGAACATCACTACATCGCATCAACGACTTGTCGAAGGCGAATCACCAAATTCGACCCTTTTCCTGGATCCACTAGGGCCTGGTCTCCCATATATCGAGACGATTTCTCAGGAAAAGTTCCTTGCGAATGATATGACCGTGGAAGCAAACAGGATAACGTTGTTATCCCTCAAAGTGAGTCATCATCGGATACTTATTGTGGACATGGCACTTATTCAAACGCAGGGAAACAGTATGTATAATGTTTCACAGAGCATCGAAATACTTGATTTCGAGTAATCATTTACCACACCGAAACTGTTCAAGATACTTCAGCATTTTAATACATCTGATTGATTCATACTCACTGGACTCTGTGAGATGCGCATCGTGTTGCTATCGCATCAACATTATCTCATCATCCTGGTCCTCATAGACTGTTTCATGTCAGTTTGACCTGACAAGAACGTGCTTGATTAATCGTCGAGTGCGTGTTTTTTATCACTCCAACTGGAACTTATACGCAAGAGTCACAGCCATGAGTGTACCCAAGGGGAGTCAAGGACGGTGATGGCTTGTGGCATGTTTGTCATCTGGTACCGCCGCGGCTGTATGTTATACTTGGTCCCGTTGGTCATCTCATAACACTTTTTGAAGATGGGAGCATCACATATGATATCTCAGCGTCACAGAACGTTATAGTCTCTAAGTGCTGTAGTATGATTGGGGTTGTGAGAAATCACCATATGAATAAGATTCCGTACATACGACACTCGCACTCTATACCAATCGCTTGGAGTCTTCTGAGTCGCTACTCGGGCTCTTGCTTTCGATGACCTCCTTGGTATCCTTTTGAATCACATCAACAACACTCTGCGCCTCCTTCTTCACTTCCTGTGCCCATCCCATAGCTTTTAGGTTAAGCCCCGTCCCTTGTTCAATGCTCTCCACAATACTCTTCACACCTTTATTAACCGAGTCTCGTCCAACAGCAGCACTTTCTTTTGCGCGCTCCCAGGCTATGCCGCTGTGTGCAATAGAGGTTCTTCTAATTTCTCCAAAGCGAGGAACATACCGATCTTCGAGCTCCCTGCCATACGCACCGACCCGAGAAGCGGTACCGGGAAGGAAATATGCGAATGCGCCGATTAGGGCTGTGGGGGGGAGAAGGATACGTGTAGGGAGTCCGCGCGAGCGAGTGAGGACCGACATCGTTAGGGCAGAAATTCCGGTATAGAGCAGTCCGGGATTTAAGGGCTCTGTAGGATCACGGAAGGATTTTATGCGAGCTGTTCGCGGTTCAATGGTCAACGAGCGCGTAGTAGTCGACAAGGCGACATGACTCACTCTCCACCTTCTCTTCAACAGAGATCCACCGGTCTATGATACCTTGCGCTTTGGAGTGGACGCCGGTATAATAACCCGTGATCCCCCACCACACCATTCCGATTCGCTTCTCTCATGCTGACGGGGTGTCGAGTAGAATGAGTTCGGGTATGGGTGTAGGGTATATGGAGAGCTATACGACGTTAGTAATTCAGATAACGACATGTTGTAGGAGAAGTAGATACCTGTCTTTTCGACCAGCACATTACAATGAAAACACCTCCAAAATCTTGGATCGTCCCCATAGTACGTCACGTTAGTTATCATGAGTCTATCTGCTTCATGAATGGTGCTCGTAGTACTAAATCGTCACGGTATGTTCGATGGACGAGCCATCGCAGATCAACAACTTGTAAATGTGTACCAGGCGATAGCAATACGACGTACATAGAACTACACACCAATATGAACGAAACCCATCTTCTGCTCCAACGGAACTTTCATCTTCGTGGCGTGCGTAGCACGGTTCAGCGCCCAGGCCGCCTTCGTACAGTCCATCACACCTCCATCCTTCAAATCTTGGAACATATTCTCATAGAAGGCTTTGACGACGCGTTTTGCGACAGAGTCGTCCACCTGCCACAGCGTCCCAATAACGCTCTTGAACCCTGAAAACTGGAGACCAGCTGCGAGGTGAATCATTTCGTCGGGTGTCTCCTCATCGCCCACAGCGGTATGACATGCTGATAAGAACGCGAACTCGGCCTGCGGAATATCTCTCTCCATGATATCGAGCAGCGTCAGATGTTCATCTTTCATGACGAAATGCGAATTGTAAGGCTGCTTTGGGTCCTGCTTTCCATGACAAGCTAGGTGCACCCAGGTGTTCTGCTGCAAAGCTTCGAGCGCACCTGCTCGTGTAGCTGTGTCGCCAGAAATAGTAGTGTGTTTGGCCGTCGCAGGGACAAGTTTATGGACAAGCTCGAGTTCGCTGTCCACAGCCAAGAGCGCCTTGCCTTTCCCTGCACCCGGTTGACCCTGTCCGATTGTCACGAAGGATGGAGTGACGCGCTTCTTCATCATCTGTCTGGATCTGACCAGAGCCGAAAGTGTGGGCGTGTAAGAGCAGATATAGAGATCCTCCAGGCATGGCTCCCTAGAGCCATCTGGGTTGGTTTGAAACGGGTGAGCTGCGTGGAGAGGAATGGACGTGAAAACTGCAGTGGGACACAGCCAGATTCGAGAGTGGTATTTTAGTTTCAGATTATGCCGGAGGACGTTGACGATGGGTAGCATGATCTCGTCCCATACTGTCCGCAAGAGGATTATTAGATCGTTTCGCGGCACGTTTGGGCCCAGAGTAGATGCGTGTCGTATTGCCCTGACGATGCGGTCCTTGAGAATGGTCAGATCTGCGAGAGTGACAGATGGTAAGGGAACATGATGGGGGTCTCCTGATGGCGAAACGATGATGGCGCTGCATGAGTATTGACTAGCAATGAAGATGATAACCGGGCCCTGACGGGCTGCCGCTTGCAGGTCTGAGTATGAAGGTGGGAGCAGGAACCGCGAGAACCCCGGAAGATCACGTATCTCAGCGACAGCAGCTTCCCATTGCCTTGTAAGTCTCCTGTACTCTGTCGCCGCCCGATCAGCAGCAGCTCTGTCGCTGATTGTTGTAGAACTCTGTGCGGCATCGGAAACGCGCTTGCTCAGCTCCAAATAATTATGCGCCAGTGCCGGATTTGCTGACTCAAGGTCTTCAATTGGCGTCCTGAGTCTGGAGGCCAGCGACCATTGCTGGCCACGGCCCTGCTCTGCGAGTTTGACTGCACGTGGTAGATTGTCACAGCGGATGGCGCATGATGCTGCATCTGCTGGGAGCGTTCTGGCGTAATGGAAGGCAGCAGCAGCTTCGCGCCGTGAAGTTGCCGAAGACCGTGTGGCCAAATGAACATCCAGAAGCTCAAAAAATGTTGAGTAGGCTTCCAGCACGGATCCATGACCATGCTGCTCCGCTGCAACGGTCCAATTAAATGCGCCAATGATGCGTTCTGGGAACCCTTGAGTAGGATGTCTTGATGCGAGTCTGAAGTTCTCCATTGCAAGCGACAAATCAGCAAGATCATGTAAAATCTGGTAACGAGACAGATAGGCTTCCTGCAGGCACATATAGCTTAAGTGCCTGTCCGGGTGCAGTAAAGGCAGAGCTGCCAATGGTTCTTGGCCAAGAGCAATGGCCTCCTCAACATCTTCATTCTTCTGAGTTTGCTTGAAACGAGAGCAGAGCGCTGAGCTCAGATTGGAAAGAGTTACATGACGCCCTGGGTGGCCAAGCCGCTTTAACCGAAGGGATTTACGATACCAAACAATGGCCTCGTTAAGATCCTCGCTCACTTGTGATTCGTCATATCTGTGTTGGAGCAAGAGCGCAAGGTTGTTAAGCGTGGTGTCACGACATTGATGCCCATACGGGCACAACGTCAGTATCTCACGATAGAGGCTGATAGTTCGGGTCGTGTCTTCAATGTCGCCGCGTTTCTTGAAACGGTCGCCCCCTAGGTTGTCTAATGAGTAATTACGATGCCGCAGTGTTTCATCGTGCAAACAGGTGGCCTCATCGAGATCACTAGTATTGCCTTGGTGCTTAAAGCGGGACATGAGTGAATGAGCCAAGTTGTTTAGGTAGGTATCACGATCAGCATGTCCCTCGGGACACAGAGACACGGCTTCGCGATGAAGCTGTATGCTCGTGTCAAGATCATCGATGCTGCCGTGCTGATCAAAACGTGCTCTGACTGCTCGTGCTAGCTTGTCAAGGGTGATGGGACGAAGTCGATGGCCCAGAGGACAGAGGTCGAGGATGACTCTTTGAAGGTGGATGCCTTCATCGGATGCGTCTGTTGGAAGATCGTTGCATCCGCCGATCACATAATCAACCCCATTTTTCCCTGCCGCAATCCTACGAAGGTACGTGCCCTCTTGACAGAGAGGGAGTAGCTCATGATAGAGTTGGGCGGCTTCGCAGATGTCTGCAGCAGTACTTTTCCTGGAGTGGCGCCAAGCTAGCGCTTGGGTGAGATTATATAGTGACAAGGGATGATCGGGATGGTGCTGCGGACGCAATGCAAGGGCATCGCGGAAGAGGGAAGTTGCAGTATCAATGTCTTGAACATCATTTCGGATGTAGCCCTTAAGGCGAACCCACGCGAGATTGGTGAGAGCCGTTGCGTGGTCTGGATGGCCGACCGGACACTCGTTCAGAACCAACTGAAAATGCTCCATAGCATCGTTCAAGTCAGAGACATTCTCGCTTTTCATGTATGAGGCAAATTGTGCGTGGCCCGCATCTGCGTCTCGAGCAATCTCGCAGTCTATGAGGGGCTATAGTTGGCGTTCCGTCAGCAAAGCTAACAGGACAGAGTCCAGGGTCACTCACATCAAACAGTGCGTCATTTTGATCGTCCCAAGCATGTACAACAGCAACCTTCAGTGTGATAGAAGGTTTGACACCGCGCACGGCTCGGAACGATAGATCTACGAGATGTCGGTGTATGTGCATGAATGAGAAGCGAATGACTCACCAAATGGGTGATCTCCATGATCGAGTAGCTCATCCCACGACATTTGAAGTTTCCCGATGACCTCTCCACCGCCTAGCATTCGACCAAGCTCATAGGATGCCCTGATCTCCATCGACAATGCAGGCGAGGCATTTGATGATCTATACACCAATGATCAGTTCTCACATCACGTCAGAAAATGTCCATGGACGTTACAGAGTTACAGTATCCCCCCACGCTACAGATTCATCAGATAACAGGACACTGATGGCCGATTTCCAGCGTCTCCTCGAGTCGACATTGATGGACACGTAAATGCCAGCGGGAACGCGCTCGGACGGGACTTGAAGATTCTTTCCGCTGATGACTATAGATAGAGTGTGAGGATCACGAAACAGATACGAAGATAGTATGGAGAGACTCGCCTTCAAGTCTGATATATCGGCCTTCTGAGCTGCCAGGCATGATGTTGCGATGGAGCAAAATGACGAGGATCGATGATGGGTAGAGTGGTGGAAGGAATGAATGGGAAGGGAAGATGGGGATAATAATATGGGGACTGCAGAGATTCGGGTGCAGAGAATGACATAGCTAGGGCGTCAAAAATAAGGTTGGCGGTGAGAGGGTGGTCCGGTTGTACTTTTTCGAGCCTCAGAAGTTCATTCAAAATGTTCCCACACGCCCTGGACTTATTCACAATTTTCAACAGGCCTCCAGACACGACGACTTTTCAACAGTGTTATTAACAGTTATTAACAGGTATTATAAACAGCTGTTGAAAAATATCGACTTTTCAACCGTACCCTAAAGCGTTCAGGTCACGCTGCACGTGTATTTTCATATTGTCGGTGGATGTTCGGCACGATAGACGCTGATATGATTGCACAAGCTCTGGGAATGGAGATCACCGACAACTTGAAGGACTAGCAGAAGAATCTGTGCTAAAGTAGAGAATGACATGAACAGTTTGTGGCAGACGTGGTCTGCCAACATTGAAAGGGACATGCGAGTCTCAGAGTACTTGATAGTGTCTTGTAATTTAAAAGAGTCCAAAAGAGACTACACGGACCACCAACAACGCCGAATAAGTCACACAGATAAGACGTTACACCGCACGGTCTGCAGGTAACATGTCAGACATGGAAATACATACGAGGGCATCAGGGTTGTGCGCGTGCCAGTAGTCATGCCAGAGATGGAGGTGCATGCGCGTGGCGAGTATTGCAAGGATAAAGACCTGAAAACTACAGGGTTTGGGGGTGTTGTAAGTAGGAATTCTCAACAGAAGTTGGAAGTGCGTACCGTTCGAGGAAGTTTGCGGACTGAGTGTGCAGAACATCAACGGTTTAATCATATTGAAGGTTATATGGTTCACTCACAACATAGGAAAACAGCACTGGCGTGAGGACGTTCATGGCTGAGAGAACTTTCGGAACAACAATCATCACTGATAAGCACAGAAACATATCCAAACCCTGACTCACACAAACTGCATGCGTAGTAAAACATATTGTGCTTCACCAGGATGGCGCCCAGAGGGCCCCTGGCTGTCCGCCAGCTCTGTATGACCCGTATGAGTGCGAGGAAGAACAATCCTGGGGAGAGCGCTGGTCAGTGCATGTCTGTAATGTATGTTTCCAGTTCCGGGAGACATACCTAGTGCAAATACAAACGAGGGAAGAAATGGCATGGAGAAATAAATAATGCGCATGTTCCAGGAGCAGCCTACGGTTCCTGAGATCGTGCTAGTCGTAGCTGTGAAAGTGAAGTGAACATGGGCGAATAGTAGTGGGCGAAGGTGAGAGCACAAACCATCAGAAGTGGCAAACCAAAAGCCGATGAATGATACAGTGATAGCCTGAGTGATCCATCAACATTGCAAGGTGTGGTCAAGGTAGCATGTGACTCACAAAGAGGGCGGACAGCATGGCTACGAGTACAATTCGATTGTTGTTCCAAAGCGCATATGTTCTGAGTATAAAAATACCTGAATGAATCAGACAACGAGCACGTGCATGTCGGAGGGGAAAGGGAGATACATTCAGAGAAAGTGAGTGATACCACCCCAAGACCTGTTAGAGGAGCTCGGCAAGGAAGCGCAGGCAACATATACCGTGCACGCACATGAGTAAATATTCATCAACATCCAGCATTTCTGGCGAATTCACGCAGTCAGCGTCATTCACCAGCGGGCAAGTCCGCCGCACGCTCACAGCATCAGCATCCTTGTTTGGGGCGAAGATCACTGAAGGATAACATGTCAGTTTATTATCGTTGGGATGTGTGATACTGCTTGAAATCAACGCACTATATAGGTCCGCAGCGACGAGGGAAAAGGGGACGTATCGTGCAATGATATAAAGAGCTTTGACCTTAGTCCAACGCGACCGAAGTAGGAATGTCCACTTTGAACAGCGTATCAGTACTCGAAGCGAGGCGCATAGCGAGACAAGTGCATGACTTACCTCTTCCTGAAGTGAACTAATGTAATCGTAGGTCTGTATAAACAGGATCAACGGCAGATGGGAATGGATTGGAACAAGCCCACCCAAATTGTAACCAGCGTAACTGAGTTGTTAAGTTAGAACGAAGGGAGAGAGAAGCAGTTCAGACCGCACGCACCGCATGTATACTGGTGGTCGGGCATGATGAGTATCTGTTAATATCTTGCCCTCGTATTACGACGTACTGCCAAGTAATGCAAATTCCAGGCCATTGCGACTTGGATATCATCGATGTCATCAGCCGAAGGCTCCATCTGCTCTCGTTCGAGTGGCAAAGAAATAGGTTTCGCGCATACATGATTCAGCTTTTCTTATCTCTGTGAATGAGCCTGAGAACATGGCCATTAGTTAGACCTAGTCCTATATATGATTAGATTTGATCGACACAAAGTTGAGTTGAACGCTCGCATGTGCCCATTATGTCGGTCCTTGATTCCTGTTTTTGAAGTTTGAAACACCATCAGTCCTTGAAAAACACAGCCACCTTGGAGGCTTTCAATGATCAACCCGGCCACCTGATTTATATTAAACCACCTCAATGACTCAAGTCGTGCCATATGTCCCTTGGTATCGTCCACTACTATGAGACTTTCTCAGGTTTCTGACAACTTGAAAGCTTTATGGTATCAAACCATATGCATATCCCTTGTTCTCGGTTCGATTAGGAGGATGGAGTCTTTGAAAGAGATGAGTGAATGAGAAGGAATGAATATTTCATGATACGCCAGAAGATCAGCGCTAGCCTTGGCTGCGAGACGCGACCTTTGGCAGAGTTTAGGTCACGAGATATACTGTTTGCGCACACATATGTCAGATGATGTTCGTTATCTGGGTATTGTGTTAGCGCACCATTAATCTTGCTTTTAGAAGTTCCAATATTGTGCTTGGCAGGGTTTGAGAACGAGGAGCCTGTAATCGCGGCCTAGAGAGTTATTCTTGCTTGGTACCATAACATGTAAGTATCGGAAATAATAGACGAATCAAAGTGCTTACAGTAGTACGTAAAATGAGCGACTGCAAAATTATGTGCCAAATATGGAAATATCGGAACTATGCTTGCAAGGTTGCAAGTCACCGATTGCAACAGTCCGCTCAGCCAGCAACGTTCAACACTTGGTTGAACCAGAACATTCACATGCATACCAGAGGTGCACATGGTCACAGTCTGGACTCTGGCATTGCGGGCCTCGATATATACAAAATTCTGGCAGCCGTCGCACAGGCTACCACCTACCACGCACAGTATGTAAATTTTCTCGCCTATCTCAGGCTTTTGCTCAATTTTTGCCAAGTTGAAGTTCAATTGACGGTATGTACTATGTAAGCCATTGTACAATACCGCAGAAACCGCCCCTTCGAATTGGACATCGCTCTGGCAACAAATGGATAGGCGCTGTTGACGTCGTTTCATGACAGCCGGCGGCTGAGTTGGATGTCTTCCTACAAATATAGCCTCGACTGTGGCATGCAATCCTCAGGACAGGAGGACAGGTTTACATGTTGGGCTCCTGTGAGCGCGGCTACGTGTCATCTCACGCTTACCAAACGCGTCTGTCTTTTCAATCAGCACTTTACAACGAAAACACTTCCAAAGTCTTTGATCGTCCCCATAGTACGTCACATTAGTTATCATGAGTCTATCTGCTTCATGAACGGTGCTCGTAGTACTACATCGTCACGGTATGTTCGATGGACGAGTCAAGGGACACGTCAACTCCCGGCAGTCAGGACAATCTGACTCAGTAACTCCGGTTACAGGCCATTCCAGCTTATCGGCAATTTTAGACCTTGGTCGCAAACATATCATTAGCGAGTCATCCACACCACGATGGGCTAATTTGAGGACGCTGTGGCGTTATCTACACTCTCAATTTCTTTTACCCGGGTATCTTAGTGAAGAAGGACAACCCCCTGACTCACGCTTCACAGCAATCCATGGACGAAGAAGCTAGTTCAACCAAGACCTAAAACATTGAGTGCTCTTGAATTTTACTATGAAGAGATGATGGATCATCATATTTATGAGTAGAGCAGTTGTCAGGACGTTCTTCTATACTACTTCCACTCAAGTATCTACTTAGCAGCTTGTGCGATTGTCGAACATCTCTGGCGATGTTATCATAACGCCTGTTTTCTGTTTCCTGCCAGCTGCCATACCGGTGACCCCCATTCTTTCACGTAAGATTCCACGGTGCAGGAAGACTTAACGCTGAAAACTTGAAGGATACCCGGTATGACTAGTACTTAGGCTCGACTGGTCTAATTAATTTCCTACTATCTAAGTACCCAAGCTGAGTCAAGCAGAAGACGAGGCGGTAAACGAGTCGAGTACACAAGAACTTTAGTGAACATTCTATTCGACGAAAACACGACAAAGTATACAAAAATAAGATAGCTGGAGTGCAAGAATATATCATTTTCACAACAGATCGCAGATCGACAATGTGTAAATATGTACCAGGCGATAGGAATCCGACAGAACTACACACCAATATGAACGAAAACCATCCTCTGCTCCAGCGGCACTGCCGTCTTCACAGCGTGCGTGGCACGGTTCAGTGCCCAGGCCGCCCTCGTACAGTCCATCACACCTCCATCCTTCAAATCTGGGAACATGTTCTCATAGAAGGCTTTGACGACATGTTTTGCGACAGAGTCGTCGACCTGCCACAGCGTCCCAATGACGCTCTTGAACCCTGAAAACTGAAGACCAGCTGCGAGGTGAATCACTTCGTCAGGAGTCTCCTCATCTCCGACGGCGGTATGACAAGCTGATAAAAACGCGAACTCGGCGTGTGGAATATCTCTCTCAATGATATTGAGCAGTGTTAGATCTTCGTCTCTCATGACGAAATGTGAATTGTAAGGCTGCTTTGGGTCCTGCTTGCCATGGCAAGCTAGGTGCACCCAGGTGTTCTGCTGCAAAGCTTCGAGCGCACCTGCTCGTGTGGCTGCGTCCCCAGAAATACTAGTGTGTCTTGCAATTGCAGGGACAAGCTTATGGACAAGCTCAAGCTCGCTGTCGACGGCCTTGAGTGCCTTGCCTTTCCCTGCACCCGGTTGACCTTGTCCGATTGTCGCGAAGGATGGAGTGACACGCTTCTTCATCATCTGTCTGGATCTGACCAGAGCCGAAAGTGTGGGCGTATAAGAGCAGATGTAGAGATCCTCCAGGCATTGCTCCCTAGAGCTATCTTGGTTCGTTCGAAACGGGTGAGCTGCATGGAGAGGAATAGATGTGAAGGCTGCAGTTGGACACAGCCAGATTCGACAGTATTTTAGTTTTAGATCATGCCGGAGGACGTTGACGATGGGTAGCATGATATCATCCCATACTGTCCGCAAGAGGACTATTAGATCGTTTCGCGGCACTTTGGGTCCGAGGGTAGATGCATGTCGAATTGCCCTGGCGACGCGATCCTTGAGATTGGTCAAATCTGTGAGAGTGACAGATGGCAAGGGAACATGATGGGGGTCTCCTGATGTCGGGACGATGATGGCGCTACATGAGTATTGACTGGCAATGAGGATGATGACTGGGCCCTGGCGCGCTGCCGCTTGCAGGTCTGAGTATGAAGGTGGGAGTAGGAACCGCGAGAACGCCGGAAGATGACGTATCTCAGCTACTGCAGCTTCCCATTGCCTTGTAAGTCTCCTGTACTCTATCGCTGCACGATCAGCAGCAGCTCTGTCGGTGATTGTTGCAGAACTCTGGGCTGCATTGGAGATGCTCTTGCTTAGCTCCAAATAATTGTGCGCCAGTGCCGGATTTGCTGACTCGAGATCTTCAACTGGATTCCTGAGTCGAGATGCCAGCGACCACTGCTGGCCGCGACCTTGCTCTGCGAGTTCGACTGCGTGTCGTAGATTGTCACGACGTATGGCGCACGAGGCTGCATCTACAGGAAGTGATTGTGCACCACCGACAGCGGTTGCAGCTTCACGCCGTGAGATGATCGACGATCGTGTCATCACATGGCTGTCGAAAAGCTCAAAGCACACTTGGTATGCTTCTAGGGCAGATTCATGTTGATAGACTTCTGCTTGGCGAGCCCAGTCAATAGCTTCCGCGATGCGTTGCGGAAATCCTTGAGTAGGGTGCCTTGACGCCAGTCTGAAGTTCTCTACTGCAAGCAACAAATCAGCAGGGTCGTGTAAAATCTGGTAACGAGACAGATAGGCTCCCTGCAGCCGCATATAGCCAAAGTGCCTGGCCGGATGCAGTGAAGACAGAGCCGCGAATGATTCTTGGCAAAGAGCAATGGCCTCCTCAATATCTTCATTCTCCCGAGTTTGCATGAAACGAGAGCAGAGCGCCGAGCTCAAATTGTAAAGAGTTCTATGGCGCTCTGGATGGTCAAGCCCATTTAACATCAGGGATCCACGATACAAATCAATGGCCTCGTTGAGATCCTCGCTGACTTGCGATTTGTCATATCTAGTTTTGAGCGCGAGGGCAAGGTTGTGAAGCGTGGTGTCACGACATAGATGCCCAGGTGGGCGCAACGTCAGTGCCTCGCGATATAGGGTGATGGCTCGGGTCATATCTCTGATGTCGCCGCGTTTCTTGTAACGGTTGACAAGGGCGGCCCCTAGGTTGCCCAATGAGTAATCACGAAATTCGTGCGCAATAGGGCACAGGTGCAGCGCTGCTTCATGCAGAGAGATGGCCTCATCGAGGTCATCAGGATTGCCTTGGTGCTGAGAGCGGAACACAAGTGAAAAGGCCAAGTTGTTCAGGTAGGCCTCACGGTCAGCATGTCCCTCGGGACACAGAGACACAGCTTCACGACCAAGCTGTATGCTCGTGTCAAGATCATCGATGCTGCCGTGCTGATCAAATCGTGCTTCAACTGCATGTGCAAGCATGTCGAGGGTTCTGGGACGAAGTCGATGGCCTAGAGGACAGAGCTCGAGCACGACTCTTCGAAGGTGGATGCCTTCATCGGATGCGTCTGTTGGAAGACCGTTGCATCCGACAATCACATAATCAACACCATTTTCCCCTGCCGCGATGCTACGAAGGTACGTGCCCTCTGGACAGAGGGGCAATAGCTCATGATAGAGTTGGGCAGCTTCGTGGATGTCGCCAGCAGTACCATTCTTGTCGTGACGCCAATTCAGCGCTTCGGTGAGATTATATAGGGATAAGGGATGATCGGGATGGTGCTGCGGACGCAATGCAAGCGCGTCGCGGAAGAGGGAAGTGGTAGTATCAATGTCTTCGACATCATTTTGGATGTAGCCTTGAAGGCAGGCCCACGCGAGGTTGGTGAGAGCCGTTGCGCGGTCTGGATGGCCGACCGGACACTGGTTCAGAACCAACTGAAAATGATCCATAGCATCGTTCAAGTCAGAGACATTCTCGTTATTCATGTATGAGGCGAATCGTGCGTGACCCGCATCTGCGTCTCGAGCAATCTCACAGTCTACGAGGGGCTATAGTTCCGTCAGCAAAGCTAACAGGACAGAGTCAGCGGTCGCTCACATCAACCAGTGCGGCATTTTGATCGTCTGAAGCATGTACAACAGCAACCTTCAGTGTGATGGAAGGTTGAACACCGCGCACGGCTGGGAACGATAGATCTACGAGATGTCAGTGTATGTGCATGAATGAGAAGCGAATCACTCACCAAATGGGTGATCCCCATGATCGAGTAGCTCATCCCACGACATTTGAAGTTCCCCAATGACCTCTCCACCGCCTAGCATTCGACCAAGCTCATAGGACGCCCTGATCTCCACTGACAATGCAGGCGAGGCATTTGATGGTCTATAAACCAAGGATCAGTTCTCGCATCACGTCAGAAGATCTCCATGGACTTTACAGAGTGACAGTATCACCCCACGCTACAGATTCATCAGATGATAGGACACTGATGGCCGATTTCCAGCATCTTCTTGAGTCGACATTGATGGACACGTAAATGCCAGTGGGAATGCGCCAGGAGGGGACTAGAATATTCTTTCCGCGGATGACTGTAGATAGAGTGTGAGGATTACGAAAGAGATACGAAGATAATATGGAGAGACTCGCCTTCAAGTTTGATATGTCGACTCTCTGAGCTACCAGGCATGATGTTGCGATGGAGCAAAATGATGAGGATCGAGGATGGGTAGAGTGGTGGACAGGATGAATGGGAAGGAAAGATGGGAGTAATGATATGGGGACTGCGGATAGAATTCGGCTTAGTGGGAGATTGAGACCTAGGGGTCACGCTGCACGCGTATTTCCGTATTGTCGGTGGATGTTCGGCACGATAGACGCTGATATGATCGCACAAGCGCTGGGAATGGAGATCACCGACAAGGACTAGCAGAAGAATCTGTGCTAAAGTAGAGAATGGCATGAACAGTTCGCGGCGAAAGTGGTCTGCCAACATTGAAAGGGACATGCGAGTGACGAGTCTCAGAGTGATTGCTGCTCCTGGACTTGTATCATACTACTCAGTTAGCACGCGGAGGCAAAATGTAGAATTGAGTATATTTCGTGAGGTAATGACAGAGGCAAAAAATGTCTACATCGCTGAAGATGGTGCGCAAGAAAAAGACGAATGATTACATACGACTGGTCCAATTGAGCTGACGGTGCCATGGGGGAAGGATGATCTTGCCTGCAGCGACTCGCGAGAAATAAGAAAGAATAAGGCGAGAAAGCAACCAATTATATTCTCGTTCAGTGATTGATGATCGACGAACGATTGAGAAAGCTGTGACAGCTACCGGATTCACTCACCGCCGAGTAATAAGAAACTGAACCCTGCGGAAAAGGAATATCCATTATAGGTGGCACTGCATGAATAGGCTGGCAGGTACATAGTGTAGGGAAGCCTCGAAGGTGACAGTACCATACCTTGGCCAAGGACATGGTTGTTGACATTAGTGCGACTTGAGGCTGCAAAATGGCAGATGTTACAGGAGCGGACCATTATGGGGAGCTTCGACGAGAGGGATGGGTTGTATTCGAGGTAAGGGTGATGTCAATGGAACAAAGTGGAGAGTGACTGTCGAGTCAATAGTGAAAGAAACAGCGTGAAGAGGGAATCACCAGCGAGGAGATGGACATGGACTCCAATCATGTGAATGATGGAGGTGGTGCGGACAGCTACTTTACTGAGCGTAAATCGTCGTGCACTAAGTCCCCATCAAGTACGAAGAGATGAATTATGATTTATATTCGGACTCCACAGAGAGAACCGTAAGATAGACGTGCAGAGGCACAAGGAACTTGCGAGACCGTGGTCCATAGAATTGCAACATGCCGGCATTATGCGGCATCCTGTTCTCACGGTGTTTCTTAGCCCTTTCCTCCACTTACATACGGTCTTTCAGAATTTCAGACCGGCGGTTTCTGTTGATGATGGTAATTGATCATTCTATAGCATAGCGGCATCACGCAAATCCTACCATTATAGTCAGTCTCCACTTGGCTCATGTATTACTATGAAATTTTAGTATCGTTCTATGGCATACTAATCACACAAATCCAGTGTACCTTACAAGCCACGGCCGACAACCTCCCCAATCTAATCGGCCATCTACGCTATGCACAGTACTTGTCTCCTCCGAAGCTCAGGCTCCATCTTGGACAATGTGCGCATCGAGGGTGTCATGTCACTGATAGTCCAAACTGACATCCCCTCTCGCTCAGTATCTCCAGCCACGTCCTCCCACTCGCTGTATCCACTCTCTCCTGCATCGATTCGCCATCCGCTCTTGCCCACTCTTGATGTCCAGCAATTGTCGCCCGCTCTCGGTGTCCAGCCACTCGTTTATGCGTTTGCAGCTACTCACCCACCGGGTCTGTCAGTTAGTGCTGGTCTGATGCTGCTAGTGTTCAATTATTGATCTAGTGCAGGTACCATCGTCTTTTGTTGTTGATCCTACATATCACCCTTCCTCCTGGGATATCATTTGCTTGATTATACAAGCCCGCTGCGCATGCTGCCAACACGAAGACAAGCGCTTCGATGGTATGTACTCCATCCCATCATTTTCATCTGTCATTCACATAATCGACAGGGCGCGAACATTATGCTAGGAGGAATTGTTATACGTGAAGAGTGATCCTGTGTCTTTTTCTCATTGAAATTCACAACCTTTGCTTTCCAGTTGCAGTATTGGTCTATGTCGCTTTGGCGGTTGAGACTCTTGCGTTTGCAATATAATGTACCCTTCCGCTATGTTGAACAGCCTCGCATATCGGAGAAAGCCCGAGGCCAACGTGCTGTGAGTCAGAACTTTCAACTCATGCTTTGTGGCATAGCGTTCTGCACCCTTTGCATCTTCATTTGGTCAGTGTTCAACGTACTCTGTTATCAGCCGTTACCATGTACTCAAATCCGTCCTCACATCGGGGCACCGTACTGTGGAGCTCGCCAATGGATGGGCTGGGCTAGTAATTACGACAGAGAGTTCCTTTGGTGCGTTGTCGCTATCTTTGCCAGGAATACGCTGACAATGCTCTGTATTGGGTAGACTAACTCAATGGTGCCATAGTTACTCTCGCTACTTACGCTCTCAGTCCCTTTCACCTGGGTATCTTGGTGAAGAAAGATAATCCCATGCTCACGCTTTACAGCAAGCCATCGACGAAGCTAGTGCGATCTAGATTTGAAAAATTTATCACTCTTGTATTTTCCTACGAAGATACGAAGGACCGTCACATTTACTAGTAGAGCAGCTGTTAGGACCTTCCTCTACACTACTTCCACTCAAGTATCTACTTACCAGCGTGTGCGATTGTCAGACATCTCTGGCACATCTCAGTATGTTATAATAACGCCTGTTTTCTGTTTGCTATTTCCTGACTCCCATCTTCTCACTAAAGAATTGGATTGATTATCCTTGGGAAGAGCTCCTCACCTGCGTCGGAGCTCCCTCTGAACGATAGTTCCCTATGAGCAGACCCTGCTTATAACTTGGCACATGAAGTGGCATTGGTTGTGGTTAATCGAGCTTCCGTGGTGCACAACTCAACGCTTGAAACTTGAATAATCTAGTAGGCCTGACTGGCCCAAATCCCACCATCTAAATACACAAGCCTATCAAAGCCCACTCCAGAGCTATCAGAAGACAAGGCTGCAAACGAGTCGAGTATACAAGAACTTCGGTGAACAGATTCTAGTCGACAGCAATATAACAGAGCATACGAAAACGAGATAGGCTATAGTTAGAGTGCAAGAGTTTTTTACAACAGTAAGAAAGAGGATCGTAGATCGACAACTTGTGAATATGTACGAGACGACAGCAATACGACGTAGTAGGACTACACACCAATATGAACGAAAACCATCCTCTGCTCCAGCGGCACTGCCGTCTTCACAGCGTGCGTGGCACGGTTCAGTGCCCAGGCCGCCCTCGTACAGTCCATCACACCTCCATCCTTCAAATCTGGGAACATGTTCTCATAGAAGGCTTTGACGACGTGTTTGGCGACAGAGTCATCGACCTGCCACAGCGTCCCAATGACGCTCTTGAACCCTGAAAACTGAAGACCAGCTGCGAGGTGAATCACTTCGTCGGGAGTCTCCTCATCCCCGACGGCAGTATGACACGCCGATACCAAGGTAATATGGAGGGACTCGCCTTCCAAGTCTGATATATCGTTCTTCTAGGCTACTACGTGTGATTGTGGGACAAAACAAACGACGAATGGCATGCAGCATCGGAAATTGAGAGAGGTTCAGAATGAACAGTAGGAAAAGATGGACGGTAGATGGAATGAGTTAGACTGTGAATGGAATTCGGCTGAGAGGGCTGAGAGGGAGGGAGAGAAGGTTGAAGGTTCAGGCCATGCTGCACGTGTATTTCCATGTTGTTGAGGGCTGGAGTATGGTATGATTGCACAAGCGCTGGGAATGGAGATCACCGACCAGGATCAGCGGAAGAATGTCTGCCAAAGTAGAGAAGGTCATGAACAGTTTGCAGCGAAAGCGGCCTGCCAACGTTGAAAGGAACATGCGAGTCTCAGAATGATTGCTGCTCCTGGGCTTGCATCTTACTACTCAGTTAGCACACAAAGGCAAAATGTAGAATTGAATATATTTTATAAGGTACTGACAAAAGGAAACAATGTTTATACCGCTGAAGACGGCCGGAAAAGCAAAGTCGAATGATTCCATACAACTCGTCCGATTGAGCTGACAGCGCCATGAAGCGAGGGGGAGGGGGAGGGGGAGGGGGAGAATAATCTTGCCTACACTGAGGAATGAGAAAAGAATATGGAGTTCAAAAGCAAGGATGCAACCAACCGTATGCTCATTCGGTGAACAAACAAGGTGTTCAGCAAGTTGTGACGGCTGCCGGTTTCACCCATTGCTGAGAGATATACCCTGCAGGAAAGGAATGTCTACTACTGTATGTGGCACCGTTAGCTTGTTCAAAGTCACCGGAAAAACTTGGCCGAGGACATATGAGTGAAAATGAGTTCTCGCCGGTACACTTTCCGTCCGTTCCCACGGTCTCACCCAATCACGGCCAATCTACGGTATAGGTAATTTCAACCGATAATCACTTTCAATCCTCGAGTATTGACTTGGCTGTAGCCTAGTACCTCCCTAATAGCCCGACAATAATTATAGCTGCTCCCGTCGTCATTAACTTTCAAATTTACAAATATGTTCGACAAATCTCATCCTGCACACTGAAACGCATGCATGAATCGCTAGGTTGAAGAATTCGAAGGGCGAATCACATTCACCATCATCTGATGCTCTAGCGTTGGCACTGGCTGTCGTTGTGTCTGTTCCGAGTTTATTCTTGGTCTGAGAAGTGGGCGTTTCCTCAAGGGAATTGCTGGAATCTCAGAGACCAATCATTGCATATCAGTCTGCCCATTCCAATGTCATAGAGCTACCGCTTACCCGTCGACCGTCGAAGGGCTCGCAGATTGGTTGTTGCTCTCATCTCACCAGTGTACTCGTCTCCTCCAAGGCTCAGCGCTCAGACCCGATCTGGGATAATATGCGCTTCGAGGGTGTTATGTCAGTGATAGTCCAAACTGACACATCCTCTCGCTCAGTATCTCCAGGCACGTCCTCCCGCTCGCTGTATTCACTCGCTCCCGTACTGAGTCGCCATCTGCTCTTGCCACTCTTGGTGTCCAGCTATTGTCGCCCGCTCTCGGTGTCTGGCTATTCACTATGGGTCTGCAGATACTCGGCCACCTGGGTCTGTCAGTTATGTCAGTGTTGCTTTGATGCTACTAGCGCTCAGTTATTGACCTAGTGCAGGTACCATCGTTTCTTGTTCTTAATGCTGCTACATATCTCCCTTCTTCCTAGGATATCATTTGCTTGATTGTACAAGCTGTGGGAGCCGCATCCGCTGCCAACACGAAGACAAGCGCTTCGACGGTATGTACACCATTCCACATTTCATCTGTCATTCACATCATCGAGATAGAGTGCGAACATTATGCTAGGAGGAATTGCTGCTCAGCTTTACGGGTGAGTGGTCCCGTAATACTTGCCTCACTGAAATTCACGTCCTTCGCTTTCCAGTTGCAGTGGTGGTCTAAGCTACTTTGGCAGTCAAGACTCTTGCGTTTGAAATACAATATACCCTTCCGCTGTGTTGAACAGCCTCGCATATCGGAGAAAGCCTGAGGCCAACGTGCTGTGAGTAAGAGCTTGCAACTCATGTTTTGTGGCATGGCGTTCTGCACCCTTTGCATCTTCATTTGCTTAGTGTTCAACGTATCCCGTTATCAGCCGTTACCGTGTACTCAAATCCGTCCTTATATCGGGGTACCGTACTGTGGAGGTCGCCAATGGATGGGCTGGGCCACCGATTACGATAGAGGGCTACTTTAGTTCGTTGTCACTACGAAGAGACGATGGGCCATCACATTCAAGTTTACTAATAGAGCAGCTGTGAGGACTTTCCTCTACATTCTACACTGCTTTCACTCAAGTATCTACTTACTAGCGTGTGCGATTGTCGGACAGCTCTGGCACATCTTAGCATGTTATGATAACGCCTGTTTTATGTTTTCTGTATCCTGACTCCCATTCTCTCACTTTAAGAATTGATTATCCCTGAAAAGAGCGCCTCACCTGCGTCAAAGCTCCCTCTGGATGATATTAATAGTCCTCTATGGGCAGACCCAAACTTGACCCTGTGTATAAGACATTGATTGTGATTAATCGAGCTTCTGCGGTGCAGAACTGAACGCTTCAAACATGAAGAATCCCTGGTATAACTGATAAGCTTGACTGGCCCGAATCCCACTATCCAAGTACTTAAGTAGAAGACAAGGCTGCAAGCGAGTCGAGTACAAAGGACTTCGGATGAACATTCTAGTCGAAAATAACATAACATGGTATACGAAACGAGATAGGGTATAGCTAGAGTGCAAGAATATATCGGGCTCATTTTTTACAACAGTAAGAAAGAGGATCGCAGATCAACAACATACCACACGACAGGAATACGACGCAGTAGAACTACACACCAATATGAACGAAAACCATCCTCTGCTCTAGCGGCACTGTCGTCTTCACAGCGTGCGTAGCACGGTTCAGTGCCCAGGCCGCCTTCGTACAGTCCATCGCACCTCCATCCTTCAAATCTTCAAACATGTTCTCATAGAAGGCTTTGACGACGTGTTTTGCGACAGAGTCGTCGACCTGCCACAGCGTCCCAATGACGCTCTTGAACCCTAAAAACTGAAGACCAGCTGCGAGGTGAATCACTTCGTCGGGAGTCTCCTCATCCCCGACGGCAGTATGACACGCCGATAAGAACGCGAACTCAGCGTGTGGAATATCTCTCTCCATGATATCGAGCAGCGTCAGATCCTCGTCTTTCATGACGAAATGCGAATTGTAAGGTTGCTTTGGGTCCTGCTTGCCATGACAAGCTAGATGCACCCAGTTGTTCTGCTGCAAAGCTTCGAGTGCACCTGCTCGTGTGGCTGCGTCCCCGGAAATAGTGGTGTGTCTGGCTGTCGCAGGGACGAGCTTATGGACAAGCTCGAGCTCGCTGTCGACAGACAAGAGCGCCTTGCCTTTCCCTGCACCCGGTTGACCCTGTCCGATGGCTACAAAGGACGGAGGTATACGCTTCTTCATCAACTGTCTGGATCTGACCAGGGCCGAAAGTGTTGGCGTGTAAGAGCAGATGTAGAGATCCTCCAGGCATGGTAAACGATCTGGCTTTGTTTGAAAGGGGTGAGCTGCATGGAGAGGAATGGACGTGAAAGCTGCAGTTGGACACAGCCAGATTCGAGAGCGATGCTTTAGTTTGAGGACGTGCTCGAGTACTTTGACGATGGGTAGCATGATCTCGTCCCATAATATCCGCAGGAGAACTATTAGATCCGTCCTCGACTGCTTTGGAGTCATCTGAGTTGCGTCTCGTATTGCCCTGGCGAAGCGATCCTTGAGAATCTTCAGATCTGCGAGAGTAACAGGCAAAGGAACATAATGAGGGTTTCCTGATGTCGGGACGATGATGGCGCTGCATGAGTATTGGCTCGCAATGAGGATGATGACCGGGCCCTGGCGCGCTGCCACTTGCAGGTCTGCATACAGAGGTGGGAGCAGGAACCGCGAGAACCCCCGAAGATCACGTATCTTAGCTACGGCAGCCTCCCATTGCCTTGTAAGTCTCCTATACTCTGTTGCGGCCCGATCGACAGCAGCGCTGTCAGTGATGGTTGCAGAGCTCTGGGCCGCATTGGAAACGAGTTTGCTCAGCTCTAGATAATTGTGCGCCAGTGCCGGATTCGCTGACTCAAGGTCTTCAACTGGTGTCCTGAGTCGGGAGGCCAGCGACCATTGCTGGCCACGGCCCTGCTCCACGAGTTCAACTGCATGTGGTAGATTGTCACAGCGGATGGCACATGATGCTGCATCTGCTGGGAGTCTTCTGGCGCAATGGAAGGCAGCGGCAGCTTCGCGCCGTGAAGTTGCCGAAGACCGTGTGGCCAAATGAGCATCCAGAAGCTCAAAAAATGTCGAGTAGGCTTCCAGCGCGGATCCATGACCATGCTGCTCCGCTGCAACGGTCCAATCAAATGCGCGAAGGATGCGTCGTGGGAACCCTTGAGTAGAATGTCTTGATGCGAGTCTGGAATTCTCCACTGCAAGCGACAAATCAGCAGGGTCGTGTAGAATCCGGTAACGAGACAAATAGGCCTCCTGCAGCCACATGTAGCTGAAGTACCTGTCCGGGTGCAGTGAAGACAGAGCCGCCAATGACTCTTGGCAAAGAGCAATGGCCTCCTCAACATCTTCATTCTTCTGAGCTTGCGTGAAACGAGAGCAGAGCGCCGAGCTCAAATTGCAAAGATTTATATGGCGCTCTGGATGGCCAAGCCGCCTTATCCGAAGGGATTCTCGATACAAATCAATGGCCTCGTTGAGATCCTTGCTGACTTGCGATTTGCCATATCGGGTTTTGAGCGCGCGGGCAAGGTTGTGAAGTGTGGTGTCACGAGATGAATGTCCAGGTGGGTGCAACGTCAGGGCCTCCCGATAGAGGCTGATGGCTCGGGTCATGTCTTCAATATTGCCGCGTTTGTTGAAACGGTCGACGAGGGCGCCCCCTAGGTTGTCCAATGAGTAAGCACGAAATTCGTGCCCAACAGGGCGCAGGTGCAGCGCTTCTTCATACATAAAGGTGGCCTCATCGAGGTCATTAGGATTGCCTTGGTGCTTAAAGCGGGACATGAGTGAAAGGGCCAGGTTGTTCAGGCAGGCACCACGGTCAGCATGTCCCTCGGGACACAGAGACACGGCTTCACGACGAAGCTGTATGCACGTGTCAACGTCATCGATGCTGCCGTGCTGATCAAACCGTGCTTGAACTGCTCGTGCAAGCTCGTCGAGGGTTATGGGACGAAGTCGATGGCCCAGAGGACAGAGCTCTAGGACGACTCTTTGAAGGTGGATGCCTTCATCGGATGCGTCTGTTGGAAGATTGTTGCATCTGCCGATCACATAATCAACACCATTTTCCCCTGCCGCGATGCTACGAAGGTACGTGCCCTCTGGACAGAGAGGCAGTAGCTCATGATAGAGTTGGGCGGCTTCGCAGATGTCTGCAGCAGTACTTTTCCTGATGTAGCGCCAAGCCAGCGCTTCGGTGAGATTATATAGGGATAAGGGATGATCGAGATGGTGCTGCGGACGCAATGCAAGGGCGTCGCGGAAGAGGGAAGTGGTAGTATCAATGTCTTGAACATCGTTTCGGATGTAGCCTAAGAGGCGGGCCCACGCGAGGTTGGTGAGAGCCGTTGCGCGGTCTGGATGGCTGACCGGACACTGGTTCAGGACCAACTGAAAATGCTCCATAGCATCGTTCAAGTGAGAGACTGTCTTGCTCATCGCGTACGCAGCAAATCGTGCGTGGCCCGCATCTGTATCTCGAGCAATCTCGCAGTCTACGAGGGACTACAGTTGGCGTTCCGTCAGCAAAGCTAATAGGACGGAGTCTGGGGTCGCTCACATTAAACAGTCCGCCGTTTTGATTGTCCAAAGCATGTACGACAGCAACCTTCAGTGTGATGGAAGGTTGGACACCGCGCACGGCCCGGAACGACAAATCTACGAGATGTTAGCATATGTGCATGAATGAGAAGGGAATGACTCACCAAATGGGTGATCTCCATGATCGAGTAGCTCATCCCACGACATTTGAAGTCCCCCGATGACCTCTCCACCGCCTAGCATTCGACCAAGCTCATAGGAAGCCTTGATCTCTATCGACAACGCAGACGAGGCATTTGATGATCTATACACCAATGATCAGCTCTCGCATCACGTCAGAAGATCTCCATAGACGTTACAGAGTTACAGTATCCCCCCACGCTACAGATTCATCAGATGATAAGACACTAATGGCCGATTTCCAGCGTCTCCTCGAGTCGACATTGATGGACATGTAAATGCCAGCGGGAATGCGCCTGGAGGGGATTCGAATATTCTTTCCGCTGATGACTGTAGATAGAATGTGAGGATCACGAAAGAGATACGAAGATAATATGGAGACTCACCTTCAAGTTTGATATATCGACTTCCTGAGCTACCAGGCATGATGTTGGATGGAGCAAAATGATGAGGATCGAGGATGGGTAGAGTGGTGGGCGGGATGAATGGGAAGGGAAGATGGGAGTGATGATATGGGGACTGCAGATAGAGTTCGGCTGAGTGGGAGATTGAGGCCTAGGGTTCAGGTCACGCTGCACGTGTATCTCCGTGATGTTCGGCACAATAGACGCTGATATGATTGCACAAGCGCTGGGAATGGGGATCACTGACAAGGACTAGCAGAAGAATCTGTGCTAAAGTAGAGAATGACATGAAGAGTTCGCGGCGAAAGTGGTCTGCCAACATTGAAAGGAACATGCGAGTCTCAGAGTGATTGCTGCTCCTGGAAATGTATCATACTACTCAGTTAGCACGCAAAGGCAAAATGTAGGATTGAGTATATCTTGTGAGGTAACGACAAAGGTAAAAAATGTCTATATCGCTGAAAACGGCGCGCAAAGAAAAGTACATACGACTGGTCCAATTGAGCTGACAGTGCCATGGGGGAAGGAAGCGACTCGCGAGGAATAAGAAAGAATAAGGCGAGAATGCAACCATTGATTATATTCTCGTCCGGTGATTGATGCTTGACGAAGTATTGAGGAAGCTGTGACCGCTACCGGATTCACTCACCGCCGAGAGATAAGAAACTGAACCCTGCGGAAAAGGAATATCCATTACTGCATGGATAGGCTGGCAGGTCCATAGTGTAGGAAAGCCTTGAAGGTGACGGGACCATACTTTGGCCAAGGACATTTGTGCGGCTTGAGGGTACAGAATGGCAGAGGTTACAGGAGCGGACCATTGCAGTAAACGTCTGAATGTGGAGCTTCGACGAGAGGGAGGGGTTGTATTTGAGGCAAGGGTGGTGTCGATTGCACAAAGCGCAGAGTGACTGTCGAGTCAATGGTGAAAGAAACGGGATGAAGAGGGAATCACCAGATATGAGGCGTATCTCGTGGGAGATGGACGTGGACTGTAATGATATGAATAATTGGGAGGTGGTGCGGTCAAGTACGAAGAGATGAATATTTGATGATCTATAAATATTCGGACTGCATAGAGAGAACCGTAAGATAGACGTGCAGAATTCCAGAATATCAGGGAATTGGCAGACTCCGGGACCGTCCGGCTGGGTCCGGCTGGGTCCGTCCGGGTCCACCTGCGTCACTCAGTTGGCGTTCTGTATAATCATAATTATCGAGCTTTTACTTTCAAATCAAATTTGATTCACATTGGTGGCAACAGTAGAACAACATGACAGTGTTTAATCACTTGCTGCGCCATCTTGAACAAGAGCCAGGCACAATCAGTAACACCTCGCTCACTTCTCTTTTCCAGTTCATCACTCTTGCAACCCGGCTTAAAAACGACATCATCCTTGTGGAGCCTTCCTTGAGTCCAACTTCAGATCCACCATTTGTTCTATCACCTGCAGTCACTGTGTTTCTTAGCGCAGGCTGTTCAATCTCTCCAGCTGAAGTCAATGATGCGTGGTCCCTCCTCAAGGATGTCATTTGGAGTGGAGGGATCACTGTTGATGTGGGACGGCTATGGGAGACACATGGCACTCAAAGGGGTCTAGGTAAGTTCATTTGATTGTGTTGTCACCTCTGTTTCTTTATCTAACAATGGAATGGCCCCAGCTGAGTATCTGCTCTATCCTCCTAGCCACTCATGCCTTCATCCCGACTGCCAACATCGCACAAAGGGCATGACTCTCAAGAAGGCTGCTCAAACCTATGTGGTGTTGTTCACAATGACGAAAGGCCCATGCATTGCAAAATCCGTCCATCTCTACTGTCAAAGTAAGCACTTGCACTCCACACTCTTGCTTTGAGTCATTATTTTTGTCATTGACAAGGTCAACTAGCTTGTGGAATCGATTACCACCATAATTACAGCGTGTTTAAAGGAGAGCGCACCTATTACGAGCACCAACCAGATAGTGTTCAGGCTGCGGATCATGTGTTCATCGAGAAGAGTGTAATTGAGCTCTTTAGGACTGCAATGGATTTCTCATGGTGCGCTATATGCTATGCTCTTGATCTCTCCCATCTGACTATAAAACTTGGTTGCACCCAGGACTTCAGCTACGAACTGCGCAAAGTTGTATAACCTTTGCCTCTCACATGGTAAGCAGACACCTGCAGACTTTAAAGTCAAGTTTGAGCTTTCTGTCGAGCATGTTTGGGATGGTTATGTAATAACTTCACTGCTGGAGGACTGTGAGCGTCGCATGAACACCCTCGTTGCTCCCCACACTGGTGAACAGCGAGACCGATTCACGGAGGCCATGATCGCAAGGAACCGCCACATTCAGCTTTATGGCTATGAGCAGGTCCGTCGCCACTACTGCAATAGATGCACAAGCATGTATAAAGATGAGCAAGGTGTCGGTGAGTGTCATAGTTTTGAGGCTATGCGGGGCTAAGTCATAAAATATATACAGTCACGCATAAAGTGTCCGCTGTCGTCGTCGATGGTGTCACTGTCGGCCATCCATGCTGTGCGGTTTATAACTGCCACACCCCACTGTCTAACAACCACCATCACTTTTGTCATCTACACTCTGGTCAAAATGACAAGTGCGTGATCATCGGCTGTGACCTGCCCATTGTACGTGGCCGACGCACTTGCTCAACACTGGAACATCGTCAAGTCGAGGATACTCACGAGCTGCGTGGTCAATCCAGATTCCAGCTCCAGGAGCGCCTCGCTCGTGCCAGAACTACCATTGCCACCAACACATCTCTCACAGATGATCCACCAGATGAAGAAGAGTATGAGTTTAATGAGAATACCAGGAGAGCACTTCCTGCTACCAGTTCATCCCAGGACAGACCTGGAAGGAAGAAGTTCAGGGCAGTCTTTGGCCGCCGGCGCACACACAACGAGCAGTTGATTGTTGCTCCATGCGGTATGATTATTGCTCGAAGGACTTTCTTTGGAGCAGAGGGAGTAGCCAGTGTCAAGGTATGTATCGTCATTCCATGACCATTTCCTCAACTCATGATTATCTGCAGCAATTCATCAAAGAAGTCTATGCAGGCGAAGACGCTGTCAAGCCCAATCACATATTCTTCGACAACAACTGCACCCTTGCAAAACTTGCAATGGGCGATCCTTTCTTTGACAACATTGGCTTGTCCGTCGACGTTTTTCATTTCAAATGCAAGCATTCACAGACCGACACATTCTGCCAGGAGAATTGCAACCCAGAAGCATTCCCTGAGCTCCATAGGGATGATGGGAAGGGTTGGCGGTTCAATTCCTCCGTGGCAGAACAAACAAACAATTGGTTCGGCAAGTATCACCCCATCGCTCGTGAAATGCTAGCTCACAAATTCAACTTCTTTTGTGAGTTGATCTTACGGAGGAATCATCGGACAGAGGAGAAGCTGGGCAAGGATGGACACAACCCACGCATATGGCCATGTCAGCAGGTATTTGAGTAGCCAGTAACCATGAATACCCAAGGCTATATTATCTTGCATCCGTTGCTCTGCATCGTCGACATCATGCTTCGTAGGTTTAGCAGGACGCGAGCCACGACCTTTACTAGATATTTTGTTTTTCCCTCCCATGGAACAAACATCATCCATGGGTCCCGGGCCAGGATATTCGCACCCGCAACAGCAGGGTATGCCAGGCGGGCCACAACAAATGCCCAATGGCAACATGATGCGTCCAATGCAAGGCGCGCCCATGAATAACTTCCAGCCACATGGTATTCCACCGAACATGGGTAATTGAAGGGAGGGCCTTCATCTAATCCTACGGGGAGCGCACACGGCACTGCACCCCCGACTCCGAATACCATCAACTCAAGCATCACGCAGTCCCCCGCTCCAAACGGGACACCTTCAGTACCTCCAGCTTCAAATCCTGCGAGCCAACCACAACCCAATTTATCAGATCTACCACCTAATTTCATGTCTTCAGACTTCATGCAATCGACTTGTTGCGATAGTTCAGTTGCTGTTTGTTACCTCGCTCGGTCACCCTCTCTCATCTTGCTGCATGTATAACTAATCAGGATCGTCGTCTTTCATCATACCTGGTTATCAGACCGGTTTCTAAGGAGTGGTTGATTAGACGTGAGTCATATGGAGACTGAGCACAGTGCTCACCAATAGTCCACAGAACCAAACGGTCGATCATGTTCGTCGTCCTGCAAAATCGTCGCAGCAGCACAAACTAGAAGTGTTGTGGCTTGCCTTGAATATCCCGACCGCTGGCTCTTAAGTGTCTCAACCACGTACAACACATCACGAACCCTGATGTTATTCGACGATTCCTGAAGATCGCACTGTAGCGCGTCCAGGCGAGTATGGACAAGGGGCGCAAACGCTCTCGCGAGAACGATAACATGGAACCTCCCCAATATGAATTCCTCGAGACAAATCAGGTGTGGGCTTATCATTTATGTAGTGTATCGTAGCGCCATCATAAAATGTCTTGAACGAGATTTGGCTATGGGACTTGTAGGGACCATTCTTCGCCACTGTACTGCAGTTGAGATGAACGAGAGTGACGGCCGGAACAAGTAGTGGGTCAAAATCGTGCGTGGATGACCAGCTCTCTTCTCATGCAGATTGTCAAGTCAAATTTGATGCTCTCAAAACAGAATTTCGACAGGCGAATGAGCAGGCTGAAGCTGAATTACCAAGTCTGCTGGCAGAGAAACAAGAGGTCTGGGATGAGGTGATCCTCAAGCGATGCGGTATCGAGCAGCTGGTGAATTTGCCTGGTGTCGGAGAGAATTATCAAGGTGCGCTTTTTAAGTTATCCGGACAGCTTGAAATGGTTGACGAAGGCCAAGACGATGGTTGTTCGCGGGCAAAATGGTATTGTGACAGTGATTAATTATGAGAAACAAAACTACAGGAGCTAAATGGACACAAGTGTAGGCTATGGGCAACTTGAATGCGAACAAAACTAAAGGGAAATGAAATCTTGACAATCAGAGTTGTGTGCACCTACTTGTGCGGCCGTTTTGCCTTCTTCATGAAGGAAGTCCAGCTTCCTTTCTCTGTTCGGCCATAATCAATGTAGCGTTGGCGAAGTGATGCATTGGGCTTGAAGTCCCACACCTTGCGGTTGTCATAAAATGTTGATGCCTTGAACGGTACACCAAAGTGGCCGACAAATGCATCTGCCACACTGCGTCGTCCATCAACTGCCCTTTGACAAGCATTGAAACCACGAGAAATGTCAACCACATAAAAGTCAACGGGCCAGATTGCGACTTTTTCGACAACGATGGCATCATGGCTTGATGATCTGCGTGAAAGAAGACTTCCCGAATCCTCCTTCTTCACAATTGGTGTTGAGTGCATTGACGAGATCGATGATGAGAGCGAATGAGAGTCGGAGGCATCAGAAAGATCAAATGAGTCAGCAGAAGGGCGTTGTTTGCGGCATGGTAAAACACAGTGGGGAGCCTGAGGAAGTGGAGAATGGTGCCGCTTGGTTGCATGGACAGATTTCGTCCTGTCATCCCCATCACTATCTGTCAATGACAAGATAGATGAAAAGCGCCGCTTGATTGGTGGTTCGAATGAGTGGCACTTGATTGGTTGAGCTGGTGAGTCATTAGGCACTTCATGCTCATTGTCCGATGAGACTGGCGACAGTGAGGGCATACGAGAGTGAGGTTTGCGAGTATGTGGTGCAGGATTGGTAGGAGGTAGAGATGGTGTACGTGAGCTCCGTGCAAGAGATGCAGCACGCACATACTTCCGTTCACTTGTCAAGTCTGTCATGAGGTTAGCGCTTACTGGGCGTGTCAGTCTGTGAAGGTGCCGGTCAAAGTCCACACACTCCCTGACACGTGCATCCCTCACAAAGAGGATGCCAGCATCGCACTCATGCAGAGTGACCATGTGGCCCACATCAAACCGTGTCCATGTGTCGAGGGCGCGGTTGTACCGCTGGATAGGAGCAATCCTTGCAGGAGCGGGAATATCAGGGTCCTCAGACGTCATGCATAATTTCTGGAGGACGGAGAGTGTGAAGTAGAAGCTGGGTAGTTTGAAGCCGTCTTGAAATTCATAAATTATGGGCTCAACACCATTCTGAGTCCATGCGTACACAACAACAGTGTTCTTCTCCCGAGCGGCAGCCTGGAGACGTTCAAGTTCACGTTGGCGCCTTTCTTCATTCATTCCCTCTTCACGAGCATTTTGCTGCGTAAAGATGGCAGGCATCTGCATTGCATAGTGTGGTGCTGCTCGGGCTTTGGGTTGTGATGGGCCAGCAACCATGCGTGAAGGAAGCTGCACAGGTTCGCTAGCATCTGGCGGCTCAACAGCCCGACCCTTGCCCTTCTGGACTTGTGCAGGAGGCTCAGGAACTTCCGATAAGGATGCCAAGGGTGGGGACAGACAGACGTCCAAGTCAGAGGGTGCAGCATCAGGAATCAATGCTGGCTGCGAAGGTGGAGGTGGAGGCATAGGTGGACATGCTTGAGGCTGATGAGGTGTTCGAAGTGCCAATGATAGATCCAACACAACAGCGGAGGTATGTCCTTTGACAGAACAACCACCCAACAGGCCACAATGTGTTCGGCATGCAGCATTCTCACAATGTGCATGGGGGCGCTTCTTGCAGACTAGGGCAGCACACATAAGGAGCAATGTGGCATTGCTCAAGGCAGCAGGCTGGACGACAGCAGTTGGGACTAGCTGAGCTGGCTGGACGACAGTGGCTGGGGCTAATTGAGCTGCGGCCAGGGTGGGGGAGCTGGAGGGACTGGTTGAGCCCCGTGCCCAGCGAAAGAAATTGCATGGCACTTGCTGCTCGCCAGCAAATTTCTTGCACTTTGGTGATTGGAGTCAGTTGGAATTCAGCAGTGAACGAGCCTGAGAAAGATAGCACTTACCACTGCCACCCAACGGCCCTCATTTCCGTTCTCATTTGACTTGCACCGTCGCCAAGGAACCTCCTCTTTGCAGTTGGTGCATGAGTGAATGAAATCAGGTTGGGGTTGAGCCAGTCGAGCATCGAGGACAGCCTGCCATGATGGTGCACCCCGCGAGGTGGATGGGGTATTGATGGTTGTCAAGAAACCTGGTAATCGGAGGATATCAGCCATATTCATCTGGCGGGCACAGAGATAAACTTACCAACGTTATCTAGTAGCTTGAGGATCACATAAACATTGAGAAATGAATGACATGCTGTGGAATGTAGTAATTAGTATTCAGGAAATACAGGTCGCATTCGAAACTTACAGGTAGCATAGAGATTGAGAGAACACATACCGGGCGGGCGTGCAAAGGCGTGCTGGCAGCAGTGGTTGGTTGAAAGCAAGAGATAAAGCATAAAGATAACCAATGGCGCATCATGTTGTGAAACCGGACAGATCCGCACTCGGGCGGACCCAGCCGGACGGACTCGGAAAATTCCATTTCCCAGATGTCCTCTGAGAGGGATGCTCAATTCTAAAATGTCGTTGTCGTTTGTCGTTCAGACACAGGTACGGCACTGATTGCCGATGCCTTACTAATCCGTATTTGGGACCGGTCAGTGGCACTCTTCAGCCGCTTGGCCGGAACACCGCGTTATCAACCATCAAATCAACGACCAAACGTTCAACACTCAGCGTCAAACTGCCGTCAACATGCCTCGTGCACAGCGACGAAAACAGGATTATAGGGATGTCCTCACATTACATTCAATCTTAACCAGTACACTGGCTGTGTCCAAGCAGTCACAACACATTCTTCAGCAGGTCTTCTCCCCAGATCAGCTCATTGCTCAGTGCTCAGCGAAAGATTTCAACAGTTCACTTGACCAAGAGGCAAGCTGGGCTGACATCCGGGCTCGGGACCATTTGCGGAGGCGGAAATGAAGTAAATTAATTTATTGTAAACACAAACAAATCTAAATCTATGTGAAACGACAACGACATTTTAGAATTGAGCATCCCTCTCCAGAATTCGAACTTGGGTGGTGTGCCACATGCGGCATCCCGTTCCCACGGTGTTTCTTAGCCCCTTTCCAATACATATGGTCTTTCGCCCGGTTTCTGTTGATAGCATCACAAGGGTACCCTACCATTACAGTCCCCAGGCATGTCAGGAACCAAAAATGACTTTTAGAACTTCCAATGTGCTTGGCGGGTTTGAGCTGGATTTCGACAGGTCACAAAGTAAACTGCTCTGTATGTAGAGCAATCATCCATACCCATTGTCAGACGTCAAAACCAATCTCGCCACTGCATTCTACACATCTCTCGTCAAGCTCTCTGGGCCACTAGCACAGACCGCGACTCCCCCACCCAAGCCCATTAATTTCTGGCTTTCATCACATTGCATGCATGTCGATCGAATCTTCCTTTTCCCATGATGACGGAAAACTGATGAAGTCCCTGAGAAGATTATGGACAGCCGGACGCGAAAGTGTGTCGATGGAGTTGGGGATATGAAGTACCGCTTCTGGATCGCAAGCCTGAGAGCACGTTATGAAAATAGAAATGTGCAGATCTACGGTGCTATTTGACGCTGCCGTGGTAATATCTATCAGCATCGGTGCAAACCATTCTATTTGTCCAAATAGATCAGAACGATGTAACGCCCGTAGTCAAAAATGAAATACCAAAAGATCTGATGCACCAAGTGAACTCAATTCTCCTCGTTCGTTCTCCCTGACTGCGGCCTAGTCTGACACACCTGCCGACGATGTCGTCCAGCAGACCGAGAGTGAATGTAACACCAGACCCGCCGGCTATAAGAAACGCGCTTTCGTACAGACCCAGATCAACGCTTGACCCTCCATAAGGACCATCCAGTATGACTTGAACGAAAGCACCCGAGTCGCCCTCTAACGTGTTATTGATTCATAAATGTTCTTGTTCCCTCCGAGTATATCTATTCATTGCCCGCGTCCAGTCTCCATCATTTCGTGCAGCGAGAAAGAATCCAGGTGAGGAGAGGCAAGAATGGGAAGGTGGCGCCGAGAGAATAGTGAGGGGATGTGAATCAAAAACTCTGCTGGAGAAGAGAACGCGCAGTCTGACATGCTGGCCAGCAAGCCAGCCATCGTCGCAATTGTGAACGCGGATCTACAAAAGATGTTGTCAACAGTCTATCAAATAACGCTCGAACATTTGTTATACCATAGTCATGTGAGTGTCCTGTGCAGTAAGTGTGGCAGCCTTGATTCGATAGCGAAATAGGCGCAATAAAATATCTACACCACAAAATGTAAGAGGAGGGAATATCCACGGCGATGCATACGACGTATGGTAGCACATAGCGACAACGAATGCCACGCATGTCAATATGCTGCAAGAAATATTAGCTGTAGTACGACGCGAAGCAACGAAACTTACTGTATGATGAAGAAACACTCATAAAACAGTCTCCTGACTGGCCTCGGCAACGTAAGGACGATGATGCAGAGGAGGGCTAGCGAAGCCACTCCCGAAGTCTCTTTCTGCGGACCAAGAATTGCAAGTCCATACTGTAGGCGGTTGCGGAACCACAGGGACCCATGAACGCATGCGGCAAGAAACATAGCTCTTCCCGCCATCCTATATATAAAGTTGAGTTTCTTGTACCCATTCCCTGGTCCTAACAATAAGGATAGAATTGAGTTTTTTATTGCGAACAAAAAAACGACCGGAAACTGTGCGAGAGCGAGAAATCCTAAGTGGCCCCAATAAGTTCCTCTCGTGCGTCAACGGATCAACTGACTCACCAGCTCTGTTCGGATTAGAAATAAGAGGTGCATCCTTTATGATGCGTACAGCTGTGAGGTACGCCAATAAAACTACAACTGAATAAGCTACAAAGTGTCAGTTTTTCTTATCAGTAACAAACACCTTCAATGCGCACTTTGTCCAACATTAAGCCCGAGCTTAGGAGGAGACCAGTATGTCGGTGAGATAAGAGCATTCCAAGCTCTGATCAATCTGCGACCTCTTCGACGGGTAGTAGGCGGTGGCTCCTTGCCATCGGAATGAGCAGACTGATACCCATCAGTCTCTGATATTCCAGCGATTCCCTTGAGGGAACGCCCATGTCTCAGACCAACACTTGGAATAGAAACGACCACAGCCAGTGCGATGCCAGAGCACCAGATTATGGTGAATTTAATCTGCCATTTGAGATCTTCGACGTATGAGCTGTCAATTCATGCGTGCGTTTTCAGTATGCAGGATGAGATTTTTCAAATATACTTGTAAATTTGGAAGCTGCTTGGAACGACTGGAGCAGCCATGTCGTCACGGTTCAATTGAGTTGAGGCCTAAGAGGTGGCAAACAATTACTTTCCGGTGCCGGGTGCGCAGCGGCAGCGGATGAAGTGCCTGGTACTGATTAGTAAGTCAAAATAACCTCAGATCAAGATAATGAACACGTACTACGGGCTGCGAGGTTTGACGATCACAGTCATGTCAGCAAGTCCATAGGTATATTCACATCGAGGTTATCAACACAAGGTGCTTTGGATGTGGTACAAAATGCGAAAACAATACTCCAAACTTAGCTTGAGATTCGGGGCTGAGCGCTGAGGAGTCGATAATGACAAGATTCTGGAACTCCTGCCTGATAGTGAACTACCCTATATCTCATGCTGTGTTCTACCACTGATCATCACGCCTGCTCGTGCCCTCACGCCTACCCACCGTAAGTAGCGTCGTGTTTGTATTGTTAGAAAGTATCTCCGAGTTATCCGTATCATACACTGCATTCTAGCCTGACGATAACCAAAAGAAAGTCAATACTTTGCAGCCATTCTAAACTTACAAAAACGAACGTGCATAGATTTAATGCACATGCGTGACACTGCCAAACCTTCCAAAGAGCGTTTCTCCCACTCCGAGCCCCACCACAAGGGAGAATATGAAACCTAGTTGGAACGTCCTGTTCACGCCCAGCACATCAACAACTCGACGAACAAAAAGAGCGACGACTTACATAACTGTCAACATGAAGAGGTAATTTAGCAGCGTCTGCGCTGCAAACATGACCCCACGTGAGATATCATGCGCGGGGATAAAGGGTGGAGTGAAGCGCTTTATGAATCCAATGGGATATGACCGAGTTGGTAGAGTATTGAGTTTGTCCGACGCAATGATAATCGCCCTGATCATGCGTAAGAACTATAATATGTGAAAGAAGGCAAAGGACGTACTGTTGGCTCCAGTGGAATTCCATTACTCCTCGGCAAGCTGCTATCCAGCGCTCGATCACCGCCAACATAAACAGTGCGATACATGTGCCAACCATGGTTCCCGAGCTCTCAGGAACCCAGCCAAGGAACCAAACTGTATACAGGCCTGTTAGAAGAGCTCATTTTATGTAGTTGAGAAGATATAACCTACGAGTGTCTCCTGGCGCAAAGTGCAGATACGAGAGCATGTTCCCTACGGCAAGAGTCATGCCATCATCCATGGACATGACCATGCCATTGTCTGCGAGACAGATTTGACTCAAACAGGAGAGATAGAGCGCCAATAATTGCCAGCTCATCTTAGGCGTTCGCAGGTGTGCGCAGTAAGCCAAGAAGGTGTTCCGACAGCCAACTTGACTATCCGTGGGAACTACCTTCCCCTAGCGGAATGACGGCCGAGGGGTAGAGTTGATTCTTCCTGAACTGCCAGTAGGCGGTAGATAGAGCTCGAGGATGAAATCATTGGCCAGATTGTCGCAGTAGGGTGGAAAAAACAGGATGTCAAGACGTAGACAAATTGGACGAACTACACTTTCGCTCATATTGATCTACGTCGTGACAATCCTGAGGCACACCGTGATCTGGCTTCTGTTCTGTTCAGTGTACAATTCTTGTCAATATGAAATGTATGGATGTCGAGTGCACGGTTTCGAGTTGACTTGATGTGCAAGAGGTGTCGCAAAGGTCGCAGTTGTGTTGTTGGGCAGGTCGACAGAAGTGCAACTTTATCACGATGGTCCATTTGCTCCCAAGTAAGTCGTATGTCTTGTGCGCAGTTGAGGACCTGTAACACTCTGCGCGAATTTGGCAGAGCTTCGAGCTGCAAGAAGTCGAAGGAGATGCAAAACTGGTGGGAATTGAAAGAGTGAGGCATTTTGGCGCATCGTGGGAATGTTTGGGTTGCGCTATTTGGATATAATTGGAATAGAACCCTAACGCCACAGGGGCTTCAGATGCTCCGAGACCTCCGTTCCGCACATCCGCAATTATATTGGCATCAACATCGTATAAAACGAAACATGGCAAGCTGGTTATTACTGCTCACTCGAAATCTTCATTGCACACTCTTGAAACAAGCCTTTATCGATAAATCTCACCTCCCAAGTCAACAATGAATCAAGTCCACAACATCACCATCACATTTATGGATTTCCCTGCCGAATTACTGTTGCACATTCTTGGTCACCTAGACGTATACGATCTAGTCCGAGCACGCAAAGTACGTCTCTTTCAAAATGCCCAAATCGCTACTAATGTGGAATCTCCAGATATGCAGTGACCTTCGACAACTCATTGACTCTTCCTCAGAGCTTCAATACTTGATCGATGTTCGATACTTCAATGCAATTCCACCCTCGTTGCCTGGCTGCGACTTCGACATTGCAACACGTCGCCAATTGCTTCAAAAAAGCGAAACTGCGTGGCAGAGAGCCGAATACTCTCAGAGAAACTCCACTACGATGTCTTACTCTCCCGACAACTACCGTTGGTCGTGTGGCATTCTTGGAATCCCAGCGAAATCTCTCCAACAACTCAAGTTCGTCCAGCCCTCACTGTCAGATGGCGACACCCACACCATCGACTTGCGACAACGCATTTGCAAAATTGACAGCACAGCATTCGAGGGTTATAGTTTTTCGCCCACACAGGATCTTGTGGTTATCCTTTCCAGAACAACTCGTGGGTGAGTATCTTCTTGCATATGACGATGAACTATATTAACGGCAACAGAGAGAGTCATGCATATGACGTCACTTTCAGATCATTGTCTGAGGACAAACCCCATCCTGATGCTGCATCCCCCCTCGTGAAAGCACTGGACAATCAAATCCATCCACAACTCTTTGACTCCCCCTACACGCAAACTATGATCTTCGGAGACTATTATGGCTTGTTCTGCAAATATGCTCACAAAGCAGATGGTGAGCTGGTCGATTTTTTGCAAATTTGGAACTGGAAGTCCAAGGAAGCTTCTCAGGTGGGTCAAAGTCTCCTGTTTTGCTATAACTTACGACCAAGTTGGACTTGCAGTGCCTTCAAATCTTTGACGTGGATCGCGGAACGACGAATTTCAGTTTTCTAACGAACGATAGATTCCTCGTCGCCAGCGCGACGGAACTCATGTTGTTCTCCCTCGAGACTATCGATTCGGTCAACGCCATCCGGCTCGTTGGCAAATTCTCCTTCCCTGCATTGAGGGACCCCTTCATCTTTCACTACATCACCTTCAGCCCTATTCCATTCCACGCCAGCACTCATAATCAACTCATCGCTATCAACATGTGTATGTCGGCGCCTACGACCACCAAATCTCCGTATTTCACCTTCTATATCGAGCGCAACACCCTTTTGGAGCTCGAATCTACCTACATCAGCCGTTATGGAGAAGCAAGCCAGGATTCTCCTAGTCTGCCTTGGTCCGCCTGGGGCTCAAAGAACACCCGGTTCTTCGAGAATGCCAACAGCTCCTGCACACACCGCATTTTCGGATTCCGTAGTGCGGATTTGATTGGCGACCTTGTCTCTCGCGATGGGGTGCTACAGTCACGACCATTGCGCATCCGCGACTTTAACCCTCATAGGGTGACGGACTTCAAGGCTGGGAACATCGCTACATTGCATCAACGACTTGTCGAAGGCGAATCACCAAATTCGACCCTTTTCTTGGATCCACTAGGGCCTGGTCTCCCATATATCGAGACGATTTCTCAGGAAAAGTTCCTTGCGAATGATATGACCGTAGAAGCAAACAGGATAACGTTGTTATCCCTCAAAGTGAGTCGTCATCGGATACTGATTGTGGACATGGCACTTATTCAAACGCAGGGAAGCAGTATGCATAATGTTTCACAGAGCATCGAAATGCTTGATTTCGAGTAATCATTTTACTACACCGAAACTGTTTAAGATACTTCAGCATTTTAATATATTTGATTGGTTCATACTCAATGGACTCTGTGAGATGCGCATCGTGTTGCTATCGCATCAACATTATCTCATCATCCTGGTCCTCATAGACTGTTTCAATATTGACAGTTTGACCTGACAAGAACGTGCTTTACTAATCGTCGAGTGCGTGTTTTTGGTCACTCCAACTGGAACTTATACGCAAGAGTCACAGCCTTGGACTTCGCCAGATGAGGAGTGTACCCAAGGGGAGTCAAGGACGGTGGTGGCTTGCGGCATGTTTGTCATCTGGTACCGCCGCGGCCGTAATAGATTCTTATACTTGGTCCCGTTGATTATCTCATAACACTTTTTGATGGGAGCATCACATATGAAACCCCAGGGTCACAGAACGTTATAGTCTCTAAGTGCTGTAGTATGATTGGGGTTGTGAGAAATCACCATATGAATAAGATTCCGTACATACGACACTCGCACTCTATACCAATCGCTTGGAGTCTTCTGAGTCGCTACTCGGGCTCTTGCTTTCGATGACCTCCTTGGTATCCTTTTGAATCACATCAACAACACTCTGCGCCTCCTTCTTCGCTTCCTGTGCCCATCCCATAGCTTTTAGGTTAAGCCCCGTCCCTTGTTCAATGCTCTCCACAATACTCTTCACACCTTTATTAACCGAGTCTCGTCCAACAGCAGCACTTTCTTTTGCGCGCTCCTAGGGTATAGCACGGGTACACCCGCGGGTCGGAAGATCAACACCGTACCCGTACCCGTCAACACCATACCCGTACAGATACGGGTACGGTATTACCCGTACTAACCCGCGGTATGGCAGCTTACCCGCGGTGTTGCATTTACCCGCGGGTACACAAACAAAAAATAGTGAAACTACGTAGAATAACCTTATCCAACGCTCTCGTCCTCTCGTTTTCTTTTCTTCAGAGACTTCATGATCTTAGTAAGGTCCTCGGGCGCTACCAGATCACAGCGGAGCCATGAGCCAAGACAGAGGAATGCATGGGTTGATGCTGGAGACAAGCGGTTTCGAGTAAAGTGCAGAAGGTGCCGGCCTTGCGAAAATACACGTTCAACTGCAGTTGAGGTAGCTATGGTGTGTGATACATAAGCTGTGATGCTAGCGAGAGCAATGGTGCACAACCTACCAGGAATACTAAGGTAATCAAGTGCCATCCGGTGCAAATTTGGATATGTCTTTTGATTATGGACCCACCATTGCAGCGGGACTTTGGTATTCTCCACTGGTTGCCGCAAATAGTTGTCAAGCTCATCTACTAGAGATGCCGCTATGCCAAGAGATATGTCACCAAAGTCATCAGCGCATTGTCGCACCTTGTCTTCTGCCAAGACATGTGCAGCTGGAGTCGAAGGTAAGACCTGGTCTTTGTAACGATCTATGTACTCTTCTCGAATGAGATTTTCGGCAGCCTCAATCCATTCATCTTCCCATTTTTGTAGTCGGAAATATTCGAGCTTCAGGCCAGGGTGGAGAACTAGCGAGACATGGGTCAGCACAAACCACCTCATATTGAAACAATTGACAACTTATGCTCACCTGTTGCGATGCGATACGTGTTTGAGTCATCAGTCATTTTCCAGTATCTATCCATTTTCTTGCGAGCAAGTTTCATCGCAGCTTGGATGGCTGGTTGGAACCCCTCTTTCGTCTCAACATTGCTCATATGGCTATCGAGTTTGTCCATTGCAGGTATGACTGCATAGACACTGGCCGAGTTGCGTGAAAAAAAGAGTGTAGCCTGCTTGTAACGCTAGTGTTGAATTGAATAAGTCCTGAAAATAACTCGATCAGAGGCTAAGTGAGCTACCTCCAGTACAGTGACAAGTTCCTCGACAACAGTCCATTCATTGTTTTCCAATCGATATTTGCGGAAATTGGGCAGTTTCTTGTCGCCAGTAATCTTCTTGATGGGCTTCCGGTACTTGACTGCAAAACGCAGCATGTCATGTGTGGAGTTCCACCGTGTGACGACGTCTCGTGGGATAAGGTTTGCTTTGAGACCGGCCTTGTTGCAGCGAGAACGCCAGATAGGGAGTGCTTTGGTAGTTGAATGGATAATTGCAAATGACAAAAGACGGATCTATACAATGAAGTATGTGATCACATACCTGCAAGAGCGTACCAATGCGTTCTTGGCACTTTTCAAATGACGCCCAAATATCACGAGAGATTGTAAAATGTGATGGCAGTTCGATATTAGGGCGTCCAGAAAGCAGGAGATCACGAAGTGCACGATCGTTGATTATATTCACAGGTCGATTATTCTCTGTGATCCACCGTACGAGATTTGCCCTAAATCCAGTGTGAATAATGTCAGATGTTATTAAGGCCCAAAAATGTCGACTTACCGAACTTCATTGCTCGTGTGCATTCGATATGTATGATGGACAGGTTGTTGTCCTTTTCGAGCAAAAGCCGAGAAAACTGATCCACTCGTGGCCTGTACTACCTTTCCACCACTGAATGCATGATCGACTGCCTCTTTGCCCCAGCAGCCATTGGTGTGGTGCCTTAGATTCATAGTCGAGGACTTATCCTTGGAGTCCTGGAAGCGGCGGACACCCCCGGCAGGGAGTTTGCACTTGCGTGCCCCGCAAGGGAAGAAATGAACTAGACGTCCATCGAGATACTGGACAGTCACAGCGTCAAGCTTAAAAAAAGAATAGACTGCTGAACACCAAGTTTTTTTGAGTGCGTCTGTGAGTGAAAATTAATCAAGGTCCATGCAGACACGAGCAATAAGTTCACATACTTAGATCGGCCTCATCGTCCTGTTCAGCAGCAGGAGGTGCATCATTTTCATCAATATCAATTACTTCCGGAGCAGGAGAGTGCAACTCGGAGGGGGTTGCTTCGACCTGTGGAATGATAAGCTTAACACGTTTTGCAACATTGTCTGCCGCTATGGACTGCGGACTCGATGATGATACATCTGAAGTTTCTGAACGTGTAGACTCGGCGATTGAGGCCGTCTGATTGACCATAATGATGGAGTGAATGGAGGGAGTATTGAGAAATGTAGAGTTAAAGTGATGTATATCGAAGCAGACAGGCGGGACCTAGACAAAGGTGCGAATATCTCAGTATTCGCATTGAAGACTCTCTACTAACAAATTCTATACCTAGATTATAAGGTGCGTGTGTCAGGTACTGTGATATAAGATAAAATGGACTGAAACATTAGAGGGTGCGAGCCGACGTCGACAGGTCGCTCACCGTGCCCGTTTTGGATGCGCATCTCCCCTTGTGCCTGTTCTTCGGCCGTCCCGTCCTTTCCACTCTCGGTTCTATCGGAGACACCCGTAAACATACCCGTATACCGTGCTAACGGGTACGGTATGACCACGGGTACCACATCTCGACACCGTACCCGTACCCGCCATACCCGTGACCCCCATACCCGCGGTGTGGCCCATACCCGTGCTATACCCTACGCGCTCCCAGGCTATGCCGCTGTGTGCAATAGAGGTTCTTCTAATTTCTCCAAAGCGAGGAACATACCGATCTTCGAGCTCCCTGCCATACGCACCGACCCGAGAAGCGGTACCGGGAAGGAAATATGCGAATGCGCTGATTAGGGCTGCAGGAGGGAGAAGGATACGTGTAGGGAGTCCGCGCGAGCGAGTGAGGACACACGTCATTAGGGCGAAAATTCCGGTATAGAGCAGTTCGGGATTTAAGGGCTCTGTAGGATCACGGAAGGATTTTATGCGAGCTGTTCGTGGTTCAACGGTCAATGAGGGCGTACTAGTCGGCAAGACGATATTACTCACTTTCCACCTTCTCTTCAACAGAGATCCACCGGTCTATAATGCCTTGCGCGTTGGAGTGGACGCCGGTATAATAACCCGTGATCTCCCGCCGCACCATTCCGATTCGCTTCTCTCATGCTGACGGGGTGTCGAGTAGAATGAGTTCGGGTATGGGTGTAGGGTATATGGAGAGCTATACGACTTCAGTAATTCAGATAACGACATGTTGTAGGAGAAGTAGATACCTGTCTTTTCGACCAGCACATTACAATGAAAACACCTCCAAAATCTTGGATCGTCCCCATAGTACGTCACGTTAGTTATCATGAGTCTATCTGCTTCATGAATGGTGCTCGTAGTACTAAATCGTCACGGTATGTTCGATGGACGAGCCATCGCAGATCAACAACTTGTAAATGTGTACCAGGCGATAGCAATACGACGTACATAGAACTACACACCAATATGAACGAAACCCATCTTCTGCTCCAACGGAACTTTCATCTTCGTGGCGTGCGTAGCACGGTTCAGCGCCCAGGCCGCCTTCGTACAGTCCATCACACCTCCATCCTTCAAATCTTGGAACATATTCTCATAGAAGGCTTTGACGACGTGTTTTGCGACAGAGTCGTCCACCTGCCACAGCGTCCCAATAACGCTCTTGAACCCTGAAAACTGGAGACCAGCTGCGAGGTGAATCACTTCGTCGGGTGTCTCCTCATCGCCCACAGCGGTATGACATGCTGATAAGAACGCGAACTCGGCCTGCGGAATATCTCTCTCCATGATATCGAGCAGCGTCAGATGTTCATCTTTCATGACGAAATGCGAATTGTAAGGCTGCTTTGGGTCCTGCTTGCCATGACAAGCTAGGTGCACCCAGGTGTTCTGCTGCAAAGCTTCGAGCGCACCTGCTCGTGTAGCTGTGTCGCCAGAAATAGTAGTGTGTTTGGCCGTCGCAGGGACAAGCTTATGGACAAGCTCGAGTTCGCTGTCCACAGCCAAGAGCGCCTTGCCTTTCCCTGCACCCGGTTGACCCTGTCCGATTGTCACGAAGGATGGAGTGACGCGCTTCTTCATCATCTGTCTGGATCTGACCAGAGCCGAAAGTGTGGGCGTGTAAGAGCAGATATATAGATCCTCCAGGCATGGCTCCCTAGAGCCATCTGGGTTGGTTTGAAACGGGTGAGCTGCGTGGAGAGGAATGGACGTGAAAACTGCAGTGGGACACAGCCAGATTCGAGAGCGGCGCTTTAGTTTGAGGACGTGCTCGAGCACGTTGACAATGGGTAGCATGATCTCGTCCCATACTGTCCGCAAGAGGATTATTAGATCGTTTCGCGGCACGTTTGGGCCCAGAGTAGATGTGTGTCGTATTGCCCTGACGATGCGGTCCTTGAGAATGGTCAGATCTGCGAGAGTGACAGATGGTAAGGGAACATGATGGGGGTCTCCTGATGGCAAAACGATGATGGCGCTGCATGAGTATTGACTAGCAATGAAGATGATAACCGGGCCCTGACGGGCTGCCGCTTGCAGGTCTGAGTATGAAGGTGGGAGCAGGAACCGCGAGAACGCCGGAAGATCACGTATCTCAGCGACAGCAGCTTCCCATTGCCTTGTAAGTCTCCTGTACTCTATCGCCGCCCGATCAGCAGCAGCTCTGTCGCTGATTGTTGTAGAACTCTGTGCGGCATCGGAAACGCGCTTGCTCAGCTCCAAATAATTATGCGCCAGTGCCGGATTTGCTGACTCAAGGTCTTCAATTGGCGTCCTGAGTCTGGAGGCCAGCGACCATTGCTGGCCACGGCCCTGCTCTGCGAGTTCGACTGCGTGTCGTAGATTGTGATTGCGGATGGCACACGATGCTGCATCTACAGGCAGCGATCTGACACCATTGAAGGCAGCGGCAGCTTCACGCCGTGAAGTTGCCGAAGACCGTGTGGCCAAATGAGCATCCAGAAGCTCAAAAAATGTTGAGTAGGCTTCCAGCACGGATCCATGACCATGCTGCTCCGCTGCAACGGTCCAATTAAATGCGCCAATGATGCGTTCTGGGAACCCTTGAGTAGGATGTTTTGATGCGAGTCTGAAGTTCTCCATTGCAAGCGACAAATCAGCAGGATCATGTAAAATCTGGTAACGAGACAGATAGGCTTCCTGCAGGCACATATAGCTTAAGTGCCTGTCCGGGTGCAGTGAAGACAGAGCTGCCAATGGTTCTTGGCCAAGAGCAATGGCCTCCTCAACATCTTCATTCTTCTGAGTTTGCTTGAAACGAGAGCAGAGCGCTGAGCTCAGATTGGAAAGAGTTACATGACGCCCTGGGTGGCCAAGCCGCTTTAACCGAAGGGATTTACGATACCAAACAACGGCCTCGTTAAGATCCTCGCTCACTTGTGATACGTCATATCTGTGTTGGAGCGAGAGCGCAAGGTTGTTAAGCGTGGTGTCACGACATTGATGCCCATACGGGCACAACGTCAGTATCTCACGATAGAGGCTGATAGTTCGGGTCGTGTCTTCAATGTCGCCGCGTTTCTTGAAACGGTCGCCCCCTAGGTTGTCTAATGAGTAATTACGATGCCGCAGCGTTTCATCGTGCAAACAGATGGCCTCATCGAGATCACTAGTATTGCCTTGGTGCTTAAAGCGGGACATGAGTGAATGAGCCAAGTTGTTTAGGTAGGTATCACGATCAGCATGTCCCTCGGGACACAGAGACACGGCTTCGCGATGAAGCTGTATGCTCGTGTCAAGATCATCGATGCTGCCGTGCTGATCAAAACGTGCTCTGACTGCTCGTGCTAGCTTGTCAAGGGTGATGGGACGAAGTCGATGGCCCAGAGGACAGAGGTCGAGGATGACTCTTTGAAGGTGGATGCCTTCATCGGATGCGTCTGTTGGAAGATCGTTGCATCCGCCGATCACATAATCAACACCATTCTACGAAGGTACGTGCCCTCTTGACAGAGAGGGAGTAGCTCATGATAGAGTTGGGCGGCTTCGCAGATGTCTGCAGCAGTACTTTTCCTGGAGTGGCGCCAAGCTAGCGCTTGGGTGAGATTATATAGTGACAAGGGATGATCGGGATGGTGCTGCGGACGCAATGCAAGGGCATCGCGGAAGAGGCAAGTTGCTGTATCAATGTCTTGAACATCATTTCGGATGTAGCCCTTAAGGCGAACCCACGCGAGATTGGTGAGAGCCGTTGCGTGGTCTGGATGGCCGACCGGACACTGGTTCAGAACCAACTGAAAATGCTCCATAGCATCGTTCAAGTCAGAGACATTCTCGCTTTTCATGTATGAGGCAAATTGTGCGTGGCCCGCATCTGCGTCTCGAGCAATCTCGCAGTCTATGAGGGGCTATAGTTGGCGTTCCGTCAGCAAAGCTAACAGGACAGAGTCCAGGGTCACTCACATCAAACAGTGCGTCATTTTGATCGTCCCAAGCATGTACAACAGCAACCTTCAGTGTGATAGAAGGTTTGACACCGCGCACGGCTCGGAACGATAGATCTACGAGATGTCGGTGTATGTGCATGAATGAGAAGCGAATCACTCACCAAATGGGTGATCTCCATGATCGAGTAGCTCATCCCACGACATTTGAAGTTTCCCGATGACCTCTCTACCGCCTAGCATTCGACCAAGCTCATAGGATGCCCTGATCTCCATCGACAATGCAGGCGAGGCATTTGATGATCTATACACCAATGATCAGTTCTCACATCACGTCAGAAGATGTCCATGGACGTTACAGAGTTACAGTATCCCCCCACGCTACAGATTCATCAGATAACAGGACACTGATGGCCGATTTCCAGCGTCTCCTCGAGTCGACATTGATGGACACGTAAATGCCAGCGGGAACGCGCTCGGACGGGACTTGAAGATTCTTTCCGCTGATGACTATAGATAGAGTGTGAGGATCACGAAACAGATACGAAGATAGTATGGAGAGACTCGCCTTCAAGTCTGATATATCGGCCTTCTGAGCTGCCAGGCATGATGTTGCGATGGAGCAAAATGACGAGGATCGATGATGGGTAGAGTGGTGGAAGGAATGAATGGGAAGGGAAGATGGGGATAATGATATGGGGACTGCATGCGATAGAGTTCGGCTGAGTGGGAGATTGAGGCCAAGCGTTCAGGTCACGCTGCACGTGTATTTTCATATTGTCGGTGGATGTTCGGCACGATAGACGCTGATATGATTGCACAAGCTCTGGGAATGGAGATCACCGACAACTTGAAGGACTAGCAGAAGAATCTGTGCTAAAGTAGAGAATGACATGAACAGTTTGTGGCAAACGTGGTCTGCCAACATTGAAAGGGACATGCGAGTCTCAGAGTACTTGATAGTGTCTTGTAATTTAAAAGAGTCCAAAAGAGACTACACGGACCACCAACAACGCCGAATAAGTCACACAGATAAGACGTTACACCGCACGGTCTGCAGGTAACATGTCGGACATGGAAATACATACGAGGGCATCAGGGTTGTGCGCGTGCCAGTAGTCATGCCAGAGATGGAGGTGCATGCGCGTGGCGAGTATTGCAAGGATAAAGACCTGAAAACTACAGGGTTTGGGGGTGTTGTAAGTAGGAATTCTTAACAGAAGTTGGAAGTGCGTACCGTTCGAGGAAGTTTGCGGACTGAGTGTGCAGAACATCAACGGTTTAATCATATTGAAGGGTATATGGTTCACTCACAACATAGGAAAACAGCACTGGCGTGAGGACGTTCATGGCTGAGAGAACTTTCGGAACAACAATGATCACTGATAAGCACAGAAACATATCCAAACCCTGACTCACACAAACTGCATGCGTAGTAAAACATATTGTGCTTCACTAGGATGGCGCCCAGAGGGCCCCTGGCTGTCCGCCAGCTCTGTATGACACGTATGAGTGCGAGAAAGAACAGTCCTGGGGAGAGCGCTGGTCAGTGCATGTCTGTAATGTATGTGTCCAGTTCCGGGCGACATACCTAGTGCAAACACAAACGAGGGAAGAAATGGCATGGAAAAATAAATAATGCGCATGTTCCAGGAGCAGCCTACGGTTCCTGAGATCGTGCTAGTCGTAGCTGTGAAAGTGGAGTGAACATGGGCGAATAGTAGTGGGCGAAGGTGAGAGTACAAACCATCAGAAGTGGCAAACCAAAAGCCGATGAATGATACAGTGATAGCCTGAGTGATTCATCAACATTGCAAGGTGTGCTCAAGGTAGCATGTGACTCACAAAGAGGGCGGACAGCATGGCTACGAGTACAATTCGATTTTGGTTCCAAAGCGCGTATGTTCTGAGTATAAAAATACCTAAAAGAATCAGATAACGAGCACGTGCATGTCGGAGGGGAAAGGAAGATACATTCAGAGAAAGTGAGTGATACTACCCCTAGACCTGTCAGAGGAAAGAGCAGAGCTCGGCCAGGAAGCGCAGGCAACATATACCGTGCACGCACATGAGTAAATATTCATCAACATCCAGCATTTCTGGCGAATTCACGCAGTAAGCATCATTCATCAGCGGGAAAGTCCACTACACGCTCACAGCATCAGCATCCTTGTCTGGGGCGAAGATCACTGAAGTATAACATGTCAGTTTATTGTATATTATCGTTGGGATGTGTGGTACTGCTTGAAATCAACGCACTATATAGGTCCGCAGCGACGAGGGAAAAGGGGACATATCGTGCAATGATATAAAGAGCTTTGACCTTAGTCCAACGCGACCGAAGCAGGAATGTCCACTTTGAACAGTGTGGTATCAGTATTCGAAGCGAGGCGCATAGCAGAACAAGTGCATGACTTACCTCTTCGTGAAGTGAACTAATGTAATCATAGGTCTGTATAAACAGGTTTAACGGCAGATGGGAATGGATTGGGACAAGCCTACCCAAATTGTAACCAGCGTAACTGAGTTGTTAAGTTAGAACGAAGGGAGGGAGAAGCAGTTCAGATCGCCCGTACCGCATGTATACTGGTGGTCGGGCATGATGAGTATCTGTTAATATCTTGCCCTCGTATTACGACGTACTGCTAAGTAACGTAGATTCCAGGCCGTTGCGACTTGGACGTCGTCAGCCGAAGGCTCCATCTGCTCTCGTCCGAGTGGCAAAGAAATAGGTTTCACGCATACATCATACTGCTTTTCTTATCTCTTATGAATGAGCCTGAGAAGACCTACAGCCCTAATTGGATTAGATCGACACCAAGTTGATTTGGACACTCGCATGTGCCCATTGTGTCGGTCCTTGATTCCTGTTTTTGAAGTTTGAAACACCATCAGTCCTTGAAAAACACAGCCATCTTGGAGGGACTAACGTTTATACAGGCTTTGATCAACCCGGCCGTTTCCGACGTACGCTTCTTTCGCAGATGGCTTTGATACGTGGGTGCCGGTGATGATGATATGAAAGCAGACTGAAAGAAGCTAACAGCTGACGTTGGCAACATTGAAGGCTTGACATCCGGATCTATACCTGATTTGTATTAAACCGCCTCGAAAGCTTTATGGTATCGAACCATATGCATATCCCTTGTTATCAGTTCGATTAGGAGGATGGATGTATTAGCGCACCCTTGATCTTGAGAAGTCTGGCACGATGTCGACGAAACAACTGCGCATGTACTTGCTAGAAAAGAAGACTGCCAGTGGGGTGACCTCCGATCAAACTCACGATAAAGAAACCCAGAACCAAAAATAGACTCAGATTTTATGGATGACTTTCAGAAGTTCCAATGTGCTTGGCAGGGTTTGAGAACGAGGAGCCTGTACGATGTGTAATCGCGGCCTAGAGAGTTATTCTTGTTGGGTACCATAACATGTAAGTAAAGAGACGAACCAAAGTGCTTACTACAGTAGTACGTAAAATGGGTGACTGCAAAATTATGTGCCAAGTATGGAATTATGGGAACTATGCTTGCTAGTCACGCATCAACAAAAGAGCCTGAAACATGTATGTCAATATATGCTGCCCGAAGTATATATGTTGAATATCAGGGCTTGTATCAAAATTTAATGCCTTATATGCACCTTATATGCACCTTGTAAGCTGGTTAACAGACTTGTGTACTCATGTAAGCTTCACAAGGCCTTATATGCTTCGGGCTCTTTTGTTGATGCGACTCACCGATTGCAACAGCTTCTGATTAGCGCTTAGCTAGCAACACTTGGTTGAACCAGAACATTCACATCCACACCAGAGGTGCACATGGTCACCGTCTGGACTCTGGCATTACAGGTCTCGATATATATAAAACTCTGGCAGCAGTAGCACAGGCGGCTACCACCTACCACGCACGGTATGTAATTTTTCTCGCCTATGTCAGGCTTTTGCTCAACCTTTACCAAGTTAAAGTTCAATTGACAGTATGTACTATGTAGGTCATTGTACAACACCGCAGAAACAGCCGCTTCGAATCGGACATCGCTCTGGCAAAAAACGGATAGGCGCTGTTGGCATCGTTTCATGACAGCCGGCGGCTGAGTTGGATGTCTTCCTACAAATATAACCTCGACTGTGGCATGCAATTCTCAGGACAGGAGAACAGGTTTACATGTGGGGTTCCTGTGAGCGCGGCTACGTGTCATGATGTCAAATCTCACTTACCAAACGCTTCTGTCTTTTCGACCAGCACTTTACAGTGAAAACACTTACAAAGTCTTTGATCGTCCCCATAGTACGTCACGTTAGTTATCACGAGTCTATCTGCTTCATGAACGGTGCTCGTAGTACTACATCGTCACGGTATGTTCGATGGACGAGCTAAGGGACAAGTTAGCTCCCGGCAGTCAGGACAGTCTGACTCAGTAACTTGGGTTACGGGCCATTCCAGCCTATCGGCAATTTTAGATCTTGGTCGCAAACATATCATTAGCGAGTCATCCACACCACGATGGGCTAATTTGAGGACGCTGCGGCGTGCATGGCAGGAATTCTAACCCGGTATCTACTTGAAATAAATGATTGCAGTGCCGTGGCGTGTATAAGGCTCCCATTGTTCAACATTTAACACCCACCAACTGGAGGCCATTCCTCTGTCACAATGTCCTTTGGCGCCGTGTTTGCTACAACTAGTAAGTGCCTCAATATGAAATTTCCCTCGGTGACTTTTACGAATAAGTGCGTCAACAGCACCAATTACTGTTGGTCCGTACCACTACGTCCCTACAGAGTGGATATGTATCCTTGTGAGTTGTGTTGTTTGTGCAGTTTGCATATATTTCACATTCTTCCCTAGTTTTTGGTGTTGTACAGAATTTCGACTGGTATGAATTTCGACTGTTGACGATGGACGGTCATGGCTTAATATTTTCAGTCCTCCACTTGGGCCAGGCGGTCAAGTATAAACTGTGGTGAATGATCCCCACAGCGACCTTCGCGGGTATCTTGGAAATTCTAGGATGGAGTGCCAGATTATGGTCGAGTCGGAACCCCAAGCTTTTGACGCCTTATGAGATCCAGTAAGTGTTCATCCAGAAGGAATCACTCGTATGCACACTTAAACATCTTCGCTGCAGAATCGTCGGCACTATAATAGCACCTACTCCGCTTGTCGCAGCCAACTTTATCATCCTTGGCAGGGTAATTACTTAAATTGGACCCCAGTACAGCCGTCTAACCCCAAGGTTATGTTAGTGTTTCTCTGATACTTCTAGCATTCGATTACTGATCTAGTGCAGATACCATCGTTTTTTGTTGCTTTGTTAGTGTCATACATTCAAGTGGTGTGAATCCTTCACATACCTCCTCTTCCTATTAGGACATTGTTTGCTTGATTGTACAAGCTGTGGGAGGTGCATCCGCTGCGCACGCCGCCAGCACGAAGACAAGCGCTTCGATGGTATGCACATCATCCTATATTGTGTCTGACATTCACATCATCGAGACAGGGTGCGAATATTATGCTAGGAGGAATTGCTGCTCAGCTTTGTGAGTGATGAGTGCTTGTGTATGCTTCTCACTAAAATTCACGACCTTCGTTTTCCAGTTGCAATAGTGGTTCATTGTCGCTTTAGCGGTTGAGACTCTCTTGCGTTTGCGATATAATCGACCCTTCCGCTACGTTGAACAACGTCGCATATTGGAGAAAGGCCCACGTGTTGTAAGTAAGAACTTGCGACTTATGCTTTGTGGCATGGCGTTCTGTACACTTTGCATATTCATTCGGCTAGTGTTCAGCATATCTTCTTATCAAGGTTATGATATGCTGAAATTTGTCCTTGGATCGGTGTACCGTATTGTGCAGCTCGCCGATGGATGGGATGAGCCAGTGATTACGACGGAGCGCTACTTTGGTGCGTTGTTACTATCATCGCCAGGAATACGCTGACAATGCTGTAGACTGGCTCGATGGTGGCATGGTGACTCTTGCCATCTACACTCTCAATTTCTTTTACCCGGGTATCTTGGTGAAGAAAGACAATCCTCTGACTCACGCTTCACAGCAATCCATCGACGAAGAATCTAGTTCGACCAAGACCTAAAACATTGAGTGCTCTTGGATTTTACTACGAAGAGACGATGGACCGTCGTATTTATCAGTAGAGCAATTGTCAAGGCGTTCTTCTATACTACTTCCACTCAAGTATCTACTTAGCAGCCTGGTTTGTGCGATTGTCGAGCATCTCTGGCATATCTTGGCATGTTATAATAACGCCTGTTTTCTATTTCCTGCCAGCTGCCATACCGGTGACTCCCATCCTTTCACTTAAGATTTCACGGTGCAGAAAGGCTTAACGTTGTAAATTTGAAGGATACCCGATATGACTAGTACTCAGGCTTGACTGGTCCAATTAATTTCCTACTATCTAAGTACTCAAGCTGAGTCAAGCAGAAGACGAGGCTGTAAACGAGTCGAGTACACAAGAACTTTAGTGAACATTGTAGTTGACGAAAACACGACAAAGTATACGAAAATAAGATAGCTGGAGCGCAAGAATATGATATCAGAGTCATTTTCACAACAGATCGCAGATCAACAACTTGAACGGTCGAGTACACAAGAACTTTGGTGAACATTCTAGTCGACAACAACATAACAAAGCATACGAAACCGAGATAGGGTATAGCTAGAGTGCACGAATATACCGGGCTCATGTTTTACAACAGTAAGAAAGAGGATCACAGATAAACAACTGGTGAACATGTAAGGTATGGCTCACGCACTTTCCTCTAACGTGTGATGGCATGTGACACGATGTGACTAGCTGTGACCTGAAACACTAGATGATCATCCTGGACGAGAACACGCTCGAATGCAAAATAAGAACACGGGACGCATCAGAACTAGTACAATTATGTAGCGTATGAGTTGTGTAGACTATTAAACAGTGAATTATCAATTAGAAATAAGTGAAATACTTAGTCAGAGCCCAGCGTTCTCGAGTTCTGCCAGAATGGAATTAGGGAGGACTCCATCACCAAAATTACCGAATTCAGAGATCACATGATATATTGGATTTTCTGACGCCGCCAATTACACATACCTGTGATATCCGACATTTGAAATATCGTCGCGACACGGTGACATCAAACATACCAGCTGTCAGACATAACTCAGCCAGTAGAGTAGCTGTCAGACATATGGCAGATACATCCCGATACATCCAATGTATTATATAGAGTAAGTGACGAAAATTGGGTGAAAGCTAAGTAAAGTACCTAAAGCGCGCCATAGCCTTCCTCCATAAGTATGTTGTCATCGAGTTCCTCACCATCGTCAGCCATAATCTTGTCCTCCTCATCGTCCAACAGGATATCGTCCTCACCCTCGTCACCCTCCTCGTCATCATCGTCCTCACCTTCCAAGTTGTTGTTGTTGTTGTTGTCCTCCTCCTCACCCTCGTCACCTTCATCAAACTCCTTGGTGATAGCGGCTTCGTCCATGTCTGTTTCGGCTTCATCGTCTGAATCTTTGGGAACGTGTCCCTCGCGCTGCAAAATGTCATCCCACTCTCGCATACCCTTATGGCCAACAGCGCCCCCTCGAAATCTCATGAACATATCTCTATCTACGAACCTAAGTAGCACATGTGTAGTTAGCGGGTAGATAGTCACCAAAAAGAAATCACATACATGTTCACATAGTATAATACCCAGTCTGGGTCTGATTCATGACGTCCGATTGTTGGAATAAGAAGTCCTTTGGGATGGCCAAAAGCAAAACCTGGAATGATATGAACACCCCGAATGACGCACTCCGGATCAAGAAATCCATTTGCATCGGGGCTTTCGTCCTCGAAAAATTGGAGGCGCTGGAGTCTCTTCGCAGTGAAGCCGGCTGGACTGGTATCACGCTTGAACCATCTAATGAATAGTAAATCGATTCGTTTAGGACGGGACCGTACCATATCAGGGGTTTCATAGTGTTCCACATTAACATGGAAAATTTTGATGAGGCGGGCATACCAGTAGGGATGAGTGCAGTCGTCCTCATGTGACATGACCATGAGGTCAGCACGAGTGCGGGGGTTGATAGAATCTTGCTCATGTCGAAGATCATATGTAGTATAGTTGACCTGAAGGATGCTGTGTTCGAATAGATTGTTGTCCGTGATGAGAACCGAGTTGCGCTCTGCATCAGAAAAGTTGTGCTTGTCGCCTTCATACAGAAGACCTTGCAGACAAGCATACAGATGGTCTTTTAGGTGAGGAATAAAGTTCTATATCACTGTATTAGATACACCTTCAAATTTAAAATGGCCAATACATACCTGGACTGCCGGATCATCACCCAGCTCACCCAACCATGCCGTGAGGTCGTAAGTTGAACGAGCAGACTTGGCGATGTGGTAATGTTCTGATGGCGAAGTCCGCATACGACGATGTCTATTAGTACCCTGCTGGTCAGCAAGCTGTGCGCGAGCATTGATGACCTTGCTACAGAGGCGCTCAATAGCATCTTGAGTTGCAATGCTTGCAGTCATAGTGGCTTTGGTCTTTGGGGTGCGAGGGTAGCGTCTTTTGAGTCGTCTATGCTCTAGTTCACCCTGTAATAGACTTGAATATATGATCAATAACATAAAAAAAAACTCACCGGTTGTGTAGTGTAATTATCTGTTGTCCCCCTCATCCTGATCGTGTTAGGGTAGTCTCCAAGCGCATGAAACTTATATGTCTCGATATTAAGTTTCTTTACCTTTGGGTGTGATGCACCCCCCTTTGCCTTAGCTGACAGACCTTGCCTGGCAGCCAGCGCAGCTTGTCGACGCCCCCAAGCGGCATGTTCATGAGGCAATTCCATGGTGACATAGGTTTCGCAAGTTGTCCGTTGAAACTTGCGAACACTCTTGCCAAGGACAACTGTTGCCGAGTCGAAAAAATCCAGAGTGTCTTCAGTATGTAGATGGAGCTTGGCGTAAGCTTGCCAGGTAGCGAGGTCGAACAAAAGGTCCAGAATTATCCTATCATTATCGGGATCTAACAGTAGATCCTCGAATACTGGGATTGTGCACTAAAATTAAGTTTGAAATTAGATATGATCAAATTATGATTGAACTCAGAGGCTCACCTGCAACAGATCTTCGAAGTCTCGCACTGCAAGATGTTTCATTGCAGAGGCGTTCCTGTGGAAACGCCTGATCATTCCTCTCCCGAATGTTGGAACACGACGGTACCTGATGTAGATAGTTCTGTAGTCAGTAATGATAATAATAAAAAAACAATGTACCTCCAGTTCAAATCCTTCACCACATTACCCCCGGCAGCATGTGCGATGCGCATCAAATGGGTGAAGATAGCCTTCCATATGCCAAGCTCGAATTTGTGTAGCATGTCCACGATGAACATCAAAAATAGATTAAATCTGAAGGCGAGAAGCTGATCTGAAAATGCATTCTAAGTTTGATTAGCAACAAGTTGAAAATAACGTATGATCAAGTACTTACACGTGTAGGCACGAGGGACTCAGAATTAAGGATCGATTTGACCCGCTTACTATCCACTGGTGCACCGCGTTGGAAAATGAGCTTGCGTGTGCGATCAATCTTGTTATGACGGGCTTGATCATCAACATGTTGAAGTGTTGATCGATCGTGCATATCACCCTCTGTTCCCATCCTGGGTACATCTGCCTTCTTGATCAGACAGCGTGGGCAAGGACATTCGCCGAGAAACTTGATTCCAGCGAGCAAGATCCTGATCTCACATCAATATAAGAAGCGTGATAATCAAAAGAAACACCTACTTCTCGGGGTAGTCAGCAGAATATGTGAAAAACCGAGGAAACACTCGGTGAATAATGCCGTCTCCACAACGGATCACGATGCCATGTTCATAAGCATGCATAAAGTCTTCGTCGAGAAGGAGCTTCCATATTGCCTGCATAAGCTCGCGTTTGCAGTGTGTGTACACCTCCGGCGAAGATGCATCCTCAAAGAACTTAAAATATGAGTCTTGAAAATCGTCCGGAATCTGAATGTTTCATAAATAAGGGTTACTTCAAGTGATTTGAAAAGACTTACTGTAGGGATGTACGCGACGTGATGGCATGCAGAAGCGGTAGGCTTCCCACGTGTGTATTTAGATTCATTACCGAAAAATACATAGAATGGCCAGAGGGAGGCATCGCCAAAATTTGAAAGGTGTGTTGAGTCGGAATACATCATGAGTGATGCTACGACATGTTCAAGATTGCTGTCCGGTTCATGGGGAAGGGAGTTGACCTCGACGTAGGCCTCCATCATCGCAGGTGAAGCATATGCCTCCGAATAGACTTTGATGCTCCGTTCTTTGGAGACTTTCCACATATGACGAAATGGTGTCATATGGAACGTTCTCGCTGCGCCATCTTCGAATACTTCTGTGATGATATCGATCAACGATCGATGGCACACACCTTTAATTTCGAGCTCGGGGGCATCATGTTCTGATGGCCACTTAGTTTTTTCTTTCGGAAGGCAAATATGAACTGACGACTCCTTCCACCTGTTCCTAGCACTGAAAGGGTTGGACCGGTCCTCGAGGTACTCTGCAATAAGTCTTTTCTCTCGGGTGGCACTGAAAATTCTTACGTCGTCCCTATTGTAAGCGTCGTCGTCGAGGAATGTTGTGAGTCGCTGCAAAGCAGCATCAGAAATCAGATTTGAGCTGGAGTATTGCCAGCACATCAGTAGACCGGCGGTTGGACTACTGAAAGCAGAGTAGAGGTTATCGGGAGTGACGGAAAATGAGAAGGGGGGGCCAGTGTGAAGGTGAGACGGAGTATTATCGGAATCTTCCCCAGTCTCATGCTGCAACATTGGCGTGTCACATATGCTATTGAGGGAGGACCGTGGAAATAGAGTGGGACGAGTAGCGTAGACTCGGTATAGTCCCATTGCATCTGGCTCTGTCTGAAAAGAAATAAGTTCATTACCGACGTGATGCACCTCTTCAGTGACAATCTCATCAGCCCGAGCTACCTCAGGCACATCTTCGCCAGGAATAAAGTCATCATATCGTCTGGGCATGCGTATAACACACCCAGAGCGATTGGAACACCGGGGAGCCGCACTGGACTCAGGTAATGGTGGGGAATGTGCAGGGGATCGTTGCGAGGGTCCAGGAATATTGTCATCCTAAAATATATTTCAAAATATTAGTCAAGAAATGAACAAACACCGAAAACATACCTGAACATCCCAGTTGTCAGTCTCCATATCACCCATATCTTCGAGGGGATCTGGAATCCCGGCTTCTTCGTCAGCCTCGTCCAAGACATCTTGGTGGTCTCGGCAGTTGATTCTTTGCCTCTTATTCTTTCGGCTCTTCTCAACACGCCGGTAAGATTTGCTGACCTGTGTGCTAAATTCATGGTGAGTATCGCACTGTGTCTCATGTATGCTCAAGTGCCTCTGACTGTTGAAAGTCTTCCCACATCCCAGGCAAGTGAGCGCATCCATGGAGAGTAGAGAGAGTGGGGGACTTCAGACAAAAAATGGGGAGGAATCAATTATATTGGTTTCGAACTATCTAAAATACAAACACTACTAAATCATGTAAGGCTGTATCAATACTTGAACAATTAGTGTGAGCCATATGGATGCACCTCATTATGGAAGCCCATTAGTGACATTCGAGGACTCGAGGACCGCAATGTGTCGTGCATAAGGTAGACTACCCCAACACCAGTCAAGTCTGAGGTCAATTAGGGAGGGCGGCAGCAGCTTCAGATATAAAACAATACAAAGGTTATGTCAATGCCAGAACAAGTGGTAAGAATCAATGGGACGCACCTTAGAACCCAATCCTCCACACTCACAGAGGCCGGCATTAGAGTATCCGGCTCGCACTCCATACTGCAACTCCTTCCTGTGGAGCAAGCCATGCGGAGTTGTTGATGGGACGGGAGAAGTGCCTGGTTGACGAGAGGGGTGAGAACTGATGCCAATGGCGACCATGCACAACTGGGTATCTTTGTGTGCTTTGAGGGTGGGATACAGGAATGGCAGGAAGGCTTGAATGCATAGTGCGAGTCCAGCCCAGATTTGAACGGAGCACGTTCTCGGCGCTGAAATGACAGAGAGAAAACAATGTTAGTGATACGGATAAATTGAAACATTACCTAGGGCTGTGGCGTGCAGAAAGAGCTTTGGGATTGCAAGGACAGGTGAGAGTTGAGTGAGAATGCGAGCATATCAAAACAAGAAGTTCGAACTTTCCGTCCCGATGGTCACGTGACTATGTTTATTAACACAAACAACGCGTCAATAAATGCCACACTCTCGCTGTTATCTTTCCTTAATCTTATATCAACACCATTAATCCCAATTAATCTTTATAATGCGCATCATCAATACTGAAGACCACCTCGACCTGGCCAACTGGACGTCATTTTTCCATGACAATGTCGTTGTGCTGGAGATCGATAACTTGCTGGCCGGATGGCCGACTTACACCCTCGATTTTACACCGGAACGCCCAGGCCTGTTGGTACGTATTTGTGATATATTTAAATTTCTCATTGATGACATTGATACTACAGAGACTAATACTGCAATTGAAGGATGCTTCGGAGTTCAGGGTGATTGAAGAGAAAGATAGTGATGATGAAGCTGACGGACAAGCCAAGAGGTGTTTTTTTCGCGTCTTATTGACTTGAATGTATACTAACATAATCCAACTTTCTAGTGACTTACAGCCTGTTACTGAGGAGGATCCAGATGCTACAATGGTCTGTGAGCCAATGCCGGCACCCAAGTAAGTTTTTTTTAGATTTGTTTGTGACATTGACTCAGCTATTATTGTGCTTGCAGGGACTCAGACATGGCTCAGTGCATCAGCGCAAAGCCCGTCGTGCTACATGTCATCCCCAAGGACCCTCCCAGTATCGTCCATATCCAGCAGAAATTTGAGAAGGAGCACGACTATATGTGGCCTCCTCACCGCGGGTTCAGGGAGAGCTCTAACCGCACATGGATCACTCAGATTGACGCGCTCATGACCTTACCCGCAGCTGTAGAAGCCTTGAAGTTGGACTAAATTTGTTCTTGTACTCTTTCGCAGTGCTCTTTTGCACATTATTGTTATTTCATTGCTGTCGCGCTCTCTGTCATGTACTAATAGTAACATCAATCACTTGTTGTAAATGTAGAACTAATTGCGCATTTCTTGTCACACATATAATATCACTGTTGAGTCCATAATCACATCGGAATTATTGATAAATTGACAAACAAACATTAATAACGCGTCAAATGTTACAACCTTATCTTTCTTTCCACACACCCACCATGGCACGTCGTAAACGCTCTGACTCGATTACCTCGTCGGATTCATCAGCATCCTCACGTAGCTTGAACTCGGTATCATCAGTGGACCCCTTACCTCCGAAGAAGGTACCAAAGAAGGGCACGAGGCCCAAGAAAAGATGCCGTTCATCAGATAATGATGAGAAAAGGGCGAGGTGAGTCTATTGATTCATTTCAAACATTCTGATCATTAATAACAACTAAATATAGGAAAAAGGAGTCCGATATTGATCCTGACGAGGAATTTCTCGCCGCTGCACGCTGCACGCTGTATAGCGCGTTGCATCGATGTGTTTTGTAAGACAAAACAATTGATTAATGTAGGTTTGGCTCTGCAGCAGCGCGATGCTGCAGAGAATGGTGATCTATCAGAAGATGAAGACACCCAGGCTTGTCGAGAGATGCGGCTCTCGAAGATGTGAGTTGATCTCAAATTTTACCATGGACTAACTCGTTTATTGTCTCAGATCACCTAAAGTTCAAGAACAATACAAGAGGAACTATGCGCGGCTACTTCACCTTGCTCCGAGTCTGAAACCTCTACTCGGCGACCCTCGTAAAGCCTCCGAGCTCAATGATATCATCAAGAAGGTGAGTGTATGCGCATATATGCATATATTATCTACTTATTTGATCCATCAGATGGATGCTACTATCTCAGGTACTCGCTCTGACGATGCCTCACATCTGAAGAGTCAAATCGGCCATTACGCGGCCTTCAACACCAAGGACCACCCAATACGTCCAGCCATATACGACGGAAGTGGTTCGCATACCCACTTGGGTATCAACCACCCTGTTCTAGCGCGCTTTCTCTGTCTGGTCAGGGAACTCAAAAGATTTTCAGAGGACGCTGACAAGTGAGTTTTTTAAAAAATTCACCTCACATTACTCTAACATTTCGTAGGGCACTTAAAGACATTCAATGTGGCAAGGTAAACTTGACTGCATTTGCACTTCCCACATTTCTATGGGCCGGAGACCCACCAGGTCAAGAATATGACGACAACAACATGTTCGAAGGCATGTTCGATGGCTACTTACTGGAGCGGGTAGGCTTTTTTTTTGGTATTGTTCTAGATTGATATTCCTTTGTTTATTAGACTATGCGGCACATTTTTACAAGTCCCTTGAGTGCATATGGAGGGGAGACACGCGCGACACACACCTGCAACGCCACTTTACACGACATGACGACGGTGGAAGCAGCACATATTGCCTATGGCTGCTTACAGGTTTGATTACTTCAAACTTAACATGCTGATGAGTTGCTCAATTTTACTCAGGTTCATTTTGGCATCAGCGCCAAGAATGCATGGTCCGAAATTGATGGTGCCTTCAACTACCGGGAATTCTACAACAACATCATCGAGCTGATTGAAGATTCACCTGATCCGGAGTGGAAAGAGAGCCCATTCAGTAACATTTTCCGACTTAGTCGGACAGCCAAAGGTTGAGATTCTGCCCAGGTAACTGGGCCATCCAAAGTGGGCCCATGGGTGGGTGGGAGCGGGTGGGCCCACAGTACAGAAATCACCGACACTGGCGGTTGGGCTGAGGTGTGAGGTCCATAGAGATGAGTGGGCCCAAAATGTGTGACCAGGTAGGCCTGCATGCTTGAGGGTGAGAATGGGCCAGGCAGATTTGCGAAAATTTTGACGGATGGGCCCAGCCAGCATGTATGCGTACATATGGGCTCGGGAAACAGGGCAACGGATGGGCCCAAAATGTGTGACCGGGTGGGCCTGCATGCTTAAGGGTGAGAATGGGCCAGGCGGATTTGCGAAAATTTTGACAGATGGGCCCAGCCCGCATGTATGTGTACATATGGGCTCGGGAAACAGAGCAACGGATGGGCCCAAAATGTGTGACCAGGTGGGCCTGCATGCCTAAGGGTGAGAATGGGCCAGGTGGATTTGCGAAAATTGTGACGGATGGGCCCAGCTTGTAGGCATGCTCGGGAACAAGGGCAACGGATGGGCCCAAAATGTGCGACCGGGTGGGCTTGCAATGCCCGAGGATAGGCCCAGCGGATTGCATGTAATCTTGAAAATCACGATGGATGGGCCCACCGTGGATTTCATCTCAGAAAAGGCAAATTGGCCCAGTGCATATGCAGATGTGGTCTCGGAAACAGTGACGGATGGGCCCAGTCCGCTGTGTTTGGACTTGGAAAAGGCAACGGACGGGCCCAGTCCCCCATGGGTAAAATAACTTCGGGTGGAGTCTCGGGGAAGGCTATGGATGGGCCCAGAACATGCTTATTTGCTCGCGAAAATGGTGGCTGATGGGCTGAATGTGCTTGGAAGGGACTCAGGAATAGACCCTTCCACCCATGAGTGTGGAATCGGAAAGGGTGACGGATGGGCCCAGCACTCGTCGTATATCGCCGAGAATGGTGGAGCCCGTAGATTTGGTCTCGGCGAAGGCGACGGGTGGACTCAACTTGTGTGTATTCCTGAGAATGGTGACGGATGTGTGCAGCATGTATGTTGCATGATGGAAAGGGGCTACGGATGGACCATCCGTCATCCCTTGCGATGGCGATGATTTCCGGGCCCATCGGGCAAAGATAACAAATTGGTCGGGTGGCAGACAGAACCTTCATGTAGTTTGTGCTCGGCCAGAGTGGCAGATAGGCAAAGACCCTTACCGACCCTGGGTTCTGATGACGTCCCAATGATAGGTCCGCCGGGCACTTCCGACATCCTATTTGCGCCTTGGCGGAATATAGTGTATCGTCCGCAGGGCTGACGCCATTTGATGGGCCATTAACATTCGCTGGGCCGTCCGAGATGCCCTTCATTAACGAAGAGTTGGCATCGCCGGACCCGTCCGATATCCTGTTTGCACGAGGGCCAATTATGCTTCCTCCGTCCCGCTCATATGTCCGCTGGGCCATTGATTTATAATCGGCTAGGGCGCCATCAATGGAACCTCGGACTGTCACAGACATTGCTCTTGATGCCTTCCTCTATTTATAATGTTTGCTGTCTGGAATGCATCGGGATGTCCGAGCGATCTTTTGCACAAGACTACGATCTCCGGCTAGAAGTCAACACAGCCAACAATGTCCTTATTATGTGATTGATGCATCGGACACAAACCACATGGGTGAGAAGTGGGTTAAGGCTTGTTGCGGTTGCAGATGGCGGTGCAAAGGCAATGTATGGATCGGCCCAGAGAGTGCTGATACAGAGGGGCCCAACTGGCCCAGCCCATACACATTCATAGCACGGATCGGCCCAATGCAGAAGTATCTGGCACAACCAGTTGTTCTGAACCTAGTGCATAGAAACTCTATATGCAGATCGGCCCAGTGCACAAGTACCCGGAGGAGCCCAACTGGTCATTCTGGTACCAATTCGGCGTGCGGATCAGGCCCAGTGGGTAAATTGTAGGCCCAGTATGTGTGTATCTTGATTTGGGCAACTTCCGGAAGGCTTAAGCGACACGATGTGCCACCCATTGATATTGCATTGCGGCAGGGAAAACGGAAGGGCCCAGCTAGTCGTTTTGAGCACAATCGGTGAGTTTAATTAATGCATATACATTGATGCTCGGGACATGTTGACGGATGTGCTCAGTCAGTAATATAATATATCAGCCAAGCAAGTAAGTAATGCATTCAGGTCTCGTTGGGGCTTGGGAATGTTGGGGCCGGAACACGAACATGCTGTTTTGGACTCTAAGTAGTCAGCATCATACCTCGGTAGTTTAAAATCTTGGCAAAATATCATCGAGCACCAGTAGTCCCGGATGTTGATGGCGACGTGGGCCTTTACAAAGGTGACTCCGAATGCGAACTCCCGAATGGATATGTCTCATTATAAACAGAAATTTTCAGCACTGTATCGGTATTAAATAGATTGGTTGTCGCTATTCAGAACTGCACCGTGATGACTGGTTCCAGAAGCTAGTACAATCAGACAACCACATATCAGGTCATCACCACTTGATATGGTGGGTGATCACAATCAGTTCCGGATGCACCTTCTGTGTATGATGCTAAATCATGTTGGATATACGCAGGCGCCGTCTGGCCAGTATCACGGTGATTCGCGGAACCAAGAGGGTACTCCTATTGCCCAGCTCACACTTTCGTCCACCGGACTCCTGGATGCACTTGCCGGTACAATAATCTCATGTGAAGATGATTTGCACATGCTCAGGTCCCAACTTTTAGTTAGAATGAAGCAACACTATGATTTGACAAAGATCTGATAACAATACCACATACACAATTTGCATGGACTCAACTTATTGAACTCGGATACAAATGCAGCGCCAGGCTGAACATGCAATATTCTAACAGTACACAGTCCTCCGGAATATCTACAGTACATGCGGGGGTCCCGCGATCAGATCCATCCTATATAACTAGTGACTATTTAAAGTCATCATAACGTCGTCCATCTATTTTAGGGATTCCAAAGATTTCCACCGGGCATCAGATTCGTTGAGCCGTTGCTCTAACTCGTCCAACCGCTGAAGCAGGTTGGTCTCAACTGAACCCACTCTGACCTCCAACGCGTCTACCCGCTCATTGGCGGCGAGGAGATCCAACCTCCGACCGAGGTCCTGGATGCCCTGCAAGATTTCTCTTGCGGTGGGCTCTGGTTCCAGCAGGTTGGTGGGTGCAGGTGATTGCCGGTGTTCCGGCTGTATTTGAGCCTGACCTGGAAGGACCTCAGTGGGCTTTTTCTCTGCTCCTACCGAATCCAATGAGCTCAACTCGTTCCGAGGCCACGAGAAAACATACCTTTGCTACCAGCAATGCTCCATTGAGAGCGAGAAGGATGCGCCGCAAATTTTTCGGAGACAGCTTGGGACTTGGACGTCTTGGGGGTTTTGCACGCATCAGAGGATGCTTTCGCCGCATTACCTTGCAACCTCTGCCGGACACCAACACCGTCAATTGCGCACGCGATCTTCATGTTGTCGCAATTGGCGCAGGCGAGGCATGTGTACCCGAATTTCTTGTCGGGGAGGACAAGGCAGGCTATGTCCAACTTGGCACACTTGTCGCAGCGCCGGGGGTGGTAACGAACAGAATGCTTCAAATTCATTAGCCCGTGTTTATAACGATGCATACACAGACTTACCTGCCAAGGAGTAGCGACATCAGAATCCGAGCCCCATTCTGCAGGCTTAAAAATGGCTCAACGTCCGCGCTATGCTTATGTGAGAATCACTTACCCGAGTTTCTGCATCCAGGAAATCCTTGTCTGCGACTAGCAGAACGTCCTTGTCAGTAGCGACAGGCGGCAATTCCTGGAGCGGTAAGCTGTTAGATGCCTGATCAAAGATGAATGGACATACCCTTCGTTTTACATGGATGACTCCTCCGGTTGGCTCTTTTTCGACATCGGACTTCACCTTCCTCATCTTTTTGGCAACTGTGGTCCCATCAGTATCTTCATCTTCCGCCTTCCTCTTCTTGCTATTGCCGGCCGCGAAAGCTATCTTCCACTGTTCCCTCTCAGCTTTTGGAAAATACAAGTGTCGGTATCTTAGGGGCGGATGTGCTGGATGACCGACACGGGGCGGGTTCTTGGCCGCTCGCACCCGTCGTTTCGGTTCCTCTACTGGTTTAGCGATGACATCCAGGTCCGTTTGGGATGGCATAGATGGCGGAGTCGAGGGAGTCGATGGTGGGACGATGAGGGCCGGTGCTATTGGGACGGTGGCGGGAATATTAGTCGATGTCGCGATGGCGGGAATGTTAAATGTGGAGGGGGGGCGATCGTCCACGGTCTTCTCGAATCGTGGGTGGTTCTTTATCCGAGGGTCGTCGTTGGTGACGGAGGTCCAGTCGGGGACGTTTTCAAAGGCCCTGCCCTTTGAGTGCTGTCTCACAACGGCGGCAAATGAGAGTAGCTGTGGGGAGAATGATGTAGCATTCCCACTGTATAGTTTTAAGTCTTTTGCCTGTGTCGAATGTCTTAGTTTAACACGGAGAATTTGAAATAAACGTAACAAACACTCACCACACGCCTGGCAATCTCGTCTGACAGCCTTAAGGCCTCGGGATCACCCTTCTTCACCTTGATGCAGCGCTGAACGAGCGATTGCACGACAGTGAGCGTGGCATTCAGGGCATCATTTGCTACTTCGGGAGGTACGGCCATGATGTCTGATTTGAAAGAAAACACGGTAGTGAACAGGGTAAATACGGCAGATATGAGAAGTTGACTTGGAAAATTCCGACAAGTCTGGATTGTAATCAATCAGGTCATGAGTAATGCTGGGGACTTGTGGCTTGTGGATAGGGAAATGTGGATCAGTGGCAACGGTATTGTACTTGGGAGTGGTTCTATTATTGTCCTATGCATTCGGATGTAATACTAATAATCCATCCACCAATGTCCGGATAAACCGATACTGCATGTTTGAATGAGCCAGACTGTCTGCTGCCCTGCATCCACCCATCTTGGTCAGGTTGCAATTAAACTTCTTATGCTCATTTTCCCCACGATTTCCACATGTGATACTTCTGAAACCCTATGCTCGGATCCACTGGCCAGAACTTATTTGTTGTCAAAACCCCATTACTTATCCGCCGCCCAGCTTATACAATTTTGTCACTGCATTGCAATTATTCTACTAGTAGCAGTTGTGAATGCATTTGACAAGTGCGGCCGAACAAGTAGCCTATGTAACAGATAACTACTGATATGATTTATATATGAAATGAGCTAGCTAATTTGGCAATTGTAGCCCAGTAGTAGTGCTGCCGTGGTCAGATTCGGTCCAGTTCAGAGGGTCATTGAGGAGAACCCAGAACTGGACCAGCGATTCAGTTCTACGAAATGTCCGAACCCATAACCAGACCACGGAGAACCGTTCTCTGTGGTTCAGTTTGGTTTTGTTGCATTCCGAACCAAAACCGGACCCAAAATTCTTTAGTAGAGTCCGAATGCTGTGATGGAAAGGTGAAACAGGTTCTGGCAGGCTTTCTGCGATTCAATCAAAGCATAGGGCATCTATGACAAGCAGGTCAGCTCTTTTGTGGGCAGCGAGTGAAGTGAAGGCGTCTACACTTATGTCGGGGAGTGCGAGTCAATTGAGGAGGGATCCCTTTGCAAATAGATAAATCCCAGCTAGGTGAACGCATAGCACCCAAAACAAGATACATTGCGGTGCTATCAATTTCAATGCTGAGCGTCCGCTCAACGTCACTGAATGCAGTAAGGATTGAGAATGCTCCATTTTACGAAAAAGTTGGCTGTCTATGAGATATCAGGTCTATGAACAACTTCTTACAACTATATATTAAGAAATTGGCCGGAAGGTTGGATTTGTCTTTATAAAGCCAGCCTGTGTGTGTTTGGCAAGTTCTTGGTACATATGGGCCTGCCGAATCGCATAACACTTGTGTCCCTCCGTTTGTGCCTCGCTGTTCGATGTGAGCCTTGTCAACCACGTGCTTGCTTTGAAGAGGAAAAACTCCAGAGTCCACCCCATTTCATGTTCAACGAGTATGAGTTCTTCCGCCCATCGGTCACATAATGCTTTCGTGCGAAGCCAATGAACCCTGTAAACTGTCATGTCTTGAGCCTCGGCTCGAAATATCCGGATTACAACTGACATACATTCATTCATCCAATCGCTGCTGACAGAATCGCCTTGTACGTCTAGCGACCAGAACCACGGGAGAGTTGCATTTCGCTGCCCCCGGGCATTCGGGTCCGCCACGGTGTTACGCTGACCGTCGGTCAGCGTGTGCGAACTAGGATAGGTCTTCTCAGCGACGACTCGAGTGAGTCTACTGAAGCTGAGCGTGGTCTGGCCTTGACGGAACGTCAAGGATTCCTCCGGCGATCTCGGTAAGACGGCGCTCGTCGAGATGCAGGACTAGCGGATACGTGCTAAGTCGTATGGGGGCGACTTAGAAGTGCGGTCTCACACAAGGAAGCAGTTAAGCTTAGATGAGCAAGTTCTGGGGATGAACCTAGTAGATTAAAGTAAAGTCTAAGTACAATAATCTGTGTCTACTTATAGGGAAGTACTACAAGTATTCTAGCTCAGTCTGTAATCAATAGTATATCGTAAATCTATGATAGCGAGACATGAGGTTCAGATAAGATACATGAGGCTTAACCTCTGATCAAGCATGCTGCGCCAAGGGCAGCTGCGCATAGGTACAGGAAGCGCCAAGCGCGCTCCGGATCTTCATGAAGCGACATGCATTATGCATGCGCTGATCTAGGGTGTCCATGAGGCGTACAGCCTTCATGGATCAGGTACAAGGCCGTCTAGGCCAGGGGCGGGGTCATAGCGCCAGGGGGCAGGGTCATAGCGGTCCAGACCGCTGTCTTTCTAGGCGCGGGCGGCGCACCGGCGCGCGGGGAGTCTAGCAGAGCGGGGGCAGGCGTAGGGAGAGCTGGGGCTCTAGTAGGTGTTACAGATCCCTGTAACATTACCCCGTTACTAAGGTTGAAGTCACCGGCTTCAATCAACACTGCGTCCAATGGCTGGGAGGACGGTGCGGGTGTCGAGGGAGTTGCTGGCACAGGCGTCAAGGGTATCGGCGTCGCGGGCATAGGGGAAGGTGGAATGGGGAAGGCGAGCGCGAGGTTGGCGAGTGCTTTATGGTTCTGCTCCCAATCTAAGAGAGCTTCGAAAACTTCTCTTCATCTGAAAACTCTTGGAGCACGATGCGTCCCTTGAGTCCAGGGCAGTGGATCAATAAGTGATCCGGTCCAATCTCGCTGCAGATGCAGCAGACGTAATCAGGACACTGTCTAAAAGTGTGCCCATATCCTCCGCAGTGTTTGCAAAGCGTGCGGGTTCTATCCATCGTGGCCGCTCTCTTTCTAGGTAGCGGGCGCACGGGTCTAGTTTCTTCTTCGGCGCGAGGCTTTGTCATGGCCGTCCTAACCGCGAGGTTTACAAGGTCGGAGAAGTCGAGCGGTAGGAGGTGAAGCGCCATTGCGCGAATTCTTTTCTGAAGGTGGAGTACGGCGAGTGTACGAGTTCCTTCGTCCATGTCTGTATGAAGTGCGGCTTCTTCTAGCAACTTCGTGGTCTTTATGATGTGCACGGCGAGGGAGGTGCTCGTGGCAACGGTTGCGCTCATCTCACCGAGGATGTTGTCGATCTCTCGGGAGTACGCGGGGGTGAGGATGGCGGTTTCGCTGAACGCGCAATTCTCAATCGTGCTGAGGATTCGTCCGTAGTCGGAGTCCTTCAGCGTCACGATGGTAGGGGTTTCGGTAGGAGTCGTCATGATAGTGGGAGTTTCTGAGGAATGTTGGCCGTAGGGAGAGTGTCTTTATGTGTTCCTCCAGGTCGTTCCAAGCTCCGCTTGAGTCAGACTTATCTTTCGTTTGAACCCTATCAAAGTTCAATCAGCGAGGGCGTGTTGCTCCTCGTGTTCTAATCTATGCATCAGAGGGTGATAATCATTGCCATGATGGGTGGGCGCGTTCCGTTATCTATTGTTGATTCGGTCAGCGGATCTAGAGGATCTAGCGGGCTTGCAGGAGTTTCCGAAAGGTTCGCCTCGTGATAGTTTAAACGTCTTTCCGGACGATCAGGGGAAGGTAAGGGCCATGAGGCTTGCAGGAGTTTCTCTGGGGATTCCCTCGTCTTCGTCGTCTTCTTGATCTTTTGTTAAAGGTCTTAACGTGGATTGTCGAAGGGTGGTCTAGTTTAAGCGTCGTTTCGGACATACGGTGTCTTAACCTTTTGTTAGTTACTACGCGAGGTCGAGGACAGGGGGGTATCCAAGCATAGGGGGCCGGAGGGTGTCCGGGGTCGTCCAGCGAGGAAGATAGTTTAATGTCTTTCCGGACAATCGCGCAGTTTATAGTCGTGCTGGACTCGGACCTAGTTTATAGTCGTAGCGGACTTGGGTCTAGTTTAGTGTCATAGTGGACATGTCGGCGAGAATCGAAAGGGGTAGAGACCTATTAGATAGAAAAAGGTGTGGAAAAGGTAAAACAATGATGAATTTACCCCGTCACTAGGACGTTGATCTACCACGATTAACTAAATTAAAAGTCCAATTCGAGTTCTCCGCAGTCAGGGTCGTCAGAAGGAGAGGCGAAAATGAAATCGCCGATCGTCCGAATATATGAGGATCCGGGGTAGTCTTCTTCGTCAGAATCGGAGTCGGACTCAATAGAGTCCTCATCAGCCGATAAGGCTGGTTCTAGAAGCGCTGGGGGCGTCAGAGGACGCGCATTCAAGCGCTGAATCACCATGTTGAAATAGCTTTCGACTGGGTTCTGGTCGGGTTCAACCGACGACATTTGCGTGTCGGTTGCTGGGGGTGTCGCGGGGCTTACAGCATGGCCCGGTTCGGTGTCTTCGCTGTCGGACATAGGCATGTCCTGGTGACAGAGAGGGACGGGTTCTTCGTTATCGAACCGGAGTTTCTTGGCTGCCGGTCGATCTTCCGTGAAGACGGCTCTTCCTTTTCCGAGAACAGATACTGGCTCTCCGGAAAACATAAACTTCGTCTGAGTTTTCTCTGGTTCAGGGGCCAGTCTAAGGTGCTTGGCAGGGGGTGGCTCTGCGGTAGCGATAGCGCGTCCTTTGCCAAGGACAGACGCGGGTTCTGCCGAGAATGTTACTTTTGGCTCAGAGGCGATGGAAGGCCTCTTCTTTTCATTTAGAGTCGGGAAGGGGTTCTTGTTACGGTACACTAATTCTCTCCGTTTCTCCTTTATTACCGGACAATGGTACATGGATACGGCTCTTAACGAGCGACCAATCACCTTTCAGACCCTTACTCATATCATCACCAAGCTGACCTTCCATACTAGTAACCATCACTATGTCTAGCCGACTATCTCTTATCAAGCGGGCTGTCCGCACCATGGTTACTATCTCTTATCTCTTATCGTTTATCTCTTATCACCTACCAAGCGGGCTGTCCGCCTTCTATCTTGATACGCATTTACAAAGCTCCGCTTGAACTCACGCTATATAGATACATAGTGTACCACATGTAGTTCCTCACTTTAATCTACTGGGTTTTACCTGGAACAAGTCCTTTAGCAAGGTCTCCAACCTTGCTATCTAAGAACCACCATTCTAAGGAAGTCGCCGATACTTGCCTTAGCCAGAAACCTTTGACCTCTCACTCGAGAGAAGAACCACGTCTGTCTCGCCGAATCTCAGTCCACTCGGACTAAGACAGCTCGACATACCCCAGTCGTAACAGTTCTTCGGGACTGATGGGGGCGCCAAAGACGTAGAAGTCTTGGCGGCTTGGCTCCTCACAGCTTCTTCGGGCTGTGGTGCGGTCTGCTGCGGCTGAGAGGTTGCGGCAGTCTGGGGTGTGGGTCCTTCTTCGGGGATTTCCACAATCGTGGCATAGGGCATGGCAGCCGGTGCCGGTGCTAGTTTATACTCTTTACGGAGTTTCTTCTTCGTCTGGGAGCGGTCAGCGACTCGCTTATCTTTCTTCTGGAAGAGGGGCGTCAGGCCGTTCTTCTTCCTTTCTAAATCTATATCCCGCTCCATGTCTCTGGATTCGGGAGTGGTGGCGAGGGTCAGGGTGGACGCCGTCCAATCTATGCTAGGGTTGTTGGCGGTTAGCCATGGTTGCCCAAGCAGGAATTTATCTGAGTATGATAACTCAGCGAGATAAAACCTAACAGGCGTTACTCGTTCATCGATTTTGACCGTGAGGGTGCAATATCGGGAGATAGGCCCTCCGGCCGTAGTAGATCCGTCCGCGTTAGTTACCGTGAGGGGCTTCTTTAGCGGGTGCGAGGAGATGCGGTGCTTCTTGCAATAATCCTTATGGATGAAGGATCGGCAGGCACCCGAGTCAACGACCATAGAAGTCGTTATCGGTGCTTCTCTTCTTTCTGAAATCAAGGTTACTGGAACCCTAAATTCGCGTTTCTTACCGATGGTCTTAATTGACCTAATCGGGTCTTCATCGACAATCTTTCTCCTATCTCGGCAGAGATTGTCACTGGCACGGTGGCCGGTCGCGTTGCAGTTGAAGCATCGCCTGCTGTTAAGGCGAATGCGGATTTCTTTCCCGTTGAGATGGGAGGCCGCGGCGATCTTCGTGCGTGTGGATGAGGGTCGGGCTTCATTCTTTTCTCGCCTGGCCAAGGCGGTCTTCGATTGATTCTTTTCTCACCGTATCATGGCGGTCTTCATCGTCAGCGCCTTCTTCGGGGACACTACGAGTGTACGGCGCTCTTCTTCGGGAGTCGTCCGTGAGGATGATGCGATATTGTTGACGTAAGGCATGTCCTATCTATACAATGCTGGTCGAGGCAAGGTGCGTATCTGGGTGTGCGTCGCGTAGATAGGCGACAATTAGATAGACTTTAATCTTTTGTTACGCTGACCGTCGGTCGGCGTGTGCGAACTAGGATAGGTCTTCTCAGCGATGACTCGAGTGAGTCTACTGAAGCTGAGCGTGGTCTGGCCTTGACGGAACGTCAAGGATTCCTCCGGCGATCTCGGTAAGACGGCGCTCGTCGAGATGCAGGACTAGCGGATACGTGCTAAGTCATATGGGGGCGACTTAGAAGTGCGGTCTCACACAAGGAAGCAGTTAAGCTTAGATGAGCAAGTTCTGGGGATGAACCTAGTAGATTAAAGTAAAGTCTAAGTACAATAATCTGTGTCTACTTATAGGGAAGTACTACAAGTATTCTAGCTCAGTCTGTAATCAATAGTATATCGTAAATCTATGATAGCAAGACATGAGGTTCAGATAAGATACATGAGGCTTAACCTCTGATCAAGCATGCTGCGCCAAGGGCAGCTGCGCATAGGTACAGGAAGCGCCAAGCGCGCTCCGGATCTTCATGAAGCGACATGCATTATGCATGCGCTGATCTAGGGTGTCCATGAGGCGTACAGCCTTCATGGATCAGGTACAAGGCCGTCTAGGCCAGAGGCGGGGTCATAGCGCCAGGGGGCAGGGTCATAGCGGTCCAGACCGCTGTCTTTCTAGGCGCGGGCGGCGCACCGGCGCGTGGGGAGTCTAGCAGAGAGGGGGCAGGCGTAGGGAGAGCTGGGGCTCTAGTAGGTGTTACAGATCCCTGTAACACACGGCAGCAGTGGTTTTGAGATGGCACTTTTCCATCCGGAGATACTTCTTAAGTAGGCCATGAGCGTCTAGGTTTCCTAGTTGTGCCCGACATTTCATATAAATCATCGTGTTGAGTTGGATGACCCTTTCAACCGAATGAACCTGCGTCCATGCCCTCGTTGACTTGGCTTGTGATTTCGCCGGATGCACGGCGGTACGAAAGAGCACAGCCTTATCCGCTAGATGCATTCTGATCGCTTGCAAGGCATCGTTGGCCTGACCTTCCCGAAGTGCAATTTCCTGACCAATGAGGTGTTCAACTCCCAGCTCCGCACAGCGTGCTACGCCGAAATTAGATGGCAGAGGTATCACGGTCTTCTCGGGGTAGAAGAGATCCCGCAGCCGACGTCCATGTGCTTCGGGTTCAGATTCTGTATCACTGCCATTAATCCCTTCATCTTCTGAATCGTCATCCATGAAGTCCAAGTGAAGATCTCTGATTTCATCATCAATGTCAAAGCCCTCGCCGAGATGTGTCGCTGCCACCATTGTAAACTCATCTATCCGACTTTGCAATTTTGTCCGACGTCTGCATATATCCAAGGTTTGGGTTTCCGTGGGGTGTCTGCCAAGCCTCCTAGTATCCATAGTCAGCGCAATCTGCATCTCTTCTATGGTAATGCCGGATGCAATCCATGTAGCAGCACCTCGTTGCAGATTCCCACCCAATCGGCCTACCCGGGAGGACAGCAAAGCTAGCTCCTGCTGCTTCCGAGTTGGTGCTGGTCCATGCAATCAGTTTTGTGGGGCGGACGCTGAGGGAGCAGAAACTCACCCCTCTTTAACTGAACTTCAAATACATCCATCGCTGATGGATCAGCGACTCGACATGAATGTGCATATTGGTCTTGTTCTTCCCATGTTGCAATCATGATAGGATCGGCGGTTTCGTTGAGCTTGTCAAAAGCAGAGGCACTTTCTGCGACGCCCTTCATAGCTTCCTTATATTTCCGGCAAAGAAAACTGCCTATATCAATGCCATTAGAAAATCTTCACCAAGGAGATTCATAGCTCAACTCATGCGAATCATCTTCATAAAATTAGAGTCATTCATCTGGTAATCAAGACACTCTTGCTGATGGGGAGTCGACATCCCTCTCGCGGCGGGAGAAATGATATTCAGAGGCGCCCACAACATCTCCATGATTTCTCCGTCGATCCTAGCAGCCCCGGTGATAAACGTTGATGCGTACCGAACATAGCATTTGTCTTGGTGTCCATGAACATGCCAGAGGCCAATTCCCGGTATGATCTCCATTCCAGAAGGGAGGCTCAAATAGAGGCTCTCGTTCACCCGACGCCGGAAGTGCTTGTTATACTGACAATTAATGTCATAAAATGTCAAAGCTTGACTAAGCCCATTTGTGCGGTGGCTTAACGCGTTACATAGGGCGTAGTCCATATTCATTTGCCTAATCATGGAAGTCACCTCGTGAATCAAATCGGTGGAATCCTGAAACATACCGTTCGCCCTTTTGAAAATCCACAACTGAATGAGGTACAAAACAGCCGTGGCGGGCACACGCACACCTGCCTATCCCGGTAGCTTCTAGTTTGTGTCGTGACGCATTGGCCTGGTTTACAGCTCGGTGATTGTTGCACTCGGATGGTTGAACAATGTCTTTGGCAATGGCTAGATGAGCCTTATATCGGTCTTTGGAAACCATGAAGCACTGGCCATCAGTCAACCAGACTTCATCTTCCGGGTGAGTAGGATGAAGGTGCTCTGCTTTGAAGTTGCCATCCATGACCAGCGATCGGGCATATAGCCAACTGGGATCATCGGGGTGCCTATTGGCCGGTAGTGGGGCGTTAATGCCGGGCTGAGGGCAAGCCGGGCAAAAGAGAGCGAGTTCACCTGGATGTCGGCCTTCTTCTCTCATAACCAAACCCATTCCATTTGAGCAGCTTCAGCTGTCGCCATTGCTGTGCTACCCTCATCAGTTCTCTGTAACGGTCCTGTGGGGAATTGAGCTTTGATGATGTTGAATTTCTATATGCAACACCTACAGGGACTAGTTGCGGAAATATACTTGACGTCATTCTTCTCAACTTGTTGTAGTAATTCATTGCCGAAGTTCCGCATTCCAAGTTGTCCAAGGTGAAACCATCCAGCACCAGAAAGGTAAATGCGGTCTTTGGCCGGGTGAAGGATGCCGGAAACATGCCCATCTCAAATAATTGCTTGTCGGTGGTACAAGCATTCAGACACTGACAAAACCGTATCATGAGCGAATGTACTCCGGACTTGTCAACAATGGTTATGCATTGCTTGCCGTTCAAGAATGGAAGTTCGAGTATGGTAGGGAGGTCCTCTTCCGGTTGATGTATTGGCTCGTTGGTGTCCTCCCATTCGTGGATTTCCCCAAGTACTGGACAAGGCTTTCCCTGATGCCCCAAATAAATTTCCATGCCCATCTTAGTCAGAGATGTTTCCTCAAAAAATCCTCCATTCCATTTCCCTATCTTATGGAAGGGCAGTCTCCGGTGCTCATCTCTGCAGCACTTCAAACAAAATAATGGTTCGCCGAGACAGTCGTGGCACCTATACACAGTTGACTCAGCACTGCACAGGCAGCATGATTTATCTGCTGGTGGAGCCTCTCGTTCATGGAGGATCCGGAGGTAATCATCAGTCCAAATTTCCATTCCCGGAGATAATCATTTGGGCTCTAGGACATCGGTCAGCGCAAAACAAATGGCATGAACATTGTAGTGCACCTTTGTCTTCTTTCTCCCTAACGGTAAGTTGAGCGCACCAATTGGTTCCTTATTACCAAAGTCCTCATAGTCAGCATTGAAATTGGTTGATGATTGATCCCATGCCCTATCGGAATTATGTTTTCTGGGAGACTTTGCTGGAGATGATTGCACAGATGGGCTTGGCTGACTGGGTTTGACTGGACACAACTTCCCTTTCAAGCCGCGAGTGGTCTCTGTTGTTTTCCATGTCACCCATTGCGCCGTTCCCCATGGAGCCAATGTCCTTGCCCTAGACTTGCCCATGTGGTGACTGGAGACTTGTGTGAATTTTAAGACAAGCAAAATTTGCATGCTAACGCTTGGCTCGCTTAATAGCCAAATGAAGCGCAAATTAAGTAAAGGTCATGATTTTAAATAAGACCCCATTCAAAATAACCTTGTCCTTCAATGATGTCCGACCACAACTCTGCCTCTGATTCAGAGTCCAACAAACAACCTCCAGCAAATGAAGAAGAGGTTGCTGTCCTGCAATCTTACCTCGAGCAATGGCACTCTGCTTCTACATCGGAGCGCAAGAATATATTGAAAGCAGCTACAATGGAAGCCCGGACAAAAGCACCAGTCATGTCAATTGTGCTGTTCAAGGCTCGTAAAGCGGTGCGTGGCCATTAATTTTTTGGTATATGATACGCTCCTCATCGTTATTCAGACATATGAGACATGGTTCCACAACCATGCCAAAGTGAAGAAACCAGGGAAACCCCCGATCAAGATGGGGCAGAAATGGACCGAGAGAAGCGTCATAGACACACTCCGGAAAAAGGAGCTCTTGAAGAAAATCGAGGACGAGACTGGTGCCAAACCCGGAACAAAGGAGATGATGAACCATTACACAGTCCACCTAAACCGGCTGATGGCATCACTTTCACCGGAAGACCTTCAAGAAGCCAAAGAGACGGCCGATGAATGGAATAGTCAAGGTGTTCCAGACGATGTCAAAGTCGAGATCGCGAGAAAGAAGGGCGACAACATGATCCGACATTTTTCATCGGAGATGTGGAACCGCGCGGGAATGAGAGTGTTCGTTTTATCAGCTTGGAAGGATGGAGAGAGCAAGGTCCAGGTGGCCGGGTGCATTTTCCGACCACTGTGATCCACAACGTCTCACCCCACAGACAGACATGACTATAACCAAGAGTTCGGTGGTGCCGAGTCGTTCATGAAGAGTTACAACTGGAAAGTGATTGAGCCAGAATGGGACGCATATGCCGCCAGTGTATTCGGTAAGCCACTTCATTATGTATCCGGTGCAAACTGACTGTGATCAGAGGGCGATGTGGACGAGAATCCGGTTGCTCGGAAGAAAGGCAGACAGGACAACACGTATACCCTTGACATCAGAGATGATAGATATCCTGTAATCCCTGAATACGTATCCATGGACTTAGATACAAAGAAGGCAGTCGTCCGGGCATTTTTGACATGGCACTACAGTGCGTCGATTTCCTTCTTCCGGTGAATTCAGTGACTCAAACAACATGAAGGGACGTGCTGTGGGGACCCTAAAGTTTCTATACCATGGAAGTATGTGATACCCAGGTACGACAAGATCATTCCCGTACAATATCTTCTGGAAGGTCACAATCTCGCCGAGCCATCAAAGCTAAGGCAGGTCCACGCCACAGAGCTTTTACGATTTTGGTATAGGAGACAGGAAGAAGGCGAAGAGCACGTCTTCGAATTTACAGGATGGTGGGACAATGATAACCAGGATATCGTCCTTGCGACCGACCACAATAGGCGTGTCACAAGCCGGGCACAGCCAACCACCCAGATGAAGAAGCCATCGGGATCAAAGTCGAAGAAGCATGGCCATCATGGGCAATCCACAGGTGGACAATCTTCTGGTAAAAAGGGGAGCAACGATGAGCCAGCCCCTGCACATCGTTCCGGAGTCAAGGCAACAAAGAGCGCCTCATCTACAACTCCCCGAAACAAGAGCGAGGGATCTAAGAACAAATGCACGTCTTCCGACAAGGACATAGATCATATCGGGACAACCAATGAGTCCTCTGCCGAACCATCTGAGCAATCGGATGATGATGTACTGCCTTCACAGAAAGGAAGGCAGTTGAAGGGGAGGAAGTCGCATACGGGGTTGCCGAGGCACCGCTACCGAGCGTCTGTCATGAGTAGCAATGACTCTGACAGTGAGGTCGAACAGAATCTCCCTCAAAAGGCCCTTGCACCTTCAGACAAACATGTCAAGATGGATATGGTAAAAAATAGCAAAGCTCGGATCCTCGATATCAGCTCGACGGATAGCAGCACGATAGATGATGTCAAACAGACTGCAAAGTTTACTGCACGCGAGGGATCTAAATCCGGCATCACACGACCGGTGATACCACCCGCCCGCACGGTAGGACCAGCCTCCCGGTCTGGCGGTGCTGCACCCGGCTACCGGGCGAATGCCAGTCACGTGGAATCCGCATCAACAAGGACAGCGGAACCTGCAATGCCCATAGCACGCCATCTGACCGGTAAAGAACATGCAAAGAAGGGAGGAAGGAAACGTGCTGCCGAAGAAACTTTAGAAGGGTCGCCTCCTAAAAGGAAAAGAGGCCGAGCAATTGTAAAACAGGTCACCAAGAATGAGATAGAGCCCGTGGCGAAGAGACTGAAGAAACGGGTCGCTGAAGAATCCATGGAAGGATCTTCTTCAAAACGCACCCGGAGCAAAACATCCAACCGCCTTCCCACAATGCGTACGCGCAAGCCAAACTCCCGATATGCTACTGACTACGTAAGAACTTGAGCACAAAATTATGCTGCATGGTTTGTATCATAACTCTCTATTCCGGTTTTCCTCGGATACAGAGACATGGACATTGTACATTTTGTTTGTATGGTGATACATAATGCTACTACTACATGGTTCTTTCTATGAATGAAAGTTATAAATCCTCTCAAATCAACCGATGTCTACCGATCACCTTGCTGAAGGTTTGTTATCATGGCATCCAACGGATCCATAATGCGCCTGTGGATGTCCAGCAATCGGTAGATTGCAACAACATCCTCACCGAGCTCTGTCACTCTGTCCCGCACGTCTGCATATGCACCTATGAGCCTTTGGTTCGCCCGCAATGTGGCTGCCGGAAGTGAGTTGGGCATGCCAGCAGGATTTTGCTTGACCATATTTTGTGTAGATGCATTTCCTGTTCCAAATATATGTAAGGTATAACCATTCTACAAGTCACTACGACTTACGCTGATCAGTACCGATGCTGTTCAGGCGCTGGATGGCACGGTGCATCGACAGGCTGGCCTCCTGAAACGTGTTCCATTGGGACACTCCGTGTGAAGATGCTGAGCAAGCTACACGATTAGCAGCATATACAACATATCCGAAAACACTCACATCCAGCATCCGACGTGAGGTCGATTACTTCCGGTATCTCTATGCTCATCGGCCCATATCTGGCGTCTCTTGTTGATTTGGGAGCTGCAATGCGATTAGCGACAAGTATAGAATATCAGGACTAACTTACATCCAGAAGACAATGTCAGGTCGATTATATAAAGCCCATCCATCGGCGTCGGACTGTTCGTCCGGCAACCGATTTGTCTGTTTTGAGGGTCATGTCTTGATGCAATATGCTGGTTGTCGGCATCACTTCCCCATCCGCAGTCATAAGGGTCCTCCGGAATCGCGACCAGGGACGCACTGTCGGCATCTTTTTCTTCCTCCCATCCGCAATCGTACAGGTCTTCTGTTGCAACACTGGAGATGAATGCTGCACCATCATCCTGCTGATCACTCCATCCGCAGTCGTATGGATCTTCTGCGCATTCAACTGTCATAACCGAGTCCGTGAGCCCCGCACCATCATCCGGTCGATGCTCCCATCCACAATCGTATGGATCGTCTTGATGGCCGAGAGTCATCGACGAGGCCGTGGGTTGCGCATCTACAGCATCCTCCCATCCGCAGTCGTACGCGTCTTCTTCCTCAACCATAGGTAGACCCGGTACCAGACCATTCTTCGACTCATCCTCCCGTTCAAAGTTGTTTGAGTCTTCCTTCACTCCCGGTGTATCGACTTCCATGTGATCATCCCATCCGCAATCGTAAGGATCTGCTTGCTCTCCTGAGAACAAGCTCGAGAGGAGATCTTCTGCAGCCGGTGCATCCTCCCACCCGCAATCATAAGGGTCCATTGTTAGTGATCCAGCGGTATCATCCGCGGCTATGCTAATGATTAGTTTCACCCGAGCGGAGTATGTGGGTGCTCACATCTATCCAGCCCCTTATCTTCATGCATGGGTTCATCTACAGAACCACTATTCACCTGCATCAGACCGAGAGGCGACCGGTCCAAGTTGGTGAGTCCCCGGGATTGTGGAATGGCCTTTGCTGCAATGGCAGTACCGTGAGTCATGTCAAGGACATGGATATCTTTAACAAAGGATGAGAATATCTCTATATTGTGACGGGATGTGACATACCAGCTAGCATGCTTGTAACTTCATCAAATTCTCCGAAAAAGCACATGTCATATCCTGTGTTATAAAGTTTAGCTTAGCGATTCAAGTCAGGCCAGAGAATAACATACTTATGTCCCTGTTTGCGATGGGATCATTTGTCCACTCTTGGCTCAACCGCACCTCGTCAGCCAAATTATATTCTGCATTGGGAGAGTTTTGAGCATTCCCGGGTCAGAAGCTTCGACAGCCGACTTACGTTTGAACCTTATATAAGGTTCCACTCTGATCAGGCCCTTAAACCTCGGGATCTGGGAAAGTACGGGCGGAATCCATGAGTCCAATGGGGTATATCCACGCCACCAGGTGAGGGGCCCTTCGAATTTGTGTTTTGCTACCTCCGGAGAGTTGCTACACGTAGATCTGAGTGAGTCAGAGGAATTGACATAGCTACTATCAGAAGTGGCACTGGTGACCGAGTCATCGTCATCCTGAATATACCGCTGTAGCAAAGCGAACTTGCTTTCCAAACATGACTGTTTTGTGTAAAATAAGGAGGTCGGGGAAGGATTACAGATGGGCCAAGATGTACTTCCATATGTGGATCACCCGACTGTGGCACTGTGGTTGTGGCAGTGGAATGCGTGGGACAATAAGCTGTATTACAGTGATAATGGTGTTAACAGGTCCACAGCACCGTGCTTCCATAATGGCCACGCGTTCTCGGAAACACCCATAACCGAAGTATTGGTATAAATCCTGAGACTTATGAAAAAGAATCGAAGTTATCTTTCTTTGCGTATACCATCACCTGTTGCTCACTAGTTTCTATATGCTATTATGACACCTTCGGAGATAGCAAACAACGCTCTCCAGGCTACGCTCGAGACTGTACAATCATTGATGAAGCGATGTATGAAATTAAAGGAAAGTGATCCAGGCACACTGAATGTATCGGATGAAATCGCCAGACGCCTGGTGAGTTTTGCTCGACTAGATCTATACTGTATTTTGGATAACTAACTACATTTGGTGCAGGCAAAAGATTTGAAGCTGTATGGGGGGAGCGCGACATTGTTCTCCCCTCAGCTGCTATCCTGTGCCGCCTGTAGTACTGGGAGCACTCCAAGGCTGGCATTTTTGTGTCATTGCCCGACTGGAAGACCGTCATAGACGACGACCCACGCATTAGGAGTCACCCGCGGTTCCACAAGACCAGTGGACTACCGCCCCTCCATCTTGCCCGAACACAACCCCTCCACGTCGGCGTCAGCGGTCCCGGAGGAGGCTGCAAAACCTCTTGCAGAATCCATCCCTGTAATGATGCCGGCGACTGCCATCTGTTTCAAATACATTCGTACCTAGCACTCCCGTGTTGCAAACCTTGGAGGTTCCGGTAATGGAACCCATGGTATCGGACATCCGAAGTAGCGCTGCCGACACAACGGCATGGGAGGCATTGACCCCCCTTCCACATTCCATCGCTCCCGTGATGGTGAGACACAATATCCCTATGGTTGGAGGTATGAAGACACAACCGGAGACAGCCTCGCGGCCCAGGAAGACGAAAAGGAAAGCAGAAGAGAGCGACAATGATGGCAAAGAAGCGGAGGTATTGAGCGGACTCACACCAACGCCCATATCCCAGAAACCAATTCGCAAACGGAAGAAGAAGTTTATGTCGGATGAAGAGGACCACAGGGCCGCTGGTACCATTGTTGTTAAGGTGACTCTCATAGTATATCTCTGGTCATTGCTCACCGGAAATTGATATAGCACAAGGCTTTGTCGGTCAAGACATTCAATGTTGTGGCTCCAGATGCCACATCAGCAGGTACTTCCGCACCAGGATGGCTGGATGACAGAGGCTTTTGGGATGAAGAAACCAGGGTGAGTCGTCTCTGCCTCTGTGAATTCGGGTCTTACTTGCACGCTTTTAGCCTGCCGGATGGGGTCTGGATTCCAACATCGCCACAACGGTGGAGGTAAGTAGGCAAGCAAATGCATGCGGTCAATGTTTGCTGACCCATGGTCCAGCAATCCGTTCGCTACCACTCCCGGAAATGTGACAAATGTGTCAAGTTGAAGGTTCCTTGCGTTGTTCTTCCTGACAAGAAGTTCGGATTCACCAGACTAGCCTGCGCAAACTGCGATGAAATGAAGATCGCCTGCACGATTGACGGCGCTGGTGTGAGGCAGAGGTTGCAAGTAAAGGCGAAGGAAGCTGTGGGCGAAGCGAATATCAATCCTCTTCCCAAACGTCCCAGGACACGGGCAAACAAGTCGCGCCCTGCCGCCAAAAGTCTGGAAAAATCTGCTCCAGCGAAGACCACGAAACCGGCCACATGTTCCAACTCGCGTGCGGCGCAAACGGTTGCCGTGGACGATACACTGAATGGTATGCCTCTCGGTGGTATCATTGGAACTCACTGAGCTTTGCCCCTGACATAGAACAACCCACGAGGCCTAAATACGAGGCTCCGCTGGCACCCCACAACATGGGGTCGTCGGATCTTTCCACACCCTCGGAAGCAGCGCTCCCTGCAATAGTATCCATCCCGGCGCCATTTCAGCCATCGTTACCCACCAATCTTTCGGAGCCGGAACCTAGCGGAAGGGATATACTGCGAAGCATCCAGGACCTTGGTAGGAGATTCGATCTCCTTGCAACCAATGAGCGGGTGGATGTGTTGGATGTGAGGGTTGATTCGGTGGAGGACAGGTTTGGATGGAGGCTAATGGAGCTGGAGAAACAGATCACTGCCTCGGATGCGCGTTGGCAGTCAGTGACATCGTCCATGGGTAATCTATCGATGTCCTTGCGAGTGCATAAGAATGATCCGGCAGTTCACCAGTCCTGGCTCCTCCAATGATTCCAAATACAAACTGCAAAATGCCGCCATTGATGAACGCCTGGGAATTTCGACGGTCGGTAGGGAACAAACATATGCGTGCAATTAGTCGATTATGACGGATGTAGAAGGTGATGTCGGGACATTGGCATTCATTGCGATGCACACCTGCGCCCCGGACTCTCCTCATTTGGATGAGGATTCAATCCCATGTTGCTGACTCTTCACAACATCATATGCGAAATCGGATGGGTGGGTCTTTACCAGTTGCATACCATGAGGTCATCTTGTTTCCTACTTTTACATTCCAAAGTTACATCGGATTTGACTTTATTGATGTTGTAGTTGACCAGCTAGTGGAATTTGAATGTGCTCGGAGCGTACAAAAGGTGTGCTTAAGAAGATATATAATAAAACGGGCATTCCCGGTGTCCCCGAGTGTGGTCATTCATGTGTGAGTATATAAAATGTCACCCAGAACCCATACAAGACCCTCCCAGGTACGATGGACATATCATTCCGGAACGTACTCTCCAGCACTTTTATCAATGCAATTAATGGAAATAATTCCAAGCGTCCTATGTGTGTTGCTAGGACCATCGGTCTCGCATTGGGAGTCCAAACATGCTCCAAATACGCAGCTGAGTCCATCCGTTACGTGTTCCGGAACCATGCAGAGGGAACTCTTCTTGCAATCATAAGTTTAGCCCATCAGCCATGCATTCCGGAAAGCAATATGCATATCGGACCCACATCTGCAGAATTCCAACATTTTGTGGTGGCTGATGGGCCAATTTAGGAAAGTCACACCAGGTCCAGCTTGACTCCTCAAGCGATACGGGTGATGAGCCGAGAGAATCTAACATCGGCGAGGAAGATGGAGGGGCCCAACCAATGATCTCCATAACTGGACCTAAGACAAAATGTTGGTTTTGGCATGAAAATTATTAGTTAGGCCCAAGCACATTGGTAGGCCCATCCATTCCTCTTTCCCATGTCAAATTCGCCGCGCCGGTGACCCTCTTCATCACAAATGAGCCCAGCTAAGTCATTCTCTGAGAGAGATGGATGTGCCAAATCAATCATATTGATCACATGACCCAAGGTAAATTAAGGCCCTAGGCTCCGAATCATTAGCTGAGCCCGTCCGAGATGAAAATGGGGCGTGCTGGGCTCATAATTGTCCGTTGGGCCGATCCGTTTTCACCCAATGGACTAAATCTGAAGTTTTAAGCATTCATTTAATTCGGAAAGTAAAATTTAATCATTTGCAGGTCCTTCGTCGATCATCAAATTATTGCACATATTTGTATCCGAGAACTTCCGTTGGGCAGCCTTTTCCTGCCAAATGAAATGTCTCTTGAATCAAGAACATCCGGGAAACGAATACAGCACGAGATGTTAAACAAGATTCGAGCTGCCGTGATTCCATGACCCACATGCAATTTGCATCGGAGATGATCATAAGTACCACCATCCTTGGTTGGCATTGCGAACTCAGATATGAAACTAGTAATGTAAATCCAGTAGAGCAATCAACTACAGCTACAGCACTAGTATCCAAAGCAAAGCATATAAACTGAGTAGTAGGTAAAACTGCATGAAATTAGGTGACACCAGTCCCACAACTCAATGTCAATCCGGATATGACAAAAATCTACTTATCGGACATTGCAGATGGCAGTGCTGGACAATTGGGATGATTCGATTGAATTTGCGCGAATAACAGGGGTATCATGAGGATAACCTGTCCGTGCAGCCGATGCGGATGTTTCGAGGCAGCCTTGCACACCAGTCACTACAGATGGGTCCCATGCATGCGTCCACTGTCTGCCGACCGTAGAGATGCCCACATCATCAACACCCCCGGTGCCATGGAGCCACCCCGGAAGCTGAGCGGTCGGGTGCTGTGGAGGAGCATAGGCCTGTAGTGTTTACACGAGGTCGATGGGCTTCCAGGTCGTCTTTGTGGTCCCAGGAGACAATTTGTCAAATGCCCGACCGACGATGACATGGCCTTCCATTGTGCATCGGATGAATTTATGAGTCGCTCTAAAGTTGCCAGCCGATGGCCAAAGACTTCCTCCACCGAATTGACCTTGGCATCCAATGCATCCACCCTCTCATTAGTGGCAAGGAGGTCAAACTTGCTCCCAAGGTCCCGGATGGCCTGCAGAATGTCTTTTGCGGTTGGCTCTTGTTCCGCTGGATGGTCGACTCCCATAGAATGGACTTGCTCCGATTGGCTGGTCTGCCCGGGTTTGGCAATGAGTGAGACCAGCAGTCTCTTCCACAGGAGTCACTGTCAAATTTATCAGTTGTTTCTCAACATCTAAGGCAGTTGCGGATAAGGACAAGTGCTATTCTGAGATAGCTGCACTCACTACCACGTTCGTCAATTTCTTTCACAACAGGGGTGGATAAAGGCACGGCTGGCATGGTCAATGAGGCCGGAGAGTCCTTTTTCAACATCTCGCTGACGGCTCGGGCCTTGGGGACGCGCGACCTGGAGCGCTTGGGACGATCGGCTGCTTGTGTCACCGCCTGTTGCTTTGGCTTGAGCCTGCAACCTGTCCCGGACACCCATTCCATCAATTGCGCAAGTAACCTTTGTCCTGTCGCAATTCGCGCAAACGAGTCGTATGCATCCGACTTTTTTGTCCGGCAGAACAATGCAAGGTTTGCCTGATTTCTTGCATTTGTCACATTTCCGCGGATGGTAGCGAATGGAATGCTGACATGGGTCAACATGTGCTGCCGTTGACAAGTCAAACAAACGCACCTCCACTGCTGTAGCAATCGTTGAATCCAGACCCCAATCATTAGGCTGAAAATGTTGTATAGTAAGTTCCACTCAGCACCAGTGCCAGAGCTCAAAGTCACCCACCCTAGTTTCTGCGTCCCAGAAACTATTGTCAGAGTCAGTGTCCATGACATCCTGAGCTTCCGGGTCCAATATATTTTGAGATACCGCCGACCACGATGATTCCTTGGCCGATGTCAGCGACCAGATACATCCGCGATGTATGAGCAACGGTGAGTAGACCTGCCTTTGTAGTTCCACTCCTGGTTTTGCGTAGTTTATTTTGCCTATCATGCGACGGTAACTTCTTGATTTTCTTGAGATTCGGTTTGTGTGATCGGGTCGGGCACCTGGGAGCATCTGCCGAGTCAGTATCATCTTCTTCCGCCTTTCTCTTCTTATCATTCCTAGGGTGCGGAATAACCTTGACCTTTTTCGATGTATTGCCTGGCACAAAGAGCTTGTGCCGAGCTGTTGAAGGTGCAGCAGAAGCGACTGATGGAGCCAGAGGAGTCAGAGGTTCCAGCTCCAGAGATGTCGGCAACGGGGACAGCGGAGTCGAATCTACTTCCACTGCGGGAGCTTGTTTCGTGACAGGACCCACGGCTGTCGGAACAAGTGAAAGGCCGCACAATAGATGATGACCCGGTAGCTTGAGACTCCAATATGGGAAGAGTTCCAACTGCAGTGAGAGGACTGGTAGTCCAACGTCTTGTGGAAGCAGTGGGTGGCTCTTGATGCATGGATCATCGTCGACCACAGAGTTCCAGTCGGGTAAAGTTTCAAAGGCGCCACCCTTGGAGTATTGTCGCACAACGGCTGCACAGGACAAGAGCTGGGGGGAAATGATGTAGCACTTCCCCCATAAAGCTTTAAGTCTTTTGCCTGCGCCAATCTGAACAATCAAATGCATGTGAACGAAAGCAGACTCACCACGTGTCTAGCAATTTCATCCTGATAACTTCAGTGCTTCCTGATCGCCCTGCTTCAAATGGATGCAACACTTGATGAGCGATTGCAACAGTCGCCAGCGTGATTTTGAGTGCGTCATTCGCTGCTTCGGGCATCATAGCGGTGTTGAAAAAAGTCAGTTTGTTAGATATAACTACGCGGAAAGGAAAGAAAGGTGATGCAAAGAATTTGCACAAGTGTTGGAATTTATATAAAGATCGTCGGTTGTGGATGTTTCCGAGAAAGATTGCTTTGTGAAAGCACGGTAATGTAGACTCGGTGTAATTGCATTATGACGTAATACCATGGCCGTCGCTACCATTGTCGGATGTATTTGGTTGCCACACCTGTGGTCGAGCAATTAACACACAACACCTTACAATGTTACTATCATAATCTAATAGGTGTATTTGTGTTACCCTCCTGCATGCGGGTGTGGATCATTCCGCCTTCAGTTTCTTTGCCGATGGTAACAATACAGCGAGCGAATCCGAAACAGCGGCATACCATTCACAGAACAAAGGATGCAATTGAGTGGTGACATACATTTGTTCAATTATCATGGTAAACTCCCGAGTGAAATGTAAGGGTGTGAAACGCATCGGGGAACATTATCGAAGGTAGCAAATGAGCTTCCAGAAATCCTCGAGCAGAACAGTGATTGCTCAGCAGAAGTCTGCAATATCCTGAACAACATGCAATAATAATTAGCTTAGTACAGCAGGACAGTGAGAAATGTTTTACACGAGATTTTTTGTGAAAAGCAAGCATGCTGTCCGGTAGCTATCGTATTTATCACGAGCTTCTCGGATCCACCGTTGATGACCCATATGCTGCAGGACATCTCGTGATGCTTAACCAACAGCAAACTGCACTCAGGCCTGGGTAATCCCCGAGAACATCTGAAACATCTGTGGAGCTGCATTGGCACTATACCTATTAGTCGGTTCGTGTACAATATACTATGTGCATGACATCCGACCCCACAACATCTACAGAACAACCGACCAGCTGAATTCCCATCGGAACGCAGGCGCCATGATTTACGTCAAAACCTTCCGGCAGCACATCCTTTGTTGTTGAGATGGACACTTCGGTGATAGTCCATTTTTTATACAAGCCTGTTGCATATTCTGTAACGGAAATGTTCTATGACAGCTCCCGGTTCTCTGTTCCTCGCCTGGTATTGTGTCTGCCCGACTCTGTGAATGCATTTACTTACCGGTTTCATAGTTATCTGTTTCTCGTCAGCCGAACCATATGTTACCCTTATACTTCCGGCCCCTCTTGATTACCTTACTGTCCGATATCGGCTGTCCCAGTCGACCTTGAGTACAGTACCTAGTAGTAATGTCAGGGCAGAGTTGTGTGAACCCCTGAATTGGAGACTTTGCTCCTGTCGCTTTCGTTCGAACTCTGTGTTCTATTGCGCTGTTGTCTTCGAGCTTTGTCCGAAAAATAGTCAAAATCGCATATTCCAAGCACATTCGCAGATTGAAGTTTTCGTTCGATCATGGAGATCGCATTTTTACATTTGGTACCATACAAAATTCAACCTGCCTCATTTACCAAAATTGTAAGCAAAGTAAGGAGAACATTCATGCCATAGCGAAATCACAATCAAGGGAGCACCATGAACTCAATCTACTCCTCTGATTTGACGGGCGACGTGCTGGACAATGGAGAAGATGCAATCGAAGCCTTGCGTATATAAGGAGGATCTAGGGAGTTGGTCTGCCACCAACTGGATGTGGAAGTCGGGGCTTCGTCATGCAGATCCCATGCATGGGTATACTCTCTGCCTATGGTGGAGATACCCAGGGGTTCATCGCCGGCGTGATTGTGTTTCGGCCACGATGCGATGGTTGGTTCTGGGGGGTACTGGGGTGCATATGTGGTACTGTGTGCGCGAGGGCCATGCGCATACAGATAGTTTCTGTGCACCCGTAAGGATATCGACCGATCACCTATCGACAGTGATACTTACTCCCGATGCGCATTAGATACGGAGAACTCTTCCTCCAGCGCCGTTAGCCTCAAACTAATCCTCCGCTCCACCGAATCTAACCTCACATGCAAAGCATCCACCCGCTCGTCGGTTGCCAGGAGATCGAATCTCCTACCGAGGTCTTGTATGCTTTGCAATATGTCTCTTGCGGTGGGTTCAGGCTCTGAGGGGGTGGGTGCCATGGAAGATTTGAGCGGTGCTGGCACGTCGACCGGTGGGAGTTGTAGAGATCTGAATGACTGTGTATTACGCTGATGCCCTGATGTTCGCATCATCCTGGCATCATGGCCTCAGGTTCTTGCCGGACCTCTAAGTATGTTATCGAAATACTCCATGAGCATCTCCGCACCATATGATGATTGAGCTTACCAATCGGTGGGTTCTCAAACACAACTTTCTTCGGGGCAAGGGACAAACGTCTGGACGGTTTAGCTGTCTTCAGAGGAGCTGACTAAGACAGGTGTTTTGACAGCCGTGCGTGACTTGGGTGCATGCGTCCTGGAACGTTTGACTTCTGGATCGACGCTGGATTTTATGACAGCTTTCTGCGCCTTTGCTTGCAGCCTCTGCCGGATACCAACCCCTGTCGATGGCGCAGGTAATCTTCATCTCATCGCAGTTTGCGCAGGCGAGTCTGGTACACCCGAACTTCTTGTCCGGCAAAACAATGCATCGCACATCCATTTTAATGCATTTGTCGCATTTCCGAGGATGATAGCGAACGGAATGCTGTAATATGTGAGGCGATATGCAATCAAATGCGGTCGCTTGCCTACCTCTACCGCCGTAGCAACTGTGGCATCTAGACCCCATCCGACCGGCTGGATAAACCAAAGTGAGATGGCAACTCCAGCTACATATATGACTCACCCTGGATTCTGCATCCCAAAAACCTCTCTCATCCACAATTTTGGATGGAGACGTCGCCGTGGGAGCCACAGCATTGCGGGCTTTCACGGACAATGCCCTCTGCTGCATGAACTTACATTAGCAACAAACAAAGTAATGCTCTGAATGTCACCTTCACATGAATGGTGCCAGTGGCACCATTTCCCTCTTCATCCGACGCAAACTTTCTCCGTCGTTTCTCAACCGGCTTCCGGGGTACCGAACTTGGTTCGGGTTCGCTGCCGTTTGTTTCCAGTTTCCTTTTCTGCGGCTGGCAGGTCGGTGTATTGCCCTGCCGTACCGATCTTACATTGCCATTAACATTTTGTACGACTGTCATGGGAGCTATTTAGATGGAACACGGGGGTGTTGGTTCCGGATTGAGCATGCCGGTTGCAGTAATTTGTACACCTGATATGAGAGGTTCCGCAACAGGTGCAGCGGGAGGTAGCAACTCAGCTATGCTTGGTTGCACCTCTGGGACAACATGGAGCGACTGAATGAGGTCTGGGGCCTTTGATGCAATTACGAGAGTCCCTCTCGTTGAATTTGGCTCCACCGGAACAGTGGATGACGACATGCTGGGTTCCAGTTCTGCGTTGGGATATGCGGGGGGCGGAGGACAATAACCTACAGTCTTGTGGAACTGTGGGTGTGTCTTAATGCGCGGGTCGTTGTCGACCACAGAGTTCCAGTCAGGCAATGATACAAATGCCCCAGCTTTTGAATGCTGCCGTATTACGGCTGCACAAGACAGCAGCTGAGGGGAAAACAATGTGGCGGCGCCCCCATAAAGCTTCAAATCTTTTGCCTGCGCCAAATTGAGTTGGTTATCAAAACAAAAATACATTTTACAATAGTTGGCAGCGAGGCTTACCACCCGTCTGGCGATCTCATCGGAGAATATCAATGCGGTTGGGTCGCTTTCCTTCAATTTCATACAGCGCTTCATGAGCGGTTGCACAGCCTCAAGGGTGGAGTTGAGGGCTTCGTTTGCAATATCCGAAGGTGTCATTATCAAAACATACAAAGTGTAGTGAGCAACTGATGATGAAAAAAGATGGGTTCAATGATTTTTTATCAAGTTTCGGGATTTATACCAATATGTCGGTAATGGGTCTTTCCGAGAATGCATGGCCGTTGTGGCAACTTGGCAATCTGGCTCATCACGGTCAATCAATAAAACTATAACGTAATACGACTTCTTTGGCAATCATTGTCCCACACATCCAGTCGCCGTGGCTGGGTTGTCCAATTATCGAAGCATACCTTTGCATGTGGTGAGTGTTCCCCGAATTTCTTATTTCAAACGAAACATTCATGGTGGGCAAACGTGTTTGTTTTACTGTGCCCACGTGTTCGGATTCCGGTGACTCGGTGAAAAATGCTTCTTACAGGTGTCCTAATTGCCATACTCACTATGGCAGTTTTTCCGACTCCAACAGTTGGACAAACATTGAGATTCCACCCAAGCAGTAAGTAATGCCAAGATTCAAATGTAAGTCTGCCTGAGACTTTTCCAATCCGGGTATGCTAGGAACTCCCACGCAGGATATAAATAGGCGGATGTGCGGTGGAGTCATGAGCAAGCAAATAATCCTTTGGCAATCAGAGACATAAGTCCGTGATCCCTGACTCAACAAATGTTGCTGAATGCACCCAGTATGGCAGGATGTGACCCATGCTTCGACGAAGAATTTGACAATGTCGCGCATGCTGTCGGTTTGTATGGTTTCGGCCTACCCTCCATACATTTTAATCAATTCATAAAAATATCTTCGCCCTTGATATGATCACGGACATGGCTTTGCAGCAACGGCTGCTTCATCAGTCGCGGGATATGCACGTTCTGGATCGTTTCTGACATTGATATCTTAGAGGCGGGCCGCATCGGCTTCGTAGGACCGTTTAACCGCAAACATCAAGATTTACAGCCGGATGGAGGTCAGAGCCTGACAAATAACTTGGATAGAGCAAACTAGCTCTAGAGACATAAATGATGTCGCCGGGCTATCGGATCCTTGTGACTGCGGGTAAGATGATTCCATGGATGCTGAAAAATTTGGCTTCAGGCCCATCTGCGAGAGAAAGGACAGACATACGACTGTACATGGTAGGAGCCCATGTAAAATGACGAAATTCTGGGAGGTGAAGACGATCCGTGGGATTCCGGATATGGTGATAATGTATATGCCTATAGCTTAGCTGCAATGATGAATGCCATAGATCAACAATATCCAAAGACTGCGAATGGGAGAATCAGGGTGAAAAAGGTTCTGCTGGTATCCAGGTGAGCACCTCACATGAAGACCGTTACGATTGCGGATCGGACAAATCGACAAATACCAATGCTGTGCCCGGTGACAAGGATCCAGGATGCCCTTATGGCTGCGGATGGAAGGATCAGACAGATGACGAATCGGTACCCATCACCGCATTGGAAGATCCTTGATCTCTATGTGTCTCGCTAACTTGCACAACACTTACCAATAACATTTATTCATGACATGTAATGGCGATATTGGTGATACGGTAATGCTAAATCACACTTCCGGTGTGACCCGCTTCCAACACCTGCATGTATGGTCAAACGGAAGCGGTTCAGTTCATATGCGGAAGGGCGATACAGGGTGACGCAAACATTTGAAGATGTTGTTCAAATGCACCATTTGCTGGGCATCCAGCGCCGCGTAATGGAGCCGCCGGATGCCATGATCGCAAATATTCAGGAGGGTCATTGGCAAGAGCACTAATACAACACTGAATTTCAGGAATAGTGCGGAAGTGTATCATCAATTCATGTAAAGAATTGGCTAGTAGCACTGAGATATATTACCCTACAAACAATATTGAGGAGGACCAGATCTACAGACTGGATGCAAGTGCCGGAAGTCAGATATATAAGCATTTCTGGCTTCGTGTAACAATGGGCCTGTACTTCAACATCTGACCAGGAACCGGCATCCGGCATATGCATGTTCGGTATGCATCAAGCTCTATCATGGAGGCAGCAGTGATCGACGGAGATATCACCAAGACATTGCGGGCACCTCCGAACATCTTATCGGTATCCGTCCCTCTACAAGGGAGATGTCTATGCATCATGACAAACTGAAAGAGCCCGACCATTCAGAGTTTGTCAAGCAAAGGAAAGTACGTGACAGAAGAGCTAGCTTATATATTGATTCGCCCATCAACCTGCCAAAGAGATGATCGAGGCACAGTTATGGCAGATAAAGTCTCTGCCACCTACACAATCCACTGGATTATACGTATTCACCTTCCGTAGCATTCACACAGAGGCCATCCGAGTCAGAGCTGGCTGTTTGGGAGGGAATAAGTACATCGTGTGGTGCTGTTACATGGATTACAGCAGGCGTTACCATCCAAGACAGGATAACAATTAGTATGGGTATTAGAAAGATGGGGACGCCCCCGCTGAAAATCAAACCTTGGATATTTGTAACTGCTGGGCAAAATTGCAAAGTCGGATAGATGAGTTCACAATTGAGGTTGCAACTCACATCTGGAGGGCTTTGACATTGATTGAGACATTATGGATATTGACTCCAGAAGCATGAACATCCGCCCTTGGTACTGAGCCAGTCCTGGAACACTTTGTCGGTCTAGACATCGCACTTGGGGATGGTCTCCCAAATGACACCTTTAAAACTCTGAAAATGCTGAAATATGACAAAACCATGATATTCCATATCACCTTTCTCCGGAGAAACCACAAATTGAATGAACGAGAGCATGGGCGCGTATTTTTTCGGTTGAAAGGCTTATGTACAACAATCCAACCACTCATACATGAACTGCTGTTACCTCCATTCCACATGCTATTACTGCCCATCGCTTCGCCAGTGGTACATTGCAAATAGTCCATCCCAATTGTTGTGGACAGATTCTTGGGCACAAATGCATGGGACAATTGCGGAACCGCCCACTGTGGACACAATACTGTTATTCTCGGTCCACATTTTCGCATCCACAGACCACAAATTTCAAGAAATACCCACAACCTGATCCATGTCAATACAGACTTGTCAGAATTTCACAAAGTCAACTTTCCTCCACTGCATTCATCACATTCGTCACTACCATATCATTGCTTCAGGAAAGAATCATGACCGTACCTTCTGAGCAAGCTAACCACGCCTTGAACATTACCTTGGCCGCCCTGCAATCGCTCATGAAGCGTTGCATCAAGGTAAAGGAGGGCGATCCCAAGGCCTTAAGGTTATCTGATGAGATCGCCCGGCGCGTGGTAAGTCTTTCTGATCTTGCCCTTATTTGTCTGGGTGAAACTCATGCATTGAACCCAGGCCAAGGACTTGAAGATGTATGGCGGGAACACCACATCATTCTCACTGCAGCTGCTTTCTTTCGCTGCTGTTGTGAGAGAGAACTCAAAGGGCGGCGCCTTCGAGAGTGTCCCCGACTGGACCTCCGTTACGGACGATGACCCGCGCATCAAGAGCCACCCGTGCTTTGATAAGACCGTGGATTATCTTCCACCTTCCTCACTCGATGATCTTGTCATCGCCGCCACATCAACCGCCAATCCCCCTACCGTCCCCACAACGGCAACCACCGCCATCCCGCCATCTACCTTGGCCTCGCCATCCAAACCATCCCTCACGGAGTCCGATATCCTGGCTGGGCCGGAACCAGAACAGAAAGGATCATCGGACCTTGGGAAGGAAAAGGCCGAGGACCCACCCATTCCTATTGACACTCCCGCCGCTCCGCCAACAAAATACAACCTCTTCGTGGCCGGTACCAAGAAGAGAAAGGCTGCAGAAGAAGACATGGACGCCATCGTTGCGGTTGCCAAGACCAAGTTGCCTTCCCCGTCTGAAGAGCCGGTCAAGAAAAGGAAGATCGCATCAAAAACCATTTCCAAGACGGAATTGGGTTCAGATGAAGATATTGCTACACCATGGAAGGTAAGTCATTTCTGCATGGTGATGAGCACAAGCTGAAAAATTGAAAGCATTCCATTCGCTATCACCCCTGGCAATGCGACAAATGTGCCAAATTGGACATTGCCTGCCTTGTCCTCCCCGACAAGAAATTTGGAAACATGCGCCTCACCTGCGCAAATTGTGACAGCATGAAGATCGCCTGTGCAATTGGCGGCATTGGTGTCCGGCAGAGGTTGCAAGCGAAGGCAGCAACAGCATCCTCCTCCCTGCTCCAACAACCACAGGCTTCAAAATCCCAAGCCATCTCTAAAGCACCTGTGAAGCGTGTTTCTTGCTCGCAACGGCGCATTGTTCAACAGAAAGGTATGTCTTCCTGTCTCCCCGGAACGAGTTTAGCTCATGTAGCTTCTCTGGAAGAAGAGATAAAGCTTGCGCCCACCAACCTGGTGGAACCAGAGCCCACTGCAAGAGAAATCTTACAGGGCATCCAGGACCTCGGCAGGAGATTAGATCTCCTCGCCGCCACTGAGCGGGTGGACGCATTGGAGGTCAGAGTGGATTCGATGGAGACGAACCTGCTCAAGAGGTTGGACGGATTAGAGCAACGTCTCAATGAATCTGATGCCCGGTGGAAATCTTTATCCTAAGATAGATAGCAAATGTCGAATGACTTCAAATACAGACTAGCTACATAGAATGCATCTGATGGACCCCCTTCATGTACTATATATGCTCCGGAGGACTTTGTACAATTATATTATTGCATTTTCAGCCTGGTGCTGCCTGTGCATCTGTGTTCAATCTATTGAGTCCACACAAGTTGTGTGTATAATGCAGCCTTTGTCATTCATCATTTCATTCGCGATAGTTATAAATAGGCATTGTCCTTCATGTCGATCCGATGTTCTGCAATATATGTTTGGAATATCGCTTGTTCGGTGAATGCACCTCTGATGATGGTTGAGCATCGGTATAAATCCGGAGGCAACTCGACATCCGTGCAGCTCATCCCTCCAACATGTCAATATGTGTAAATTAATAGTACTACTTGATTTTGAATCAAAGTGCGTATATGAGCATGCACAAATTGTATATATATTTATTCTACCGAGAAGCGCATCGGGACTACATTTGATGCAGCTGCAAGCCGCGTAATGAGTACACCCTCTTGTGTGGGTAAATGACCGGTATACCTGCCGGATGGCACCTGTGCATATTTATCCGATATCATCTCGCATCATGCACAAAGGGGTGGACTCGGAAGTACTTCTTGACGACCCAGCATGCTAGCAGGGAAGATATAATATGTAGTTATATGCAGGCGGCAGCCAGGTATGATACCGGCCACAAACTTGTGCTCCGGCATTCACATTCTCAATCCATCCTGTTGACCAAATAAAATGCTTGCTTGCTTACCGGAAACACAATTCTAACTGTGTGCTTTCCGTCCTCAATTCCGAGCTCAAATTTATCTGCATTGCTCTTAATGGTGGCTTTTGGGCCCAGTCACAAGCGACTATTGTGTCACTTCACAGAATATATTGTCTTTGAAGTGTCGGACACATCCGGGGAATCTGGAGGCTCATGATGCACTCATCTCCGGATGGGCACAGCAATCTGATGGCAACCGCCTCTGTGGTCGATCAGAACTCCTGTGGGCGGCAAAATGCGACGCTACCATGGTTCCAGTATCCCGACGTAATAATCTGGTTTGCATTCCGAGTCAATTGTCTGAGCATGCAGTTTATACGATCAATTGGCCAAGCAAAAAGGCATCATGTGGGCAGAAGCACGTTTACCAGTCACACACTTTGACATGGACGCATTCACCAAGAACATGCCTCACATGCCTAGCCAAGCTTTGTGAGGCGAAGTCCACTCTCCGGTCAATTTTTTTTATATCCGAGCACATGACGCTGTTCATTGACTCATAAAATTCAAAATAAAAACAACGCAATATGGTCCATTTACCACATTTGTGATCCACAATCCCCACAATTTAGCCAATGACATTGTTTGGGATATGTGGCATTGAGAATTGGGTCACAGCTTACGATTACTTGTGGCCACATTACCGGATTGAGCTTGTTATTGTAAATCACCACAACAATGCTTTTGAAGCTCCGACCATATAATTAAACAGTGTCCGAGCTGACTTTATCTATCACCCCACCGCAACCAGTCATGACTGATCATTACCAAATGCTCCATAAGTCTGCTGCCAGTAAATTTTCCATCTGGGATGCAGCGGAAATATTCAAATACGCCACTTCCCGATTTACGGTCATTCACATCGAATTAATGAAAAGTAAAACCCAACACTCCAGCTCGTATCAGCACACATTCGTGAGACACATCGTCTGGGAAGCGGAGGTGAGTTTATGCAATCGTCCCTGAAGAGATTTACTGATAGGCACCGGTAGCACTTTGTATTTCCCTTTGTCAACATCTGCGCTGCCATGAATATCAACACGACACTGCCGGCATATCTGAATGAGGTTATCTTGCTCATCACATCTTTCCAGACCAAGCTGTACTACGATCACGGGAAACTGTTCGCCGCATTCAAGGCATGCCCGCATGAGTCGCCAACCCATCCAGTCGACATCAATCGGGTGGTCCGTGACTATTGCCACGCTTGATGGAAGCACAGGTTCGACCTTGCGCCGTTTGATATGCCTCTTCGGATGTCTGTTGCTTCGGTGAAGGAGCTGGTGACCGACCACTTTGCTCAGCGGGTGAGTGATTTTTTTCCAGATTATGATGTGATCAGTATTTCTTACTACATTCATGCATTAGCCTAAAATGGCCAGCATGGTGCCGACACCAATTACGCACGCCCGCAGCGATGATCCGCTCCTGCAACAGCTGCAGGTTCTCCGGGCCGAAGTTTCCTATCTTGGTATGGAACTTGGCCGACTCCTTGTTACTAAGCTGGATGCTACAAGGGAGGCTGTGGCTGCATTAGATCGTCTAGAGGATCCTGTAGATGAACTTCGCGAGGCAATGGTAGCCTCCCACGTGGCAGTTGCAATGTTGCAAGGGCATTACGACAATGGCAGGCTGGGAGGACCTTCATCCATTGAACCCTTTCCCGGTCTTTAATTACTTCCGCATTGATATTATGTACAGTAGTCGAGGAACAGCTTCTTCATTAGCATATTTTCATGTAGTGTCTCTCTTCCATATGTCAATATCCTGCCAAGCATAATCCCATCTGGTTATATGAGACATGCGTGGGTTTGATCAATTACGTTCATAAAGTTGCATCTCGGCTCGCTGTGTTACATCACCAAGATGGGTGCCGCATGGCCAATTGTATTTAAGATGCACGTTTTCTTGAACAAGACCTGCGTATCTCCCATTCCATAATGATATCGCATGAGTACTGGGAATCCTACCATGAACAGCTTGGTGCCCTTGACCTCACCTGTCATCCGACATCGTTCATCCCCCGGGATTGGGCCCTTAATGTCGCCGATATAGCAAGTGAATGGGTCGAGCAGCAGTTTGCAGCTCATATAGCAGGCAGACCGTTGGTGCCCGCGCCGCCCGAACTTGACCCGGAAACTACGGTTGCTTGCAAACAGTTGGCCTCCGTGCTGGCAGAGGCCTATCAACACCCCGGTAGGCTAAACCGTACATGTTTGTTGTCAATGGATTGTAATGTTTGTAGTAAAACTGGATATCAACGTCATCCGGTACAACGAGGCGTTGGCCAAACGGGAGTCGGGACTGAATGATTCTCATGAAGAAGCATTATTGGCGAAGTTCCCCCCCGCTGAGCGCCTGGTGTTGGAACGCCCATCGGTGGTGATCGATGCTGGCTATCGGATAATACTCTGGTACCTTCCGGGTGCACTTAACTGGTCGGTGAAGGTCAGTGCGGGATTGCACTGAAGCTGCATCATGCTAACGGGGAGGAGGTAGCGTGATATGTACACCGCCACAATTGGGATGGGCAATCTATTGAAACAGAGCATCACCAGTGGGAAGACGTCCACGGGACAGGCGAGTAAATGGAGAACCCACTCAACCAATTTTTATGCCTCCCAAGAGCCGCAGTTAAAGCCCGGGTGCATCAATATATCGCCTTGCTGGTTTCAACAGGGACACGAGGTCTGTTTGAATTTTCTGTACTCAGGAAATGTTTAACATCAAATAGTGTCATGGGCCCCCGCCTGTGAACCCGGAAGATGGCTTTATGCCCGAAGTCTCCACTACCTTGAAGGGCGACAGGAGCCTGTCAGTCATCAGAGATATGCAATGTCCGGGTCTCGTATCTTCAGCCGCCCTTCGTGTAATGCACCCGCAGTTATACCGTGCATCTATATCCACTCATATAGAGCTTGGGCATTGGGCGGCCAAGCAAGGACTGGATGATATGTGCAGGTTCCTTCAACATTGGACATCCGTCTACACAGGAGCGGCAATCATGTGTAACAGGAAGTCACCAAGCCATCGAGATCCGAAATGCCCCCCGGAAGGTTTCGATATCCTTACCTGCATAGGCGGCTATGGCCATGGCATAATGCAATTGACCAACTTGGGCATCGAGCTCGCTTATGATCTGGGTGTTATGGTTAGCTATTCTGGCCGGCTCATGAGGCACGGCGTTCAAGTTGCTGAGGGAGACAGAATCGTCTGGGCTTGGTTTATGCGCGATAGTGTGCATAATTATGCTCGGACCCCGCGTACAGAGTATGCAAAATATAATCTCGCGGATTTTGCGATATACCACCTAGCCCAATACAATCAGGCAGATTTCATTTGGTACCGCGCGTTGTAGTTCATTTTCGGTTGATGTCGCCTTCAAACAGACTGACAATGTGGCTCATATGACATTTTTCGTTGCATCTTCTCGATTCTTAATGCACCATCGGTCATATCTGAGAAATAGATCGTCATATGCAGATGGACATAATAATACTTCATGTAATTTTATAGGGTTGTCTTTGTTTTCCTTAGTCAAATTTTCACTTAGATATGACGTTTATTTGACTTTCATGACGCATTCGGTAGATGATCCTCCGATTGCATTTGCTGGTTCACTACAAGAGGATGTTCTACCGGCCAGAGTATGTTACGACAAATGGTCGTGTGCGACTAGGATAATCTAACAGCGACAACCACGACAGTGGTACCGAGTGCTGAGAGTCGTCGGCCTTTACAGACAAGCAAAGGTTGCGTACTCGAACGTAGCTCGTGGTGGTTAACGAGGGGTTACGCTGAGATGATAGCGGGTTTACAGACAGTGAGAGGCGTCACTGAAGGTACGAGTCGATGTCAAGCAGGTAGCTTTAGCGGGACAAGGAGTTCAAGGGTAAACCTAGTAAGATTAAAGTAAGGAACATCTACTGTTAATCTTCGACCTTATATCAGGCTACTCTTCGTATCTAAGCTCAGCCTAAAGCTGGGTTCTAATCTGCTTATCTACATGAGTCAGAGATAGCGTCCATGAGGCGGGCTTCTATCGTAGATAGGATCCACATGGTATCCTTCTATCAGTACATGAGGCAACACGAGGCTTGCCTTCTATCTTGATAACATTAATAGGTCTTCTAGACCTATGTCGTCATGTATCGTCACGTGCGGTCCAGACCGCTTATCTAAGCCGGCAGTTGCCGCTTATCGTCTATCATCATCTATCGTCGTCGTCGTCATCTGTCGTCACAGAGCTGGTGAGACTCCGCTATCATCTATAGCCGTGCGGTGGCAGAGGGCTGTCTGCTGGCGGGGGACTCGTGCCATGTTACTGTAACAGAGTACCAACATGTACATTGATGTCCGGATGGGGATAATTATCAAACTCTTCGGAAGCTGACAGAATGCATGTCCATAGTTTCGGATGTGTCACTCATGAGGATCCGGTGCGACGTACTATCTTGTCAACTTTCGGTGCACTACCTTGGAAATGCAGCTGTCCAGATTTGTGATACGTTCTGACAAGCTCCGCCAATACATACTTGGTAAGCAATCAGTTCAATGCTGGCACGTTCATCCCAGTGGAAATTCGCTTGACCATATCATTCAGAGAGCCGATAACGCACCCTTGTCTCTTCCTTCCGGAAATTCCTGTCATGGGCTGCAGAGTCTATACCCGCCGGATTTAAATTTCGTCTGATGCTGCCTTGGACGGTGGGAGCACGATTGAGTTCAGGATTTATATGCAAACATCATCGAACATACGTTTACCAAGATAGTTCCGGTGTGAACTTTGTCCTCGTCAGTTGATTGGAACTTCTTCCTCCTCTTCCGACTTGGGTCCATCTGCGATACTTGCCGACCTGCGGCGCTGCATTTCCGGGTTTCTTATTGGCGCCCGCCACAAAGATATTACGTTTGAAGGGGAGGTGGGGCAGAGTTTGCGCACGCGCAGCCATTGGGTCCGGTGCTGGTGATACAAGCTCTGGTTCCATCGCCCTCGCACCAATCGGATTGTCGAGGGATTTACCAGATGGGAAAGCCGATGGCATAACGCGGTCCATTGCTGATAGGACAGCGGTCGCAGATGCTGCATTTTGAGGATCCAAGTCGGTAGGGAATCGTTGTACGGGAAAATGTCTTACAGCGGCCGGGTGTTACTTGAACCCATCGGTTGTGGGCATTCCGACCACTGTGGAGAGTCAGATATGTGGACCGGTTGTAAGGCTGTTGTAGAGAACAACCACGGCTACCATAGGCTAAACCCAGTGGATCTACGTCACGAATGGTCAATCCACCATTGCTTCTGGAAGATCCTGTACGGCTGTCCGGGTATCCGACGCACCATTTATGGGTGAGAAGCGGATTAAGGCCTACTGTGCCTATGGAAATTTCGTCATAGACCGTTTTACCCCTTTCTGGGTATCCGATGCACCATTCATGGGTGAGAAGCGGATTAAGGCTTACTGTGCCTAGAACATCTCGTCATACACCATTTTACCCCTTTCCAGGTATCCAATGCACCATTTATGGGTGAGAAGTAGATTAAGGCTTGTTGTGGTGCCTGCAAGATAAACTACCTCTGATTGCGACAACAGATGCACTGCAACAGGCCTTAATCCACTTCTCACCCATAAATGGTGCATCGGATACCTGGAAAGGGACGAAAATTCCCAGGCATGGTGTATTCTCACAGAAAATCAAATTCCTGGTCATGGGGTGTTGCTGCTTGGCTTTGTAAGTGCATTGTTGCTGCAGCAGTGAGCGCTCACTGCAGTCACCGCTCAAGACGCCATCACTCTTGTTGTCAACGTCAGATGTCTGGACCGCTCCACCTGAAACTCAACTGTATTGTCTTGGGTGATAATCCTCGCCATATTTTCCCGGTCGACATTGAGCGGACGGAGATTGTTGGTGACCTCAAAGAGGTCATCAAAGACAAGAAAAGGCCAGAGTTTGACCATATTGCCACTGACCGTCTTGAGCTATGGAAGGTGAGTGATCTGATGCCTAGGATTGGATGTTGATAATCTGATATTTTGGAAGGTCGACCTGCCCGTTGACGAGATGATTGAGCACAATCTCAACAATCTTACACTGGACCCAATGAAATCGCTATCACCTGTGGATGAAATCATTGAGATTTTTCCCGATGCTCCTCCGCGCGCAAGTATCTGCATATTATTATCCAATGCCCACCTGCCGGTGAGTTGTCCTTCGATATTGCCACCCTTTCCTCAATGATCATGGTCCAACTTAGTGTCTTCTGGACCGCTCCACCTGAAACTTAACTGCATTGTCTTCGGCGATGATTCTCGCCATATTTTCCCAGTCGACGTTGAGCGGACGAAGACTGTCGGTGACCTCAAAAATGTTATCAAGGTCGCCAAGAAGCCAGAGTTTGACCATGTTGCCGCCGACCGTCTTGAGCTATGGAAGGTGAGTGATCTGATGCCTAAGGTTGAATGTTAATAATCTGATATTTTGGAAGGTCAAGATCAATTTGAATGATATAGACTTACGGAACGCGATCATAGACGGAGGCGTCGAGCTGCACCCGTTAACCGAGCTGTCTGATGTGTTTGCGGATGGAATAGAGCGCGGATGTATTCATATCGTCGTAAAACATCCTGCCGTTGCACGACACATTCCAGCTGTTGATCGGCGAATCGTGTTACAGGGATCTGTAACACCTACTAGAGCCCCAGCTCTCCCTACGCCTGTCCCCGCTCTGCTAGACTCCCCGCGCGGCGGTGCGCCGCCTGCGCCTAGAAAGACAGCGGTCTGGACCGCTATGACCCCGCCCCCTGGCGCTATGACCCCGCCCCTGGCCTAGACGGCCTTGTACCTGATCCATGGAGGCTGTATGCCTCATGGTCACCCTAGATCAGCGCATGCATACCGCATGTCGCTTCATGAAGATCCGGAGCGCTTCTACGCGCCTCGGATGTTGATTGCGCAGTCGCACTTGGTGCTGCATGTATGATCAGAGGCTAAGCCTCATGTATGCTATCTCACCTCATGTCTAGTTATCTTAGATTACCGATATACTATAGATTACAGACTGAGCTAGAATACCTATAGCTAAACCCTATAAGAGTAGATACATTGTTGTAGATTAACTTCACTTTAATCTACTAGGTTCATCCCCAGAACTTGCTCATCTAAGCTTAACTGCTTCCTTGTGTGAGACCGCACTTCTAAGTTGCCCCCATACGACTTAGCACGTATCCGCTAGCCCTGCACCTCGACGAGCGCCGTCTTACCGAGATCGCCGGAGGAATCCTTGACGTTCCGTCAAGGCTAGACCACGCTCAGCTTCAGTAGACTCACTCGAGTCGTCGCTGAGAAGACCTATCCTAGTTCGCACACGCCGACCAACAGTCGACGTAACAAATCGCTTATCTCAAGAAGGGCGTGGGTAGTCCGTCGGCCGGTGCAAAACCATCCGCATTCTCTACGAAGCAGGACCAGCAAGAGTACATTTGCAATTGTCCTCGCAGAGCCGCGGACCCTGTTCCCATTACTCTTCTCGAGCCTATCTTCGCCGAGTTCGTGGATGATTGTCAAAAGTATGAACCAACTGTCCATGATAACGACTTTGTTTTGCAACTTTCGGAAAAGATGGCCTCCTTCTATCCCAATGAGCTCGCGTGGATGAATACATTCCGGCAAGTGCTCCAGGACTATGGTATTATACTCAATGCTTCTATGGTTGGCTCGACCGGATGTACGACAGACGGACATATTTTGTCTACCAACGGACAGTTTGTGCTGATGATAATTGAGGGGAAGAACGAGATTGGAAGTGGCACTGCCGAACCGTTCATGGAGGCGATGTTGTACTACCGCAAGTTTATGGAAGACTCGAAGATTGAGATGGCGAGGCTCCGGTCTTTCATTCCATGCATCCATATCATTGTCTTCGGTTAGTTCATTTCACCAGATTAATTGCTAAAGCTTTTTATTGATCACAACTAGGGGCATGCATCGGCTTTTCAGGCTCTGTTTTCACTGAAAAAGTCCAGTCCGATGTCCTGGTCCCTATCATTCCTCTGTTTTGGCATTCAACAGACCTCCACATGCAAGTGATGGCAGCTCGTACTTTCGGGGCTCTCAAAATTGCCGTCGAGAAACTTACCAAACTATACTCCCATCCAATCCCGTCCCTCGAACCCGAAGATCCATATCTTAAATGTCCTTACCCTCGGAGTTATACCAATTCCATCCGGTTTCATTCAGGAATTCTCGTATGATGAGACTCAAATCCTCAGGGATCGACTTATTTTCTTCGGGGAAACCATCGGCGATGTGGCTGGGAGCAAGATATGCATGAAGTTTGTCAGGCACTATTCCCCTCAGGCTCACGAATTCTGTGCCAGCAAGGGGAACACCCCCAAACTTATCGCCTACAATTCTCTACCCGGCGGCTAGAATCTGGTGGTTATGGATGCCCTTGATATTGATAATGATTGCTTTCCGCAACGACCTGGCTCATATCGACTGCTCAGTGAGATAAGTGTTTTGGACCGTCAGCCGCTGAAGGAGACCATCACCTCTCTCATCCGGGAGTTACACAATCACAATGATGGCTACGTTCATGGCAACCTTCAAGATACCAATTTTGTTGTGCGGGACGACAAACACTTCATGCTGCTCAATTTCGATTGGGCCAGACCGATCCAGAAGACACATTATCCTATGTATGTCAATCGGAAGGATATTCAATGGCCTGACGGTGCGTGGGATGGGCAGAAGATTGTGGCTGAGCATGACTTGGATATGCTGAATTATCTATTTCATCCTGAGCAAGATGTTCGGGAGCCAGCTGCAAAGCACCGCTGTATATTTAGTGAAGGGTCACTGATGGTCATTTGATTCATTTATAATTTGTTGCATCACCAATTTGGTGAATACCAGTCTGTTTTTTTCATCATAAAGCTATCATACAATGACTTCGGGAGAATGGCGACATAGATTAGTATCTGTTGTGTTGTAGCTAGCCAATTCGATTATTGCCGATGACACAAGCCTTCTCACAAGTCTCGGTGAGGATTCTACCATACATAGATGGAATACATGACCTCATCCTCAGCGGAGGCAGCGATAAAATGATTTCAGAGTGGACAGTACCTCACAGCCGTACAGGATCTTCCGGAAGCAATGGTAGATAGGGCCTTTGCCGATGTAGATCCAAAGGGTTTAGCCTATGGTAGCCGTGGTGGTTCTCTACAATAGTCCTACACTCGGTTCACACATATGACTCTCCACAGTTGTCGGAATGCCCACAACCAACGGGTTCATATAGAACCCGGCCGCTGTCAGACATTTCCCCAGCGAGCACTCCCATGGAATATGTCGGATGGTCCATCCGTAGCCCCTTTCCATCATGCAACATACATGCTGCACACATCCGTCACCATTCTCGGGAATACACACAAGTTGAGTCCACCCGTCGCCTTTGCCGAGACCAAATCTACGGGCTCCACCATTCTCGGCAATATAAGACGAGTGCTGGGCCCATCCGTCGCCCTTTCCGATTCTACAATCATGGGTGGAAGGGTCTATTCCTGAGTCCCTTCCAAGCACATTCAGCCCATCTGCCACCATTTTTGCGAACAAATAAGCATGTTCTGGGCCCATCCATAGCCTTCCCCGAGACTCCACCCGAAGTTATTATACCCATGGGGGACTGGGCCCGTCCATTGCCTTTTCCAAGTCCAAACACAGCGGACTGGGCCCATCCGTCACTGTTTCCGAGACCACATCTGCATATGCACTGGGCCAATTTGCCTTTTCTGAGATCAAATCCACGGTGGGCCCATCCGTCATTATTTTCAAGATTACATGCAATCCGCTGGGCCTATCCTCGCACATTTTGGGCCCATCCGTTGCCCTTTTTAGCATGCCTACAAGCCGGGCCCACCCATATATATGCATACATGTGGGCTGGGCCCATCCGTCACAATTTTCGCAAATCCGCCTGGCCCATTCTCACCCTCAAGCATGCAGGCCCACCCGGTCACACATTTTGGGCCCGCTCATCTCTATGGACCTCACACCTCAGCCCAACCACCAGCGTCGGTGTGGAAGTTGGGATCAGTAATCTGCACCGGCTGCTCGGGGCGCAGATGCTCCAGCCACTCCCGTTCGGCGGACCGATTCGATCGCATCTTATCTACCATATCGGATAAGTTGATCTGAGTCGTGTCTGAATGATACTGGATCTCTGTTGTGGTATAAATTCGGTAGCTGAACCAACCAACTGCGCATGCAAGTCAATACAAAGCGATGTTGTGTCGGCCGGAGCATCCAAACTGGCATTGATGTCTGTATCCGGAAGATCCACCATCAAGGACCAGATGTGCGACCAACATGATTGCACACACAAGGGAATGCAACTGTTCAGATGTGCAATATGTCTGGGACACCATACCTATGCGAATCCGGTATTCACAGCATTGGTCTGGTGCCGTCCGCCGGGCTCAGGTGCCAGCCTACCCATAATTAACGGAGGACGTGCCTGTCAGCCAGTCTCAGATACAAAGTTGGTGAGGACCCTTGGGTATGGTCATGTTCACATCTGGGCCCATCTGCCAATACCAGGTACAACTGCCTGCCCATCCGCTGGTCTCGGGTACGTCGGCCCAACCATCATTGATGAGGACCTTGGAATGGTTGGGTCCATATCTGGGTCCATCCACCTGTACCAGGTATAAGGGGCTGTCATTCCCTGTCCAAGAATACTTTTGGGCCCAGCCGGTACCCCAGCAGCACACATCCTGGCCCAATATATTAATGCATGCTTCTTCTGTATCCCTCCCGGTCCTTCCATGGCTGGCCCACTGGTCTATTGACTATTACCCCAGCCTACAAATAATTCATAATTATACTGTATGATGTTGGCCCACCCGTCACTATGAGGATTGCCTTCATGGCTGGCCCGCCCACCCTATCTCCGGTCCTTCCATGGCTGGCCCACTGGTCTATTGACCATTACCCCAGCCTACAAATAATACTGCATGATGTTGGCCCACCCGTCACCACCGAGGATTGCCTTCATGGCTGGCCCGCCCGCCCTATCTGCGTATGGGCCGACCTAGGATGGCCCGTCTAACTGGGGAGATTCTCAACCTTTGGCTGTCCGTCTAAGTCGGAAATAAAGTACTGAATTATGTGGGAAAGAAGACCTCCTCAAAGCTTGGAATGTGTAAGGTTTTGTTATATTCTCGAGGTTCACGCTAACCGTAATTTATCTAAGGAAAATATTTAAGAATGAGGAGGGCCGTGACAGCAACGGTACTAGAGACAATGAGAAGACCTCCGGCCCTCGTGAAGGCAGGGATAACGACCTAGCAAGAGTCCGCGCTCAAATGGCAGCGCGTCGTGCAGCCAAGGCAGTCCCCACACCAGCTCCTTCCACTCGCGAACCAACTCCAGCTCCACCTCATGAGCCAACTCCACTTCCACCACACAAGCCAACTCCAGCTCCCCCTGCTTTACCTGCATGTGCTGAGTCACATGCACCAAGTGATCTGACAGAAGCCGAGGATGATGAGGATTCCGAGCGTGTCCCAATCAAACGCAAGGGCAAGAAGGTAAGTCCAGAATATGCTGGAGGTTTTATTGAATATAACAATCTCATCCCCAGGCTGGTGGCCGCATCAGCAAACTACTAATTTGGCGACAGATTTCACACGAGTCACAAGCGCACACAGATCCACACAAGGTCTCACAGACATCACAGACATCACAAGCATCACAAGAATAGTGCTGGTAAACATTGAAACAATAGTGTGCAGGAGGAGTAAATCAGAACAGTATATACTAGTATGTAGTGCATAAATCAAGTACTACTGGTTATATCACATGTGAAGTATGTATCAATATTCGTTAACAATAAGATGTATGGCCGAACCTAACTTACAGCGCACTCAGGCTGTACCACGTCAAGGACTTGAACCCACAAATGTTGAAATACCACTTTTTTTCCTCTCTATATGCATATGCCCTATGTTGAGGTCGGCCGTTAATAGACGCATATTTGCAGCTTCAACGTGACGGCGGTAGAGGTCCACAAGTACCATATGATGCTCTAGGGTGCAATCTGCCAGGGCTTTTTGAGCCTGGCACACTTTGCGTCTTGATTTAGCTGCCTCGAGGGCCAGGTCGGAGTGGTCGTCCTCTTCGTCGGCTTGGTAGAATGAGGCGCAATCAAACTCCTGACAACGGCAGATAAGAAAGTGCAGAGGAAATTAGAGCACAGAATAACTCACAAGCTGCACTCCTCCTGTAAAGCCGTCCTCCTCTTTTATTAAGCATGCCGATCGAGATGGTGAATGATTCAGAGGTCGTTGATTGTGAGGACAGGTGCAGCAGTGTGCTAGTGCTGTATTGTAGTAGTGATGACTTGGAAAATGATTCAAGTTGGAATATAATGAGCGCAATGATCGAGAAGAAGGTGTAGAATGGCGAGAACTTGAACAAGAAGAGTTTCTGGAATGGCGAGAGGGTGTAGAATAACAAGAAGGAGATAGGGCTAGAGGCTCCATATGATGATGAATGTTAAGTTGGAGGCATGTGAATCTCGCATACCTTATGTCAATACCATCATGTCCAAAATGCGGCAAAATATTCACGAAGGAGTCCAGTGTGACTCGCCACCTTAGCCAGCCCCAAACCTCATGCCATAGCTCTATTCGCGATATGGTTGACATTTTGCAGTTCACAGAGTTGGTTGAACCACGTCGGCGATCCCTTGATTCTCTCTCTTCTCAGTTTCCTTCGGATGACCACCGTGACAGGGTTTCATATCCTGATCCTGGAGATGGAATGGATTTTGACATTGGGGGAGACCACTTCGACACAGTGGGAGAGGAATCATCAAGTGCAGAGGAATGGTACAAGGGCGCAGGGACTTGTTACTCTCGGGACGGCACAACCTTCTTGGACCTATTCGACGCTGATGAGTATGCGGACTGCAGGAAAGATAATCTTTTTTATCCTTTTGCATCGAGGAATGAGTGGGAAGTTGCCGATTTTCTTCTTCGGTCCTCCCTCAGTATGGCGGCAATCGATGAATTTTTGGCACTCTCGATGGTATGTAATCTTTTGCGCTCGCACTTGTCCTTCTCCTCGCCCTCTTATTGATGATTACCCTTGCAGATTCACGAACTAAAACTATCTTTCAACAACGCTAAAGAATTACGAAGCCGTGCCGAGATGCTCCCCAAGGGACCGAGCTGGAAATGTCAACCCATTACCTCGCCCCATAGCACGAAACACCCAATCCGACTATTCTGGAGGGATCCTGTTGAATGCTTAGAGAGTCTGTTCAGCAACCCCCTCTTCCATGACAAGCTCGACTTTGTCCCTCGTCGCGTGTACACTACTGCAGCGTGGGTTCTGCGCATATATTCAGAGTGGCTGACGGGTGATTTTGCTTGGGATATCCAGGTACGTGCATCTGAGTCTCTAAAATTCGCATCATCTCATCATAGGCTCTGCAGAACCAACTACCTAGAGGCACTACAATCCTTGGGACTGTACTATCTTCCGACAAAACAAACATCACCACTATGACTGGTGCCAGGGTCGCTCATCCACTTCTTCTAGGCCTTGCAAATATCCGCATGCGCACTCGCACCAAACTCTCGTCTAGGGCATTCCTACTTACAGCTCTCCTCCCTATCCCACAGTATTTGCACCCCAATCAACGGATGCGGGGCGTGCTCGAAGATCGCCTCATACATGAGTGTCTTGTCATTGTCTTGAAACCATTGATGATAGCAGCCGAGATTGGGATCATAATGTCAGATCCGGTGGGCAACGTTCGTCATTGTTATACGCCTCTTGCAGCCTACATTGTTGACACCCCCGAGGCATGTATGCTTGCGTGCATGCGTGGCGAAACTTCCCCGTTCACCATGGCGTCATATCTTGAGTTTGGGGATGATTTTCGTCATCCCGAACGCACGCACTCCGTCACACTTGAACAGCTTGCGAACATCAAGGCCGACCCCAATAACCTCGAAGCTTTTTTTGAAGTGTGCGCTGAATACCAGCTAAACGGTGTTCACGCACCTTTCTGGATGTACTGGCCATATGCTGATCCCTCGGTCTTTCTGACGCCGGAATCTCTGCACCACTGGCATAAGGAATTTTGGGATCACGACCTTCACTGGTGTCTTGTAGCTGTTGGAGCACTGGAACTTGATTTTAGATTCTCGATTTTGCAGCCAATCACAGGCTACCGCCACTTCTCTTGTGGAATCTCAAAGCTCAAGCAAGTCACAGGGAGAGTTCACCGTGATGTTCAGCGCTACATCGTTGGTTTGATCGCTGGTACAGCCCCTTGTCGTTTTGTAACCGCGATCCGTGCCCTTATGGATGTCCGATACATGGCGCAATCCCCTTCCCCCGATGATAACCTATTGACATCTATCAACCAATTGCTCTTGATATTTCATCAAAACAAAGATGTCATCATGTCATTGGGCGCACAGATGGGTACTAAGAAACCAATCGACAATTGGTTCATACCTAAGTTGGAGCTAATGCAGAGCATTACTGCTAGTACGCGTAAAGTCGGTGCTCTCATCCAATGGTCTGTGGATGCCACTGAACACGCTCACATATCCGAAATCAAGGACCCCGCGCGACATACCAACAATAACGATTAGGATCCGCAAATCTGTCGTCACTTGGATTGATTGGAGAAGCTACAGCGCTTTGAAATTGCCACAACGTTAAAGAGTCATGTCGTTGATCCTGGTACCGAAGCCGAGGATGAGGGGGGTGAGGAAGAGGGTACTGTGTGTGATGAAGAAGAACCAACTGATCCACGAACTGCGCTCCTAGAGGAGCTCAATTGTACACGTGTTACTACTAACTATTTCAACAAGGCCAAGGATATAATTACTCTGTCGCGTCAAGCTAGCACTTACACGGGCCCGCCTCGAACATTTACCACCAGTAATGTTGCCATTCACCTGAACTACAATCCAACCCGCACCGGGATGAAACTTGATGACGTCTCTGACAATTTCAACATACCGGACCTCCGCCACGCTCTTTCGGCCTTCTTGCAATGTGATATGAGGAACGGAAACATGATCCATGGAGTTGCGGTTCCAAGAAGATCACTTATTGACCGTCCTCCAATGCTTCCCTTTGATCGAGTCCAAGTATGGCACACTGTTCACTTACAACAGGTTTCATACCATGATTCGAGTGTTGCCTTACCAGCCCAAACCTTGCACGCCTCTCCTTCATCCCCCGAGTGGTTGAAAGGCCGAAGGGATGCTGTCCTTGTGAATATTGATGGACAGTATGAATGGCCCCAGTCTGGGTTAAAAGGTGAGCACCTTTTCTACTCATCAATTTGGCCTATATATATTGACCCCCTCAGGACACACCGTCTGTGAATTGCAGCTCATCATGCGCCCGATGCCTCGATGAGGTTCTCGTATTGGATGGCAAGATCAGTACCTGTGTTATGTCCATAACATGAAGATTGGCGCGGTTGACCCTGTAACTGGAATGCACGTTGTGAAACGTGCTAAGCATGCCAATGGTTCTCCAGTGGGTGATATAGTTCCCCTTCGGCAAGTTCGTTCATTCATCAACCTCATTCCTCAATTTGGGGCAGTAGCGGACGCATGGTTGACGAAAGCAACTTCATCATATTATTCTTCATCTTTTTTTTTGAACAAGTATTTTGATAAGCAGATCTATGATACTCTTTACTACACTTCACAAGGATAGATGTCTATCGTTTCGATGTTTACCAGTGCTATTCTGTGACGCTTGTGATATCTGTGCACATTTGTGCAGATCTGTGCGCGCTGTGAGATCTGTGCGCGCTGTGAGATCTGTAGCAGCTTGCTGATGGGCCTACCTGGATGGTGAACCCAGTGAACTGTGATAAGGGAGAATCAACACCAAGCAACAAACGCCGCATTGAGGCCAATGCACGCCACGTCGCCAATGTTAGCTCAAATTGACTACTCAACGAAAAAATGCTGTCCAACACTGCAGTCTCATCCCTTGTCGACATCAACCGGCTTCTTTGCGGTAGAATCAGCTCTATCGGCGTCCCTGTTGGTGAATTGCCACGTACCTTGGACATCGTCAAACCCCTCCTCAAGCGTGAGCTGCAATCCCGTGTTATTCACGAGGGTGTCGGCAATGCAGTTCAATTGCAGTTCAAGAACTCCATTTTCAACCAAATCGTTCCTCAAACCAATATTGAGGTAGAAAGCCTTGGATTAATCAAGTACGATAGGCTTGCAGGACCATCTGCATACTCTAGCAAGGGATGGAAATTCAACCACAGAAAACGAGTCAAGCGGACTGAAGAGTCTGACTCAGAGACCGACGGACTGGAGGATGATGAAGGCTCGGCCACAGAGATTGATGAGGACATAGAGGACAACGACGACGATACGGATAATGGCGGTGGCTCAAAGCTCAATTATGAGGGTTCACTCGGGTCCGCGATCCTTGGAAAAGATGAACTACTCGAAGGGAGTTGGGATGGCCAAGACTTTCAAGCTGGATCGAAGAAAAGACGACGACGGGTGGTGCACACTACCGAGACAGACCTTCAGCGGCTCTTTTATACCATACAGTACCACTTGCGCAACTCACTGAAGGACAACATCCCCTACACATTTGCGATGGGGGCCCGGTACTGGACTGCAGAGTTTTCTACCACTGCTATTCCAGACTCTTTCAATGCCTGGCAGAAGCCTGATTTATCCCTGTTCGACTTCACACTCCTGAAGGAAAAGAAGTCGTGGGCGAATGTCCTGGCCTTTGTGGAGCACACCTCTTCTGATCTTTCCAAGAATAGAGGTTTAGCAGTGTATTGGGGGTCAGCAATTAAAGCATATTTAATCATCCAAGAACAACCATGGCGTCGATTCGTACTTGCCTACTCAATCTGCGCGAATATGCTCCGTGCACATTATTTCGACCGCTCTGGCGTCATCATATCCCTTCCTTTCAACATTCACAAGTCTCCCGGCTCTATACGCCTCTGCGATGTGTTAGCTGCCCTCACACTTCCGGATAGCCGCCACCTGGGTCTTGATCCCACTATTCACATGTGTCACGCTGTGTGCAATGGCACCCATGTCGATCTTGCAGATGGGGCGATAGGCTGGGTGGAAGACAACAATAACAATGTCTATTCGATCATGGCTGTGCTGTGGAAGAGCCATGGGTTTTTCTGTAGGGGAACGGTCTGTTATCGTGTTAGAAACAAGGAAGGAACAGAGTACGCTCTGAAAGATTGTTGGGTAGAGGAGTTGAAAAAAATGCACGAACCAACCGTCCTGAGGATGGTCAAGGGTATTCCTAACATTGTAGAACTCATTGACGATTGGGATGTTTATTACGAGGGGCAGCCTGATTGCACGGCACGTATTCGCGAGATATATGACCAGGATCAACGAGACGACACCGCATTCTGTAATAGATTTCACCGGCGTCTTCTCTTGAGCCCTTGTGGGGAACCACTCTCTCAATTCAGCTCTAGAACGGAGCTGATCGTGGCTTTTCGTCACTTTGTAATTGGTGAGTGATATCAACTGCGCAGAACATAGACTTGCTAATGATGATATATTTTAGCTCACCAAGCAATGATTGAAAGACGAGTCCTACATGGGGACCTCAGTCCTAATAACTTTGTCATGCATGATGGCATTGGCTACTTCATCGACTTGGACCACACCACAGTGTTAGCAGTAAATACGACCAGCACATATTCGCCTGGTACTGTAAGTTTGTTTCCGAAATTCACCATGCTTGCTTTTGACTGTATTGTTACAGGGTACTATGCCATATATTTCGATCTGGATTCTCCAGAGCATGATGAAAATGATCGATCCCAACGTGGACAACAATGACCCGAGCAAGGACGTCGCCCTGGCCAATGCTGTTGAACGGCTGATTGAACACAGGCCCTCTGATGACCTGGAGTCGTTGTTCTACATATTTTTTGAGTTTGTTGCAAAGTATGGGGGCGCGCATGGTGAATTAGCACCATCCTGGACTCGAGACTCACTGCCATGGGCGAGTGCCTATGAAGCCTTGGGCAAGGCTGATCTCAAAGGGGCTTTGGGTACTGTTACAGTAACATGGCACGAGTCCCCCGCCAGCAGACAGCCCTCTGCCACCGCACGGCTATAGATGATAGCGGAGTCTCACCAGCTCTGTGAAGACAGATGACGATAGACGATAAGCGGCAACTGCCGGCTTAGATAAGCGGTCTGGACCGCACGTGACATGACATGACGACATAGGTCTAGAAGACCTATTAATATTATCAAGATAGAAGGCAAGCCTCGTGTTGCCTCATGGACTGATAGAAGATAGAAGGCAAGCCTCGCGCTGCCTCATGTACTGATAGAAGGATACCATGTGGATCCTATCTACGATAGAAGCCCGCCTCATGGACGCTATCTCTGACTCATGTAGATAAGCAGATTAGAACCCAGCTTTAGGCTGAGCTTAGATACGAAGAGTAGCCTTATATAAGGTCGAAGATTAAAGTAGACGTTCCTTACTTTAATCTTACTAGGTACAACCCAGAAACTAGTCTAATCAACTAGGTTTACCCTTGAACTCCTTGTCCCACTAAAGCTACTTGCTCGACATCGACTCGTACCTTCAGTGACGCCTCTCACTGTCTGTAAACCGCTATCATCTCAGCGTAACCCCTCGTTAACCACCACGAGCTACGTTCGAGTACGCAACCTTTGCTTGTCTGTAAAGGCCGACGACTCTCAGCACTCGGTACCACTGTCATGGTTGTCGCTGTTAGATTATCCTAGTCGCACACGACCGCTTGTCGTAACAGGTACCTGCTATTTCACAAAAGTGGGGGTTGTCCTGGACCCAACTTTCATGGTGGAGACGACATCAGATTACTTTGCAACATTTAGGCCTCTCATTCAGCACTGGCAAGCTTTAGTTTGCCTCGCGAACAAGCCCGATGAGAAAGAGAGAGTGGAGACCACTCACAACAAGGTTCTCGAGGTTTTGACTGCATTTATCGACACCTATGTTGAAGTTGCACCCATAAATCCCTCAGCAAGTTCCAATCCTATTCCCGAGGTAGGGTCCGGGGGGGATAATCCTCCCATAGGTCGTCCTCCAATTCCCGAGGCAGGGCCTTCAAGACTTTCACTGCGTCGTTCTACCCGGAATCTTCACAAGTCCCGCTGAAAACATTTTTGTCTGCAGTGCCCCTCGTACCCTCTCCTCAGTCTGACCATCATATTTGTCTATTCAATATAGACTTTCTCCGAGTCTGTCCTGTAATTCTAGTTGTCTTGTACCTCCTCCTCCTCCTCTTCTCCTTATTCCCTTATGATATCCTGACTTGTTTTTTGTTGTGCGAACTTATGTCGCTTATTACGTAATACACGACAGCTACTTTAGCGCTAGATCAGCTTATACTATTAACACATTAAGTTTCCAGCTTTCCTGATGCCTCCAAGAAAGAAGGCCAAGCATTCTGCCCCAGCAGCAGCTCCCTCTCAACAAAGCAAGAGAAGCACACGAGGTGTTGGTGGCCATGTAGCGCAACTGAAAAAACCAGAGAAACACTAGCAGCCCCAGCAAGGAAAGGATGCAAGGAGCCCATTGTTCAAATGGGCGACTCAGATGCCGAAGAAAACCCCATGGCTCTGTCACAGCTTCAGAGAACGAAGAAAAATGTAATGGTTCATTTTTCTAACTGCTACAAGCTGATGACATATCCTAAGCAGCGTTCTGTTACAGCCGACAACCAAGTCAGGTCAGGATCTCAGCTCTCTCGCACTCCTCATCCCGGCCTTCCCACCAATCAGCCTTTGGGGAGATTTGGATTCAAGCTGCCCATGTCTGATATTCGCAAGGCACCGTATTCCAGTGGTACTACCTACGGATGCCAAGCAGCAGACAAAAATGTCATCGAAGATCGGGATTTTGAGGGTGACAGGGATTCTGACTTGGAGCATGATAGGGATTTAGGCTTGGAGCGCAACAATCGGGATGATTCTGAGGGTTCTACTAGTGAAAATGACAACCAGGGTCCAGATGATAATCTCATGGAACACGAAGACAACCAAATGTAAGTGTCTACTTCTCCGCCCTAACCATCCTCATGCCCGTCGCAGGGACCGTGATCAATTCCCACATCAGCAAGAGGACCAAGCAGATCATTTCGATGATGGGCTCGAGGGTGGAATGCAAGCAGATTTCGATCAAGGTATTGATGACGAGCCCGACGATGCAGCTCGACAGAAATCACAGGAAGGTATATAAAAAATTTACATGTCCACCTAGTCACCTTTTTTTTTCCAGGGTATTGTTGATGTCCTTGAGCGTCATCAGGCGAAGAATGGACAGCGCAAGGCTCCTTCGCAGGCTTCCCTCTTGAGAGCGAGACATGCTGAACGTCTCCGCCGCTTGAAGTCACCTCGTCGACTCTCACCTCGACGTGCCTCTCCTGCTCGAGTGCAGCATAGATACTCACCCCCGCGTCACTCACGTATATCTTCCACTTGCTCAAGGTCTCCTCGTCGGCGCACAAGATCTTCACCTCGGTGCACAAGATCTCCATCAGCTCATCGACATGAACATCAACCATCTGCACGCACTTCTTCCTCTCGCGTACAGTCTCCTCGTCGTCCTCCATCTCGGCCAAGCCAGTCCTCAAATCGCATACAGCCCCTCTCCTGGGCATGCTCTTTGTCGCGGTCCGTTCCCAAGGACACTTCTCCATCTGATCGTGCAATGTCACCCACTCTCCATTCTCGCTCTTTCAGCACCACACCTGAGCCAGATTCACACAGCAGCAAGAAGGCACGAAAGATCAAACCAACCCAAGGGGACCCCATGAAGCTCGGCTTTTATCCACCTTCCTGGCAGGCACTTTTGCAGGCAGCAAAGGTAGAAATGTGTCTCCAAGCTGTGTTGACACATGCTGTTCCAGAGCATGGAGACGCTCTACAACTCGCACAAGAAGTCCTGGATGCTGAACTCTGGAGGTACCACGAGAAGAAGATCAAAATGGATAAAGGTAAGTGTTTATCGCACCACCGGACGTCCTCGAATCTCATTATTTACAAGGCTATTTCCCGGAGTACAAAGCTCAAATGTCCCGAGTGGTAAGCATCTCATTAACTGATGATCAGCGCGCTTATTTTATCATCAGCTCTGCAATGATTTGTTTACATTTCGCACAGAGCTGAAGAAAGTCATCATACCCATTGCGAAATCAGCATATGACATTTTCCCAAAGGGCACAGTCACACGTAAGGAGGATATACAGAAGCACGTCATCACAGCCGCCACTAAGCTCCTCAAGACTGGTGGTTACCTTCGTATTCCTGACTCATCTAACGTATGTGATCACTCCTCGCAATGTGGCTGCTCACTGTTTATTTTTTCTAGGGCAAATGGAAAAACTTTGTGTCGCAAGCTCTTATGGATGGCTGCCTTGCATTTCATTATAGCAATAGCAAGAAGGCGCTCAAAAATACAGATGAATTTCACCGCACAATCCCTCCAAACGCGCTTATTCTCGTGGCTGCTGTGGTACGCTGTGATTTATTTTATTTTCCATTGCTAATTAGTTAACAGATGAAGGGCGTCATTTCTGGGTTTTCTGAAACTGGTACCGACAAAGTACCTGACCTCTCCGCTGATAGATGTAGGAACAACTTTAACTTGTTGCAGAAGTCTCTGGACAAACTGATGGACATTCCCGAACATCGTGACAAGCTTGAAGATATGCTGGTGCAGTGGGCTGGTATTGCGATGGGTGAGCTTGTTCATGGCGACTCGAGTGCAGGAGGCAGTGATTTGGAGGATGTCAACATCATTTTATAATCTTGCATACTAGTACTCATGTTTTACAATCTACGACAATCAGCACAATTTATGCTTCCTGTACAAGCTTGTATGGTGTCCTACAAATTACATAAGCTTATACAGCATGTCTCATCTGCAAAATGTGTCTCGTCTGCAGACTCCACACAGTGTGTTCTGTTTGTCTGTATTGTGGTGCTTGTATGGGTTGTGGTGCTTGTATGGGTTGTGATGCTTGTACAGGTTGTGATAGCTTGTACTACCTTGTAACAGGACTGTAAAGAGGGGACTTCCTTGTGTGCCTGTGAACCTTGTACAACCTTGTACAACCTTGTACAACTTTGTACAAGTACCCACTAGTTTGCTGATGCCGTTCAAAGCGCAAGGCACCTGCACCAACAGCAGTGTGAAAAAGTTCGAGGAAATAGTCGCTAGCAACCACTACTGAATTCATGGCATGTTTCTTTTCATTCGCATTGCTCACAGGCTGATACTCATGTGTTATCTTTATATTCTCGCTTTCATTTCCTCACTGTTGTATGCTACTGACTCATGTATTTCTCACATTCTTGTTCTGGTGTCCACTCTCAATTGACCGCATTCACATACATAGGCTCGGAACGATACACTCCATTGTACTTCAATACTTTGTAATATCATGTTTTAATGCAATGTTTTATCATATCAGAACACAATTGGTAGTGATGTGCACAGCCTGGCTTCAGGCCATGGGCCGGCCCAAGCCGAGCCTGATTAGGCCGAGCCGAGCCGGGCCCAAGTCAGGGCCCGGCTTGAGCTGTTGGAAAGCCAAAGCCGGCGGCTCAAGCCGCAGCTTTATGTCCCTGCTCATCCATCATCGATATCAATGCATCCTTACTTTAGGGAGTCGAATCGTCTGTTACAGACTTCCGTGGACATCCGGACATCAGGTACGAGTTTATTTACTATATCTAAATCTGTCTAACCATTGCTACTCTAGTCTCTTCTGCAAATCCAACATGCACAGGTCCGATTTATCCACGCACACCGCAGGTGTTCAATCCGTGTTTGTAACTCTTTCTTCTTAAGATAGTGGCATTGACTTTTTCTGAACCAGTATGTATGATCATGCGCACCTTGCATCGAAGCCACTGCAAATTTCTACGGGACTGCGATATCGATTTGAAACTTTGATAGGCATCACTGGGTACAAGATGGTAAAATACAGACCACGATGGTCAGAAGTTCTAATGATGGCCGGAAGTTCTAATGGCATCTTTGGATGTCGCTTGGCGTCCTCAGTTTTTCTTCGTAGTTCTCTTTGAGGTGAGATGAATTGCGTTGCTGACTAGTACATTTGCTGACCTTTTCGAGCCGGGCCTGCTGTTACGACTGGGGTATGTCGAGCTGTCTTAGTCCGAGTGGACTGAGATTCAGCGAGACAGACGTGGTTCTTCTCTCGAATGAGAGGTCAAAGGTTTCTGGCTAAGGCAAGTATCGGCGACTTCCTTAGATTGGTGGTTTTTAGATAGCAAGGTTGGAGACCTTGCTAAAGGACTAGTTCCAGGTAAAACCCAGTAGATTAAAGTGAAGAACTACATGTGGTACACTACGTATCTATATAGCGAGAGTTCAAGCGGAGCTTGTAAGTGCGTATCAAGATAGAAGGCGGACAGCCCGCTTGGTAGACGATAAGAGATAAGAGATAGTAACCATGGTGCGGACAGCCCGCTTTGATAAGAGATGATCAGCTAAACATAGTGATGGTTACTAGCACGGAAAGTCAGCTTAGCGATGATATGAGTAAGAGTCTGGGAAGTAATTGGTCGTTCAACAACGGCTGTGTTCATGGACCATTGTCCGGTAACAAAGGAGAAGCGAAGAGAATTAATGTGCCGTAACACCTGCACATCACTAAAACTTATCGACTTTTGTAGACAACAAATGTTGTCTTCATGGGATCTCCTCCTCCCGTCTGCATATTCGCAAAAATGGTGGTTTCTTCGAGGCTGAGAGCCGCTTGTGGTATGCAAACTCAAGTGATGGTCCAAAGTTAGAGCTGAGAATTTGTGTAGGACCTGTTACTTAGCCATGCCGCTTTATATCTGTGGCTTTTTGATGCTGGGCGCTGGGATACAAAATCTCAACAAAGCCGCTCTCATCATAGGCTGGGGCATTGCAACGTGTATTGTAATGACTGCTTCCCTCGTCCTGCCCCAAAGATTGACACGCTTGCTCATTTTGTTTTTGAAAGCTGTCGTTGAGCCCAAGCCGAGCCGCGGCTTTGGCCTGGCTTTGGCCCACGGCTTGGCCTGAGGTTTTGCAAAGCCCAAGCCAAGAGGTGGGGAAAACCTTAATTCCCAACATGGTGCTCGTCATTATATAAGCTAGAAAACTCTAATGTACCGCCACTTGAAGTTTCGAGAGCAGCATTCTGAGTTATTCGACAGCGGCGCAAGATCTTGATAAAAATTTTAACTGAGCACTGGAAGGCCCCCATTTGTACTACTTAATAATACATCTAGATAGTCAGATCAATGAGATAAGAGCGTGGAATGACGCTACTAGCCAAATCAATCTGTCCGGTTGTAAAAACTGAGAACATGTGACCAATATAACGCGAGACACGTGAATATTGATATGACGCACCTCGTCTCTCCGTTGCCTCACACCACCATCAAGACTCATTCATTTTTGCATACTCTCATTCAAATTATGTATTCTACAACACAATTGCACGCACAGAATTTCCCAGCAAGTTATGAAAACTCGGCTCCTATCAGAAACGAGGCGCATATAGCCACATTGCTTGAAGTGACGGACTTCGTCGGATCAGATCCCAACACATATTCATCAGTATCTGGACACTCTAATAGCCCAGACATAGACTTCAATGTACAATTATCGGATGATACCACGCAAACAGCATACCAAGAAGACTTCCCTAACTTATCGCCTCCTTCTCAAGGTCCTAGCTCGTACTGGGGCCGATCAGATTCAGACTCACAATGTTCTTCTTCAGTTCCTGATTCCGAGATCGATATCGAGGAACAATTATTACTAAACACGCCGGACTCACTTTACAACGTGTACATGGCTAAGGTGCTAGCAGTAACCATCAGTACCCAACAACAGTACCTAGCAGCGGAGCACCTACCTGGGAAACAAAGTGCATATACAAGCACACATTCAGGTATGGATCCGTCGATTCAGGATCGAAAAACAAGCCCTGTCACAACTTGCCCCTCAAATGCGAACTTTGCCACCCTGTTCTCCCTCCTCAACCCGGCAAGACCATGCGAAAGGTACCCATTCTCCCCATTGAAGCTGTGTGGCGCTACAACATGATAGCACACATCCTGGACCAGCACGAGGAGTACACTGTCCCTGGACATAGAGAGGCAGGAGTTCCATTGCCGGTAAGCGTTTGGAGGACGATGAAGCTTACGGATCTCGAGCAGGGTGCTTCACACATCCCAAAGGATCGCTGGCAGCCCTTGTACAGTGGTTCGTTGGAGCGGGAGAAGGAAAATGTACCTGTAGCGTCGGGTTCTCGTACTAAATGTCCTGCCGTCGAGTCCGCTGGATCTCTTCTCTCCAAATGAGCTCGTACATCCCTCCAGCATAGTACTTCACGTTAGTTTGCTTATTTTTCACACCCTTCATAGTTCCGTTGCTTGATCTGTTTGTTGCATGCTCTGTACCAACTCTGTACGCATAAGTTGCTCTGATTTGTGATTGAGACAGCTACTATATATGGCTAAGAGCATGTTCGGATAGAAATATTTGCATGAAGTTTTGAAATATTGATCACGCAAATTCGTCGGCATTGTCCCGAAAGTTCGTCGGAGCTTAAACCTTCCTTGTCTCCTACTGTACATACTAATCGATATAGATCTCTTGCTCCTCCTCCTCCTTTGATATCCACCAGCGCAATAGACTGATCGCTGGTGTCATCGCGATCACTGCGATCTGTACTCAATATACCAATCTTATCATGGCTCAACCTGAGGCCCATGAAATCCCTACAAGGCGCACACCTGCGCACTGGAGAAACGAAGAAATCACCGCACTTGTTAATCATATGTACGATAACCGTGCAAGTGGTGATACCTCCAGCAACTTCAAGCCACAGGTGTATACTTCTGCACTAACAGTCATCAACGATGATCCCGACCTTCAACCATTGCGGATCGGTCCAGCAAAGACTGTCAAGATGGTGAAGAGCAAGTGGGCATCAGTGCGTCCATCCAACTCTGTCCTTCACTCACTTTACTGATTCAATATTTCAGCTCAAGTCTATTCATCACGCTATCGATAAATACCGCAACCAGACCAGTACACACTGGGACGGTGCCAATGGAGCTGGGATCCATGGCCCTGCAGCATCCGCTGTGTGGGATTCGTATGTTGCGCTCAGTGTACATCAGCCCCTTTTATTTTTCAAATAAAAGCTAACATTTTTTAGTCCAATTCTCACATGCGGGGCGCCATGCCTTCCACCCAGGTGTTATGGGTCCTCCACCAGTACCAGATGCTGATGAGGATGAGCCTGGCCTTGCTCAGGCTCCAGCCCTCTCTTCTGCCGGTCCTTCCACCACTGCCAATCATTCATCTGTCACCGGCCCTTCATTCACCACCGGTCCTCGCTCTAACACTGGTGGTCTCTCTACCGCTACCAGCTCTGCTGGTGCCAAGCGCCCTTACGAGGGCACCAATGTGGATTCTGTCGAGACCACTTCGTTCGCGTCGACCCATGATTCGGCTCAGCCGGTCTCCACCACCTTGGTGTCCGCCCCCCCCTCAAAGAAAGCACGTTCGCACGTCTCTCAGAAGATGACCAATGCGGCCAAGATGAGCAGTGCAACACAGGCCGCCAAGATCACGCCTGCTGCTGCCGTGATGGGACTGCAGGGCACTGTCAACCGTCTGACAGATATCTTTGAAAAATTCATTGTTAGTTCCATGAATAATGGTACCCTTCCACCTCCGCCTCCGCCTCCACCTGTGCCTGAGCCTGAGGACAGCATGGACTTGGTGACACGCGCGGCACACCTACTGCAAACTGAGGATGCCGACATGCCTGCTGACCAGCGTGCTGTCTTGATAATGGTCCTTGGTGAGAAGAACAACGAGAGATTCCTGAAGTTCTATGTGTCCCTCACGGACAAAGCAATCAGGCGTCCGTTTATTGAGAAGCTCATCACAGATGCAATGGCGGGCTGAAAATATATCATGTACCTTGTTCTTTACCGCTTGCTTTCGTTTCAATGTATGTACAATACTACATGTTCACAACTGTCGCAATGCATCAATGTTTGTCTGATTTTGGAGGCTACAAAGTGGTACTCGAAGTGTGAATTATTCCGAAGCAAAACTGTCCTGATCCTCATCCTCATCAAAAGCGTCCTCGAGGTCCTCATCCCCCTCATCAAGATCTATCCCTTCGAAAGTACGTTCTAACAAGATGCGCTGATAGTCATTCCACATCGCAGATCCTTGATGAAACTCAAGTTCGTTATCTTCTTCGATAGCCGCAATATCGTCTTCTTCGGCATTTCCACCAGAATATCCACCCTGCCAGTCTTTGTCGTCATCTTCATCGTCGGCTTCGTTGGTGGGGATGTTTGTGGGATCATGCACGCGGATGAAGTTGTGAATGGCGCACAGTGCGGCGGGAATTCGCGCTTGCAACTCCATGGCATATGCAGGCGGCAACAGCAAGATCCGAAAACGACGCTTCAAAACGCCAAAGATGCGCTCGATGACGCTTCTTGCTGATGCATGTCGCAAATTAAATAGTTCTTCTTTATTAGCAGGCCTGTAGGGAAGATGAGTTCCAAATTGAGCTTGATTCAAGTAAAAGGACCTAACTGGTGTTTGCACGTCCCCATTCAGCTAGGTGATAGCGCACACCTCAGTATGGCACAAGTAAGCCGGGACGGAGTGGATAACCCGCATCTGCAAGAAAATACTTGCGTGGGGGAACTTTGAAGTCATTCAGACACGCATCTTCATAAACACGAGCGTCCGTTGCAGAGCCTTCCCAGCCGGTGAGTGCGTAGGTAAATTTGAGATCGAAATCACATGCAAAAAGGCAATTTTGAGATAGGAACCCCTTCCGATTATGATACACAGCACGGTCAGTAGCCCTGGGGGTCACCTGAATATGGCTCCCATCTATTGCACCAATGGCACCTTTAAAAAAAGGCCACCACTCAGGGTTTCTGCGGACTTCATGAGGGACGGACCCATCAGGAAACTGGACGTATGTTGAATAGAATGGTTCGGAGGAGAAAGAAACGAGGATCTTGCGAAAGTACCTATGCGCTAGAGTCAGATATCCACTGCATCCTAGATAAAAATAAATGTACTTAGATATTGTTTCGTTTGAGTGTTGGAATCTCTCCCCGACATGTCTGACTGATAGGCTGGTCACCGAAGCGTACAGAAAGATAGCGAGTTGTTCCTCGAGGGAGATGAATTTGGAATCTGAGTGGCCCATAGCGCGAAGCTGAGTGATAAGCTCCACAAAGGCAGAGGCGTGCATGCCAAGTTCACAGCGGATGTGCTCTGGGTGACCAGTTAGTAATTCAATAACCCAGTCCTGCCCAGAGAGGGCCGAGGTGTGATATGGTTGTCGGTCCTTGGGATATATGGTCTGCAATGTACCATGTGTTGCAGCGACTACTATACTGATAACAAGTCCTATACATTTAACAAGACGATCCCGAACCTCCAGTTGAGGATTGGAAACGAGCAAGGCGAGCCGTTGATGATCCATTTCGAATTGATCTTCTTGAGCATCCATGACGAGGAGATATGCGATATACCTTTGAATATCAATTGATAACAGCTGCTGATTTAATTAAAGCTCCGACGAACTTTCGGCACAATGCCGACGAATTTGCGTGATCAATATTTCAAAACTTCATGCAAATATTTCTATCCGAACATGCTCTAAATTACGGTGACTGTAACGCTGTCACCGTGGGGGGGGCCCGTCCAAAGTTACGCCAGGTGTATGTCATGAACTCTTATTTCCCCCACCTCTTGGCCCAAGCCCCCAGAAGCCAAGCCCAAGCCGGGGCTTTCAGGCCGAGCCGGGCCCACACATCACTAGCAATTGGAATGTCTGATCAATCTGAGTGAGAATCAAATGCCTGATGTATATTGAAATGTCTAGTATATCAGAACGCTAAACTAATGTCAGACTAATATCATATGGCAGTGAGAATGGCGGAATTTTAGTTTCCATACATTGTCCGACATTGACGACTTGCGCCAGATACTTATGGCAGGTGTAGTAGCTCCGACATTGCCATATATACCTAGGTCTAGGTTTTGTAATTTTGGTGATGTCGATGTCCTTTATATATCTTAGTGGCCCAGGCAGCTTGCTTTCCTGTTAGACCTTTGTGATATCCATCCATGAATCTACGAGATCGGCGTGCATGCTCGGAGATAGTGGCATTAATATTGTGGTCTTACTGGTATGTTTTCCTTTCCTTCTTTTTCCTCCCTCTTGAGCTTGGTCCTTTTCGTATTTCTTTCTGCATATCCACCAAGGTTCTTCAGGTGTTTCAGTGCACGTTTGGGCATTGTGCCGTGGTAGTTTGAGAATGTCGTACCAATTTTGTGTTCCCCCTTAGTTTGTCACGCAACAACAAGGCTCAAAAGGGCTCATAACATTCGTTTTCTTAATGGCACTTTCAATTTCAATTTTTTCAAAAATCCAGCCGCGCAGCGTTGTGCGCAGTGTAAATACAAAGAACCCTGCGCGATAAAATAGGTGTTTTACAATTGCCATTAACATTTCAAACAAAAGTAACGCTTTGTCACGTTTCGTTAGCGGGAAGTGCGTGGGCCATACCTTACCAGACGACAGCAATACGACGCAGTAGAACTACACACCAATGTGAACAAAAACCATCCTCTGCTCCAGCGGCACTGTCGTCTTGACGGCATGTGTGGCACGGTTCAGTGCCCAAGCCGCCTTCGTACAGTCCATCACATCTCCATCCTTCAAATCTTTGAACATGGTTTCATAGAAGGCTTTGACGACATGTTTTGCGACAGAGTCGTCGACTTGCCACAGCGTCCCAATGACGTTCTTGAACCCCGAAAACTGAAGACCAGCTGCGAGGTGAATCACTTCATCAGGAGTCTCCTCATCTCCGACGGCGGTATGACACGCGGATAAGAACGCGAACTCGGCGTGCGGAATATCTCTCTCCATGATGTGTGTGGCCGTCGCAGGGACGAGCTTATGGACAAGCTCGAGCTCGCTGTCGACGGCCTTGAGTGCCTTGCCTTTTCCTGCACCCGGTTGACCTTGTCCGATTGTCACGAAGGATGGAGTGACGCGCTTCTTCATCATCTGTCTGGATCTGACCAGAGCCGAAAGTGTGGGTGTGTAAGAGCAGATGTAGAGATCCTCCAGGCATTTCTCCCTAGAGCCATCTGAGTTGGTTCGAAACGGGTGAGCTGCGTGGAGAGGAATAGACGTGAAAGCTGCAGTTGGACACAGCCAGATTCAACAGTATTTTAGTTTCAGATCATGTTGGAGGACGTTGACGATGGGTAGCATGATCTCGTCCCATACCGTCCGCAAGAGGACTATTAGATCGTTTCGCGGCACTTTTGTGCCCAGGGCAGATGCGTTTCGTATTGCCCTGGCAAAGCGATCCTTGAGATTGGACAGATCCGCGAGAGGGACAGATGGCAAGGGAACATGATGGGGGTCTCCTGACGTCGGGACGATGATGGCATTGCACGAGTATTGGCTCGCAATGAGAACAATGACCGGGCCCTGGCGCGCTGCCGCTTGCATGTCTGCATATAAAGGCGGGAGCAGGAACCGCGAGAACCCCCAAAGATCACGTATCTTAGCTACGGCAGCTTCCCATTGCCTTATAAGCATCCTGTACTCTATTGCTGCCCTATCAGCAGTAGCGCTGTCGGTAATGGTTGCAGAACTCTGGGCTGCATTGGAAACGAGTTTACTCAGCTCCAAATAATTGTGCGCTAGTGTCGGATTTGTTGACTCAAGGTCTTCAACTGGAGTCCTGAGTCGAGATGCCAGCGACCATTGCTGGCCACGACCCTGCTCTGCGAGTTCGACTGCGTGGCGTAGATTGTGATTGCGGATGGCGCACGATGCTGCATCTACAGGCAGCGATCTGACACCATTGAAGGCAGCAGCAGCTTCGCGTCGTGAAATTGTCGATGATCGCGTTGCCAAATGACCGTCAAGAAGGTCGAAGTATGTGTTGTAGGCCTCCAGTGCGGATGTATGACTGTGCGTCTCTGCAGCGGCGACCCATCTCCGGGCTGTTCTAATGCGGTATGGAAAGCCCTGAGGGGGGTGTCTTGATGCCAGTCTGAAGTTCTCCATTGCAAGTGACAAATCAGCAGGGTCGTGTAGAATCCGGTAACGAGACAGATAGGCCTGCTGCAACCATCTGTAGCTGAACCATCTGTCCGGGTGCAGTGAAGACAGAGCCGCCAATGATTCTTGACCAAGAGCAATGGCCTCCTCAACATCGTCGTTCTCCCGAGTTTCCATGAAACGAGAGCAGAGCGCGGAGCTCAGATTGGAAAGAGTTAGATGATGCCCTGGATCGTCAAACCGCTTTAACCGAAGGGATTCACGATACCGATCAATAGCCTCGTTGAGATACTCTCTGACTCGCGATTTGTCATATCTGGTTTGGAGCGCGAGGGCAAGGTTGTTAAGCGTGGTGTCACGACGTGGATGTCCAGGTGGGCACAACGTCAGGGCCTCGCGATAGAGACTGATAGCTCGGGTCATGTCATCAATGTCGCCGCGTTCGTTGAAACGATCGACGAGGGCGCTCCCTAGGTTGTCTAACGAGCAATCACGAGAATCGTGCCCAACAGGGTACAGGTGCAGTGCTTGTTCGTACAAAGAGATGGCCTCATCGAGGTCATTAGGATTGCCTTGGTGCTTATAGCGAGATATGAGCGAGAGAGCCAAGTTGTTAAGGTAGGTATCACGGTCAGTATGTCCCTCGGGACACAAAGACACGGCTTCACGACGAAGCTGTATGCTCGTGTCAAGATCATCGATGCTGCCATGCTGATCAAACCGTGCTTCAACTGCTCGTGCAAGCTCGTTGAGAGTTCTGGGACGAAGTCGATGGCCCAGAGGACAGAGCTCGAGGACGACTCTTCGAAGGTGGATGCCTTCATCGGATCCATCTGTTGGAAGATTGTTGCATTCTTCGATCACATAATCAACACCATTTCCCCCTGCTGCGATGCTACGAAGGTACGTGCCCTCTGTACATAGAGGCAGTAGCTCATGGTAGAGTTGGGCAGCTTCGCAGATGTCTGCAGCAGTACTTTTCCTGAGGTGGCGCCAAGTCAGCGCTTCGGTAAGATTATATAGGGATAAGGGATGATCGGGATGGTGCTGCGGACGCAATGCAAGGGTGTCGCGGAAGAGGGAAGTGGTAGTATCAATGTCTTGAACATCTTTTTGTATGTAGCCTTTGAGGAGAACCCACGCGAGGTTGGTGAGAGCCGTTGCGCGGTCTGGATGGCCGACCGGACACTGGTCCAGAACCAATTGAAAATGCTTTACAGCATCATTCAAGTCAGAAACCATCCTACTTCTCACGTATTTGGCGAGTCGTGCATAGCCCACATCTGTGTGTCGAGCAATTCCGCAGTCTACGAGGGACTGCAGTCGGAGTTCCGTCAGCAAAAGCTGTCAGGACGGAGTTCGGGGTCGCTCACATCGAACAGTGCGCCGTTTTGATCGTCGCAAGCATGTACAACGGCAACCTTCAGTGTGATCGAAGGTTGGACACCGCGCACGGCTGGAAAGGATAGATCTACGAGATGTCAGTATATATGCATGAATGAGAAGCGAATCACTCGCCGAATGGTTCATCTCCATGGTCGAGTAGCTCATCCCACGACCTTTTAATTTTTCCGATGACCTCTCCCCCGCCTAGCATTCGACCAAGCTCATAGGACGCCCTGATCTCCATTGACAACGCAGGTGAGGAATGTGATGGTCTATAAACCAATGATCAGTTCTCGCATCACGTCACAAGATCTCTGTGGACTTTACAGAGTTACAGTATCCCCCCACGCTACAGATTCATCAGATGATAGGACACCGATGGCCGATTTCCAGCGTTTCCTCGAGTCGACATTGATGGATATGTAGATGCCAGCAGGAATACGCTCGGAAGGGACTTGAAGATTTTTTCCACTGGTGACTGTAGATCGAGTGTGAGAATCATGAAACAGATACCAAGGTATATGGAGGGACTCGCCTTCAAGTCTGATATATCGTTCTTCTAGGCTACTACGTGTGATTGTGGGACGAAACAAACGACGAACGACACGCAGCATCGGAAATTGAGAGGGGTTTAGAATGAACAGTAGGAAAAGGTGGACGGTGGATAGAATGAGTTAGGCTGTAGATGGAGTTCGGCTGAGAGGGAGAGAGAAGGTTGAGGGTTCAGGCCATGCTGTACGTGTATTTCCATGCTGTTGAGGGCTGGAGTATGATAGACGCTGGTATGATTGCACAAGCGCTGGGAATGGAATCACCGATCGGGATCAGCGGAAGAATCTGTGCTAAAGTAGAGAACGTCATGAACAGTTTGTAGCGACCGCGGCCTGCCAACGTTGAAAGGAACATGCGAGTCTCAGAATATCAATGATTGCTGCTCCTGGGCTTGCATCTTACTATTCAGTTAGCATGCAAAGGCAAAATGTAGAATTGAATATATTTTGTAAGGTACTGACAAAGGCAAATGTACAACGTTTATACCGCTGAAGACGGCGGGAAAAGCAAAGTCGAATGATTCCATACAACTCGTCGGATTGAGCTGACAGTGCTATGGTGTGAGGGGGAGGATAGTCTTGCCTACACCGAGGAATGAGAAAAGAATATGGGCTTCAAAAGCAAGGATGCAACCAACCATATGCCCGTTCGGTGAACAAACAAGGTGTTCAGCAAGTTGTGACGGCTGCCGGATTCACCCATCGCCGAGAGTTATACCCTGCAGGAAAGGGATATCCACTATATGTGGCACTGTGTGGACAAGCTAACAGGTTCATCGTACAGGGAAGTCTTGAAGGTGATAGAAACACAATTTGGCCGAGGACATGAGCATGAGTAACATACCGAAATATCTCGAATACGATCACTGGTACACTTTCCTTCCGTTCCCACGGTTTCGTAGCCCGCCGCTATTTTCAAATTACACATAGCTAGCTTCAAGTATCGACTTGGCTTGTACTAGCCTACCTCCCCAATAGCCTGACAATATAGCTGCTCCCGTCGTCATTCCCAGCTGTAACTTTCAAATTTACAAATATGTTCGACAAATCTCATCCTGCACACTGAAACGCATGCATGAATTACTACGTTGAAGATTTCAAATGGCGAATCACATTCACCATCATCTGATGCTCTAGCGTTGGCATTGGCTGTCGTTGCGTCTGTTTTGAGTTTTATTCTTGGTCTGAGAAGTGGGCGTTTTCTCAAGGGAATTGCTGGAATCTCAGAGACCAATCATTGGATATCAGTCTGCCCATTCCAATGGCATAGAGCTGCTGCTTACCTGTCGACCGTCGAAGGGGTCGCGGATTGGTTGGTGCTCTCATCTCACCAGTGTACTTGTCTCCTCCAAAGCTCAGCGCTCAGGCTCAATCTGGGACAATGTGTGCATCGAGGGTGTTATGTCACTGATAGTCCAAACTGACACCCCTCTCGTTCAGTATTTCCAGCCACGCCTTCCCACTCGCTGTATTCACTCTCCCCCGCACTGAGTCGCCATCCGCTCTTGCCCACTCTTGGTGTCCAGTCATTGTCGCCCGGTCTCAGTGTCCGGCTACTCACCATGGGTCTGTAGCTACTCGGCCACTCGGGGTCTGTCAGTTATGTTAGTGTTGCTTTGATGCTGCTAGCGCTCAGTTATCGATCACGCCAGGTGCCATCGTTTTTTATTCTTAGTGCTACATATTCCCCTTCCTCCTAGGATATCATTTGCTTGATTGCACAAGCTGTGGGAGCCGCATCCGCTGCGCATGCTGCCGACACGAAGACAAGCGCTTCGACGGTATGTACACCATCCTATGTTTCGTCTGTCATTCACATCATCGAGATAGTGTGCGAATATTATGCTAGGAGGAATTGCTGCTCAGCTTTACGGGCGAGTGGTCCCGTAATACTTGTCTCACTGAAATTCACGTCCTTCGCTTTCCAGTTGCAGTGGGGGTCTAAGTTGCTTTGGCAACTAAGACTCTTGCGTTTGAAATATAAGATACCCTTCCGCTGTGTTGAACAGCCTCATATATCGGAGAAAGCCTGAGGCCAACGTGCTGTGAGTAAGAGCTTGCAACTCATGCTTTGTAGCATGGCGTTCTGCACCCTTCTTGCATCTTCATTTGGTCAGTGTTCAACGTACCCCGTTATCAGCCGTTACAACGTACTCAAATTCGTTCTTATATCGGGGTACCGTACTGTGGAGCTCGCCAATGGATGGGCTGGACCAGCGATTACGACGGAGGGCTACTTTGTTGCGTTGTCACTATCTTCGCTAGGAATACGTTGACGATGCTCTATATTGGGTAGACTGGCTTGATGGTGACGTAGTCACTGTCGCTACTCACACTCTCGATCTCTTTCATCCGGGTGTCTTGGTGAAGAAGGACGATCCCATGGCTCATGCTTTACAGCAAGCCATCGACGAAGTAGTAATTCGATCTAGATTTTTAAAATTTTGATTACTTTTGGATGGTACTACGAAGAGACGACTGACCGTCACGTTTACCAGTAGAGCAGCTGTTAGGACCTTCCTCTACACTCAAGTATCTACTTACCAGCGTGCGGACATATATGGCACATCATAGCATGTTATAATAACGCCTGTTTTCTTTCCTGAATCCCGTTCTCTCGTTTCAGCATTGATTATCCCTGGGAAGAGCACCTCACCTCTGCGTCGGAGCTCCCTCTGCATGATAGTCCCCTGAGGGCAGACCCAAACTTGACCTTGCTTATAAGATATTGATTGTGATTCATCGAGCTTTCGCGGTGCAGAACTTAACGCTTGAAACTTGAAGGATCCCTAGTAACTGGTAAGTTTGACTGGCCCAAATCCCACCCACCCAAGTACTCAAGCAGAAGACAAGGCTGCAAACGAGTCGAGTACACAAGAATTTTGGGTGAACATTCTAGTCGACAACATAATATAGTATACGAAAACGAGATAGGGTATAGCTAGAGTGCAAGAATATATCGGGCTCATGTTTTACAACAGTAAGAAAGAGGATCGCAGATGAACAATTTGTGAACATGTACCAGACGACAGCAATACGACGCAGTAGAACTACACACCAATATGAACGAAAACCATCCTCTGCTCCAGCGGCACTGTCGTCTTCACGGCGTGCGTGGCACGGTTCAGTGCCCAGGCCGCCTTCGTACAATCCATCGCACCTCCATCCTTCAAATCTTTGAACATGTTCTCATAGAAGGCTTTGACGACATGTTGTGCGACAGAGTCGTCGACCTGCCACAGCGTCCCAATGACGCTCTTGAACCCCGAAAACTGAAGACCAGCTGCGAGGTGAATCACTTCGTCGGGAGTCTCCTCATCCCCGACGGCGGTATGACACGCCGATAAGAACGCGAACTCAGCGTGCGGTATATCTCTCTCCATGATATCGAGCAGCGTCAGATCTTCGTCTCTCATGACGAAATGCGAATTGTAAGGCTGCTTTGGGTCCTGCTTGCCATGACAAGCTAGGTGCACCCACGTGTTCTGCTGCAAAGCTTCGAGCGCACCTGCTCGTGTGGCTGCGTCGCCAGAAATATTAGTGTGTTTGGCCGTCGCAGGAACGAGCTTATGGACAAGCTCGAGCTCGCTGTCGACAGCCAAGAGCGCCTTTCCTTTCCCTGCACCCGGTTGACCCTGTCCGATCGTCACGAAGGATGGAGTGACACGCTTCTTCATCGTCTGTCTGGATCTGACCAGAGCCGAAAGTGTGGGCGTGTAAGAGCAGATGTAGAGATCCTCCAGGCATTGCTCCCTGGAGCCATCTGGGTTGGTTCGAAACGGGTGAGCTGCGTGGAGAGGAATAGATGTGAAGGCTGCAGTTGGACACAGCCAGATTCGACAGTATTTCAGTTTCAGATCATGCCGGAGGACGTTGACGATGGGTAGCATGATCTCGTTCCATATTATCCGCGAGAGTACTATGAGATCCGTCCTCGACTGCTTTGGGGTCATCTGAGATGCTTCTCGTATTGCCCTGGCGAAGCGATCCTTGAGATTGGTCAGATCTGCGAGAGTGACAGATGACAAGGGAACATGATGGGGGTCTCCTGACGTCGCGACGATGACGGCGCTGCACGAGTATTCACTCGCAATGAGGATGATGACCGGGCCCTGGCGCGCTGCCGCTTGCAGGTCTGCATACAGAGGTGGGAGTAGGAACCGCGAAAACGCCGGAAGATCATGTATTTCAGCAACCGCAGCTTCCCATTGCCTTGTAATTCTCCTGTACTCCATTGCTGCCTGATCAGCAGCAGCGCTGTCAGTGATTGTCGCAGAACTCTGGGCCGCACTGGAAACCAGTTTGCTTAGCTCCAAATAATTGTGCGCCAGTGCCGGATTCGCTGACTCAAGGGCTTCAACTGGAGTCCTGAGTCGCGAGGCCAGCGACCATTGCTGGCCACGGCCCTGCTCCACAAGTTCAACTGCATGTGGTAGATTGTCACAGCGGATGGCACATGATGCTGCATCTGCTGGGAGCGTTCTGGCGTAATGGAAGGCAGCGGCAGCTTCGCGCCGTGAAGTTGCCGACGACCATGTAGCCAAATGAGCATCCAGAAGCTCAAAAAATGTCGAGTAGGCTTCCAGCGCAGATCCATGACCATGCTGCTCCGCTGCAACGGTCCAATTGGATGCGGTAATGATGCGTGCTGGGAACCCTTGAGTAGAATGTCTTGATGCGAGTCTGAAATTCTCCACTGCAAGAGACAAATCGGCAGGGTCGTGTAGAATCTGGTAACGAGACAAATAGGCCTCCTGCAGCCACACGTAGCTGAAAAACCTGTCCGGGTGTAGTGAAGACAGAGCTGCCAATGATTCTTGACAAAGAGCAATGGCCTCCTCAACATCTTCATTCTTCTGAGCTTGCGTGAAACGAGAGCAGAGCGCCGAGCTCAAATTGAAAAGATTTCTATGGCGCTGTGGATGGTCAAGCCGCCTTAACCGAAGGGACTCGCGATACAAATCAATGGCCTCGTTGAGATCCTCGCTGACTTGCGATTTGTCATGTCTAGTTTTGAGCGCGAGGGCAAGGTTGTTAAGCGTGGTGTCACGATGTGGATGCCCAGGTGGGCGCAACGTCAGTGCCTCGCGATAGAGGTTGATGGCTCGGGTCATGTCATCAATGTTACCGCGTTTGCTGAAAAGGTTGATGAGGGCGTTCCCTAGGTTGTCCAATGAGTAATGACGAGATTTGTGCCCAACAGGGCGCAGGTGCAGCGCTTGTTCATACAAAGAGATGGCATCATTGAGATCATTAGTATTGCCTTGGTGCTTAAAGCGGGATACGAGTGAAAAGGCCAAGTTGTTCAGGTAGCTATCACGGTCAGCATGTCCCTCAGGACACAGAGACACCGCTTCACGACCATGCTGTATGCTCGTGTCAAGATCATCGATGCTGCCGTGCTGATCAAACCGTGCTTCAACTGCTTGTGCAAGCTTGTCAATGGTTCTAGGACGAAGTCGATGGCCCAGAGGACAGAGCTCGAGAACGACTCTTCGAAGGTGGATGCCTTCATCGGATGCGTCTGTTGGAAGATTGTTGCATCCGCCGATCACATAATCAACACTATTTTCCCCTGCTGCGATGCTACGAAGGTACGTGCCCTCTCGACAGAGAGGCAGTAGCTCATGATAGAGTTGGGCGGCTTCGCGGATGTCGCCAGCAGTACCTTTCCTGGAGTGGCGCCAAGCCAGCGCTTCGGTGAGATTATATAGGGATAAAGGATGATCGGGATGGTGCTGCGGACGCAATGCAAGCGCGTCGCAGAAGAGGGAAGTGGTAGTATCAATGTCTTCAACATCATTTTGGATGTAGCCTCGAAGGCGAACCGACGCGAGGTTGGTGAGAGCTGTTGCGCGGTCTGGATGACCGACCGGACACTGGTTCAGAACCAACTGAAAATGCTCCATAGCATCGTTCAAGTGAGGAACATTCTCGCTTTTCATGTATGAGGCAAGTTGTGCGTGGCCCACATCTGTGTCTCGAGCAATCTCGCAGTCTACGAGGGACTATAGTTGGTGTTCCGTCAGCAAAGCTAACAGGACAGAGCATGGGGTCGCTCACATCAAACAGTGCGCCGTTTTGATCGTCCCAAGCATGTACAACAACAACCTTCAGTGTGATGGAAGGTTGGACATCGCGCACGGCTGGGAAGAATAGATCTACGAGATCTTAACATTTGTGCATGAATGAGAAGCGAATCACTCACCAAATGGGTGATCTCCATGATCGAGTAGCTCATTCCACAACATTTCAAGTTCCCCGACGACCTCTCCACCGCCTAGCATTTGACCAAGCTCATAGGATGCCCTGATCTCCACTGACAATGCAGGCGAGGCATTTAATGATCTATAAACCGACGATCAGTTGTCGCATCACGTCAGAAGATGTCTATGGACTTTACAGAGTTACGGTATCCCCCCACGCTACAGATTCATCAGATGACAGGACACTGATAGCCGATTTCCAGCGTCTCCTCGAGTCGACATTGATGGACACGTAAATGCCAGCGGGAATGCGCCAAGAGGGGACTCGAAGATTCTTTCCGCTGATGACTGTAGATAGGTCACGAAACATATACGGAGATGATATGGAGAGACTCGCCTTCAAGTCTGATATATTGGCTTTCTGAGCTACCGGACATGATGTTGCGATGCAGCAAAATGATGAGGATCGAGGATGGGTAGGGTAGTGGACGGGATGAATGGGAAGGAAAGATGGGGGTAGGGATATGGGGACTGCAGATAGAGTTCTGCCCAGTGGGAGATTGAGGCCTAGGGTTCAGGTCACGCTGCACGTGTATTTTCATATTGTCAGTAGATGTTCGGCACGATAGACGCTGGTATGATCGCACAAGCGCTGGGAATGGAGATCACCGGCCAGAATTACCAGAAGAATCTGTGTTAAAGTAGAGAATGGCATGAACAGTTTGTGACGGAAGTGGTCTGCCAACGTTGAAAGGGACATGCGAGTCTCAGAGTGATTGCTGCTCCTGGACTTGTATCATACTACTCAGTTAGCACGCAAAAGAATTGAGTATATTTTGTGAGGTAACTACAAAGGCAAAAAATGTCTATATTGCTGAACACGGTGCGCAAAGAAAAGTACATACGACTGGTCCAATTGAGCTGACAGTGCCATGGGGGAGGGATGATCTTGTCTGCAGCGACTCGCGAGAAATAAGAAAGAATAAGGCGAGAATGTAACTAATCACATTCTCGTTCGGTGATTGATGATTGAAATATTGACGAACGAAAGATTGAGAGAGCTGTGAACGCTACCGGATTCACTCACCGCTGAGAGATAACAAACTGAACCCTGCGGAAAAGGAATATCCATTATAGGTGGCACTGCATGGATAGGTTGGCAGGTCCATAGTGTAGGGAAGCCTTGAAGGTGACAGGACCATACTTTGGCCAAGGATATGATTATTGACATTAGTACGACTTGAGGCTGCAGAATGGCAGAGGTTACAGGAGCGGACCATTGCAGTAAACATCTGAATGTGGAGCTTCGACGAGAGGGAGGGGTTGTATTTGAGGCAAGGGTGGTGTTAATTGAACAAAGTGCAGAGTGACTGTCGAATCAATAGTGAAAATTCGGACTTGGGTGTCGAGACCGTGGTCCATCAAATTTGCATCAAATTGCAACGTGCCGGCATATGGCATCCCGTTCTCACGGCGCTTGCATGTGATCTTTTTTCTTAGAATTTCAGACCCTGGTTCAATCATTCTATAGCTAAGATGATAGCATCACAAATGTCTCTGTTCCGAGTTTGATTAATTGATTCTTGGTCTGAGAAATCGACGTTCCCTCAAGGGAATCCTTGGAATCTCAGAGTCTGGTGGACATCAGTCTGTCCATTCCGATGGCAAGGAGTCACCGCCTACTACCCGTCGAAGAGGTTGTAGATTGGTTGGAGCTTGGAAGGCTCTTATCTCACCGACATATTGGTCTCCTCCGAAGCTCGGGCTCAATCTGGACAAAGTGCGCATCGAGTGTGTTTGTTACTGATAAGACAAAACTGACACTTTGTAACTTATTCAGTTATAGTTCTATTGGCGTACCTCACAGCTGTACTCGTCTGCATCATAAAGGATGCACCTCTCATTTCTAATCCGAACAGAGCCGGTGAGTCAATCAATTCTTTCACGCACGAGAGGAACTTATTTCGATCACTTAGGATTTCTCGCTCTCGCAGTTTCCAGTCGTCTTTTTGTTCGCAACAAAAAAGTCAAGTCTGTCCTTATTGTTGGGACCTGGGAATGGCTACGAGAAACTCAACATTATGTATAGGATGGCAGGAAGAGCCATGTTCCTCGCCGGATGCATCCATGGGTCCCTGTGGATTCGCAACCATTTCATCAGTGAACCGGTGAACATATTGAAATACTATAGTTGACCTTATATAGTTAACAATTGCAACAATCTCCATAAATATGATGGGGGGGTTTACTTGACTTTGTGAGGGAAAGATGAGTTTTCAAGTCAACAAGCCAAGCCGCTCCGGCCTCGATGCACCACTTAATATCTAAACTAGTCTATGAACGAAAGATGTGACAAAAGCCCAATGGAATGGATTTCGGATCAGGAGTGTCAAGATAAAGCGCCCACGATCACCACTCACATGGGTGTGATACCCTTGCACAGTGGAAAATTCTAACACAGGAGGTGTACTTGGTGGGTGGAATAACTGTGACGTTATTTTCATATCAAAATACTTCTCAACCATTAGGAGAGGTTACAGAAGAAATTGTCTGGTGTCGATACAATGACGTCAATACTTGCTTTGGACAATAATAACAAGACTGTCCCGTTGTGAAGTCAGAGTAAATCTCGGTTGGTACCTCAAAACTCGCGACACCACAAGTTGTTGCTCAGACACGCGAACCATCAAAAGATTTTGTCAACAATGCTATACTGGCTCCGCTTAGAAAAGTGCACACAAATTACGATGTCGAAAGTTAGAGTTAACCTTGCTTGCGACGTCCGATCTTCACAGCCAGGCGATTAGGTAAAATTTTGCAAGTCGTCGGTCTAGATGTCGTATTGCATTAGGTATTGTAAGACTGCCGGATTGAACGAGATATTGTGATCCTGCTCAATTTTCTTGACACCGGAAGTTACAGCTTAATCTTGCTTGCGACGTCCAATCCTCACAGCCAGGTGATTAGGTAAATATTGGTAAGCCGCAGGTCTAGACGCTGTATCAAATTAAATGTTACAAGACTGCCGGATTCAACGAGATATTGTCATGCCGCTCGATTTTCTGCTAGATACTACAGAAGTCAAATCTTTTTCATAAAAAATCTAATCTGCAAACTCTAACAAAAAAGAGGTTCGTTTGGTGGGCGGTGGGATTGTGATTAGTGTTGGCACATTAAAATACATATCAGCTGACAGGACAACCACCGAAGAACATATCTGACATGAATATATGTATTTCGTGTGCTCTGTTTGAGCAGCAACATAGCGGTTAAATGAAATGACAGATACAGCAAACGCTAAAGCAAAACTACAAAACTGGCAGGTTGGTGCCAGTTCTAAATGGGATGAGAAAAATCTTTTGACAGGAAGGCTGGCAGCGATCAACACGACGGCGCGTAGGTCTGAAATTGGCTTTGAAGAGCAAGATACTTTTTTCTAATCAACCTCGCTGAAAGACAAAAAATAGCAACAAAAATTATTCTTCCATTCCACTTGCATGCTGGATACAATGAATTTCGCACGAAAGATTGATTTGCCGCTTGGAGAGTAAATGAGACGATGCTAGAGTTTTAGGTAGGTGATGAGCTATTTGTTTTGTTGCATTCCTGAATATAGTTGATTACATTGAGAGTGTTTCTATGGTTTGGCTCAATTGTAAGGGATATTAAATTTAGCAGTGGATGGCATGCTGTACAGTATGCATCAGTACTACTATTATCAGCGAAAAACCGACCATACATCAAATGATATTAATCTTGATCACAAATGGTGAGTACGACATGATGATTGCATTGAACGTAAATATTATAAAATGTTTATACAATGACGGATAGTAAAATAATGGTCAAGCTAGTCCGAATCGAAAGCAGCATCCTCCTGTGCCTTTCTCTGTTCTGCCAGCGCTGTAACGGACATCTGAGACACAACTTCGGGTGTGAGATCCTCGCAGGTGATTTTTTCCGAAAACCTTCCTGAATAGTTATGTTAGATATCTGACACAGTACTATGGCAAAATAGCTGATACCTTGTCCACCATTCGAGAAGTTTGGTTACCCTACGTCATGCAACAGGGCCAGGGACTTCCTCAAAGAAGTCGACAATGTTATTCCAGAATCCTTCATAGTCGAAGTCCCCATTGACGGTGCGCCAAGATGAGACGCTGGATAGCGCAAAACGAACCTGCCAGAAGCAGATGTTGAGTCAGACATCAATGGTGGGCAATCATATTTACTCACTTGACAAACAATATAAGTGATGGAGTGAGGGGTGACTTTCCTCATGTTGATAATGGATGCCACACACATTTTGACCTTAACTTGATTTAAGGCCCGACGAGCGCGCCTGTTATTCTCGAGGATGTCGGCACCATCGCCATCGCCATCGGCTTCTCTTGCAGAAGATGGAGATGTAAATATGGTTTTGAAAGCCTAGTGTTTTGAGTAAAGTCTACACACTATGATCCCATGTACTGACCTGAACGAGGATTTTCGACTTGAAGAGACCTTTCTCTAGGTTGCTATCGTCGAACGAGTAGTTCTCGTACATGAACTGCGGCCAGGAATTTTCCGATACAATGAAGTCCGATGTTCTATCGCGAATACTGGCCTTCACGCTGCCTAGGTTTCAACGACATGTAATATTTCTATGAAGGTAAGTGCTCACCGGTTATCATTTCAACGACATGTAATATTTCTATGAAGGTAAGTGCTCACCGGTTATCATTCCAGTCCCACTCGGCAGGGCATAGCAAATTCCCACAAACGTCGTGTGCGAAGCCGCGCATGTTACGTCGACCGTCGGTCGGTGTGTGCGAACTAGGATAGGTCTTCTCAGTGAGGACTCGAGTGAGTCTATTGAAGCTGAGGGTGGTTCTCGGCTTGACGGAATGTCAAGGGGTTCCTCCGGTGATCTCGGTAAGACGGCGCTCGTTGAGATACAGGGCTTTAGCGGATACGTGCTAAGTCGTATGGGAGCGACTTAGAAGTGCGGTTTCACACAAGGAAGCTGGTAAGGCTTAGATGAGCAAGTTCTGGGATGAACCTAGTAGATTAAAGTAAAGTCTAAGTACAATAATCTGTCTACTTATAGGGTCTAACTACAAGTGTTCAAGCTCAGTCTGTAATCTATAGTATATCGAGAATCTATGATAACAAGACATGAGGTTTAGATAAGTACATGAGGCTTAACCTCTGATCAAGCATGCATTGCCAAGTGCGACTGCGCGTAGGTACAGGAAGCGCCAAGAGCGCTCCGGATCTTCATGAAGCGACATGCAGTATGCATGCGCTGATCTAGGGTGACCATGAGGCGTACAGCCTCCATGGATCAGGTACAAGGCTGTCTAGGCCAGGGGCGGGTTATAGCGCCAGGGGCGGGGTCATAGCGGTCCAGACCGCTGTCTTTCTAGGCGCAGGCGGCGCACCGCCGCACGGGGAGTCTCGCAGAGCGGGGGCAGGCGTAGGCAGAGCGGGGGCTCCTGTAGGTGTTACGGATGCCTGTAACAGCGCAGCTGCTTGTCGTTAGAGCGGAGTAGAGGTGACGGGTGAAAATCCTGATTAACCCAGGTAGCGACGAGGTCCTTAAGAGTGGAAGTATCATCGCCACGGGCTGCATCAGCTCCTCTTTTGATTTTTTTTTTTTTTTATCCTTATTTATTGACTGGTGGGGCAGGGCCCTATGGTAGTCACATGTGTAGGATACATTTTTTATCTAAAGTCCGCTTCTATGTATGAAATCCCCCCAACCAACAAACCGGCCAATGGCTGCGCACCCCGGAAAGGCCCATAGAGAGAAAGTACCCAGAAACTCATCTTTTTACGCATTAATTTCGTACATGCCACTCCACTTCCGTCGCTTGTCAACAACTTTTCCCGAGATGGTGTTAACAGGGGTGTAACCCCCCTTCCATTCCAGTGTTATCCTTCAGCAATATTCTTGGCATGACCCTCAGGCCCCTATGACTGCGTGTTCTGCAGCTTATATTGCACCGGCATCTTCGGGTGCCAGCGGCTTATGTTGCGCAGGAAACTCGGCTTACGTGGGAAATTCCTATTTTAAGGGTGTATCTTGACACAAATCGCGAAAGGGTGTGAACTGTAGCATTATGAGCATGCAGCGCGAATTTATTGAGAAAATGTACCTTTTTCAACATATCTTCACAGTCATCAGCGTCAAGTTCTGAAAGCTTAGAATGAAACCACGGCAAAGCTTGTGCGAGTGCGAGGTAGCCTCGCTGCAGGCGATTTTGTCTGAATAATGGAGTTAGATGTGTCACAGAAACACAAAAGACATACTCTAGGGTGCTGCCCTCCAAGTTGTCCAATATGGCTTCCTCATACCTGCGATCGTTCTCGGTGATCAAGTCTTCTAGGTTAGTATAAAGGACGCTCATATGACGAGCCCCCCTGCCTTGAGCGACGTAGTAGGTAGTTTTTCTTTGACGATCAATGAGTTAGAAGTAGTGAGTAAGACAGTATGCGACGAACCTTTGCTTCATTCCTCTTTCTTGCCTCATTGTTTGTAATTCTTCTTCCAACGCGGCGATGCGGCGCTTGGCCCTTGCTTCCGTGGAGGTAGGGACCGCCCCTGAGGAGTCTGGGAGTGCGAGGGCATGTGCCCCATCACCAGGTTCTGACATAGACATGGTAGAAATGACAGGTGAAGTGAAGAGTACTGTAGAGAAGATGGAGGTAAGGAAGAAACCTGCTAGACCATTTTATATACGCGATCGCTAAAAAAACTAAGACATATAGGGCAATCCCAAATATGGATGACAGGGAGGGTGCAGTTAAGTAAGTCGGCTCTTCGAAATATGGTGTCATAACGTACTGTTAGCGTTCATGTTCAAATCACTGCTACTGTTTGCCATTGCGAAAGTTGGGATTGGCACGCCGACTCAGACATAGGCTGACACAATGTCAGAGTAAGCCCAAATGATGGCCTGAACGTGATTCATGCCCACCTTGAGTCGGGAGCGCCGGTCTTCCATCAACCTGTGTCACATGTTGAACAATTTGAATATCAAAATTGTGACCAAGACGAATGCTAAACGCCTAACCTCAAGACAAATTTCCCTCGATGATCTGAGGCCCTGGGCCATTTAGGCCATACACAATAGTAACAGCAGTGAGCTTGTTGATGATGCAAGGGATGTTGAACCTCGCAGTTGTACCAGCATCCTGGGTGTCCGAGTCATTGAAATCTTGAAAAGTGTGTTGATTCACGTACAGAGACAGTACTACTGCATGACCTTCTGGACGAGATAGGTCTTATGGGTCTCCTTCATCTTAATGAGACTCTGAAGTCAGAAGGGTTTAGCCGTACGTGGTTCACAAGATGAGTATCGCACTGAGCAGAAAAAATAATGGACATACCATAGTAGTTAGCAAAGGGCGCGCCTCTCTAATCAGGCGGGGAGGAGCTTTGTTCGTCACAGATGATGATTTAGGCTCGTCTTCAGCTGGCTAGAAAAAGATGCTCGCAACGCTTTAACGCTCAAGACGTAGTCTGCGTTATGTAAGCCTCCAGGATACCAAGATTTCGAGGCATGCTAGATTCGTTTGGAAAGTCCTGGAGTTTGGACATGCACCATCAATCCCAGGTTTTCTAAAAAGAGAGTCGATGCTTGGGGCGTCTCGTCAAAGTTTGTCGAGATGATGAAAGAGTGGACTGTGAGAAGCGCAGGTCAGCCATTGTCGTAAACGCAAGATGATACGGTACTAAGATACAGGATCGTCCCGTGGGTGTGAGGAGAGGTCATGAGTGGTAGGTAGTGATGGGAATGTACAATGGGCAGTGAGCGACGCGAAGGTTTCGCTCAAAGAAACAATACACTGCACGGCGAGAGGGTCAACATGTGCACCAGGGATTGGTGGTGAGTACACTTTGTCTGATTGGTTGATACTGGTGAGGAAAGAGGGCCCAGGATAGATCTTCGTAGCTGAGTTCCGCTCAACTCAATGCCAGACCCAGATATCCCAATCTAGCAACTCTGCCGACATCCAGACCATAATTGAAACCTGCCATTGGTGTAGCAATATCGCCCATGTGCGAAATCCTGACCCCATTACCTGCGTGCTCAGTATGACATATTTTGGCCCCCATACCACTGAAGATACCAGAGAAGCTGAACTCGTGTAGCCTCGTGAGAAGTATTCCTTGGCAGAGACGAAAAAACGCACTTGACATAGTGGATGGAGGTATTTGGCTCCGGGATCAATCATGCGACAACTGCGCAGAACGTGCTGATGAGGAAGATCTATAGAAGCGCTCTTAGAAAGAAAAAACAATAAATTTGCAGACACTCACCGTTAAACCGTGACTGACTCAGATACCAGAAAGCTCCATCACGGTCAGATAATTGGCAATGTCCTCGTTCAACGTATACTAGTAGAGATGGACGGGACACTCATCAATCACAAACGAAGCGAGACGACTTGAAAGAGGCGCCTGCACTGGCTCGCGTGCATGAGGTGAGTTGTTGGTACTGAATTGAAATAAGTCACGGTGGTACTACATGTCATGGACGTTTAATTGAAGTTACCAAACAACTATCATCATGTGAGTAGTTCCTTGCTGAGTGTAGACTCGGTTGGCTATAAATTCATCCGTTATGACTCTAGGCTACTAGTGAGTAGTGATTCAGGAATACTTGTATCCTATCAGAGGTACTTCGTAACAAACCGTAGCATGTGAAATGCTCTGCAGGTGCATGAGGTAGTAGTGCTAGTAAAGATGTCAGGATTATACTATCTACCTGTAGTGTAGCTCGCACAGTATGCCGGGAATTGGTAAGTGAAATGCGTGAATCGAAAGTCGACACATGAAAAACGACAAGCAAAAAGCGAAAACAAAAAGTGAAAAGCTAAAACAAAAAGTGGAATCAACATGATGAACATTGTTTGAATGTTTCCCTTACATGTAATCCCCGAGGTGTGCTAAGTTCTTGCACGCTTGTTGGGACCCCTGCTGCGATGACCCTTGCCCTTGCCCTTGGACTTCGATCTGACCTTCGAGGATTCAGGCTGGCTCGTCGCGGTGGGAGCCATCGAGTTGCTGGCGACATGCGCCACGGGTGTAGAGTCGGAGTTACTATGACCAACCGTGAAGGTTCTGAACGTAAGATGGGGGGGGACGTTGGGGGTGCTTGCACTAGGCTTCGATGAGTGAGCTTCCCCAGACTCGGAGCTACTGCCATCGTACTCCGATTCCGAAGGCTCATAAGACGAATCATGCGTGTGCTTGGCGCCTCTGAAACGCACGTCATGCCAGTCGACATAGCGTGTGTATGCAGTGAGGTCCGCTGCAGTCAGGACTCCCAGCGAGCCAAGGTCCCAGTCAATGGGGAACGGTGGGATGACGAAATTTGCAAGAGAGGAATGATCAATGGCAGACTTAGGGTCAAGGTCTTTCTGGAACAAGAGGAAGAGGTCTCTCATCTGCGACATTCCTCGGTCGAATATCTTTGTGATGTCGTCCATGTGCAGCTCAGGCAGTAAGACCTGTAAGAACTTGGTTATATCGACGAGAGTACCCACAATAGAACTCACGCCGTATGCTCTGTCCTCTGGCTTGCCGTTACGCATGTCAATCGCCCTATCCTTATCTCCTTTAATCCAAACAAAATACTCCACAGACTCGACGTGACACCATGTGTGATCACTGACTTGTACAGGTTCCTCGAAGTTCTGTAGTGTTGAACGTTGAGTGATAAATTCTTCGAGAGACAAGGGGTCGGGCTTCTCTTCACCATTGCAACGGTTGTGTAACGTATCCGTTGCGATGGAATCTTGTTGAGGGGAGGTGTAGCGTTTGGCTTCGCGTACCAATACGATCGAAGCCAAGATGATCTCTGGATGTGCGACGATCATCGATTCCATTTTCTTGAATACATGATCCCATTGCTCTGTCAATGCTGTTTCTCCTATGTAGGGAATAAGCAGTTTTTGTGTGGGCCCCTGCGTGGCAGTTAGTGAGATGACCATATCTGGCATGACCGATTTGCTCTTGAGCCGGAGTTTGTAGTTCATGTAAACTTGAGGACGAATGATCCTGCGATTGTAAGGAAGATCTTTGATAGCGGATGTGAACGAATCCTTCAGATCATCGTGAAAAGCTTCATGCAGGACTGTAGGCATATGGATGGTAAGAAGGTGTTCGTTATAGTCATAAGCGAGCCTTGAAGCGCTCAGTTTAGCATTACCAAAACAGAAATAGTTTGATCAACTCGACCTGGGCTTTGTCAATATGCAGCCCGTTTCTTCCACCTCGTGTTCTATTATTTCGAATTCTCGTGGTTTCACACCATGGAATCCCTGTGATATTTGGTAAGCATACTGTTGACTCGCTGATAAAGAACATACCATGTAGGTATCTACCAGAGCCAGTCCAGTTAAATACTTCAAAACATTTTGTACATCTTCAACCAAATCAGAATACAATAAAACATTGACTCCCCACTGAACATACTTGGAGTGAAGTGTTCAGAGTGGTAGGACTTCTGGATATCATGATCATACAATGAATCTGCTGTGGTAGTGGCAACATCGCTTGTACCCTCTTCACAATCAACTGATTTGTTATCTTGTGTCTCCTGCTCCACAGGCAGGCATGTTTTGATGGATCGGGGTTCTGTAGTTCTGTTTCCCAGCAGCAATCCCGGGGACACTGGCCCATGTTTCAGGAGCTTTGGCTTGTATTGATTTTCGCTGGGGGTTCTCAGGCTGCTGGCAGCATTGCTGGTACTGCGTGTCGCCTGTGCATTAGTGAAACTTCTAGTTTCATAGCGCTTGTAATGGCTAGGGAAATTTGGATTGAAAGAACTGCAATCGTGCTTAAGATCAGGGTGAGCTACTATGGTGGCAGGCATAAGTGTTGAATGCTGAGTGTGGTTGTCTTTGTCACAGGTGGCAAGAAGCTCCACGAAGAGATAATTACAAATGATCGTAATCATATCGGCCCTCAGGACACGGCCGGTATCGGCAAGTGCCGATTTCCAGTTGGCCAGGAATCTCAACTCAAACTTAGTACCCCGGTCACGGTGGGCCAGCAGTTGTTCCAGTCATACCATCATCCGTGATTAACATGGACTTGATGGTATAATATCAGAACTTGAAGGGCTTTATGTGGACTTGCATATGGACACTTGTTCGTTCTCATGCTTTCCGAGTTGTCAGCTTTCTCAGGTGCTGCATGGAGTTGACTCTCAGACTTGTCCTTTCTGAGCCCAAGTATCTGATATCATCTCGGCAACAAGAACATAAAAGTGAGTCAGTATAATTGTTGTTTGGCTTTATTTTTAATACAATTCTACTAGAAATTTTTATCCGAAGAAACGCGCACTACACCATACACCGTGACGTCCTAGCCTGAGTACATGTCTGGATATTATGGGAAATCATTACAGCTAGGTGAGTATATTGCGGTCATGAGGGATCTATCTTGATATATGAATACCGTTAGTAATGTCTTCACAGGATGACTCGGAGCTTCGCTACTACGCCCAATGCCAGACACTCTTCCAGTGGAACGAATGTAGATCCAGATTTTTCCTCTTTTGCACTCTGCAAGATCGATTAAATATTGAATGATAATAATTTTTCCCATGTGCAAATGTTCAAGATTCGGCGGGAGTATTGGAAAAGCAACTTGGCTGCCGCACCTTCATACCCACAATTTCGTGAACATGAGTTCATTCAAATTGAATAACGAACCCTACAATTATATCCCTGAGGTCTGCTAGCCCTGTACGGTCCTATTCCATCATGGTGAAGGATTTCAAGTTAAGAACCGAAGGATTGAAGATTCGGGGTCTCGCAACGTTGAACCATCTGATTATTGTCAGGGACTTACATTTCTGCTGTTTGAGGCTCGAGCCGAGGGTCTATTCGGTAGGTGACAATAAAATTTCGATTCAGTGGCTGGCTCGGACATCATATCAGAGAGCGCTGGGAAGCTCCGGACATGCTCATTACAATTGAATTGGCACTGTGACATAACATAGGGCCTTGAGGTGCGGGCATGCATTATAATATGTAATCTTGCCAGTGATGCTATCGCCACCGTGAAGGTGAGTTTTAAATACTCCTCGCGACGTTAAAATAATAGCTGCACTCGGACTGCCTTCAAGTGCTGCTGTTTTCGTTTGTGCTAAGTACATCGTTGGGACGGTGTGGCACTTCAACATGCCTCCGATACGTAGTACGTTTTCCTCCTTCTATCCAACTCGAAGTCATTATTGACGATCACAACTTGTGTAACTAGAAAGCAGCAGCAGCAACAACAACGGCAAGAGTCTCGAAATTAGGATGTACGATCCCAAGAGTACTAAAACGCAATGCACTGCGAGGCAGATTTATACAATGGCTGCTCAGGCTGCAGCAGATATTACACCATTCTGCTATTACCGGCCCCTGCCAGACTTGCTCCAGCAGCCATCCATCCATTCTCCATCGAACTTAGCACTTCCAACAATGGGTTCTCTGTCCGTGTTGCCGTCACCACCGCCCCCTCCTCTTGCGCCCCTTCCGCTTGCTCCTTCTCGTCCTGCTCAGTCTCTTCCTCCTGCTCCGTCTCCTGCTCCGTCTCCGTCTCCTCCTCTGCCATCGGCAGCTCCTCTAGTACCCACGCCATCGCTATCTCCTGCATCAGCTACAGTAGCTGCAGTATTGCCAGATGTCACGGTCACGGTGTCAAAGAACCCTGATCCGAATGAGGTTTTTGATGCCATATGGCAATATTGTATAGATCTTGATGATGAGGAGTAGTACTTGTTACGCACTCAAATAGATCTGTTAGGCGGAGCCCTAAGAGGGGCGTCGTCCGCTAACGTTCGTGACGTAACCAGAAGGATCTGGTATAGCAAGTGAGACTGGCGACGACGAGTCGGCAGTGATCACAGTACGCGCGTGTCACGTGACTTTGTAGACGGATGTCTGTGAAGTCGCTCAAGGTAAGGACTGTCTTGTCCGTACGATGAGGTCGATCGAGGTAGACTTAGTCGCGATGAGCAACTAAGAAAAGATACTAGAGACTGAAGCCAAAGGGGCGTTCAGAGGGAAGTATGTTCCAGGGAAGATTGAGTAGATTCAAGTTAGAGAATCTAGTACAAGGTGACCGACTACTTATACTAAGTGGAGAGGGTTAAGGGCAAGGCTACCGCACGATAGGTAAGGGTAAAGGGGAAACGAGAATGGTATAGGTGCGTTGGCAACAGAGCCGGATTAGTGATGGGTGGTCGAATGTGGAATGAGACCGAGGAATGTTGGAACGGACCAACGGTAAGAATACAACGTGCGGGAATCCGCAGTCAGAAGGAACAGAAAGAGGAAAGCCACATTGGTGGCACGAGTCAGACCGAGTCATAGGTGCGGGACCACATTGGTGGTCGAATCAGGGGAGGAACGTGCATGCACGTGCATAGAGGCGGGCAATGCGAGGGACGGGAACGGTCCCGAGGATCCGGTCAACAGAAAGTCGGTAAAGGAGGACGAGCCAGTAGATGGTGAGGGCGAGGATGAAGGGAAAATGATAGGGGGGCCACGTGACCGATGTTACTTGTAACAGTACTACTATACCAACAGTACAGTACTAGTGACTCGGTGAAGGTTCAACTATACAGCGAGGCACGAACAATGCTCCTGACTGTATCTATAAATGTTGTAAGGTCGCGCGTTGCCTAGTCTGCTATACTTGAGATGACAAGTGCGTTCGACCCTAAAGGGGAAGCGAGTGCAGCAAGGATCTAGAGGTATGCGCTGAAAGCGCTACTGGTTGGCCAATGCGAAGCGCGGGAAAGCGCAGGTGCGCGCGAGGCGCGAGAATGCGCGAAGCGCGGGAATGCGCGCGCGTGTATGCAGAAACAAGAGAGGGTAAGAGTGAGTTTGCTTAGGTGATGATATGATTGATGTAAGACAAGAGAAGGGAGATGCGAGGTGTAAACAAATAGATTTCTACTATGTTCTGCTAGGTAAATAGTGGGTAGTAACCAGTAAGTCCTCTGTCGTTCTGGTGGGAGAGTAAGTGAGTCCCGGTGGGTAAGTATGTATGTACTGCTGGCGCTTAAGTATGGCGCCTAAGCGCTGTCATGCGGAGCCGAAGCGCTACCGAGTAAGGTATGTAAAGATATATGTAAGTAAGGGTCCATGATAAAAATAAAGATGGAACGATATGCAAATGTGAGAAATGGAAATATACGCACTAGGGAACTTGGTGGACAGTGGATGGATGCTTCTGGATGGCTGGCGCTATAGGGCGCTACAGCGCGGGAAAGCGCGCGCGCATATACATCGTGAAGCGCGGGAAAGGTACGCGCGCATGGCGCGCGTTGCGCGGGAAAGCTGCGCCTCATATAGAGATAGCTGTGGGTAGCACACAGAGTGATGCTACAAGTTCGTGCCATGTACTCCCTAGTGAAAACTGTAATATTGCACAATGAGAGGCACGAGTCTCTACATCGGGTTGCATTACGTTGATGTAGAGAGTTCCGCGATGTAGAGAGTTCCGTGATGTAGTAGAGAGTTCAGTGATGTTTCAGTCCGCCGCGTGAATATCAGTTAGGCTATTCTCGGAGCTTTAAAAACCCTTATTTGGCATTCCCAAATACGTCTGGATCCCCTATGCTCTATTCATGTCCACTAAAGTAATCACTTGCTTGCTTCACTGAGTATGTTACACGGCTGCAGCGCCACTGCATTCTTCTTCTTCTGTGACACTGGTCCGAGTCGTGGAGGTGGTGAGTCCTGGTTGCAACTCCTTTGTGGAGGAAGGATGATGAAGGCAAGATCGTTTGCAACGCGTAAGTTCTCATTTGTTGTTCCTTCTATATTCGTACCAATCTCTTATATACATACAGATGCGGCCTCTACTATAAGCTTCATGGCTCTGCTCATCCCATTAGTGTGAAATCCGATATTATTCGGAAGCACTCTCGACACAACGCTCGTGTGCAGCGCTCCTCCCTCACCGAGCCCCCAAGTGCATCTAACACGCCTGGCACTCCTTCCGTTATGGAGGAGACAGTTTCAGAACTGGTTCTGGTGCGACAAGCGCAGGTACTTCTTCATCTTCGCAGCGCAGCAGCATGGACTCGTCTGTCCACACAGTCGACGCGGACACTGTTGTGCCACACCTGCCACTATACTACTACCCACCAACCCACCATGAGACCCGCACCTGCCATGGGGGTGTGGGTATACCTGCGGGTGCAGGTGCGGGTGATGCTTGTGACACCCACGGGTACACCCATGTCATTCCCTACCCATACCTGTGACCTGCACGGGTTACCCACACACATTGACAAACTAATGGGGATCATTGTCAGTTTCTTAATATCCAGTGCTTTGATTTGTCCTTGTGTTCCCAACAATCTCATCCCCTTCTACCTACTACCTAGTACATCTCTTAATGCTTGGCAGTCAGTCTTGATTTCCTGGAGTGATAGCAATTCCATCCGAACTTGAATTTCAAACACCGAATACTCCGATCGAAAATCTTCCCTAAAAGTCAAGCGGATGGATGAGTCATATTTGAATCTTTGCAACATGTTATCAGCTCCAATTTCAACACTGTCCCCGACTGTCTGTAATTTTGAGCGTTCTCTTCACAAAGGCAGCCCAAATGTTATACCTCCAAAGCATGAGCATTTTTCGAATATAATATCTACTGGTCATGACCTCGAGAGACAAATATATATCGTACGAGATTTTCTTATTTTGTTATACAGCACGAACACTGAGTTTTTGTGTAAGTTGTCTCTCGACGGAATAGACCTGAACAATGACGAACAAGACGAACTATTTACCATGTACAGCATTGACACGGTGCATACTAGCTACCTGGCTGCACAGAGCCGAGTTCATCAGTACACTCAATTCATGGCGCTCCTGCAGCGCGCTGAAGATGCATGGGCACAGAAGATTCAACAGATAGGTTGTGTGGTCACGGAAGAGAAGTTGGGACGTGTGTCGCTGGATGAAATAGAGGGGCAAGTCGATGAGCAGGATGTACTGCTGGTGAATACCGTTCACACAGTGTTTGCAAACTATGCTGCAGCGCAATGTCGAGTCTGCCAGTACACCCACTTCCTGACGATCTTAAAGCGCGAGGAAGACGCATGGCTTCAAAGATTTCAGAAGGCATGTTCTGTGATGCTGGGTTATGAGCCTGTGAGGTATGACCAACCTATGAAGGGTGATTTAATGAAATCGTTGCGAGTCTGAAGTTGTGCCACTTCCCCATTTCCAATTGTAGTTTATCTCATTACTTCATCGTACTCATCCGGATATTCTCCATCCCATAGTCATAAATTACTATGTATGGGTTCGAATCAGTATGTGATCAGGGAAATGCACTACATTGACACAGGTCTTTCAAGCTGCATATCTAACAGTGATGTAAGGATGGAATGGAAGATGAGTCACAGCTTCAGTCACAGTCACGGTGAAAGCGAAATGCGCTCCTTGATGATCATATTCTCTCCACCATGGTGGTATCACAGGACGATATATGTTAATACGCTCCAGGTCAAAGTTTCAGATTCCATCCTCTGCTAGTAAATTGCTCAGTTGGTATTCAGGGTGCGTCTTCAATACGTCATAACCTTAACATAGACTTGGATGATCATGATAAGGTAACTAGCAGCAGGCTCATATTCTAGCTATGCAAGGCCCAGGATTGTTTAGATGAAAAAGTCAGTGACGATCACGGCCTTTCTGAGCCCATGAGGATCGTTGTTCTCTGTTTGCAATCGTAAGCTCTTTCCTTGAAGTTGGCTCGCCCTCTTAGTAAATCATCAAATATCTTCTCAGACGACGGTTTTTCATCAAAGATATCACACTCCTTCAATTCTACGCATGAAAAATATTAGAGAAGAAGCTTACTAGCTCGGCTTCAAATCTGGCGGTCACAAATAGTGAGTTTCCTGCGGGCGTCTTTTCTTCTTCCTCGCAGATTTCATTCTTCTGAGTCCAGGCGTATGCTACTCCCCTTCAGAACCTTAGGCTCGATCACGCTGATGTGAAGAAACTCTCAGAGGGGATGGCATATGCTTGAGTCACGTTCGTAATTTCCAATCTCCACAACTCCACCATCTTTACCAACCATCGCTCTATTGGTGAGCAATGTGCCTGCGGTTTTTTAATGATCTCAAGAGTCCGAGTCTAACCGTGTGCTCCCAGACAAACCTTTAGAGGTGTGTAAATTCAGATTGCACGTTCTGCAGTGTCTCATCCTTTCTGGGACCAACTTGAATGTCCTAATAGTTTTTCGGTATTTTGCCCATATCAAACGGTGCACGCGACCGTAACTTCGCCTTCAGACCCTCATCAAAGCACCTCTACTTATCACCAAAGGATTCTCGCTCACTTAGTTAATGCATGTCAAGCACTCGGCAATGCAGTCAATACTTTCGAAGAACTTCTCCGTGGATTCGCGTCTTCAAGAGGACCAGGCTGCCGCACCCCTCAGTCACTGCCATGCTTACGGTCCAATCAGTTTGTGCCAAGACACGGCTTCTTCGTGAACTGTGTTTCGGAGGTTTTCTATGGAAGCCAGTACACAATACCTTTGGTGTTGCTTGGTTGTGAGCATTTTCCTTGCAGGCTCGGACATACTAGTCCCAAGCTGATTGTTTTTCCAACAGTTCAACACACTAATTTGAATGTTTAAGAGGTTGATGAATGTTGGAGCCGCAGAATTATTGGGTGTGGTTGTATCATCGAAATACTTGTAATTACAGCACAGTCCCTCCTGATATGATGTATGGATAGGAAATCGAAAGATATGATAACAACTGAATCAAGAATCAAGAATCAAGAATCAAGAATCAAGGTGAATAACTACTAGCTATGATATGGTGAAAACTTGAATACGGACTCGGACGGGCAGAGTCGGGGACTGACCGGTCACTGCCGCGTCGCATCCTTCCTCTTTGACGGTCTCTATCATCACCACGGCCATGGTGGAATGCATCCATCTCGATCGCGTTGGGTTCTGTTATTCATCTTCGTCCTTTCCATGGTCACAGTGTCCTGCGGCGCATTGCATTGCTCTTGGGAGAAGGACACCGATTTTCGTGGACTTAGCAGACATCGTTCTGCATGCAAGTATTACCAGAGGGCAAGTGTATTAGCCTCGCAGAAAAGGAGGGACCGCGCAAATGAATCGAATAAAACATCGCAAAAAAAGTTGACATTACGGCTTAATGCAACCAAGGCTCAGGCTAACACTGGTGCTGCTGTTCCTGTACTAGTACGTCCGAGTCATCCATTCACTGAGTCCAAGTCTAGATTTAACTCTCACTTTGGACTTAGTTCTCCTAAGTTGACTTACTATAATTCACAGCTGCGACCGATGCTATTTACCAATCATTCGAAATCTGCAGCCAGTTGCAAACCTAGCGTGGCTGAGCCCAGTACCAACTCAAAGGTCAGTCACAATACCTCTTGTGCTACTACTACAGCAGTGTCTCAACCTCTGCATTCCAGGAAATGGACGTTGTAGATGTTGCAATGTCGATGGAGGATTATGATACCGCCGTGACTGAACACGATCTAGGTGCACATCTTCCGCAAAATCTTGTACCTGCAGCATACTAATGGTAACCTCACCCATCGATCATTAGCAGATCCAGATCAACGTCCTTCACGAAGCACATCCAGGCCCCTCCCAAGAAGGTTTGCCGATATTCTACCTGCCGATGAAGACATCAATCCTTCAGATTCCGCTGGGAATGACCTGTCTCATGCGACCAAAACTCACAATCAACCGCAGCACAGAATCCGAAGAGTCTTATTGACTCTGCATGATTCTCTCCAAACAATATTTAACGCCATTGGACTTTGCCGACAATATCCTAGGCGCCCCTCGTTCGAGCCTGATAAATACATCTCATCTACCCAGCTAGCCAATTCCTGTCCAATGACCTGCCCACGCGGATGCGGATGGGTCTGATTCGGTCTCTGGACCGCCTTTTCCCTTCCCCAACATGACCATCTACCGTCTGATGGCATGGATGAACTCCGGTAGTCATCAGAAATCGGAGGCTGAAGTGATGCGTCTTGTCAAAGACGTGATTCTGGCGAAGGACTTCGATTCAAGGGACTTGGATGGATTTTCGGTAAGGAGGAGTCTGCGCGCATTGGACTGATAACAGAGGAAAGGGGCCTGTAATCTTCCTGGATGACTGGTTGGCAACGGATATCGCCCTTGATATCCCTTCTAAGTCAAAAGACTGACCGGGGCAGATCAATTAACATTTCGGTGTTTCATTACCGGCCACTTTTATCAGTGATTCGTTCTGCATTCACCGACATTCAGGCCAGCGCGTTCCATCTTTCACCCTTCAAGCGTCTATGGAAGGATCCGCTGGACAGCCATCAAGAACGCGTGTTCGACGAGTTGTATACCTCTGACTCCTGGTTAGAAGCCCAGGATGGTCTGCATAAACAGCCAAGAGAGCCTGGTTGCTCACTCGAACGTGTTATCGCTGGACTGATGTTTTTTTCCGATGCAACTCATCTGGCCACCTTCGGAACGGCCAAGGCTTGGCCCTTGTATTTGTACTTTGGAAACTTAACGAAGTATGCACGATCAGCACCCAAATCTGGTGCATGCCACCTTGTTGGATTTTTACCTTCTGTAGGTTATCTGCCTCCCGCACTGTGTGTCTCTCTCACATTGAATTTATAGCTTCCGGATAATGTAAAGGACATCTTCAGTAGCTTGCCGCAGATATCGAAAAGCAGCATGGCAGCTCTTCATGCACATTGTCGAGAGATTTGTTTCATGCGTGTTGGAAACATTTATTGGATGCGGAATTCCTTCATGCGTACCATCACGGAATTGTCCTTCGGTGTCCGGATGGAATACTCAGAAGGGTTTTTCCGCGGATCTTTACTTACTCAGCCGATTATCCAGAAAAGTGCACATCTTGTTTCGTTTTTGTTAATGTACTCATCGTCGCCTCAGGGTTTTGATAGCAACAATCAAAGATATGGGCTCTTGCCCGTGTCCGCGCTGTCTCATACCGAAAGCCTCGTTTGACCTTCTTGGCTTGTTTCAAGACATGCGAAATCGTGTCGCTACCCTTAGGACTTACTGTCTGGAGAAGATAATCAGGGCCCGCGGATTTATCTATCACTCAGGGAAACACTGTGAATGGCTCTAAGGTGCAGGCGACTATTGGAGAAGGTTCATGGGTGCCGACTGTGGTAAGTACCTTGGAAACCATTCCCCTTATGATTGGTACCTGATTGTAAACTAGAACACTTTTGTAGAAAGGCTTGGACCGCTTGGATTCGATGCTTTTCGCATGCTTGTAGTCGATTTTATGCATGAGTGCGAGCTAGGTACATGGAAGGCGCTGTTTACGCACCTCATCCGTCTACTTTACGCGCTTCCCAGAGGTGACCAGTTGGTTGCAAGTCTTGACTATAGGTTTGTCGCATACAACTTTCATTACTGATTGAGGGTGATTCGCGTTAAACATAGATTTCGCCACGTCCCATCATATGGAAATGGGATCATTCAGGAAATTTTCGAATAATACGTCAGAAATGAAACGGCTTGCAGCACGAGACTTCGAGGACATTCTGCAGGTACGTCTTTCTGGCTCATTTGGTGATGGGCGTTAGTGACATTCCTCAGTGTGCGATACTGGTCTTCGAGGGGCTTTTCCCAGCAGATCATGATGCTATTGTGCAGTCGCTTTTATACAGGTTTGCCCAATGGCACACTCTTGCCAAACTAAGAATGCATTCCGACACTACCCTATCACTGCTAGATGAGACATTCAAAAGGCTGTCCTATCATTTGCGTAAGTTTCACGACTTGACATGTGCCAGTTTCTCTACTGTAGAATTACTGAAAGAAAGGGCTGCTCAAGAACGCAAGGCCGCACGCGAACGCTCGGGTTTCGACAACGCGGATGCTGGGAGTTGCGGCAAAAAGGTGAAGAAGTTTAATCTGAACACTTATAAATTTCATGCCATGGGGGATTATCTATGGTCAATCCGGCTCTTTGGAACAGTTGACTCATATACATCGCAAATTGTACGTCCCATCTTTGGTATAATGTCTGAGTCTGATCTTGAGTTGTCTGGCAGGGAGAGTTAGCGCACAGAGCACTTAAAGCATTCTATCCGCTTACCAGCAAATTGGACACCCCGGCTCAGCTTGCAAAGCATGAGCGTCGTCGACGAGTCCTTCGGCGAGTAGCAGAGGCAGAACACCGCTCATATACTTGATACCAGCCACCAGTCGACTTGCCTGCAGGGATCAACTTAAAGGATCATCACTATATACCAACACGTAGCCGCAACAACCCATTGGATATTTTCAAGTTTCTTCGAGATCATGACAATGATCCAGCTGTAGCAGTAGGTGCCACTTTCCCCATTGTTCACCTTACTCACAATGATATGCAGGCGTTCATTCCAAAACTCAAGGACCATGTACTATACCGACTTCGAAACTTAGATGTCACTCATTGTGACTCTACCTTCTCCGATCACGAGCGTAATTCGGTTATCATCTCGGACAATAGGCTTTATTCTGTCCAAACAATGCAGGTATGTTCCGCATTTTTCGAGTGTTGCTAGCAGCGTGATTCTCCAAATCAATAGGTTCATTACACGACTTACGATTTACGACGAGAATATGATACTATCAATACTCTGACACACCCTGATATTATGGTTTTGTCTGGGGAAACGGCGCCCCAACATCCATACTGGTATGCCCGCGTTCTGGGCATCTACCATACGGATGTGTGGCTCAATAACGAAGGTCTAGTGAAAAGGCATCAAATTGAGGTTCTCTATGTCAGATGGTTGGCGCGCCTGACCGACTACCAGTCAGGGATGAATTGTGCTCGACTTCCAAAGGTCGCATTCGTAGATGAGTCTGACCCTGACGTGTTTGGGTTTCTTGATCCCGGTCAGGTCATCTGAAGTGCTCATTTGATTCCGGCGTTTTCTTCCGGTCGTGGTACCACGTCTCTTCGCTATGGGAAGTCCTTCGGACGTCAACAGTGATGAATTAGATGACTGGGAAGGATATTATGTTGGCATGTAAGTACAACCTTTCGTCCTGTTGTCCTTACCAAACTTTTGATGATTACACAGATTCATGGACCGTGATATGTTTATGCGTTATACGCACCATGGAATTGGACATCCTATCAGTCCTACGAGGAATGGCAAGAGATTGTGCAGACGTGGACCTCGCGGATAGCCTGGAACCAGAGGGGTATGGTAATGTTGGTGACTTGGAGAGCGAAAGTCAATACTGACAGCTTTGACGGAGGAGGGGAGGAAGAGGACCATGACAGCGAAGATGATGAAGACACGAATGAACAGGAGTCTGATGGTGAGAGTGATAGTGACCTGGATGAGGGGATAGAAGATGGTGAGGGCAAGGGCAAGGGCGAGGACAAGGACAAGGACAAGGACAAGGAAGACAGCTTATCTTTCTAACTCGGAGCGAAGCAGACTATAGCTCAGCCTTACCTACTAGTAGTACTAGCACTACTACTACTTAAATGTTTGTTTTCAGCCTACTGCTCACTATTCTGCATCAGCAAGCTTGCCAACTGAAGGCTGATGGAGACGATCCGAAATCAGTGAACAATGATTACCAACTCGGACTCTGTTTAGAATGATCCATGCTGTACCGTGACAGCCTTCGACGAGCTAAAGTCCAACTTGAATGGTGCACTTACTCAGGCTATTCACCCACCCGCCATACCAGTGACAATCACAGCCTCAGGCTTGGCTCAAGTTCCTGCCATTGCTCGATGCAGTTCTGATCCAACATCGACCAACACTTTTTTCTCAGAATACGGCCACCGCGCAAGTTGGGTTTTTCGAGCTCATCCGGACAACCAAGATCAATCGTTTCCCGCTTGCGCGCCTCTCGATGATAGGATTGTCACTCTGCAACAATGAAGCTCTATTTGGCTTCGTCTGCCACAGTTAAAGCCGTTCATAGGGAATCAAGCACATGATGATGATGCGTGACATTGCTGACACGGTGAGCACTTATACCTCTTCGCATACATAATGACATTACACAACCATGTTTTCTCTTAGTGTGCATTGAGGTGTTTAATAAAATTTCTGGCGCAGAGACTTCTGTCAGCGATGTGTTTTTCCAACACGGACGACAAGAGTGGCCCTAAAGTCTTCAAGTTCTCCTCCTACGTACTTTCCAGCAGGTTTAGATGAATGGGGATCCACACACTCGTGCTTGTTCCTGCGTAGATGGAAGTTCCTACTTCTATCTCAAATTTTGCATTCTTTGGGAATATGGATCGTGCCAATCCATTCAAGCTAGGATTCCCTCATGTGCAGAAGTCCGTTTTTTATTTATTTTTCTGCTCACATCTCTGAATTATTCTTATAGCTTACAGATTCAAATTTTCATCACAGGTTTTTGCGATTTTCACAGCATTGTCAACGCTTTAAGCTCCCTCCATGCGGCTTCCTCATCCAGTTTTCTTCCAGCGATAATGCCAAACTGTACTACTTGGCAGAGAAGGAAGCAGAAGCATGCGGATGAAGCCCGAGCAGGGCAAGCCTGAGAGATAGCCATGCGTACTATTCCTGGTCATGGTATGCTTTAGCCTCTGCAAATAAACTGTAATAATTACGAGGATATTTTATTAAAGGTCACGCCTTCTACGATCATTCCCGATTCTTTATGTAGCTTCCTGCGCAACTCGTGCCCTATTTCACACTGCGTGCATTCTGCATTTTACATCACTTTCTTCAGAACGTGGATGGTTTTGTCGATATCCAAATTTGACCTCAAACACCATCGCAGAGGCAACACTTAGTATCCAACACTCATACCTACTGCCATAGTAGTCACAGTTCCTCGCCCTGATGATCTTACAGTCCTTTCAAAATTTTCCCAAAGGCCCCCAACCATTAAAAGCGCTATGAAACTAGAAGTTTTCACCAAACCACAGGCGACATGTATAGGTAATACAGGAACTTTGGGCCAGACAATACAGGAAAGTAGTTTATATTGATAAAACGATGAGCTCTTGAACGAGGTTGAAATTATGTCTATAGCTGATAGAAATTCAAATTTTGCCGTTTGTTGGCCTCTGAAAAACTCACCAGACCGAGGAAGAACGAGAACAGTCCACAAAGTCGAAAGGACTGCGCCAAAATCCCATGCGTGTTGCAATGGCACGGAGTCATGACTTTGTGGTCGACTTTGATGAGATCCTACACGGGTTGAACACTGCCAAAGCTACTTCGTACGACAAGGGCATAGATAACATGAAACAACATCTTGATCTAGGCGAAAATTGAGAACAGTCCACAATGTCAAAAGGAGCGCGCTGAAATCCCATGTGTGTTGCGATGGCGCTAGTGCTGCCAAAGTCCGGTTCAGTCCGGTTCTTGGGCCTCTGAATGCGAACCCCGAACCGGACCATCAGTCAGGTTCGAACAAGGAGTATGAACGCTGGACCGGACCCTTGCAAACACATTCGCAAGGGTTCAGTTCGAGTTCAGAATGCGTTCGAACGCTCGAACGCAACATATAATTTGAAAAAAATCGTAAAAATTACATGAAAAAATTGATACAAATGAGTAACTACACGACATCCATGAGGGGGTATTCACGAGCAGCCGCAAACTCAGCTTGTGCCGTTGCAGATATGTGACCCTGACGATATGCACTCTTTAGCAGTTGCAGGGCCTCAAACATTGTTGGCAACAAGCAGTTTCAGCGCATGGTGCCAGTGCTTCCACCACTTGAAAAGGCCCATTCCGATGCAACGGCAGAGCCCTGAATGGCCAGATAGTCTTTTGCAATGCAGGAAATGGTAGGATATTGAACCGAATGATGCTAGGAATATGGTGAGCTTAAAAAATAGCAATACAAAAAACTAAACTTACCCCCCACCACGCCACCACATCATCAACGTCCTCTAGCGGCGCTGCAAGATAATCATCTAGCTCTTGCCGAGGCCTTCGGCTCATACCGTCGTTGATGACACGAGATTTGACGGCATCACGCATCCAACCGTGGCCATACAACCCTTGACGAGTGAGCGATGAAGGAACAGCAACAGCTTGCTCTGCATCAGGCGACGAACTGAAAGTATCATGATAATATTTGTCGAACTATGTGAAATTAGCGCACTTGCGACCATGAGACAGACATGGACTTACGACTTTTTGCAAGCATTCCATACCTGCCTCAAAGTCACAACGCTCCCATTTACTCTTCGCATATGCGACCTTATAGTTAGGGTCAAGTGCTAGGATGACAGGGTACATTAGAGGGGGCATTATATAGTAAATGTAGCACATACCGAGACAAACAAAATAGACATCGCTTTCATCGATCTTGTGGTACCATTTGCGAAGATTATCGAGACCAGAGTTGATGGCCATTGAGAAGTCGTCGAACTTCGAACAATTGGCCATGTTTTGCCAAGTCTCTTGCAGAAACTTGAGGACCGGAATAGTACGCCATATGGTAGGCTCACGAGTCGCCGAAAAAGATTGTTGGGCGTTTGCGGGCTCCTTGTTAAGTAGTATAATGGTTAGCATCAGCACAAAAACAAAGAATGGACACACACACCTGAAGCATGTCACACATTAATTCCAGCTTTTTCCATTCATCCGCCAAGAGCTTGAATGCTCCATATGACTTACCCTGCAAGTTGGGAACTTTGTCGCTGTCGTCTGCGAGCTGAATAAATCTATTGACCCCCTTACGCAGCTGAAGTGTGCGCTCCATCATGCCGAAAAGTGAGGCCCATCTTGTGCGAATCCATTTTAATAGCTCAAGACTTGGCTCGTTGACCTCAGCGCAACACTTCTGAAAGAAGGTTCGCGCCTGAGGAGATTTTCGTACCTGCATGAATGGATCATTAAAGCAGGGCTATACTCAACTAAATGTTAAAACTTACCTGCATTACCAGTGCGAGGGCTTTCCCAATGGTATCGGCAACCTCAAAATCAGTCGTTTCATCATCCTCATCATTGTTTGTCACATTCTTGCTGAGAGTACTAGCCGGTGTGGGAGAAACATCCTCGACAAAGTGTTTGGCCGCTAAGTGTAAGGCATGCTCCATGCAACTAATAGACATTAGTGACATTGAATTGAATAATAAACTACTTACCGCACGCGGTGCTCGCTGGCGATCCACTTCGTACCAGAGGGGTCAATAGCATCTGTGACAGTCTGAATTGCAGTGTCGTTGTTAGTGGCATTGTCAGCCGTAAACCAACCAAGCTTGTTACGAATGCCGTAGTCATCGATAGTTTGAATTAAAATTCGGCCAATGTTGCGGCCGCTATAATTACCATTGATGGTGGTAAATGTGAGTTGCTCTGCCTTCAGCTTCCACTCATGAGGTTCCCCAACCGGGGAGTCAATGTAATGCACCGTGATAGATAAGAAAGGTACACCGGGTTCTGAGGTCCACGAGTTGAAAGTGATAGATACCTTGCTGTCGACTTGCTTCATTTTGTCTTTGACACGCTGGACAGCGAGCTTGGCTCGTTGAAGAATCTCATCACGGGTTTTGGTACGATGGGGAATGTCTCTGTCCGTAAGGGAGGGCCGGAGGTACTGAAGGAGTCGACGGAATGGTCCCTTATCAACGAGTTGGAATGCCTATGTATGGCATAAGCGTCTTAGTTACACAAGAAATTGGAATCACTCACCTCATCCTCAGATACAATTAGCTTGACGATATAATCCATCAGGCCGGACTTGGTGAATTCAGGTATTTTAGATGTGAGCGACTGGTCTAACATTTGCTGGGTCCCATCAGTTGCTTTGCAGTTGGGAGGTATGGCACGATCGTGCATCTTGATACCTCGTTCCTTGCACCGGTCTCGGTAGATAGGGAAGTGACACTTCGCATTACGCGCGATATGAGTACGGTGAGTGGAAATGCTGCCTTTGAAAAAGCATTGGTTCCAAGGTACATTGTTAGCTCTGTAATCAATGTTAGTTATGTGTGATCAATTCAAAATGTTTGAAGTCAAAACGTACTTGCATATTTCGCACCACCAGCCATCTTCAAGTGCTTGAGTGTGCGGATTGACACAACCTTTCTCCTGCGTAAATACGGTCTTCAAATCAGCACTGCGCTCCTCTTTCTTAGTGTGCTTCCGATGCTCCCGATCCTCATCTCCGAGCGCCTTGGTCCTTGCGTAGGCTTCTTCATTGTTATCCTCGTCTTCTTCCTCCTCATCTGCGAAATCCTCTAGTGTGGGGGGTTCATCATCGTCGTCGTCATCGTCAAGGCGACTGACCAGAAGGGTACCAGTTTGCACTCGCTTGGGTGCAGGCTGGCCTCAAAGAACCGCTGGAGCCGATCGCTTGGCTGCTGGAGCCACGTTGCCGGCTTCACGAATTTTCTCCGTGGGCTTGACCGCTCGACCTGAGCGATGAGAGACAAAGGCAGTGATTTTTCCATTGGATGCAGGAGGCAGAGGCGGAGGTGGAGGGAGCATGGGTGAGTCATCCTCAGGATCGTTGTACCAATCAATGGTGCTAGCGTCTTTGAGTTGGCCATTGGAGCCAAGTGTGCATGACATGCTCGTAGTGGGAAGGGTGAATGTGGAACCTAGAGTAGCTCGTTTATACAAAAATTTATGATATGATATCAAAAAATATGACGCACCTTGAACATACCGTTGCCATGCAATTACTGGTGCAGTTAATTGATGTTGAAGCTCAAAGGAGCTGGATGAGAATCCTGATGATAGTTTCTAGACATAAAAGACATTATAATCAGTATAATAATAAACATTGAGCTTACCGTAACATTGAGGAGATCGATGAGGCAGTCGGATGTGTCCAATGGATATACGTTGAGCGTTTCAGTCGTCAAGTAAAAGCCGCTATTCATCGTCCCGAGATCAATGTAGCCAGGACTGACAATGGCCATGCTCGTTGAAGTTGCCAGAAGATCAGAAGAAAGACTTGAAATCAAAGTATTATTAGTAGCAATAAGGACGTCGAGGATCAGATACAGAAGTAATAATATCTCAGTCGGTTCGAACGGGTCCGAAATTCTCAGCCATCAGCCGAACCCCGAACCTAATAATAGGTTCGGTCCTCCTAGTATGCTGAACCTCGGACCGAACCCACGGTCTGGTTCGGATAAGTTCAGGTCCGAACCGAAGTTCAGAACCGGACTGTGGCAGCACTAGATGGCGCGGAGTCATGACTTTGTGGTCGACTTTGATGAGATCCTACACGTGTTGAACACTGCCAAAGCTATGTGTCATGAGAATGTCTTGAATGAGGTCACAATTCAAAAAATTAATAAGGCAAAACAACAATGCTGAAAATAATGGGCACCGGTATACTAACACCCCTTCTCTGCTACGATGGAGGAAAATTATAACATTGTTGTGGGTCGCTCATATTACCCTGAATGTACAGGCATTGATGGCTATATATTTACAACTAAAAGTTCTCGCAGAATATATGATATTATTTAGTAGAAGCAGAATTGTGTCCTTCTGTAGTTCCCACGGCTACATTATCAAGGAATCATCCATTCACTGATGTTACAGTATGGACTTGCAATTCTTGGTCCCCAGAAAGAGACTTCAGGAGTGGCTTCGCTGGCCCTCCTCTGCATCATTGTCCTTATGTCTTTGAGGAAGTCAGGAGACTGTTTTATGAGTGTTTCTTTATTGTCCAGTAAGGTTTGTTGCCTCGCGTCGCACTACAGCTAACATTTCTCGAAGCCTTTTGACATATGTGGCATTCTTTGTCACTATATGCTACCATACGTTGTATGCATCGCCGTGTATATTCCCTCCCCTTGCATTTGATGGCGCAGATGTTTTATTGCGCCTATTCCGCTATCGAATCAAGGATGCCACCCTCACTGCGCAGGACGCTCACATGATTTTGGTACAGTATTCAAACGTTATTCGATGCACTGTTTACTTCATCTTTCACAGATCCGTGTTCATAATTGGACAATGGCTGGCATGTCTGATTGTGCGTTTTCTTCTCAGACAAAGTTTTTGAATCCCATCCCTTCATCGTCCTTTCGGCACCACCGTCTCAGTCTTGCCTCTCCTCACCTGGGTTCCTTCTCGCGGCACCTAAGACAGAATTGAGTCTACGCGTGAGTAAGCGAAGTAGCGTGACTCTCCTTTGTTCCGACCCACATCAGCAGTCAACTCTAAATCGCTCGTTATTAGTTTCTCGTATCGTCTACTCTAAACTCTATCGTTCTTTGCACCCTCCCACCGCTCCCTCTCTCAGAAAACGGAAAACGTCTAACTCCCCCAACTCGTTAACCTTTTGTCCGTTGTACTGCGTTCGCTTCCTAGAAGTTTCAAGGCTCACTCATGACAATTTGATCGGTGCCCACCTGCCCATCTCAGCTCACCTTGAAAACTCTCAGGTTCGTGCCCTTGCAGCAGGCCGAGAAGCCCTACGGCCTTTTGCCCAAATATACCATTCCTTTTCGCATAGATTAGCTCACATTGAAGTTTCCTGTATCCAAGCAACCTCCTGGTCACCTTTCTTCTCCCACAAACACCTAGTGTCGAAAGGCATAGAGGTTAGGCTTGTCCATGAATCGACTGAGGAGGTACTGGCGGATCTCCGAACCCTTCAACAAGTATGAGTAACTCAAATAATAAATTATGAGTGCTGACCATGACAAATAAATCTTGAATGTCATTATAAACTCAGTGCACGCCTTGGAAGATTCAACTTGGCACTAATGTCAAAGCGGATGTAGTAAGTAGTGGGCGATGAGTCAAAGCAGCCATCCGGGGTTAAACGTTGAAGAGACTACTGACTTCGATGGGTGCACATGTTTAGTTGGATGGGCCCTGCTTCTAACTTGGCAGTGGTTGGTCGAGTGTTCATTGCAGAACATCTTGACAGCTTGAAGGTATGACTGCAAGGCAAGAGTCGGCACTTGGCTTCACAGGCCCGGCGGTGAAGTGCTATCTAAGTACTCAAGCAGAAGATACGTCTGTAAACGAGTCGAGTAGTACATAGGAACTTTGGTGAATATTCTAGTCGACAAAAATACAACAGAGCATACGAAAACGAGATAGCTAGAGCGCAAAACATAGTATATCAGGCCTGATCAATTATACAACAGGATGAAAGGATCACAAATCAACAACTTATGAATACGGCATAGAACTAAACACCAATATGAACGAAAACCATCCTCTGCTCCAGCGGCACTGTCGTCTTCACAGTGTGCATAGCACGGTTCAGTGCCCAGGCCGCCTTCGTACAGTCCATCGCACCTCCGTCCTTCAAATCTTTGAACATACTTTCATAGAAGGCTTTGACGACGTGTTTTGTGACAAAGTCGTCGACCTGCCACAGCGTGCCAACGACGCTCTTGAACCCTGAAAACTGAATCCCAGCTGTGAGGTGGATCGCTTCATCTGGCGTCTCCTCGTCGCTTACGGCAGTATGACAAGCCGATAAGAACGTGAACTCGGCCTGTGGCATATGTTTCTCCATGATATCGAGCAGCGTCAGGTGTTTGTCTCTCATGACGAAATGCGAATTGTAAGGCTGCTTTAGGTCCTGTTTGCCATGACAAGCTAGGTGCACCCAGGTGTTCTGCTGCAAAGGTTTGAGAGCACCTGCTCGTGTGGCTGCATCCCCAGAAATATTAGTGTGTCTGGCCGTCACAGGGACGAGCTTATGGACAAGCTCGAGCTCGCTGTCGACGGCCTTGAGTGGCTTGCCTTTCCCTGCACCCGGTTGACCCATCACGAAGGATGGAGTGACGCGCTTCTTCATCATCTGTCTGGATCTGACCAGAGCCGAAAGTGTGGGCGTGTAAGAGCAGATGTAGAGATCCTCCAGGCATTGCTCCCTAGAGCCATCTGGGTTGGTTCGAAAGGGGTGAGCTGCGTGGAGAGGAATAGATGGATCTCATCCCATACTGTCCGCAAAAGGACTATTAGATCATTTCGCGGCACTTTGGGGCCCAGGGTAGATGTGTGTCTTATTGCCCTGGCGAAGCGGTCCTTGAGATTGGTCAGATCTGCGAGAGTGACAGATGGCAAGGGAACATGATGGGAGTCTCCTGAAGTTGGAATGATGATGGCGCTGCATGAGTATTCACTCGCAATGAGGATGATGACTGGGCCCTGGCGGGCTGCCGCTTGCAGGTCTGCATACAAAGGTGGGAGCAGGAACCACGAGAACTCCCGAAGATCACGTATCTCAGCTACCGCAGCTTCCCATTGCCTTGTGAGTCTCCTGTATTCTATCGCTGCCCGATCAGCAGCAGTTCTGTCGGTGATTGTTGCAGAACTCTGGGCTGCATTGGAAATGAGTGTGCTCAGCTCCAAATAATTGTGCGCCAGTACTGGATTCGCTGACTCAAGGGATTCAACCGGAGTCCTGAGTCGGGAGGCCAGCAACCATTGCTGGCCACGGCCCTGCTCCACAAGTTCAACTGCATGTGGTAGATTGTCACAGCGGATGGCACATGATGCTGCATCTGCTGGGAGCATTCTGGCATAATGGAAGGCAGCAGCAGCTTCGCGCCGTGAAGTTGCCGAAGACCGTGTTGTCAAATGAGCATCCAGAAGCTCAAAAAATGTCAAGTAGGCTTCCAGCGCGGATCCATGACCATGCTGCTCCACTGCAATGGTCCACTTAAATGCGTTCATGATGCGTTGTGGGAAGCCTTGAGTAGAATGTCTTGATGCGAATCTGAAATTCTCCACTGCAAGAGACAAATCAGCAGGGTCGTGTAGAATCCAGTAACGAGACAAATAGGCCTCATGCAGCCACATGTAGCTGAAGTACCTGCCTGGGTGTAGTGAAGACACAGCTGCCAATGATTCTTGGCAAAGAGCAATGGCCTCCTCAACATCTTCGTTCTCCCCAGCTTCCATGAAACGGGAGCAGAGCGCCGAGCTCAGATTGGAAAGAGTCAAATGATGCCCCGGATGGTCAAGCTGCTGTAACCGAAGGGATTAACGATATAAATCAATGGCCTCATTAAGATCCTCGCTGACCTGTGAGTTGGTATATCTAGTTTTGAGCGCGAGGGCAAGGTTGTTAAGCGTGGTGTCACAACGTGGATGCTGTCACGAGTTCCAAATACGAACCATTATACTTTTCTGAATTCGAAGTCCTTTAAGCGCACAAGTATAGCGCCTGTACCTAAAGATAAACCTAAGAATGTATTTATAGTTGAAGAAGCGCCTATGGCGTCTATTATAGAATTACCGAACTCCCCTATACCAGAATCACGTAACTTATCAGAAGATGACATCATGCCACGCGATACTCTTGGAATGTTCCAGAACCTTACTGCGGCTGCGGCACATGTTATGACATCATAGTTATATATAGAATCGTATGATACCTTTAATTATTCTCATTGGCTAGTTAGTTCATACTCAGTTTCAGTCTCCGTTTCAATATATGTATATAGGTAGTGTCTTGTAGTCAGTAGTTCTTTAGTTCAAACCTCTTGTATCTCCTAGTGAGCAATCCAAGACGTACCTGCTGCCTTATCCTTTGTTGTGATCTTTCTGAGTTTGAGTCCTAGTCTCTGCCCTGCGTTAATTCGTTTAAGGGGTTGTGACAGATGCCCAGGTGGGCGCAACATCAGAGCCTCACTATGGAGGCTGATGGCTCGGGTCATGTCTCCGATGTTGCTGCATTTGTTGAAACAGTCGATGAGGGCAAGCCCTAGGTTGTCCAATGAACAATCACGAGATTCATGCCCAACAGGGTACAGGTGCAGTGCTTCTTCGTACAAAATGATGGCCTCATCAAGATCATTAGAATTGCCTTGGTGGTTGAAGTGGGACAAAAGTGACCAGGCCAAGTTGTTCAGGTAGGTATCGCGGTGAAGGTTCAACGATACAGCGAGGCACGAACAATGGTCCTGACTGTATCTATAAATGTTGTAAGGTCGCGCGTTGCCTAGTCTGCTATACTTGAGACGACAAGTGCGTTCGACCCTAAAGGGGAAGCGAGTACAGCAAGGATCTAGTAGTAGGCGCTACTGGTTGGCGAATGCGAAGCGCGGGAAAGCGCAGGTGCACACGAGGCGCGAGAATGCGCGAAGCGCGGGAATGCGCACGCGTATATGCGGAAACAAGAGAGAGTAAGAGTGAGTTTGCTTAAGTGATGATTAGACACTAGACAAGAGGTGAGAGATGCAAGCTGAGAGATGTTATATGCGAAGTGCCAAGGAATAGATTTCAACTATACTCCGCTAGGTAGTAAATGGGTATTGTTGTGGTTCGGTCCTCTGTTGTTCTCCTGGGTGAGTAAGTGAGTAAGTTTTTTTTAAGTCTATGTACTGCTGGCGCTTATATATGGCGCCTAAGCGCTGTCATGCGGAGCCGAAGTGCTACCAAGTAAGGTATGTAAGGATATATGTAAGTAAGGGTCCATGATAAAAATAAAGATGGAACAATATGCAAATGTGAGAAATGGAAATATACGCACTAGGGAACTTGGTGGACAGTGGATGGATGCTTCCGGATGGCTGGCGCTATAGGGCGCTAGAGCGCGGGAAAGCGCGCACGCATATACATCGTGAAGCGCGGGAAAGGTATGCGCGCATGGCGCGCGTTGCGCGGGAAAGCTGCGCCTCATATAGAGATAGCTGCGGGTAGCACACAGAGTGATGCTACAAGTTCATGCCATGTACTCCCCAGTGAAAACTGCCATATTGCACAATGAGAGGCATGAGTCTCTACAGCGGTCAGCATGTCCCTCGGGACACAGAGACACGGCTTCACGACCAAGCTGTATGCTCATGTCAAGATCATCAATGCTGCCGTGCTGATCAAAACGTGCTTCAACTGCTTGTGCAAGCTCGTGGAGGGTTCTGGGAAGAAGTCGATGGCTCATAGGACAGAGCTCAAGGATGACTCTTCGAAGTTGGATGCCTTCATCGGATGCGTCTGTTGGAAGATTGTTGCATCCGCCGATCACATAATCAACACTATTTTCCCCTGCTGCGATGCTACGAAAGTACGTGCCCTCTGGACAGAGAGTGTTACGTCGACTGTTGGTCGGCGTAGTGGGAACTAGGATAGATCTTCTCAGCGACGAGTCGAGTGACTCTACTGAAGCTGAGCGTGGTCTGACTTTGACGGAACGTCAAAGGTTCCTCCGGCTATCTCGGTAAGACGGCGCTCGTCGAGATGCAGGGCTAGCGGATACGTGCAGAGGCGTATGGGAGCGACTCTGAAGTGCGGTCTCACACAAGGAAGCTTTGTTAGAGCTAAGATGAGCAAGTTCTTGGTAGAACCTAGTAGATTAAAGTGAAGTCTAATCTACAACAATGTGTGTACTTATACATAGTGTATCTAAGTATACAAGCTCAGTCTGTAATCAATAGTATATCGTGAATCTATGATAACCAGACATGAGGTTAGATAAAGTACATGAGGCTTAACCTCTGATCATACATGCGGCGCCAAGGGCGGCTGCGCATAGGTACAGGAAGCGCCAAGCGCTCCGGGTCTTCATACATGAGGCGCCTAGGGCGCTCCGGATCTTCATGAAGCGACATGCTGTATACATGCGCTGATCTAGGGTGTCCATGAGGCGTACAGCCTCCATGGAACAGGTACAAGGCCGTCTAGGCCAGGGGCGGGGTCATAGCATCAGGCGGGGTCATAGCGCCATGAGGCGGGGTCATAGCGGTCCAGACCGCTGTCTTTCTAGGCGCAGGCGGCGCACCGCCGCGCGGGGAGTCTAGCAGAGCGGGGGCAGGTGTAGGGAGAGCTGGGGCTCTAGTAGGTGTTACAGATCCCTGTAACATTACCCCGTTACTAAGGTTGAAGTCACCGGCTTCAATTAACACTACGTCCAAAGGCTGGGAGGACGGTGCGGGTGTCGAGGGAGTTGCTGGCACAGGCGTGAGGGGTATCGGCGTCGCTGGCATAGGGGAAGGTGGAATGGGAAAGGCGAGCGCGAGGTCGGCGAGTGCTTTATGATTCTGCTCCCAGTCTAGGAGAGCTTCGAAGAACTTCTCCTCATCTGAAAACTCTTGGAGCACAATGCGTCCTTTGAGTCCAGGGCAGTGGATCGATAAATGATCCGGTCCAATCTCGCTGCAGATGCAGCAGACGTAATCAGGACACTGTCTAAAAGTGTGCCCATATCCACCGCAACGCTTGCAGAGCGTGCGGGTTCTATCCATCGTGGCCGTTCTCTTTCTACTGGGCAGCGGGCGCACGGGTCTAATTTCTTCTTCGGCGCGAGGCTTTGCTGAGGCCGTCCTCACCGCGAGGTTCACGAGGTCGGGGAAGTCGAGCGGTAGGAGGTGAAGCGCCATTGCGCGAATTCTTTTCTGAAGGTGGAGTACGGCGAGTGTACGAGTACCTTCGTCTAGGTCTGTACGAAGTGCGGCGTCTTCTAGCATCTTCGTAGTCTTTATGATGTGCACAGCGAGGGACGTGCTGGCAGCAACGGTTGCGCTCATGTCACCGAGGATGTTGTCGATCTCTCGGGAGTACGCAGGGGTGAGGATGGCGGTTTCGCTGAACGCGCAATTCTCAATCGTGCTGAGGATTCGTCCGTAGTCGGAGTCCTTCAGCGTCACAGTGGTAGGGGTTTCGGTAGGAGTCGTCATGATGGAGTTTCTGAGGAATGTTCAACCGTAGGGAGAGTGTCTTTATGTGTTCCTCCAGGTTGTTTCCAAGCTCCGCTTGAGTCAGACTTATCTTTCGTTATTCCTATCAGAGTTCAATCATCGAGGGCGTGTCGCTCCTCGGTTCTAATCTATCATCAGAGGGTGATAATCATTGCCATGATGGGTGTGGGCGCGTTCCGTTATCTTTTGTTTGGTCAAGTCTACGGTCGGCGGATCTAGAGGATCTAGCGGGCTTGCAGGAGTTTCCGAAAGGTTCGCCTCGTGATAGTTTAAGCGTCTTTCCGGACGATCATGGGGAAGGTAAGGGCCATGAGGCTTGCAGGAGTTTCTCTGGGGATTCCCTCGTCTTCATCGTCTTCTGGATCTTTTGTTAAAGTCGATCGTCGAAGAGTGATCTAGTTTAAGCGTCGTTTCGGACGTACGGTGTCGTAACCTGTTGTTAATTGCTTACGCGAGGTCGAGGACAGGGGGTATCCAAGCATAGGGGGCCGGAGGGTGTCCGGGGTCATCCAGCGAGGAAAGTAGTTTAATGTCGTTTCAGACAATCTTAGTTTAATGTCTTTCCGGACAATCGCGCAGTTTATAGTCGTGCTGGACTCGGACCTAGTTTATAGTCGTAGCGGACTTGGGTCTAGTTTAGCGTCATAGTGGACGTGTCGGCGAGAATCGAAAGGGGAGGAGACCTATTAGATCGAGAAAAAGGTGTGGAAAAGGTAAAAGCAATGATGAATTTACCCCGTCACTAGGACGTTGATCTACCACGATTAACGAAATTAAAAGTCCAATTCGAGTTCTCCGCAGTCAGGGTCATCAGAAGGAGAGGCGAAAATGAAATCGCCGATCGTCCGAATATATGAGGATCCGGGGTAATCTTCTTCGTCAGAATCAGAGTCGGACTCATTAGAGTCCTCATCAGCCGATAAGGCTGGATCAGGAAGCGCGGGGGGCGTCAGAGGACGCGCATTCAAGCGCTGGATCACCATGTCGAAATAGCTTTCGACTGGGTTCTGGTCGGGTTCAACCGACGACATTTGTACGTCGGCTGCTAGGGGTGTCGCGGGGCTTACAGCATGGCCCGGTTCGGTTTCGCTGTCGGACATAGGCATGTCCTGGTGACAGAGAGGGGTGGGTTCTTCGTTATCGAACCGGAGTTTCTTGGCTGCCGGTCGATCTGCCGTGAAGACGGCTCTTCCTTTTCCGAGAACAGAAACTGGCTCTCCGGAAAACATAAACTTCGTCTGAGTTTTCTCTGGTTCAGGGGCCAGTCTAGGGTGCTTGGCAGGGGGTGCTTCTGCGGTAGCGATAGCGCGTCCTTTGCCAAGGACGGACGCGGGTTCTGCCGAGAATGTTAATTTCGGCTCAGAGGCGGCGGAAGGCCTCTTCTTTTCATTATGAGTCGGGAAGGGATTCTTCGGGACTGATGGGGGCGCCAAAGACGTAGAAGTCTTGGCGGCTTGGCTCCTCACAGCTTCTTCGGGCTGTGGTGCGGTCTGCTGCGGCTGAGAGTTTGCGGCAGTCTGGGGTGTGGGTCCTTCTTCGGGGATTTCCACAATCGTGGCATAGGGCATGGCAGCCGGTGCCGGTGCTAGTTTATACTCTTTACGGAGTTGTGCTAGTTTATACTCTTTACGGAGTTTCTTCTTCGTCTGAGAGCGGTCAGCGACTCGCTTATCTTTCTTCAGGAAGAGGGGCGTCAGGCCGTTCTTCTTCCGTTCGGCATCTATATCCCGTTCCATGTCTCTGGATTCGGGGGTGGCGGCGAGGGTCAAGGTGGACGCCGTCCAATCTATGCAAGGGTTGTTGGCGATTAGCCATGGTTGCCCAAGCAGGAATTTATCTGAGTATGACAACTCAGCGAGGTAAAACCTAACAGGAGTTACCCGTTCATCGATCTTGACCGTGAGGGTGCAATATCGGGAGATAGGCCCTCCGGCCGTAGTAGATCCGTCCGCGTTAGTTACCGTGATTGGCTTCTTTAGCGGGTGCGAGGAGATGCGGTGCTTCTTGCAATAATCCTTATGAATGAAGGATCTGCAGGCACCCGAGTCAACGACCATGGAAGTCGTTATCGTTGCTTCTCGTCGATCTGAAATCAAGGTTACGGGAACCCGGAATTCGCGTTTCTTACCGATGGTCTTAATTGACCTAATCGGGTCTTCATCGACAATCTTTTTCCTATCTCGGCAGAGATTGTCACTGGCACGGTGGCCGGTCGTGTTGCAGTTGAAGCATCGCCTGCTGTTAAGGCGGATGCGGATTTCTTTCCCTTTGAGATGGGAGGCCGCGGCGATCTTCGTGCGTGTGGATGAGGGTCGGGCTTCATTCTTTTCTCGCCTGGCCAAGGCGGTCTTCGATTGATTCTTTTCTCGCCGTATCACGGCGGTCTTCATCGTCAGCGCCTTCTTCGGGGACACTACGAGTGTACGGCGCTCTTCTTCGGGAGTCGTCCGTGAGGATGATGCTATTTGGTTGGCGTAAGGCATGTCGTCCTCTACAATGCTGGTCGAGGCAAGGTGCGTATCTGGGTGTGCGTCGCGTAGATAGGCGACGATCAGATAGACTTTAATCTTTTGTTACGTCGACTGTTGGTCGGCGTAGTGGGAACTAGGATAGATCTTCTCAGCGACGAGTCGAGTGACTCTACTGAAGCTGAGCGTGGTCTGACTTTGACGGAACGTCAAAGGTTCCTCCGGCTATCTCGGTAAGACGGCGCTCGTCGAGATGCAGGGCTAGCGGATACGTGCAGAGGCGTATGGGAGCGACTCTGAAGTGCGGTCTCACACAAGGAAGCTTTGTTAGAGCTAAGATGAGCAAGTTCTTGGTAGAACCTAGTAGATTAAAGTGAAGTCTAATCTACAACAATGTGTGTACTTATACATAGTGTATCTAAGTATACAAGCTCAGTCTGTAATCAATAGTATATCGTGAATCTATGATAACCAGACATGAGGTTAGATAAAGTACATGAGGCTTAACCTCTGATCATACATGCGGCGCCAAGGGCGGCTGCGCATAGGTACAGGAAGCGCCAAGCGCTCCGGGTCTTCATACATGAGGCGCCTAGGGCGCTCCGGATCTTCATGAAGCGACATGCTGTATACATGCGCTGATCTAGGGTGTCCATGAGGCGTACAGCCTCCATGGAACAGGTACAAGGCCGTCTAGGCCAGGGGCGGGGTCATAGCATCAGGCGGGGTCATAGCGCCATGAGGCGGGGTCATAGCGGTCCAGACCGCTGTCTTTCTAGGCGCAGGCGGCGCACCGCCGCGCGGGGAGTCTAGCAGAGCGGGGGCAGGTGTAGGGAGAGCTGGGGCTCTAGTAGGTGTTACAGATCCCTGTAACAGAGAGGCAGTAGCTCATGATAGAGTTGGGCGGCTTCGCAAATGTCGCCAGCAGTTTCTTTCTTGTTGTGACGCCATTTCAGCGCTTGGGTGAAATTATATAGGGATAAGGGATGATTGGGATGGTGCTGCGGACGCAATGCAAGGGCATCGCAGAAGAGGGAAGTGGTAGTTTCAATGTCTTGAACATCATTTTGGATGTAGCCTTTGAGGAGAACCGACGCGAGGTTGGTGAGAGCCGCTGCGTGGTCTGGATGGCCGACCGGACACTGGTTCAGAACCAACTGAAAATGCTCTACAGCATCGTTCAAGAAAAAGACCCTCTCACATCTCACGTATCCGGCAAGTCGTACGTGGCCAGCATCTGTGTCTCGAGCAATTTTGCAGGCTACAAGGGACTATAGTTGGCGTTCTGTCAGCAAGACCTAACAGGACAGAGTCCAGGGTTGCTCACATCAAACAGTGTGCCGTTTTGATCGTCCGAAGCATGTACAACAGCAACCTTCAGTGTGATGGAAGGTTGAACACCACGCACGGCTGGGAAGGATAGATCTACGAGATGTCAGTATATGTGCATGAATGAGAAGTGAATCACTCACCAAATGGGTGATCTCCATGATCGAGTAGCTTATCCCATGACATTTGAAGTTTCCCAATGACCTCTCCACCGCCGAGCATTCGACCAAGCTCATAGGATGCCCTGATCTCTATTGACAATGCAGGGGAGGCATTTGATGGTCTATAAACCAATGATCAGTTCTCGCATCACGTCAGAAGATCTCCATGGACTGTACAGAGTTACAGTATCCTCCCACGCTACAGATTCATCAGACAATAGGACACTGATGGCTGATTTCCAGCGTCTCCTCAAGTCGACATTGATGGACACGTAAATGCCAGCGGGAATGCGCCTGGAGGGGACTCGAAGATTCTTTCCGTTGATGACTGTAGATAGATCATGAAACAGATACGGAGATGATATGGAGAGACTTGCCTTCAACTCTGATATATCGGCTTTCTGAGCTACCGGACATGATGTTACGATGCAGCAAAATGATGAGGATCGAGGATGGGTAGTGATGGACGGGATGAATGGGAAGGGAAGATGGGGGTAGGGATATGGGGACTGCAGATAGAGTTCTGCCCAGTGGGAGATTGAGGCCTAGGGTTCAGGTCACGCTGCACGTGTATTTTCATATTGTCAGTGGATGTTCGGCACGATAGACGCTGGTATGATCGCACAAGCGCTGGGAATGGAGATCACCGGCCAGGATTGGCAGAAGAATCTGTGCTAAAGTAGAGAATGACATGAAGAGTTCGCGGCGAAAGTGGTCTGCCAACATTGAAAGGAACATGCGAGTCTCAGAGTGATTGCTGCTCCTGGACTTGTATCGTACTACTCAGTTAGCACGCAAAGGCAAAATGTAGAATTGAGTATATTTTGTGAGGTAACGACAAAGGCAAAAAATGTCTATATCGCTGAAAATGGCGCGCAAAGAAAAGTACATACGACTGGTCCAATTGAGCTGACTGTGCCATGGGGGAAGGATGATCTTGCCTGCAGCGACTCGCGAGGAAGAAGAAAGAATAATGCAAGAATGCAACCAATTGTATTCTCGTTCGGTGATTGACGAACAAAGTATTGAGGAAGCTGTGACCGCTATCGGATTCACTGACCGCCGAGAGATAACAAACTGAACCCTGCGGAAAAGGATTATCCATTATAGGTGGCACTGCATAGATAGGTTGGCAGGTCCATAGTGTAGGGAAGCCGACAGGACCATACTTTGGCCAAGGATATGGTTATTGACATTAGTGCGGCTTGAGGCTGCAAAATGGCAGAGGTTACAGGAGCAAACCATTGCAGTAAACGTCTGAATGTGGAGCTATTCGAGGCAAGGGTGGTGTCTTGAATTGAACAAAGTGCAGAGCGTAAGATAGACGTGCAGATTCATAATATAATGGTTTATCAACAAGAAGGGCTAGATGAAGAAACAGACCAACACGCAATCATGTGACCCGTGTCGTAGATGCGCAATGTAAAACTTGGAACGCGGTCGATATGGGTTTACATTGATTCGTGAAAACAAAAGGCAAAAGATTGTGATGCTTGCAGAAAGGTTTAGCAGTGATCGAGAGGTTAGAACGTTCTAGGCCCGACTCACGGGCCTTTCCGAGACTGTATGTTTTATGTTCATTTTCCGACTATTCTATTATTCTGATAATCACAGGCTTCGTACACTACAACAGTATATAGAGTCGTACATTTGTACTTAGCCCCCAGATTGCTTTCAATTACTACTAGGCTGGTATCTGGTTAGTACTGCGAGCGACTCTATTCAGTGTTGTGCCGACATCTAAAGTCTTAACACTTCTACCTGCCGTCAAATATTTTTTAACCTTCCCCATTCCTATCTTAACTCGCTTGTAACCAAGCTCTTCTTCTCCCAAAACCTTTTGTCACTACCGTTGACTGGTCTGGCCCACCACGTCCCCGAACCGTGACGATGACAAAATCTACATCCACGATGACCTATAATACTCGCTCGCGCACTCGCGCTAGAGCCAGCTCAGTTTCTACCCCCGCAAGTGAAAAAAACGCACCGGTGAGAGACGACTACGGAAACTTTATTGTTAATATTATGACCTTAGCTCAAAAAGCAGCGCAGGGTTCCAGCTCAGCAGCCGGAACCCAAGCGCCTGTCGAATCTCCATTGACCTCAGTGGAAGGGTCCCCCGGGACCGAAATGGAGAGTCCGTCCGCACTGAGACCAACTCGCTCGTACAGCGACGTGGTCCGTGCGAGTAGCCCTGGGAGTGACCAAACGGTCGCCCAGGAGAGTACATTATGGCCTAAGCCAATGTTTAGTCCAGTGGGCGGTAATAATAATAATGAACTTGCGGAAAGCGGGGACAAGCACGTCAGAAATGACATGGCTAAGGAACCTGAGCTCACCAGCAGTGACGAGGACGATGACGATCGTCCTTGGATCCAAGTCTCCCGAAGAGGGAGAGACCGGGCCAAGACACCTGAAGGGCTCTCGAGAGAGTCATTAAGAACTTCGACTAGGCATGAAACTAACATTAGTAGTCTGAACACACCCGCCATGAGGGAAACGGACCTTGGTGAGAGAGCCTCTAAAGGCAAAGGCGTGGACCCCCGAAATTAGGGCGATGCGATGCTTGACGAGGAGGATCTAGACATTGAAGAGCAACAAGCCGCTCTAGAATCTTTCAAAACGGCGAAAGAGATCGCTAGTCAGACAGAATCATCTTCGGAAAAAGAATCACACCCACCCAATAAAGGGCCGGAGCCCACTATGTGGTACCGAGATGTCTTCGAACAAGCCGCACGTGAGCAACGAGCGGTTGACCAAGCCGTAAGAGTGACGGAGAATCGTCTAAGGAAGGAATATGACCTGAAATTAAAAAAGGTGTTAGCAGAAATACAACCTTCCAATCACAAAGTGCCGTCACAAAAGACACGAGAAAGGGCTGATAACCCTGTGGAAAAACTGGTCCAAAAAGTGGTAAATCCGGAGACCAGTCGAAAAGAAAGAAAACGAACGCCTGACGTGATGGAACCTGTACGTCAGGTAGCGCCAAAATCTTATATTGGACAGGCGTTAGGGCGTCTTGGGAGAGAGCGGGGCGATGAGGATAGCTCAGATTTGTCTAGCTCGAGCTCAGATTTGAGCTCTTCCGGATCATCGAGTTCCTCGAGCTCTAGCGAGGAGAATGACCGGAGGCGATGTAAAAAGCCCTTGAAAAAACAGTCAAGGAGCAAAAAGACCACTTTGAAACCGATAGCACCTACTGCGTATGATGGAGCAGTGGACTCTCTCGCGTTCCACCGGTTCATCACGGAAGGAATGGCATATGTGAAAGACGGACGAGTAAAGTCCAAGAAGAGGGTGTTTGTGCTGTCACACTACCTTAAAGGAAAAGCCCATGAGTTTTACATACGCGAGGTGTCTGGAGACCCTTACCGTTGGAGACTGCGAGAGTTCTTCACCGAAATGTTCAACTACTGCTTCCCTATCAACTTTAGGACGAAGCAGCATGAGAAACTTAAGAGGTGTTTCCAGAACGATAAGTCAGTAAGAGACTACGTGTATGAGCTCAACGAGCTCTGGAACATGATCGGTGATGTTGATGACCGGGACAGAGTGTCTCGGTTATGGACTGGCTTGTCCGCTGAAATCCAATGGGAACTCTGGAAAAAGGAGTTGAACCCAGAGGTGTCTACCTTCAAAGAGGTTCAGGCCGTGGCCAAGATAATCGAGATCGCTCATTTGGTTCCAATGGGGAGGGAGAAATGTCCCACCCAAAAGGACAAACCTGCCACTGTTGAGGTGTCAAGCGTGACGACCATGGGCAGAACGCCAAGAACCAAGGGAACTGGCTTCCTCCCCAGGAGGAGCAGAGACAGACGTCCTAATCCCCACAATAAATCGAAGGGACAGAGGCCATATCAGGGCGGGAGCATGCCCAAGGGAACGGGGAGGATCCAACCGGGTGGCAGTATTAGCCTGGAGGAACGAGAGCGCCGTAAAACGGAAGGACGCTGTTTCATCTGTGGGGAGTTAGGGCATGTTTCACGACAATGCCCAAGGAACACTCACATTAAATCAGAATTCCCCGGAAAACCGCCAGGAATACCCAGTTTTGGGATACACATTGGACCTAGTGACGAGGAATGAATGCGGCAACTGACGGAGGTGTCAGAACCTCCTGATGGCTTGTTCGTGGGATCAGTAGGGCTGTTCATGGAGGAGCCTCAGCTTCTCCAGGTACCTCCCATAGATTCCGCAGAGGACGAACCTAGTGTTCGATTCAGGGACCCAGTGGCTTGAAGAGCGGAAGACCTGTTACAGGGGCTGTGGTTCCCCTGGGATGGTTCAGATGACCGAACCCACGCAGTGGCCTGGAACGATCCGGACCGATTCTGGGTGTCAAAGCTTGAGAACGAGGACATCTACGTCGTGGTGGATTACCACCACTGTAGGAACGGCCCAGAGAGAATGAGAATACCCTGGCGTCGACTGGAAGACCCCCAGTTCCGAATTGATAGAGCCTACTGGTTGTACCTAGGGAAATTTTTTGGGAAGCATCAGAAATGGGACCGGCGGCTGCTGTTCAAGCAGGAGAAATGACACACGGACAAGAGAGCCCCCATGGGGACTCCAATTGAGGACCGCATCGAATGGTGGCTGGAGGAGTACATAGTTCATCCCGAGGACTACTGGTCCTCGTCGATGGACCGTTGTTTCGTCTGCGAAAGACTCAGCGGGCATACCTACTGGGTCACCGACAATGCACTGGCCTTAATAACTTACCTGTCCAGAGAAACAGTGCTACAGTGGCACTGGAACCCTGGGAGATGGTATCGTCGCCGCCTGGGGAAAGCGGCCCTGCAGCTAAGCAATGACTTGTTAATGGCTAATGACGGCCACTATGAAGGACTCACCAGACTGTTCAAGTCGCCAGAAGGCACCCAACCCACGTCCATCTTCACCGACGAAGTGCTAACCGATCAGGACGAGTTAGTGCCCTATCAGGTTGCCAAGCCCGCTGACGAATCCTCCTTGGACTGCATTGTGTTTGGAGTGCAGGTCGCGCAGGGTACATACCCAGCGTTACAATGCAACTCGGCGACCACCAGGGACATGGCTAGAGCCATCCCCAAGCCAGTGGTGGTGGTGGTCCACGTGAACGGGCGACCCACCCGGGCTCTGATCGACACGGGATCACTAGCGGATTTCATATCGTTAACGACAGCTGAGCAACTGAAATGTCGACTTACCGTGCTCGAAAAGCCATTAACAATTCAGTTAGCCGTTCAGGGATCAAGGTCCAAAGTTAACTACGGCACCGAAGTTCGGTTTCAGTACCAGAGTATGGACTATTGTCGATACTTCGACATGATCAATCTGCAGAACTACGATTTAATACTGGGAACTCCATTCTTGTATCAGCATAAAGTCACGATCGGGTTTAACGCACCTAGGGTTATACTCGGTAGTATCGAACCACTCCCATTGAAGGGCAGTGGAGTGATCACGTTGCCCGGAACCCATGAGATCACAATGGGCAGAGAAGCGAAGTTCATACTTAGCTTCCGGACGCTGGCAAATGACAAGTGCGGGGAACACTGTCCCTATGCTCTTTATATGGAAGCCAGGGACCGACCGTTTGAGAACTGTTGTCGACCTTCGTGAGCGTAATAAGAATACGCGTAAGCTAACATCACCTTTGCCCGACATGGACGGCATACTGCGACGGGTTGCGCGAAAGCCATACCGATCGCTGATGGATGGCCAGGACGCCTATGAACAAATCCAGGTGATACCAGAGCATGTGCCACACACAGCTATGACCACCCCGGACGGCAACATGGTCAGTCACGTTCTACAGCAAGGGGATTGCAACGCCCCCGCTACTTACCAGGCTGTAATGAACTACCTATTTGGCGAATACATTGGAATCTTCATGGATGTGTACCTGGATGATATCATCGTCTATTCGGACACGCTGCACGAGCACATCGAGCACATACAGAAGATTGTGCAGATCTTGGAGCGTGAGCAGCTTTTCCTGAGTGAGAAGAAACTCAAGTTCTTGCAGCCAGAAATGTGGATCCTGGGACGGATCGTTAGCAATGACGGAATCCGTATGGATCCCGACAAAGTAGACAATGTTCTGAAATGGAAGCCACCCACCAATCGAGACCTCTGTCGCGGCTTCATCGGTGCGGTGGGGTATCTAGCGGATGATATCCACAAGGTACGGATCCCATTGGGTGTGCTGTCAGCCGTATGTGGGGACACAGTGCCTTTTCGGTGGGACGACACCGAGCAGCGGGCCTTCGAGGAAGTTAAGCAATATGTCGAAGCATGTGCGAGACACAGTAGAGTGCCACTCACCTATGGTCCAGATCAGGAACAGGTCTGGATGATGATGGATGCCTGCCCAATGGGCATTGGAGGCGTCATCGCACAGGGTGTGGAATGGCGCAAGGCGAAGGTTGTGGCCTTCTACTCGGCCAAGCTGAACGCGGCACAGCATAACTATCCTGTCCACGAGCAGGAGTTGCTGGCGGGCGTCGAAACGATGCTGCAGCACCGTGACATCCTGCAAGGATGTCAGTTCGTTTGGCTGACTGACCACAAAAGTATAACGCACCTGCTAAATCAGAAGAACTTATCAAGTCAACAAGCTCGCTGGATGGAGAAGCTAGGGGAGTTTGACTTCGCCGTGGAATACCTGCCGGGGGCACATAATATACTCCTGGATGCCTTGTCACGTATGTATGACTTCGATGCTGCAGGGACAGTGCAGGCCGTGAGTGAGTATGTCGCTTATGACGATGGTTCCCAGCCCACCGACGTGTCTGGCCTTGTCAGCATGCCCGTGTTGGTTGGGGACGAAGCTCGGGTGACCGTGCCCCGGAGGAGTGCCAGGATGGCTGCGAAGGCTGCTGATGGTCAGCAGGCACCAAGGCCCCCACGGGACAGGACAAGGGGGTCTTCAGCGGCAAAGAAGGCTGCGATGATGGCCCAGGACGACCCAACATGGGATGTCCTGGAGACAGCGGTGGATGCCTTGAACAGACCAGTGGCGACGCCAGTCGCTAACATCTCGACAACGCATGCCCGCAGACCTAGGGTACCCGTGGAGCCTGCCGAGACTGGCCGGCCTGAGACCAGCGCTGAGTTCGCACAGCGGGTTAAGGACCGATTCGTGTTGCATGGCCCTCGTGCAGCGGCTGCAGCGCCCCCTGCCTCACGAATGGAGGGGAGGGAGCAGCGGGAACCACCACAAACGATGGACATCCCAGCCAACGACGACGAGGAACAATGAATTCCAGTCACATACCCACATGAGGTTGGGCTACTGGATGAAATGAGGCATCAGTATGGGCAAGATACCATGTTCAAAAAGGTACTAGACTCACCCAAAGAATATCGAAACTTTGAGGTCAAGGACGGGTTGATTAGCGTCAAACTAAAAGACCGAACAGCTCTATGCATACCGGACGTGAAAGTAGGGAACAGGTGACTAATTGAAGTCCTAATTGATCAAGCGCACTCATTGTTAGCACACCTCAGGGCAGACAAGACCTTGTCGTACCTAAGGGAACATGTCTGGTGGAGGACTATGGTCCAGGATGTGCAGGCGTACTGCAGATCCTGCAAGACCTGCCAGCGCAGTAAGCCATCGAACCAAAAGCCCTATGGGCTGCTGAACTCACTCACCGTACCATCCCATCCTTGGGAAGCCATTGGCGTAGACTTCATGGGGCCGTTACCCCCATCTAAGGACCGAAACAGCGAATACAATTCGATAACTGTAATCATCAATCTGTTAACGGCAATGGTACATCTGTTAATGGCGATGGTACATCTCGTGCCGAGCAAAACGACTTACACTGCCAAAGACATCGCCGAACTCATGTTTGCCGAAGTCTACAAGTATCACGGGATACCTAAAGCTATCATCAGTGACCGGGATGTGCTATTCACTAGTAACTTCTGGACGCACCTCAATAAGCTTATCGGCGTCCAGCTGAAGATGTCCAGCGTGTACCATCCGCAGACCGATGGCGCCACGGAACGAGCCAACCGAACCATCGGCCAAATGCTGAGATCCTGTATCGGCCCCAACCAAAGAGATTGGGTGTCCAAATTGCCAGGCATAGAGTTTGCCATAAACTTGGCAAAATCCGAGTCGACAGACACTTCACCATTCCTCGCAAATGGTAGACGACCCCGGGCAATGGTATGGGAGACAGCCGGGTCCCAAGAGTACCCGGGAGTGCGAGCCTTTGCTCAAAAGATGAAAACTTCAATAATGTCAGCTCATGATGCAGTGATTGGGGCAAGGGTGAAACAAACTCACGAAGCTAACAAATGGCGCTGTGCGTGCCCACTAATAAAGGGCGACCTAGTCTATGTATCAACTAAGAACATCTCCTTACCCAAAGGAACGGCAAGAAAACTCGTACCTAAGTATATCGGGCCCTACCGAATCAGCGAGGACTACTGGAACAACTCTTACAAATTGGAGCTGCCCAGCCGTCTCCATCAGCGAGGGGTACACCCAGTATTTCACTCCTCGTACCTGAGGATCCACGTCCCTAGTGACGACAGACTGTTCCCGGGCCGAATGGAGACGCAGGTCGCTGACTTTGAGGACGCTGAATCAGAGTGGGCAATTGACAAAGTGCTGGCCCACTCCGGCCGACGTGCGGACTCCACATTTCAAATCCTGTGGAAGACAGGAGATGTTAGCACGCTACCATACGATCAGGTAGCCGAATTGGACGCACTGAAAGACTATTTTTCAGTCTTGGGCATCGATGATGTTTCAGAGTTAGGGGAAGGAGCCGGGAACCCTCCAAAGGAGGGCTCTCAGGTGACAGTAGGTCACTTGTCCTTGGCGAGCACAGACTACAAAAAACGCACCCCCGTCAGCTCCACCTCAGAATCCCCCTCTCCCAGCACCACTCACGAATTCCTTTACAACTTCATCACCCGCGCAGCTCGAAATCTTATCCCTACCGCCATGGCCCCCATCCTAACACGCATCGGAGCTCGTCGCTATACTCTGCCTAACGGGCTAGGCAATGGAGACTTGATGGTCGTGCTTGACATGCTCCGTGCGTACCTGGAGCACGACGCCCACCTGAGGTCCGGTACAGCCGCGGATCGTGCGTCACCAGCTGGGTACGGGGACTTTTCATTATCCTTCAATATGCTCCAAACAACCAACGGGCTCACCTCACGTGTCGCGGAAGAGTCCTCAGAGGGGCCATGCATCAGTGGCCCATCCCCATCACTCACAGACCTCATTGGCGAGGAGGTACCACCAGCTCAACCCGTTCACACTAGCGCCTCCCAACCTCCGTCAGACGGACGCTGGCTCAGCTCCAGGAGGGCCGAGCTGATGGAGGAGGCCCTATGGATGAACCTAGAAACCTCCAAAAGGCAGAGGGAGTGGCGCGACCGTAGCATTGCCGAGCGGAAGGCAGCTAAACGCGCCCGTCACACTATGAGCTCACTGCCCGACCATCAGACCACAAACAAAGGAGAAGGGACCAGCGTTATACACACCGGTTCTACTCCCCACTCTCCCCCATCTGCCACTACCGTCAGTCCACGCCACCTGAGCCAAATGGAGGTAGACAATGACGAGGCCCGAACGCATACTAGCGAGAGCACCAGAGGAGACACAGAAAAGGGAGCGAAAGGGAAAGGGAGGGCCACTAAGAAATGAGGATGTGGACACATCCTGGAGGGGAGTATGTGACACTTGCAGAAAGGTTTAGCAGTGATCGAGAGGTTAGAACGTTCTAGGCCCGACTCACGGGCCTTTCCGAGACCGTATGTTTTATGTTCATTTTCCGACTATTCTATTATTCCGATAATCACAGGCTTCATACACTACAACCACTGTGGAAAGGAAAGCCCATGAATTTAAGTAGGAGAAAACGTTGAAAATCAATAGAGAGAGCCACTGAAACTAATGAGGTAGTGCAATGAATCGACAGCCATTGAATCCCCCGAAAAGACGATGGACATCAGTGGTTGAATCACTGATTGTTGTCGTCATGGCCACTGAATTCAATGCGGCAAATCACTGACTTTCGATGGTGCGGCCACTGATTATTGACGACATAACCATTGAATTTGATAGGGTATTTGTATTTAGTAAAAGAATATGGCACCAAGTTATGGGTGCCCACAGGTATACTCCATGTACATGTACCATTTAACCCAGGATAATTTGCCATTGGCAGGGATTGAACCCAAGACCTCCGACAACGATAACTGCATCATTGTTACTGCTGGGCCACAGGACCATTTCTATATATCAACAATAATATAAATATATCCAACGATCACATGACAAAAAAATGCCAACATGTCTACCTTATCCGAGGAAGAGCGACAATTCCACTAAGTCCGTTTCACTAATGAAATTCATATCTCACACCACTGAGATTCATTGGCTAATCTTTCACATTTTGTTGTTTTCTCCGCATCATTTCATAGGTCGCGCCCATTTTTTTTGGTGGTCCATTGAAATTCATGTGTCATGCCATTAAAATTCATTGGCCTAACCGCTAGATTTTATTGTTTTATCTATCATATTTCATAGTCACATATCATTGTTTACACCACTGAGTGCTCACACTGGCAATGAAATCTATGGTATTAGCCGAAACAATGAATACTCTTGCTGGTGGATTCTGTGTTACACACATTGAGGCTCATTGGTTCAGTGCTCGAACCACTGAAATTCATTGTTTCTACTTCCCACAGTGCAACAGTATATAGAGTCGTACGTTTGTACTTAGCCCCCAGATTGCTTTCAATTACTACTAGGCTGGTATCTGGTTAGTACTGCGAGCGACTCTATTCAGCGTTGTGCCGACATCTAAAGTCTTAACACTTCTACCTGCCGTCACAAAGATAAAATAGGTAACACATCACGCATCTAAGCCGGTGCTATATACACCCGACATAGGCATATAAGGGGAAATCAGACATCGCCCAACTTATAAGGTGAGTATTGTCATATCATGCTTGTTGGTTTTCAGTGATGTAGTGAACATTCTAGTCGACGAAAAGACGACGGGGTATACGAAAATAAGATAGTTAGAGCGCAAGAATATGATATTGGAGTCATTTTCACAACAGATCGCAGATCAATAGCTTGTAAATGTGTACCAGACGACATCAATACGAGGTAGTAGAACTACACACCAATATGAACGAAAACCATCCTCTGCTCCAGCGGCACTGTCGTCTTCACTGCGTGTGTGGCACGGTTCAGTGCCCAGGCCGCCTTAGTACAGTCCATCACACCTCCATCCTTCAAATCTGGGAACATATTCTCATAGAAGGCTTTGACGACGTGTTTTGCGACAGAGTCGTCGACCTGCCACAGCGTCCCAATGACGCTCTTGAATCCCGAAAACTGAAGACCGGCTGCGAGGTGAATCACTTCGTCTGGAGTCTCTTCATCTCCGACGGCGGTATGACACGCCGATAAGAACGCGAACTCAGCGTGCGGAATATCTCTCTCCATGATATCGAGCAGCGTCAGATCTTCGTCTCTCATGACGAAATGCGAATTGTAAGGCTGCTTTGGGTCCTGCTTGCCATGACAAGCTATGTGCACCCAGGTGTTCTGCTGCAAAGCTTCGAGTGCACCTGCTCGTGTGGCTGCGTCGCCAGAAATAGTAGTGTGTTTGGCCGTCGCAGGGACGAGCTTATGGACAAGCTCGAGTTCGCTGTCGACGGTCAAGAGTACCTTGCCTTTCCCTGCACCCGGTTGACCTTGTCCGATGGCTACAAAGGACGGAGGCATACGCTTCTTCATCAACTGTCTAGATCTGACCAGGGCCGAAAGTGTGGGTGTGTAAGAGCAGATGTAGAGATCCTCCAAGCATGGTTCCTTCCCAGAACGATCTGCCTTTGTTTGAAAGGGGTGAGCTGCATGGAGAGGAATAGACGTGAAAGCTGCAGTTGGACACAGCCAGATTCGAGAGCGACGCTTTAGTTTGAGGACGTGCTCGAGTACTTTGACGATGGGTAGCATGATCTCGTCCCATAATATCCGCAAGAGAACTATTAGATCCGTCCTCGACTGCGTTGGAGTCATCTGAGATGCGTCTCGTATTGCCCTGGCGAAGCGATCCTTGAGAATCCTAAGATCGGTGAGAGTAACAGGCAAAGGAACATGATGAGGGTCTCCTGATGTCGGGACGATGATAGCGCTGCAAGAGTATTGACTCGCAATGAGGATGATGACCGGACCCTGGCGCGTTGCTGCTTGCAGGTCTGCGTACAAAGGTGGGAGCAGGAACCGCGAGAACGTCGGAACATCACGTATCTCAGCTACCGTAGTTTCCCATTGCCTTGTAAGTCTCCTGTACTCTATTGCTGCCCGATCAGCAGCAGCGCCGTCGGTGATGGTTGCAGAACTCTGTGCTGCATTGGAAATGAGTTTGCTCAGTTCCAAATAATCGTGCGCAAGTGTTGGATTTGCTGACTGGAGGTCTTCAATTGGAGTCCTGAGTCGAGATGCCAGCGACCATTGCTGGCCACGACCCTGCTCTGCGAGTTCGACTGCGTGTCGTAGATTGTCATTGCGGATAGCGCACGATGCTGCATCTACAGGGAGCGATCTGACATCATTGAAGGCAGCAGCAGCTTCGCGTCAGGAAATTGTCGATGATTGCATTGCCAAATGACCATCAAGAAGGTCGAAGTATGTGTTGTAGGCCTCCACTGCGGATGTATGACTGTGCGTTTCTGCAGCGGCGACCCATCTCTGGGCTGTTATAATGCGCCACGGAAAGCCCTGAGTAGGGTGCCTTGATGCCAGCCTGGAATTGTCCACTGCAAGAGCCAAATCAGCAGGATCCTGTAGAATCTGGTAACGAGACAAATAGGCCTCCTGCAGACACATGTAGTTGAAGTACCTGTCCGGGTGCAGTGAAGACAGAGCCGCCAATGAGTCTTGGCAGAGAGCAATGGCCTCCTCGACATCTTCTTTCTCCCGAGTCTCCATGAAACGAGAGCGGAGTGCCGAGCTCAGATTGGAAAGAGTTAGATGACGCCATGGATGGTCAAGCCCCATTAACCGAAGGGATTCACGATACAGATCAATAGCCTCGTTAAGATACTCTCTGACTTGCGATTCGTCATATCTAGTTTGAAGCGCAAGGGCAAGGTTGTGAAGCGTGGTGGTACGACATGGATGCCCAAGTGGGCGCAACGTCAGTGCCTCGCGATAGAGGCTGATAGCACGGGTCATGTCTTCAATATCGCCGCGTTTGAAACGGCGGACGAGGGCGCCCCCTAGGTTGTCCAATGAGTAATGACGAGATTCGTGCCCAACAGGGCGCAGTTGCAGCGCTGCTTCATGCAAAGATATGGCTTCATCAAGGTCATTATGATTGCCTCGGTGCCCAAAGCGGGATAAGAGTGAAGAGGCCAAGTTGTTCAGGTAGGTATCACGGTCAGCATGTCCCTCGGGACACAGAGACACGGCTTCACGACCAAGTTGTATGCTCGTGTCAAGATCATCGATGCTGCCGTGCCGATCAAAACGTGCGTCGACTGCTCGTGCAAGCTCGTCGAGGGTTCTAGGACGAAGTCGATGGCCCAGAGGACAGAGCTCGAGGACGACTCTTCGAAGGTGGATGCCTTCATCGGATGCGTCTGTTGGAAGATCATTGCATTCGTCGATCACATAATCAACACCTTTTTTCCTTGCTGCGATGCTACGAAGGTACGTGCCCTCTGGACAGAGAGGCAGTAGCTCATGATAGAGGTGAGCAGCTTCGCAGATGTCGCCAGCGGTACCTTTCTTGTCGTGAGACCAATTCAGCGCTTGGGTGAGATTATATAGGGATAAGGGATGATCGGGATGGTGCTGCGGACGCAATGCAAGGGCGTCGCGGAAGAGGGAAATGGTAGTATTAATGTCTTCGACATCATTTTCGATGTAGCCTTGAAGGCAGGCCCACGCGAGGTTGGTGAGAGCCGTTGCGCGGTCTGGATGGCCGACTGGGCACTGGTTCAGAACCAACTGAAAAAGCTTCATAGCGTCGTTCAAGTCAGAGACATTCTTGCTTTTCGTGTATGAGGTAAATTGTGCGTGACCCGCATCTGTGTCTCGTGCAATCTCGCAGTCTACGAGGGACTATGGTTGGCGTTCCGTCAGAAAAGCTAACAGGACAGAGTCCGGGGTCGCTCACATCAAACAGTGCGGCATTCTGATCGTGACAAGCGTGTACAACGGCAACCTTCAGTGTGACGGAAGGTTGAACACCACGCACGGCTCGGAACGATAGATCTACGAGATGTTAACATATGTGCATGAATGAGAAGCGAATTACTCACCATATGGGTGATCTCCATGATCGAGTAACTCATCCCACGACATTTGAAGTTCCCCGATGACCTGTCCACCGCCTAGCCTTCGACCAAGCTCATAGGATGCCCTGATCTCTATTGCCAATGCAGGCGAGGTATTTGATGGTCTATAACAATGATCAGTTCTCGCATCACGTCAGAAGATCTCCATGGACTTTACAGAGTTGCAGTATCCCCCCACACTGCAGATTGATCAGATGATAGGACACTGATGGCCGATTTCCAGCGTCTCCTCGAGTCGACATTGATGGACACGTAAATGCCAGCGGGAATGCGCTCGGACGGGACTTGAAGATTCTTTCCGCTGATGACTGTAGATAGAGTGTGAGGATCACGAAACAGATACGAAGATAGTATGGAGAGACTCGCCTTCAAGTCTGATGTATCGACTTTCTGAGCTACCAGGCATGATGTTGCGATGGAGCAAAATGATGAGGATCGAGGATGGATAGAGTGGTGGACGGGATGGATGGGAAGGGAAGATGGGTGTAAGGATATGGGGACTGCAGATCTGCACGTGTATTTCCATATTGTCAGCGGATGTTTGGCACGATAGACGCTGGCATGATCGCACAAGCGCCGGGAATGGAGATCACCGACCAGGATTAGCAGAAGAATCTGTGCTAAAGTAAAGAATGGCATGAACAGTTTGTGGCGAAAGTGGTCTGCCAGCGTTGAAAGGGACATGCGAGTCTCAGAGTGATTGCTGCTCCTGGACTTGTATCGTACTACTCAGTTAGCACGCAAAAGCAAAATGTAGAATTGAGTATATTTTGTGAGGTAATGACAAAGGCAAAAAAACGTCTATACCGCTGAAGACGGTGCGCAAAGAAAAGACGAATGATTACATACGAGTGGTCCAATTGAGCTGACAGTGCCATGGGGGAAGGATGATCTTGCCTGCAGCAAGGAATAAGAAAGAATAAGGCGAGAATGTAACCAAATGTATTCTCGTTCGGTGAAGGATGATTAACTAACGAAGTATCGAGGAAGCTGTGACCACTACCGGATTCACTCACACATTGAACCCTGCGGAAGAGGAATATCCACTATAGGTGCCAGCACTGCATGAATAGGCTAGCAGGTCCATGGTGTAGGGAAGCCTTGAAGGTGATGAGAACATACTTTGGCGGCCTGGCCAAGGGCATGGTTATCGACTTTGGTGTGGCTTGAGGCTGAAAAATGGCAGGAGCGGACCATTGCGGTGAACATCTGAATGTGGGGCTTCGACGAGAGGGAGGTGTTGTGCTCGAGGTAAAGATGTCAATGGTGAAAGAGACAGGGTGAAAAGGGAATCAGATATGAGGTGTATCTCGTAGAAGATGGACGTGAACTCCAATCAAATGTGAGTACGAAGAGACGAATGATCATCTGAATACGACCATAAATATTCGGACGGATCCATAGCGAGAACCGTATTGAAAACGCAGCTGTATACGACTGAAAATGGCGACATTTGACTACGTGTAACGTCGCACAAGAGCAGTATTAGAGTGGCCTCGCTCCATTCACACGTGATGAGTCTCCGATCAACGATAAATTGAAACTCGGAACCAAAAATAGACTCGGGGACCCGGGTTTTACTGATGACTTTTAGAAGTTCCAAAATGTGTTTGGCAGGATTTGAGTTGAATTTTGACACGTTACAAAGTAAACTGCTCTGTATGTAGAGCAATCCCGCCCACATCCATACCCATTGTCAAACCCAATCTCGCGACTGCATTCCGCACATCTCTCGTTAAGCTCTCTGGGCCGCTAGCACAGACCGCGACTCCCCCACCCAAGCCCATTAATTTGTGGCTTTCATCACATTGCATATCGGTCGAATCTTCCTTTTCACATGATGACGGAAAGCTGATGAAGTCCCTGAGAAGATTATGGACAGCTGGACGCGAAAGTGCGACGATGGAGTTGGGGATATGATGTACCGCTTCTGGATCGCAAGCCTGAGAGCACGTTATGAAAATAGAAATGTGCAGGTCGATGGTGCTATTCGACGCTGCCGTAGCAATATCTATCAGCATCGGAGCAAACCATTCTATCTGACCTGTGCAAATGGATCAGGATGATGTAACGCCCATAGTAGTCAAAAATGAAATACCAAAAGATCTAATGCACCAAGTGAACTCAATTCTCCTCGTTCGTTCTCCCTGACTGCGGCCTAGTCTGACACACCTGCCGACGATGTCGTCCAACAGACCGAGAGTGAATGTGACGCCAGACCCGCCGGCTATAAGAAACGCGCTTTCGTACAGACCCAGATCAACGCTTGACCCTCCATAAGGGACCATCCAGTATGACTTGAACGAAAGCACCCGAGTCGCTCTCCGACGTATTATTGATTCGTAAGCGTTCTTGTTCCCCCCTAGGTATAGCTATTCAGCGCCCGCGTCCAGTCTCCATCATTTCGTGCAGCGAGAAGGAATCCAGGTGAGGAGAGGCAAGAATGGGAAGGTGGTGCCGAGAAAATAGTGAGGGGATGTGATTCAAAAACTCTGTTGGAGAAGAGAACACGCAGTCTGACATGCTGGCCAGCAAGCCAACCATCGTCGCAATTATGAACGCGGATCTATCAAAGATGAAATTAACAGTTTATCGAATAACGCTCAAACATCTGTTGCACCATAGTCATGCGAGTGTCCTGCGTAGTAAGTGTGGCGGCTTTGATTCGATAGCGAAATAGGCGCAATAAAATATCTGCACCATAAAATGCAAGGGGAGGGAATATCCACGGTGATGCATACGGCGTATGGTAGCACATAGCGACAACGAATGCCACGTATGTCAATATGCTGCAAGAAATATTAGCTGTGGTACGACGCGAAGCAACAAAACTTACTGTATGATGAAGAAGCACTCATAAAATAGTCTCCTGACTGGCCTCAGCGACGTAAGGACAATGATGCAGAGTAGAGCCAGCGAAGCCACTCCCGAAGTCTCTTTCTGCGGACCAAGAATTGCAAGTCCATACTGTAGGCGGTTGCGGATCCACAGAAACCCATGAATGCATGCGGCAAGAAACATAGCTCTTCCCGCCATCCTATGCATAAAGTTGAGTTTCTCATACCCATTCCCTGGTCCTAAAATTAAGGACAGAATTGAATTTTTTGTTGCGAACAAAATGATAACAGGGAATTGTGCAAGAGCGAGAAATCCTACGTGGCTCACATAAGTTCCTCTCGTGCCTGAACGGATTGACTGACTCACCAGCTCTGTTCGGATTAGAAATAAGAGGTGCATCCTTTATGATGCAGACGAGTACAGCTGTGAGGTACGCCGATAAAACTATTACTGAATAAGTTACAAAGTGTCAGTTTTTCCTATCAGTAACAAACACCCTCAATACGCACTTTGTCCAACATTAAGCCCGAGCTTCGGAGGAGACCAGTACGTCGGTGAGATAAAAGCATTCCAGGCTCCAACCAATCTGCGACCTCTTCGACGGGTAGTAGGCGGTGGCTCCTTGCCATCGGAATGGGCAGACTGATATCCATGGTCTCTGAGATTCCAACGATTCCCTTGAGGGAACGTCCATGTCTCAGACCAAGAATCAAACTCGGAATAGAGATGGTCACAGCCAGTGCGACGCCAGAGCACCAGATTATGGTGAATTTAATTTGCCATTTGGGATCTTCGACGTATGAGCTGTCAATTCATGCATGCGTTTTCAGTATGCGGGATGAGATTTTTCGAATATACTTGTAAATTTGGAAGCTGCTTGGAACGACCGGAGCAGCCATGTTGTTCAATTGAGTTGAGGCCTAAGAGGTAGTTGTCAATCACTTTCCGGTGCCGGGTGCGCAGCGGCAGCTGCCAGCCAGGATGAAGTGCCTGGTGCTGATTAGTAAGTCGAGATAACCTCAGATCAAGATAATGAACACGTACTACGGGCTGCGAGGTTTGACGATCACAGTCATGTCAGGAAGTCCATAGGTATATTCACATCGAGGTTATCAACACAAGGTGCTTTGAATGTGGTACAAATTATAAAAACAATACTCCAAACTTAGCTTGAGATTTGGGGCTGAGTCGACAATGACAAGATTCTGGAACTCCTGCCTGACAGTTAACTACCCTATATCCCATGCTGTGTTCTACCACTGATCATCACGCCTGCTCGTACCCTCACGCCTACCCACACGGTAAGTAGTGTTGTGTTTGTATTGTTAGAAAGTATCTCCGAGTTATCCGTATCATACACTGCATTCTAGCCTGACGATAACCAAAAGAAAGTCAATACTTTGCAGTCATTCTACACTTACAAAAACGAACGTGCATAGATTTAATGCACATGCATGACACTGCCAAACCTTCCAAAGAGAGTTTCTCCCACTCCGAGCCCCACTCCAAGGGAGAATATGAAACCTAGTTGGAACGTCCTGTTCGCGCCCGGCACATCAACAACTCGACGAACAAAAAGAGCAATGCGACTTACATAACTGTCAACATGAAGAGGTAATCCAGCAGCGTCTGCGCTGCAAACATGACTCCACGTGAGATATCATGCGCAGGAATAAAGGGTGGCGTGAAGCGCTTTATGAATCCAGTGGGAGATGTCCGAGTTGGTAGAGTATTGAGTTTATCCGACGCAATGATAATTGCCCTGATCATGCGTAAGAACTGTAATATGTGAAAGAAGGAAAAGGACGTACTGTTGGCTCCAGTGGAATTCCATCACTCCTCGACAAGCCGCTATCCAACGCTCGATCACCGCCAACATAAACAGTGCGATACATGTGCCAACCATGGCCCCCAAGCTCTTTGGAACCCAGCCAAGGAACCAAACTGTATACAGACCTGTTAGAGGAGTTCGTTGTGTGTAGTTGGGAAAATATAACCCACGGGTGTCTCCGGGCGTAAAGTGCAGATACGAGAGCATGTTCCCTACAGCAAGAGTTATGCCATCATCCATGGACATGACCATGCCATTGTCTGCGAGACATATTTGACTCAAACACAAGAGACAGAGCGCCAATGATTGTCGGTTCATCTTGTAGGCGTTCACAAGTGTGCGCAGCAGGCCAAGATGTCCCGACACTATCCGTGGGAACTACCTTCCCCTAGCGGAACGACGTGGGGGACGCTGACCATGATACAGTTGATCCTTCCTGGACTGCCAGTGGACGGTGGATAGAAGACAGAATCATCCCAGATCGTCGCAAAAGAGTGGAGAAAAACAGGGTGTCAAGATGTAGACAAACTGGGCTTCATGAGAACTACACTCTCGCTCATATTGGTCTACGTCTTGACAGTCCTGAGGTACCATCTGGCTTCTGTTTCACCGTATAAAGGTTGCAATGTATGGATGTCGAGTGAACGGTTTCGAGTTGACTTGATGGGCAAGAGGCGCTGCAAAGATCGTATACAATGTGCGTTACGTTGTTGAGCAGGTTGACAGAAGTGCAAGTTCATCACGATGGCTCACTCGCTCCCAAGTAGATCATATATCTTGCAGTTGATGACCTGTAATACTCTGCACTAATTTGGCGGAGCTTCGAGCTGCAAGAAGTCGAAGGAGATGCAAAACTGGTGGGAATTGAAGGAGCGCAGTAACCAGTTCGATCTTATGAGTGAGGCATTTTAGCGCATCGTGGGAATTTGGGGTTCTCCAAACAATATTCGGAATCCGGATGTTCTGCCTATGGACCATGGCCAACATTGCAATGTAATATTTGTGCAGGATGAATAATAGACTTGGTCTCATCGGTTATCTCATAACACCCTTTGAAGATGGGAGCACCACATATGATATCCCAGCGTCACGGAACGTTATAGTCTCTAAGTGCTGCAGTATGATTGGGGATGTGAGAAACCACCATATGAATAAGAGTCCGTACATACGACACTCGCACTCTATACCAATCTCTTGGAGTCTTCTGAGTCGCTACTCGGGCTCTTGCTTTCGATGACCTCTTTGCTATCCTTTTGAATCACATCAGCAACACTCTGCGCCTCCTTCTTCACTTCCTGTCCCCATCCCATAGCTTTTAGGTTAAGCCCCGTCCCTTGCTCAATACTCTCCACAATACTCTTCACACCTTTATTAACCGACTCTCGTCCAACAGCAGCACCTTCTTTCGCGCGCTCCCAGGCTATGCCGCTGTGTGCAACAGAGGTTCTTCTAATTTCTCCAAAGCGAGGAACATACCGATCTTCGAGTTCCCCGGCATACGTACCGACCCGAGAAGCGGTACCCGGAAGGAAATATGCGAATGCGCTGATTAGGGCTGCGGGAGGAAGGAGGATACGTGTAGGCAGTCCACGCGAGCGAGCGAGGACAGACGTCGTTAGGGCAGAAATTCCGGTATAGAGCAATCCGGGATTTAAGGGCTCTGTAGGATCACGGAAGGATTTTATGCGAGCTGTTCGCGGTTCAATGGTCAATGAGGGCGTAGTAGTCGGCAAGACGATATGACTCACTCTCCACCTTCTCTTCAACAGAGATCCACCGGTCTATGATACCTTGCGCTTTGGAGTGGACGCCGGTATAATAACCCGTGATCTCCCGCCGCACCATTCCGATTTGCTTCTCTAATGCTGACGGGGTGTCAAGTAGAATGAGTTCGGGTATGGGTGTAGGGTATATGGAGAGCTATACGACGTTAGTAATTCAGATGACAACATGTTGTAGGAGAAGTAGATACCTTGGTCTGGCCAGAGCTCTGAATCGAGGCCCAAGATCCCGAACCTTCAGCTGCATTTGCAACTACGCCCGCCTCTGCAGCCATTGCAGTAACTTCCTGGAGAGTACATTGAATGTGAGTATGTTCGACGTCCCGTTAAAAACAAACCTTTATGTTTGGTCGGGAAACAATATATGTCGAATACCGAGTGGATGTTCCGCGGACGGCAGTGGCGAAAGGTGAAGGGGGCGTGGGAAACACATTTTGTGCCGAAATACTGCTCGACTGTCCCGAAGCCTATCCGTGACGACTCTTGCTGCAGGTAAGCATGGGTTATATTTATGCGCTGATCGTCTGTAGGAAATAAATGAAGTCAAAAACAGGCTGTCACCGTCAACTGAGGTGTTTCCTTCACTCATATCCTATACCTTTGTTTGGGACTCGCCTGAAATTACGGACTCAAATGCCAGTCCCATGAGTCCCAATCCTATTTAACTCTCCGTTAATGCAATGGTGGGGGTCAAGCCCACCCTCATCACTCTATTCACCTCACCATCTCTACCTCGGTCCCGATCTAGTACGTCGTCATAGATAGTCTGTGGGTGGCCTTGCATCTTTTTCCAGGCTTCCTCCTACACTGAAATCTCGAGACCGTTTTGTCACCACCCCCGGGAAGTTTACGGTCGTCTCATCCAACGTTGTACAAGTCGCGGTTTCTTCGGAGAATACTATGCATAATTCGTGCCCACCGAAACTACCAGTTGCTCATGCGGAGAACCCCGTCAAACACGAGAACTATGCAATTGCCTTCTATTTACCCACCAAAGTATTCATTTGCGCGTATCTCTGCACCTCATATCCAGCGAAATCATGGGAACGGAGAAAGGAATCGTGGCAATGGTTACATTTTTGGAAGAATCCGATGCATTCAAGAAGAGAAATGATGAGGAAGACATGGAAGGGATAATAGAGGAAGCAGAGGGGAGGGAGGAGTACGGGAAGAGACGAGGGATGAGTAGGAGAGGGAAGAAGATGGCAAAGGGTAGGGGGAGGATGAGTGAAGGGGTTGTTACATATCAAATCAGCATGGGCGCCATCACAATCTAGAAAATATCAACACTTCAAAACAGATTTTATCGGCCATTCGAACCATAATACCAGCCAGTGTTCTCCTTATCTTGTATACTGTTCCCCAGGACAGCTCGTAGGTACCGTGTCTTGAACAGTTTCCGTTGTTTGTTGTGGTATATAAATGTAGAAAATCTCTCTTCCTTTGCTTTTGCACTTCATAGCTGATTTATCTTGTTTTGCAGGGGCCCAATTTTGGCTCACGGATGTCTGCGGGACATTCAGCTCTCCATCGAACGATTACTGGGAGGTGCTGTATTGTACAGAAAGCCAAAACACGCGTGGTGAGAGTTGCAACTGAGTTCATTTTGTGCGACGCAGTCAAATGTCGCTGCTTTAAGTCGTATATAGGTGTGTTTCCAATTATCCTCGTACTTCACAGTTCTTCACAGCTGGCTGTGCAGGTCGCCCAGTCTTTTTTTCTTGCAGCATGTCCAGTTTCTTCGTCGATATCGTGCCAGACCTCTCAAGATCAAGGGCGCGACTCTAATACAATACCCAGATACTGAACATCATCTAACTGATGTATGCGTGCGCAAACGGTATATCTCGTGACCTAAACGCATGAGTTACGATGACATTACCTCTGTCAAGGGTCGCGTCTCGCAGCCAGGGCTGATCTTCTGGCGTATCATGAAATGTTCATTCCTTCTCGTTCACTCATCTCTTTCAAAGACTCCATCCTCCTAATCACACCGATGACAAGGGATATGCATATGGCTCGATACCACAAAGCTTTCGAGTCGTCAGAAGTCTGAGGAAGTCTCATAGTATGTAGTGGAGGCGCGACTTCATTGAGGTATATAGATTCGGATGTTATGTAAGCCTTTGACTGTTAACTTAGCTTCTTTCAGTCTGCAGCGCTGCTTTCATGTCATGATCACGTATCAAAGCCGTACTTATTCTCGCCTGCGAAGAAGCGTACGTCGGAAACGGCCGGGTTGATCAAACCCTCCCTCTAAGGTGGCTGTGTGTTCCAAGGACTGATGCGTGTTACAAACTTCAAAACAGGAATCGAGGACCGACACAATGGGCACATGCGAGTGTCCAAATCAACTCCGTGTCGATCTAATCTAATTATATGTCTAAATCGAGTACTCATGGCTATGTTCTCAGGCTCATTCCGAGTAAGAGATAAGAAAAGCTGTATGGTGTGCGCGCACAACGTGTTTCTTTGCCACTCGAACGAAAGCACCATCGATGGAACCTTCAGCTGAGGATGTTCAAGTCGCAACGGCCTGGAAATTGCATTACTTGGCAGTACGTCGTAATACGAGGGGCAAGATATTAACAGATACTTATAATGCACGACCACCAGTGTACATGCGGTGCGTGCGGTCTGAATTGCTTCTCCCTCATTCTAACTTAACAACTTGATCAGTGACGCTGGCTACATTCTGGGTAGGCTTGTCCCAATCCATTCCCGTTTGCCGTTAAACCCGTCTATCCAGACCTATGACTACATTAGTTTACTTCACGAAGAGGTAAGTCACGCGCTTGTTCCACTACACGCCTCGCTTTGGATACTAATAACATGCTGTTCAAAGTGGACATTCCTGCTTCAGTCACGCTGGACTAAGCTGAAAGCCCTTTATATCGTTGCACGATATATCCCCTTCTTCTTCATCGCCACGGACCTATATAGTGCGTTCATTCCAAACAGTGAGCATAGATGACTAACATGTTGTATTTCAGTGATCTTCACCCCGAACGAGAACCCAGATGTATGTGAGACTTACCCACCTATGAACAACGCTTACTGCACGAATTTGCCAGAAATGCCGGATGTTGATCAATATTTACTCATGTACGTGCACGGTATATGTGACTGCACTTCCTGGCCGAGGGCTGATATTTCCTCTCACAGGTTTTGGAGTGATATCACTCACTTGTTCTGAATGTATCTCCCCTTCACCTCCCACATACACGTACTATTGATCTGATTTATTCAGGCTTTTTTGTGCTCAGAACCTATGCGCTTTGGAACAAAAATCGAACTTTACTTGCAACGATGATGTTCGCCCTTGTTGTGAGTGCCATGCCACCCTGACCACACCCACTCTCGTGGTTGCAACGTTTATGAATCAATCAGTCTACCATCATATTATTCATCGGTATTTGGTTTACGAGCATTGCTACCTCCGATGGTTTGTAATCTCACCTCACCTTCCCCACTACCACTCGTACATATTCACTCCACTTTCACAGTTACGACTAGCGCGATCCCAGGCATGGTAGGCTGCTACCGAAGCTCGCGCAGCATCTATTTCTTCATGCCGTTTCTTCTCTTGTTTATGTTTGCACTGGGTATGTCGCCGGGAACTAGAAACATACATTACAGACACACGCTGACCAACATTCTCCCCAGGATTGGTCTTCCTCACTCTCATACGTGTCATACAGAGCTGGCGGACAGTCAGAAGCCCTCTGCGCACCATCCTGGAGAAACATAATATGTTCTACTATGCATGTAGTTTACGTGAGTCAGGGTTTAAACATGTTTCCGTGCTTATCGGTGATGATCATTGTTCCGAAAGTTCTCTCAGCCGTGAACGTCCTCATGCCAGTGCTGTTTTCCTATGTTGTGAGTAAATACCATACCCTTCAGTATGATTTAATTACTGATACCCCCCACACCCAGTCCGCATATTACTCCGTCCTCGAACAGTATGCACTTCCAACCTCCGTCGAGAATTGCCGCTGACAATACCCCGAAAACCCTATAGTTTTCAAGTTCTTATCCTTGCAATCCTAGCCACGCGCATGCATCTCAATCTTTGGCATACCGACCAGCATGTGCACGACTCTAATGTCCTCTTATATATTCCCATGTCCAACATGTCACCTACAGACTGTATGGTATAACGTCTTATCGTGTGGCTTATTTGACGTTGTTGGTGTACCGAAGTCTGCCTTTTTGGACTGCAAGATGGCTGATCCTGGTGGTTTGGTTGTGACCATAACTTTTTGGAATGATTTTGTGTCAGTATAAAGAATTAGACGCAAGGAGGTAAACCGAAATCTGAATGGTATGATAGCTTGGAGCGCCACACGGTCACTTTCTCGTCCTTCATAGACTCTATCGGGAGCCTGTTTCAGCTCTCATTCTGAACCGCCACCAAGAACTGCTAAACTTTTCCTTCAATATCACGTCGACCAGTGCAAGACTCGTGGTCATTTAGACACTGCAAGTAATTATGACATCGAATGTGTGGATAGTGACATACGTGGCATTCTTTGTCGCCATATGCTACCACACGTTGTATGCATCGCCGTGGATATTCCTTTCCCTTGCATTTGCCGCAGATGTTTCATTGCGCCTATTCAGCTATCGAATCAAGGACGCCAACTTACTGCGCAAGACGCTCACATGACTTTGGTACGAGATATCTGAGTGTTATTCGATAGCCTTGACTTCATCTTTCATAGATCCGCGTTCATAATTGTGACGATGACTGGCTTGCTGGCTAGCATGTCGGACTGCGTTTTCTTCTGCAACAAAGTGTTTGAATCCCGCGCCCCCACTATTCTCTCGGCACCACCTTCCTAATTGTGCCTCTCCTCACCCAGGTTCCTTCTTGCTGCACAAAGCGATGGGACTGGACACGGGCATTGAACAACTACGCCCGACGGGAACAAGAACGTTTACAAACCAATGAGAAGTCCGAGGGCAATTTGGCTGCTTTCGTTCAAGTCATGTTGGACGGCGCGTGTTTCTTATAGCCGGCGGGTCTGGCGTCACACTTCACGGCGTGCTGGGCGATATCATCGGTAAGTGAGTCAAGCTAGGCTGCAGTCAGGGGGCAACGAACGAGGAGAATCAAATTCACTTGGTACATCAGATCTTTCGGTATTTCACTTTCGACCATATGCGTTACATCATCCTGATCCATTTGCATAGGTCAGATATAATGGTTTGCTCTGAAGCTGATAGATATTGCTACAGCAGCGTCTAATAGCACGATCGACTTGCACATTCCTATTTTCGTAACGCGTCTTTGTGATCGAGAGGCGGTCATATCGGTATCCCCAACTCCATCGTCACATTCTCACGTCAGGATCTTCTCAAGGACTTTGTCAGTCTTCCGCCATCATCTGGAAGAGAATAATCAATCATCATGCGGTGTGCTGAAAGTCAGATATTACTGGGATTGGGTGGGGGAGTCGCGGTCTGCGCTAGCGGCCCAGAGAGCTTGACGAGAGATGCGCAAAACGACCCCTTGACTGCCAGCGACGCTGGAACACGGAAGTCTAGATCTGAACGTATTCAAATATTGCCAGTCCCGGACCCACGAGTCTCACTACCATCTAGTTATCCGTTAATGCAATAGTGAGGGTCAAGCTTGCATCCTTACCTCAGTCCCGAATCCCGATGTGTTATGTTAGGCTGTGTCCTTCGACCTTTTGTACTTCATAGCTGATTTCTCCTGTTTCGTAGGGGCCAATGGAGACATGATTTTAGCGTCACCTAATGGGTGCGGGACGAATTCAGCTCTCCATCGAACAATGATCGATGATTACTCAGAGGTACTGTATCATGCATAACACGCGTATGTATGGTGAGAGTTGTAAGTGAGTTCGTTTATACAGGTGCGTCTTTGATGCTTTATCCTCGTATTCTTCACAACTGGTTCTGCAGATTAAGCACCTCAGTCTTGTTGTCTGGCAACATGCGCAGTTTCTGAGGTGCGACTTTAACACAACACACAAAGACCTAGATACTGACATGTGCATATGCACACAGTATATATCTTGTGGACTTAATGCATGAGTTACGATGATATTACCTGCTTGTCAAGGATTGCAACTTGCGCGTGTGTCTCGCAACCAAGGCTGACCTTCTACTGCGCTATGAATTTTTCGCTCCTTCCCATGCACCCATCTTCCGAATCGAACTGATAGGAACACGCATATCGATCGATATCGTAAAGTTTTGGAGTCGTCAGAAGGGAGTCTCATAGTGGACAATGCCATGGAACATACATATGACGCGACTTCATTGAGGTGGTTTCGAGAGATAGCATGTTGAAACTCCGAAGCATTTAACATTTTAACGTTTCACCATCAACTCACTCTTCCCAATTACATCTGTCCCCTCACAGATTTCTATATACCAATCTGCTTCATACGAAAACGTGTTATTTAGTCTGCTTTCATATCATGATCCTCATAGCGGTGCTAGGAGAAGCGCCAGTCCCTGAGTGCAACTTCGGGAGTTCCATGGAGAAACATAATTTTAGCCCCACCAAAGCCCCACCGTAATCCGAGGGTGTTTAGGTTTGTGACCAACGTGGTACAGACTCGGACACAAGACCTATTCCAGACCTCAGAATCGATCGACGTGGGCTTGCAGATGGAAGTCAATCCAGACTGGCTGAAAATTTAACTGTCCTAACTCGACCCAACGTAGACTTGAGTTTCCACCTTTCTCTCAACCGGGTTAACGCTCATAACCCAATGATATACACCTTCTGAAAAGACAACCCGACCCTCGAGTTTATATAAGGTGAGTTCCTTTGTTCTTTGTTTCATCAAGTCCCTTTGACCAGAACTATCATGTAACCTCAACAGCCTATCCCATCGCTTACCTGTCGCAGCTGCTTTCAATAGCTAACTGGTCATGCATGTCTCAACGGTCGTGAGCTCTCTGGCGCAAGTCATGGTCCCCAACTTTCTTTCATGGGCTCTTTAGTCTTAATGATCAACCGCGTTGTCGATGAGTGGCAACTATTCAAGGGAAAGGCATTGGAGTAAGGACCCCTAGGCAGAGGGTGAGAGCGAAGAGGAGGTTCCGCGGTGTTTGAGTTGGGATTAGCCGAGCAGAGCACAACGTTGTCAGAGCAATCCGAGGCAGTAGCAGGTCAGATCTTCGTTATCCGCTGAGAATTTGATTTTAATGAGTAGTCGTGTACAGCAGGTTTCATCAGTGGCGTTGACATTTGTTACCCGCCTTCATGCATATGCTGCCCATGATGGTGACCTAGGTCTAGCGACTGGGTTAATTTCTCGTCTCCGCAGTGAGGGTGGCCCACAGTGTGTTTCCGTGACTAATGGCGTTTCAAACTCTAAGCCTTCAAAGCAAAAATTAAGGACCGACACGATATTGAGCATTGAGCACATGCGAGTCAACCTACAATGTGTCGATCAAAGCTAATTATATAGAGCTGGGCGGTGCTCTAAATCGAGTAAGTACCTATGACTATGCTCTTGATCAGTCAGGCCCCAACTATTATAATTCTTATCAACCTCCGTCCTGCACGGCTGATGTTATGTAAATCAACCAACCAGTGACACGTTCCACATGATCATCCAGCTAAGCATCATACTAGTGTCGCCAATCCTTACACCCATCTCGACGGGCTTCTAGCTCATTCATAAAAGACAAGAAAAGCCCTGTATGGTGTGCACGCGAAACCTGTTTCTTTGCCACTCGAACGAAAGCAGATGGATCCTTCAGCTGACGATGTCCAAGTCGCAACAGCCTGGAATCTGCATTACCTAGCGGTACGTCGCTTCCCTAATACGAGGGCAAGATATTAACGGATACTCGTCATGCCCGACCAACAGTGTACATGCGGTGCGTGCGGTCTGAACTGCTTCTCCCTCCCCTCGTTCTAACTCAACATCTCAGTGACGCTGGCTACATTTTGGGTAGGCTTGTCTCAATCTATTCCCGTTTGCCGTTAAACCTGTATATCCAGACCTATGATTACATTAGTTCACTTCACGAAGAGGTAAGTCATGCACTTGTTCCACTACACGCCTCGCTTTGGATACTAATAACATACTGTTCAAAGTGGACATTCCTGCTTCGGTCACGTTGGACTAAGCTAAAAGCCCTTTATATCATTGCACGATATATCCCCTTTTTCTTCATCGCCACGGACCTATATAGTGTGTTCATTCCAAGCAGTGAGCATAGATGAATTGACATGTTGCGTTTCAGTGATCTTCACCCCGAACGAGAACCCAGATGTATGTGAGACTTACCCATCAATGTATAATGCTTACTGCATGAATTTGCCAGAAATGCCGGATGTTGATCAATATTTACTCATGTACGTGCACGGTATATGTGACTGCACTTCCTGGCCGAGGGCTGATCTTTCCTCTCACAGGTTTGGGAGTGATATCACTCACTTGCTCTGAATGTATCTCCCCTTTCCCTACGACACACACGTACTCCTGATCTGACCCGTGCAGGCTTTTTTATACTCAGAACATATGCGCTTTGGAACAAAAATCGAATTGTACTCGTAGCCATGCTGTCCACCCTTTTCGTGAGTTCCATGCCACCTTGATCCCCACTCTCGTGGTTGCAACGTTTACGAATCACTCAGGCTATCATGGTATCATTCATCGGCATTTGGTTTACCGCTGTTGCCACCTCTGATGGTTTGTACTTTCACCTTCCTCCGCTAATGTTCGCATATATTGATTCCACTTTCACAGTCATAACTAGCACGATCCCAGGTGCTGTAGGCTGCTACCGGAGCTCGAGCAGTGTCTATTTCTTTGTATCATTCCTTCTCTTATTTGTGCTTGCAGTGGGTATGTCGCTGGGAATTTAAAACATACATTACAGACACGTGCTGACCAACGCACTCCCCAGTATTGGTCTTTCTCACACTCATACCCATCATACAGAGCTGGCAGAAAGCAAAGGGACACCTGCATTCCATCCTGGTGAAGCATAACATGTTTTACTATGCATGCAGTTTGTGTGAGTCAAAGTTTAAATATTTTTCCGTGCTTATCGACGATGATTATTGTTCCGAAAGTCCTCTCAGCCGTGAACGTCCTCATGCCAGTGCTGTCTTCCTATGTTGTGAGTAGACGCTATACCCTTCAATGTGATTGAGCCGTTGATGTTCCGCACACCAGTCCATGAACTTCTTCGAACGGTATGCACTTTCCACTTCCGCTAAGAATTCATATAACACCCCCAAAAACCTATAGTTTCCAGGCCCTTATCCTCGCGATCCTCGCCACGCGCATGCACCTCGATCTCTGGCGTAACAACTGGCACGCGCACGACTCTGATTCCCTTGAATGTATTTCCATGTCCGACAGGTTACCTGAAGACCCTACGGTGTAACGTCTTATCCTGCAGCTTATTCGGCGTGTTGGTGAAATGTGGTTTAGATTCTTTTGGACTCTTAGACTACGAGATGACTGGTCCGGATGTCGTGGTCGCGTTTTGGACGTCCTTCAATTTTTAGAATAAATTTTGTCAGGGCAAAGGATCCGACGCAAGGAGATAAATCGAAATCTGAAGGGTAAGAGTCAGTAACAGCACCACGCTATTAATATTCCCGTCCTTCATGGACTCTATCGGGAGTCTGTTTCGACTCTCAGTCTGAACTGCCACCCAGCACTCCAGCACTCTCCCTTCAATATTACATTGACCAGGGCAAGACTCGTGGTCATTTGGATACTGTAAGCAATTATGGCAGAGATGGGGAAATACTGACACACGATGTTACACTGCAATTTCTCATGTCAATCACCTCAATTTCTTCCCTGCAGTGACACTTGACTATGTCTCCGTTCTTTTAGTCAATGGTACGTACGAAATTGCAAACAATTTTTTTATCAACTACGTTCGCTCTCTCAGCGTGCATAGCTCCAGGAAATACTATGAGCCGCCAATCGTACTTGATGATCTCGCGAAAGAAAGCGCTGGCTCTACCCCTGCACGTACGAGCTTGCACTCGACAGTTGTAAATTGACCACCTTTGGAATTACGAATTAATAGGAACGGCTGTTCAGCTCACCTTCCCATTTAAAAACACTACGATTTCGTATGTTTGTGATGATGGAGTATTCTGCCATGACTTCGACATATTTGTTAAATCCACTGGATACATCAGAAATTGATCATCTGAGGATAACTACTAGTAAAATCTCCGCCGCGGGCATACCTATATCGTTAGATTAAACCGGGCACTAAGTGGTGGTGCGGGCAATACGAAAACAGTCGATATTTGCTTGCTCTGTCATTCCAACATCGCTTAACTCGTTGTAATTCCCTCGTGGAGTCAATTCCGCTGGGAGCACCTCGAACTCTCTCCATCAGTTGGTGCCTAGCCGTTTTGAATTGGATCGGTAAAATAGCAAAATACATGAGACAAGCGAATATTATTAATTTTCACATCTTTAAGAGAGTAAATTCTCGCCGTGGCTGTAACAAGGTTTCCGTCGCATACAGGGGGCATATCAGACTATGACAAAACACAATTTGAAGATCTTACAGTGAATGCAGATTTACAGAAGTTCCGAAGTATTCAAGACCTTGAGGGGTTTCTGACCAGAAGGGTATCACGAAATCATACAAGGATGGAGCTCTATGGTCGACATGGAACCTCTGCCAAATCGGGGTTGCCACTAGCAGTAAGATGCCACTAGTACTGTAGGTCATTGTCCTTGTGCATCAGAAAATGTCTCACTCCGAAGTGCAGTGAAAGTTTGCAGCCAGCCATGAATAGAAAACAACTCACCCGTGTAGTTGGTGTGGATCGTGTGTGGTTAATGCCCACACGTGCGATAAGGTATATAAGGTCGCGAACAGCTCGCTAAAAATAAGTTGCAAACCCACTTACCACTCAATACCTCACTTGCCACCAAACCTGCCTACTGGCTCATAGTTTACTGTGTGCCACAAGCCACAAAATCCTACAGCGGCCGGTCTTTGCCTGGTTCCAAGAGGCCTTGATCACGAAAGTCTGTCCATTCCTGTCAAAGCACGGCCTCGCCGGGCCCCGTGATTCGAGCTGGTGCTCGGGAGGACCGGCCATGCATTTGTTTTCGGCATCGCTGCAAGCAAACGCAAGGGACGGTCCTATCAGGCTTCACCATCGTTGCTGGCACCCAGCGCATTGGCACAGCATAGGTGACAGTATGCGCAAATACTGCTGAGCCCTTCTGAACGGCATCGCCCCAAATTTTCAAGGTTCGCCGAGAGTGAATATCGTATCAGATTATCAAAGTACAACCACGAACTTACTATGCGCCACGGCTTATAGGAGATAAGCAGGCCGTAATGAGGCTTGCGCCCAAGGGTGAGATCTTGAGACTCGAAGGATCCAAGTCTGCTGTTTCTGCGCAAGCCCGGTTCTATCAAGCTTCATTATCCTCGCTGGCAACTCCATGTTGCAATTGCAACACGGGACTGCCCAGCGGGGGTAGGCGGAGGAAGTGAGCACCGTGGCAAAGTACACGGTATGCACAACTATGTTATTACATAAACTGCTGCTTCTAGTGAGCATCAATTGTCATATCGTATCATATCGTACGACCGATAACTTATCACATGCATGGCACAGCCTACAGCGCATAATTAAGCCCTATGAGGACCAGCCTTGCACTGATGAGTCGACGGGCACCTTCGATTTTCGGAGGTCATTGCCGTGTAGCATGAACTAGAATGTAGATAGTCAAAATCGCGCGGACGAACAAGGACTAGTTAACGCACAGCTGCGTCGAATAGCTTCTTGATATTCTGTGGTGAAGATCAGTGAATAAAGACTGTTTAAAACCTCGATGCATCAGCGTACCTCTGGAAGAATGGATTATGGATGAGCTCCGAGCCTCCCGTATCTGATTTTCAAACAATAGCAACCTAATCTCGCCTTTCAAAAACCGACGATATTCAAATCGAAATCCCCACGGGTTGTAATCAGATGAAATGTGTATAAGCATTGAGAGGCGAAGTCACCGCGAGTCAAATTGAAGTGAAACTGCAAGTGTGAGGGGGCCGAGAACGAACCGAACCAGGGTCCAGCACTTGGGTGTGTATCAAAGCCTACGTGTCTCGGAGCATTATTCGCAGGAACGGAGAAGAGGAAAAGACACGGGTGTTTTCCTAATTAACACACCCGTATACGGGTACCCGCCCTGAATGGACAGTATTGGGTTCAAGGGGCGCGTGCTGTTTGAGTTGTCGTGTGTGACATGCATTGCAAATAAGCGCACGTTTGCGTGCCACCGCATCTGTAAAGCATCTCATAGTTCGGTGTATTGATGACATGAGATGTATTCTTGCTAGCAGAAAACAAAGTTTTCAGTCACAGGCAATACCCGAAGTAAATTTTTTACTTACACGGCATCAAGCAATACACCTAAAAGATGAAAGGGTTGCTACTGCTCGCTCGTCATGTCACAGTTCAAAATGTGCCTCCGCTACCTCCAAGTAATTTACCGAGACGAAGGATTTACTCTAATTAGCACAGAAACGCGTGGTTACTTACTTCGTGGTGGCGGCAGTACTATGTCGGTATTGTCACTGGCTCACAAACCCTGGCCAAGAGAATCAACCTCATTGTCAGGGCCGCCGCGGACTCATTAAGTCAATAGTCTGGAACCTGAATCCACGCTGTTCGGTGTCAGCCGGAGAGTAATGATAGGCATCAGGCATAATTGATGCGTGGCATAGTTGCAAAGGATAATGGATTTCCCTGAACCGGGCCACATTGGAGTGCGCAGTGATCAAAAAGAAGTTGGAAATGCTATGATCAAATTTTTGCTGTGGCCATCCAGTGGAAGTGTGCGAATTCATTTCGCAAAATTCCGTAAATATTGTTCACTGAGGAATGATATCGTCGATCAGGATTCAGTGCGACCAGCTCGTCGTTGTGGACGGCGACCGAAACCCCACGCGCACGTCTCTCTGACTGACTCAATTTTTCGCCCTTATATTCTCAAGACCTTATACATTAATAGGCTCCGACGGTTTGGACCCGCTTACTTGAACTTCCCAGAAGGTCTGCCAGCTCAGCACGCAAAATGACGAGCACTAGTACATTTTCACCATTATTTACATCTTCTTTTCCCGGTACACCTACCGGTGCAATCAATGGTAGTAGTACGAACAGTACTACTAGTGCCGAACCCAGCTTAACTTCGAGTGCTGCCTTGTATCGTGAGTCTAATTGATTGTTATGGTGACATGGCTCTCACACTGCTTTTCCGACGTTTCCCTCACTCCTCTACCTTCAACTTCCTACTCGTGTGTTTGTGGTACACTAACTCGTTCCTGTGGTTCCGGAATTTCTTCGCTTGTGTTATTCAACTGCCCGAACCGGTTCGGTTACCTGTGCATGAAATCATATTACCCAAACTCATCCCCATAATACCAAAATGATCAATTCGCCTTTCACAGTTTACACCTTCCTTGGTGCGTCTCTCTTGTTCCTTGCTTTCACTACCATTGACGATTCGCGATGTCTACCTCCACTCAAAATCCTATGGCTTCTACATCTATGTCATATACGGCGCTAATAGCTACACTCGTCCTTCTCCTCGCTGTTTCATCCGCCATTGTTATCCGCAGCCTTGTACTTCGACGACGTCACCAACGCATTGTAGAAGAAGCTATCCGAGCAGGGACATGGCTCCCTCACCAACCGTATGATACAAGAGGGAGTCGCAGACGAAGAGACATTGGAAAGAAACCGAAGTTGTGGGAAGCATGGCTTCGGAGTGGTGATGAGGAAGGCCCAGCGGACATCAAATGTGCTTGGGATGACATAATGGTATGCTTCTCTCGTGCAGAACGTCCCGCGAGTGCTGTCGCTAACTTCATGTCACAGCCCGTTTACGCCGCTCATATCAAGTCTTCTTCAAGTGCACGGTCCTCGAGGTCACAGTCACCGCAAACACGATCTGACGCGTCGTCTCGCACGATGCGCTTCCTACGATCTTACCGTACACCATTTTCACCAGCACCGGCGACGTCATCTCCGATTATTCCTTCTACACCTGTATCTTCATCTCCGTCAACATCGGCACCTTATTCCGTAAGCGTAGCTGTCCTCATTGCAATGCCCAGACAATATCACGCACGGGATGCGGATGGACCACCTGTCATTGAGCTTGGCGTCGTCCATGTCCCTCTCCGAGACATGAGCCCAAGCGGTGACCAGCCATGACAGGCACTCACGGTGGTTCTGGGCTATGTATGTATACTTATTGTTTCTAGCGCTATTATTTAATACAGCATGCTACATCAACATGTATAGATGTTTATGTACTTTTAACTGCCACCTCATCGCCATGCATTCTGTCGAAGCGCAGACACTCCATCACTTACGTAGGCGTTGATCGGTTTGTCCTTAATATAGCTGTGTTGGATCAAAGTGGCGCGTTAATGCTTTCTGGGATGGTCGCCGTCTTGTGCTGCAAGTGCAGCAATCAAACGGTGTAACCGAGAACGGGATAGTTCATGAGTCCGAATGAATACTTGTTGGTGACTGCACTGTTTATCTTATCGATGTACTTACATGCTTCAGCCTCGAGGACATGGAGCGATGATGTTGATGGAGTGTCATTGTCAATTGAAATGATCTGCGCCTCGTGTCTGTCCGATACATTGAATGATGTCATTTCATATGAACTGGCTCAGTGTCAGACTCACCCGCGGTGAGTTCTCCACCAATCAATTTCAAATGTTGCTCAGGAGTACCCAGTCATAAACTATTTATGCTATCATCAAAGGAAACAGGAGACCTTCTATGGTGCTGCGGACAGCTCTAGATCTGCCCTACTGCTGATATCGAGTTTCAACACGGAACTTGGAAGCCTGACAAACACTATGGAGCTGAAGGCGACTTCACATGCTCCAATGTTATCAATACTGGAAAAAGTTAATGGGCTTGCGCTTGAACGGCAGACATGAGAAACTCAGTATCGCAAGTTTGCCATTCCAGCGCAAGCCTAACCCCGGAAATACGAGTAATGCTCACTTACGCGTATGTACGGTGTAAACTGTAGCACATGTAGTGAGTGATCGATTGGATGATGACAACACACGATGCTTACCTCCGAAAACAGTACTAGATCATTGGCATCAATGCCGAACTGAAAAGAAAAACAGTTCTTGCAGACTCGGACATACCTACTAGTCGTGCATGCCGTGAGCGGTGCCTTGCTACGGCGCCCAATACATTCACGTACCCTCCCTGGACAGTTTTTGATTGCGACATGCATTCCAATACTCCTAGAGAGGGTAATGAAGGACGGGACCGGCCCGGCTTACGCTGCCACGGACATACAGTAGATCAACTACTATCTGCACGTCACAGCGCAATTCCCGTATTCACGCTCACTCATGCCCTGCAAGGAACCTATGGCACGCAGTAAGTCATAAAAGTACGACATATGGCATTTACCTTTGATTGAAAAGCTACCTGGCAGAACACCGAGATCCCTGTCATCGTGCCCAGCTCCTCCACCTACCCTCGCTGGAAAGCATTGTGTTGCGCCTATGCACCATAATGCCTCCAGCGAAGATAATGAAGGACAGGACTGGGCTTGCGATGACACGCGCAGACAGTGGATCTAAATGCCGACCAGAAGCTGCAGTATTGCGCAGAGGTAGTAGCTGCCCTGCAAGGAGCAGTAAGTCATAAAAGTACGACATATAGTATTTACCTTTGAAAAGCCACCTGGCAGAACATCAATATCCTTGCCATCGTGCCCAGCTCCTCCACCTACCCCCGCTGGGAAGTATTGTGTTGCGTCCTTCACTATACCTGTCCCAGCGAAGATAATGAAGGACAGGACCAGGCTTGCGATGACACGGGCAAACAGTGGATCTAAATGCTGACCAGAAGCTGCAGTATTGCGCAGAGGTAGCTGCGCATGCTATCCTTGCGTACCACTGCAATGTCCGACAGGACCGTCCTTGAGTTTATTCTCGAGGGTCTGAAATGGAAAGAGAGTATGGGGTGAGTGCGTTTGCAACTGATGTTTTTCGTGAGCTGTTCGAGAACTTACTATTTGCACATCCCAGCGCAATGCCGGTGTTCACACTCTGCAAGGAGCCTGTGGCACGCAGTAAGTTATCGGTTGGTGACATATGACATTTACCTTCGAAAATACCCCTGGCATAACACCGGAATCCTTGTCATCGTGCCCAGCTCCTCCACCTACCCTCGCTAGGAGATTTGGTCGAAACATGTCTTCCTGTTCTTCCTAGCGAGAGTAATGAAGGACTGGACTGGGCTTGCGATGACACGCGCAAACAGTGGATCTAAATGTCGACCAGAAGCAGCAGTATTGCACAGAGGTAGTTGCGCATGCTATACTTCTGTACCACTGCGCCAGATACCAATGGAAACGATAGTAATGCCTGACAGGACCGTCATTGCGTTTATATTCGAGCCAAGTGCCGGGTTTGAAACGGGAAGAGAGGTATGAGGTGAGTGGGTTTGCAACTGATGTTTTTCGTGAGATGTTCGTGACCTTATATACCTCTGGCAGGTGTGGACATTGACCACACACGATCCACACCAACTGCGTGGGTGTATTGTTCTCTAATCATTGTTTGACTGCAAGCGTTTGTGTGAGACATTTGCTAACAATGATGTGGCTAAACCACACTGCTAATGGCGCAAAATTCGCAGAGGTTTCATATCGACAATAGAGCATCATCTTTGTCACAACGATTTCATGATAAGGTCTATGAGGGATGCTCAATTCTAAAATGTCGTTGTCGTTTCACATAGATTTAGATTTGTTTGTGTTTACAATAAATTAATTTACTTCATTTCCGCCTCCGCAAATGGTCCCGAGCCCGGATGTCAGCCCGGCTTGCCTCTTGGTCAAGTGAACTGTTGAAATCTTTCGCTGAGCACTGAGCAATGAGCTACTACTATGCAGCTGGTCATGACACTGGTGAAGACAATCCACATCAGTTTCAGAATCTAGGCCAGCATCAACAGCAGTAAATCACTCACCGATATTCGTAGCGAAAATCGCGATCTGGCCAGCTCATTGATATGTCAAAGAATTCCTCACACTTCTGCCACTGGTTGTAGGGACCGCGGGAATCGGGTCCAGATAGCATTAACGAGAGTGCGCGAAGGCCCACACTTGTCCCATGAAAAAAGCGGGACATCCTTTGGTTGACTTCGTCATCAAAATCTTGATCTGGGGAGAAGACCTGCTGAAGAATGTGTTGTGACTGCTTGGACACAGCCAGTGTACTGGTTAAGATTGAATGTAATGTGAGGACGTCCCTATAATCCTGTTTTCGTCGCTGTGCACGAGGCATGTTGACGGCAGTTCGACGCTGAGTGTTGAACGTTTGGTCGTTGATTTGATGGTTGATAACGCGGTGTTCCGGCCAAGCGGCTGAAGAGTGCCACCGACCGGTCCCAAATACGGATTAGTAAGGCATCGGCAATCAGTGCCGTACCTGTGTCTGAACGACAAACGACAACGACATTTTAGAATTGAGCATCCCTGTACACACCCAGATTTCTCACTCGCTGTATCAAATGAGTCTAAGTATATGGTGTTAACTCAGGGATGCTCAATTCTAAAATGTCGTTGTCGTTTGTCGTTCAGACACAGGTACGGCACTGATTGCCGATGCCTTACTAATCCGTATTTGGGACCGGTCGGTGGCACTCTTCAGCCGCTTGGCCGGAACACCGCGTTATCAACCATCAAATCAACGACCAAACGTTCAACACTCAGCGTCGAACTGCCGTCAACATGCCTCGTGCACAGCGACGAAAACAGGATTATAGGGACGTCCTCACATTACATTCAATCTTAACCAGTACACTGGCTGTGTCCAAGCAGTCACAACACATTCTTCAGCAGGTCTTCTCCCCAGATCAAGATTTTGATGACGAAGTCAACCAAAGGATGTCCCGCTTTTTTCATGGGACAAGTGTGGGCCTTCGCGCACTCTCGTTAATGCTATCTGGACCCGATTCCCGCGGTCCCTACAACCAGTGGCAGAAGTGTGAGGAATTCTTTGACATATCAATGAGCTGGCCAGATCGCGATTTTCGCTACGAATATCGGTGAGTGATTTACTGCTGTTGATGCTGGCCTAGATTCTGAAACTGATGTGGATTGTCTTCACCAGTGTCATGACCAGCTGCATAGTAGTAGCTCATTGCTCAGTGCTCAGCGAAAGATTTCAACAGTTCACTTGACCAAGAGGCAAGCCGGGCTGACATCCGGGCTCGGGACCATTTGCGGAGGCGGAAATGAAGTAAATTAATTTATTGTAAACACAAACAAATCTAAATCTATGTGAAACGACAACGACATTTTAGAATTGAGCATCCCTATGGGCTGGTCGGAAATCAGTGTCTCAATCCTGCAAGACTTTGTCAAGGTGTCAACTTATAGTCTCGGTCATCGATAGCAATAGATTAGAATTAAATTAAATTAGGACAATACTAGAACATTAGATACTAACGCTAGCTTCAAAGGAAACGGCGACCGCGATGAACGGGACTGGAAGCACCAGACTGACAAGGGCAGATACGGGTCTCGGCGAGTTTCAAGCAAGGATGTAGAAAAATAAAATAAAACTTGCGACGCACCAAAAACCAGTCTCTGCACCCACCAAATAGTATGCGCGGCGTGTGCAGAAAAATAGTCAAAATTTGTGTAGACGAGAAAGCCATTGTGCTAATGACCGGGTTGAACTTGCTAGCCCAGTGAGCCGGGAGCATGGGGGCTGAGTAACACTGAACATGCATCACCACGAAGAATCAGCATCGTCAATCGTGAAGACAATAGTCTAGTAGTACACGTGTCAGTACAATATTGTCAATTCATATTCAATAGTCGTGCGCCACGAGAGGTGACAGACGCACGTCGTTGCAACTCGGTGACTAATACGAGCGTCAAACAAGTGGACTCCGAGCTTGCCATTCTGAGTCACTTCGCACACCCGGATATCGTAACCAGCGGAACCCTTTTGTTTGTCGAGTTCCACAAGTAAACAAGAGCGGAAGGGAACAAAATCAAGCCCGGTCCTATCGATATGAAAGCAGCTGTAAAGAATCAGCGCTTCAGAGCTTTCGCTCAGGGCCAGGCCGAATATGGCAAATCATCGTGGCTGGCTTTCCGAAATTGTGAGTTGCGTCAGCCAATCAAAATCGTTTATCGTTCTCCCACTCCACACCTGTAGTTCCTCTACAATTTAGAGCACGATCGCAAGCACACGCAGCAATACAGCGTTCGGATGTCGTAATACCGGCAACATATTCAACGGTGGTTGCAGGTCCTTCAAATGGTCAAGCTTGAAGCTTGATGTCTACTACCTCCTGCAAGTCCGAATCGTGTCAGTGTGCTGGTATACTGGCCCCATAATGTAGTGAACCAAATTAGGCTACGTTCGACCTGGTACTCAATCACTATTAGGCTTCATAATCATGAAACTTGGATGAAACACTTGTTATTTACTTACAAGGTGAGCACAATAACAGGGTGTCCATGCCACCTCCCGTTGGCAGGTGCCCCGCAGTCGCCCTTCAGACAACAATGTGGTTGCGTCATCTGTCAAACTTACCTTGATGCAAGCAGCAACTTGACTCAACTGTGCCAAGAATTTTGTGGGGCGCAGCAGGAGAGGTCAAGTAACACATGAGACATGTGTTTATGGTATCGTTGGGGGGCTATAACGGTCAATGATCAATAATTGACATGTAGTGCGATAGTATCAATGTAACCAATTGATGGCATGGTGATTTTTAGTGCCGTGTTCCTTTGAATTCTGGACTGCGTGCGCAGGTTGAATATCACATGCTGTATTCTGATGGAACAACACCACGAGGCATGAAAGAAACACCGTGAGAACAGGATGGATATTTCGGCACGTTGCAATTCAACGGACCACGGTCTCGACACCCAAGTTCCTTGTGCGAATAAGTCCTCTGCACGTCTATAGCTACATGATTGCATCCACGTCCATCTTCTGCGAGATACGCCTCATATCTGGTGATTCCCTCTTCGCTCTGTCTCTTTCACCATTGACTCGACAGTCACTCTGCACCTCGTTCCATTGACATCACCTTTACCTCGAGCACAACACCTCTCTCGTCGAAGCCCCACATTCAGATGTTCACCGCAATGGTCCGCTCCTGTAACCTATGCCATTTTTCAGCCTCAAGCCACACTAATGTCAATAGCGATGTCCTTGGTCAAAGTATGGTCCCGTCGCCTTCAAGGCTTCTCTACACTATAGATCTGTCAGCCTATCCATGCAGTGCCACCTATAATGGATATTCCTCTTCCGCAGGGTTCAATTTGTGATTGAATCCGGTAACGGTTACAGCTTCCCAAAAACATCGTTCGTCAATCATCGATGCATCCTTCACCGAACGAGAATCCAATTGGATGCATTTTCGCCTTATTCTTTCTTATTCCTCGTTGCAGGCAAGATAATCCTTCCCCCATGACACTGTCAGCTCAATTGGACCAGTCGTATGTAATCATTCGTCTTTTCTTTGCGCGCCGTTTTCAGCGATATAGACATTTTTTGCCTCTGTCATTACCTCACAAAATATACTCAATTCTACATTTTGCCTTTGCGTGCTAACTAAGTAGTACCATGCAAGTCCAGGAGCAGCAATCACTCTGAGACTCGCATGTCCCTTTCAATGTTGGTAGACCACTTTCGACGCGAACTGTTCATGCCATAATTGCCATTCTCTACTTTAACACAGATTCTTCTGCTAGTCCTTGTCGGTGATCTCCATTCCCAGCGCTTGTGCGATCAGACCAGCGTCTATCGTGCCGAACATCATGGAAATACACGTGCAGCGTGACCTGAACCCTACTAGTAGGTCTCATCTCCCACTCAGCCGAACTCTATCTGCAGTCCCCATATCATTACCCCCATCTTCCCTTCCCATCCATTCCGTCCACCACTCTACCCATCATCGATCCTCGTCATTTTGCTCCATCGCAACATCATGGCTGGCAGCTCAGAAAGCCGATATATCAGACTTGAAGGCGAGTCTCTATACTATCTCCGTATCTGTTTCGTGATCCTCACACTCTATCTACAGTCATCAGCGGAAAGAATCTTCAAGTCCCGTCCGAGCGCATTCCCGCTGGCATTTACGTGTCCATCAATGTCGACTCGAGGAGACGCTGGAGATCGGCCATCAGTGTCCTGTCATCTGATGAATCTGTAGCGTGGAGCGATTCTGTAACTCTGTAAAGTTCATGCAGATCTTCTGACGTGATGGAAGAACTGATCATTTATAGACTATCAAATGCCTCGCCTGCATTGTCAATAGAGATCAGAGCATCCTATGAGCTTGGTCGAATGCTAGGCGGTGGAGAGATCATCGGGGAACTTGAAATGTCGTGGGATGAGCTACTCGATCATGGAGATCACCCATTTGGTGAGTGATTCGCTTCCCATTCATGCACATATGCTAACATCTCGTAGATCTATCTTGCCCAGCCGTGCGCGGTGTTCAACCTTCCATCACACTGAAGATTGCTGTTGTACATGCTTGGGACGATCAAAATGGCGCACTGTTTGATGTGAGCGACCCCGGACTCTGTCCTGTTAGTTTTGCTGACGGAACGCCAACTATAGCCCCTCGTAGACTGCGAGATTGCTCGAGACGCAGATGCGGGCCACGCACAATTTGCCTCATACATGAAAAGCAAGAATGTCTCTGACTTGAACGATGCTACGGAGCATTTTCAGTTGGTTCTGAACCAGTGTCCGGTCGGCCATCCAGACCGCGCAACGGCTCTCACCAACCTCGCGTGGGCCTACCTTCAAGGCTACATCCGAAATGATGTTGAAGACATTGATACCACCACTTCCCTCTTCCGCGACGCCCTTGCATTGCGTCCGCAGCACCATCCCGATTATCCCTTATCCCTATATAATCTCACCGAAGCGCTGGCTTGGCGCCACATCAGGAAAAGTACTGCTGCAGACATATGCGAAGCGGCCCAACTCTATCATGAGCTACTGCCTCTCTGTCCAGAGGGCACGTACCTTCGTAGCATCATAGCAGGGAAAAATGGTATCGATTATGTAATCGATGAATGCAACAATCTTCCAACAGACGCATCCGATGAAGGCATCCACCTTCGAAGAGTCGTCTTCGAGCTCTGTCCTCTGGGCCATCGATTTCGTCCCAAAACCCTCGGCATGCTTGCACATGCAGTTAGTGCAAGGTTTGATCAGCACGGCAGCATCGATGATCTTGACACGAGCATACAGCTTCGTCGTGAAGCCGTGTCTCTGTGTCCTGAGGGACACGCTGGCCGTGATATCTACCTGAACAACTTGGCCATTTCACTCGGGTCCCGCTTTCGGCACCAAGGCAATCCTAATGATCTCGATGAGGCCATATCTTTGCACGAAGAAGCGCTGCACCTGCGCCCTGTTGGGCATGAATCTCGCGATTGCTCACTGGACAGCCTAGGGGGCGCCCTCGTCCACCGTTTCAACGAACGCGGCGATGTTGAAGACATGACCCACGCTACCAGCCTCTATCGCGAGGCACTGACGTTGTGCCCACCTGGGCATCCATATCGTGACACCACGCTTCACAACCTTGCCCACGCGCTCAAAACTAGATATAACAAATCGAAAGTCAGAGATGATCTTAACGAGGCCATTGATTGGTATCGAGAATCCCTTCGGGTAAGGCGGCTCGACCATCCAGAGCGCCATAGAACTCTTTACAGTTTGAGCTCGGCGCTCTGCTCTCGTTTTACGCAAGCTCAGAAGAATGAAGATGTTGAGGAGGCCATTGCTCTTTGCCAAGAATCATTGGCAGCTCTATCTTCACTGCACCCAGACAGGTACTTCAGCTACACGTGGCTGCAAGAGGCCTATTTGTCTCGTTACCGGATTCTACACGACCCTGCTGATTTGTCTCTTGCAGTGGAGAACTTCAGACGGGCGTCAAGGCACCCTACTCAAGGATTTCCGGAACGCATCCTGGAAGCTATTGACTGGGCTTGCCAAGCAGAAGTCTATCAACATGAGTCTGCCCTAGAAGCATACCAAGTGTGCTTTGAGCTTTTCGACAGCCATGTCATGACACGATCGTCGATCATCTCACGGCGTGAAGCTGCAACCGCTGTTCGTGGTGCACAATCACTTCCTGTAGATGCAGCCTCGTGCGCCATACGTCGTGACAATCTACGACACGCAGTTGAACTCGCAGAGCAAGGTCGTGGCCAGCAGTGGTCCCTGGCATCTCGACTCAGGAATCCAGTTGAAGATCTTGAGTCAGCAAATCCAGCACTGGCGCGCAATTATTTGGAGCTGAGCAAGCGCGTTTCCGATGCCGCTCAGAGTTCTACAACAATCAGCGACAGAGCTGGTGCTGATCGGGCAGCGATAGAGTACAGGAGACTTACAAGGCAATGGGAAGCTGTGGTTGCTGAAATTCGTGATTTTCCGGAGTTTTCACGGTTCCTACTCCCACCTCTGTATGCAGACCTGCAAGCGGCAGCGCGCCAGGGCCCGGTCATCATCCTAATTGCGAGCCAATACTCATGCAGCGCCATCATCATTCCGACGTCAGGAGCCCCCCATCATGTTCCCTTGCCGTCTGTTGCTCTCGCAGATCTGACAAATCTCAAGGATCGCTTCGCCAGGGCAATACGAGAAGCATCTCAGATGACCCCAAAGCAGTCGAGGACGGATCTCATAGTACTCTCGCGGATAATATGGAACGAGATCATGCTACCCATCGTCAACGTCCTCCGACATGATCTGAAACTAAAATACTACTCTCGAATCTGGCTGTGTCCAACTGCAGCTTTCACATCTATTCCTCTCCACGCAGCTCACCCGTTTCGAACCAACCCAGATGGCTCTAGGGAGCCATGTCTGGAGGATTTCTATATCTGCTCTTACACGCCCACACTTTCGGCTCTGGTCAGATCCAGACAGATGATGAAGAAGCGTGTCACTCCATCCTTCGTGACAATCGGACAGGGTCAACCGGGTGCAGGGAAAGGCAAGGCGCTCTTGGCCGTCGACAGCGAGCTCGAGCTTGTCCATAAGCTCGTCCCTGCGACGGCCAACCGTACTACTATTTCTGGCGACGAAGCCACACGAGCAGGTGCACTCGAAGCTTTGCAGCAAAACAACTGGGTGCACCTAGCTTGTCATGGCAAGCAGGACCCAAAGCAGCCTTACAATTCGCATTTCGTCATGAGAGACGAAGATCTGACGCTGCTCGATATCATGGAGAGAGATATTCCGCACGCCGAGTTCGCGTTCTTATCAGCGTGTCATACCGCCGTCGGGGATGAGGAGACACCCGACGAAGTGATTCACCTTGCAGCTGGTCTTCAGTTTTCAGGGTTCAAGAGCGTCATTGGCACGCTGTGGCAGGTCGACGACTCTGTCGCACAACATGTCGTCAAAGCCTTCTATGAGAACATGTTCAAAGATTTGAAGGATGGAGGTGTGATGGACTGTACGAAGGCAGCCTGGGCACTGAACCGTGCTACGCATGCCGTGAAGACGCAAGTGCCGCTGGAGCAGAGGATGGTTTTCGTTCATATTGGTGTGTAGTTCTACTACCTCGTATTGATGTCGTCTGGTACATATTTACAAGTTGTTCATCTGCGATCTTCTTTCTCACTGTTGTAAGAAACGAGCCCAATATATTCTTGCATTCTAGCCATATATAGTCTACCTATCTCAGTTTTGTATACTCTGTTGTATTTTTGACGACTAAAATGTCCACCAAAATTCTTGTGTACTCGATTCGTTTGCAGCCTTGTCTTCTACTCGAGTACTAGGATTGGGCCAGTCAAGCCTACCAGTCATACTAGGGATCCTTCAAGTTTCAAGAGTCAACTTGTTCTGCACCAGGGAAGATCGATTGACCACAATCAATGCCAAGTTATAAGCAGTGTGTCTGCCCATAGGGGACTAGTAATGTCATTCAGAAGGAGCTCCGACGCAGGTGAGGTGCTCTTCCTAGGCATAGTCAATTCTTCAGCGAGAGAATGAGAGTTAGAAAACATAAAACAGGCGTTATTATAACAGTGCCAGAGATGTCCCACAATGATCGCACACGCTCGTACTAAGTAGAGTAGATACTTGAGTGTCTGAGTCGGAGCTTCAACATTTCGCGTTAACGTTCAGGCCGAATATGGTAAATCATTATTATAAGACGAGTTGCGTCAGCCAATTAAAATCGTTTATCGTTCTCCCAAGGATGGTTCTTCCGCACCTGTACATAGTTCTTCCACAATATTAATTTAGAACACGATCGCAAGAACACGCAGCAACACTCAGCGCTCCAAAATACCAGTGCTCGAATGCTGTACCGGCAACATATTCAATGGTGGTTGCAGGTTCTTCAGATGGTCAAGCTTAAGCTTGAGTGACTAGTACTTCCTGTAAGTCCTCGGAGTCCTATCAGTGTGCTGACTGACCCCATAATGTAGTGAACTAAATTAGGTTACGTTCGATCTCACTATTATAAGGGTTCATAATGGAACACTTGTTATTTACTTACAAGGTGAGCACAATAACAGGGTGTCCATGCCATCTCCCGGTGGCGGGTGCGCCGCAGTCGCACTTCAGACAAAAATGTGGCTGCGTCTGTCAAACTTACCTTGATGCAAGGAGCAACCTGACTCGACCGTGCCAAGAATGTTGTGGGTAATGAAACGCAGCAAAAGAGATCAAGTAACACGCGAGCCACATGTTTATATACTTGGGGAGCTATAACGGTCAATTGACATATAGTGCGACAGTATCAATGTAACCAATGGTATGGTGATTTTTAGCAAAGCTATGCTGCGGATCTGTTTCGCTCACCTGTGCACGGCTAATTATGGACAATATTCATTGTCGTGTTCCTTTCTGGACTGCGTTGCGCAGGTTGAATGTCATATGCTGTAACAGCACCACGAGGCATGAGTTGAGTCAGAACCTGTCTTGCGTCTACAGTCATGGTACCGATAGTGACTCCTATTGCGGTGCCGTGCTACTGCATCCCGCACGACAAAACATGATGGCGTCTACTATGCAGTATAAAACGGTGAGTGTTGAGCATGATTCACTCATTCACTCGTACAAGTTTCCCCAGCCCTTTATAAAAGAGAAAATACAAGCATCATATTTCGCCAGAGCTCTATAATCTTCTTCGCTATTACCACCGAAAATGTTCAAATCATCATCTAAATCATCAAGCACGTCTTCCAACGCATCCTCAGAAGCTCTGCTCAAGTCACAAAAGGACAAGAAGCAGACTTCCCCTGGGCAGTCCCAGCCAAAGGATTATGAAGCAGCCTTTGGAGCGCTTCAAGCGTCGTATGGGTTTGGGTCGTTTCCGGGCTCTACCCGCTCCAGTAAATAGGAGTCTTTGAACGGATGGTGAGTTCGTGTAAATTTGATTTATGATGACGAGACTGATGATTCGGAAGGGTATGAGTGGATAAATGATCAAATTTCTGAGGTCTCTTCTGGGAATAGGGTATACAAGGGCGAGTCGGGGAAGGTGGAGATGAGTCGCGGAATAACGCCAAGGGCTACAACAGTCACGGTGGATGGTGATGTGTTCTCCTTTATGATAATCCAGTCCTGCTACGTAAACCATAAACGTTAAACCACTGCATATATTAATGTAAAACAGTAATGGGGATAAAATGATTGCCAAACAAAAATTGGTATCACTTGAAATCAAGCGTACATACAGAACTCGTGCAGCGTGAGCAATACAAGGGGAAAATCAGAAGTGTGTTAAATTAAATGCCAAAGGATTGTGTGAAAATGGATAGAAAGACAGTGCGACCTTATGACATACACTTAAAGGTAATACCTACCTTTAATACTTCTAATTGGATGGCTGTCATCGTCTAGCCACTCGCTTTCGTTCTCGTCCCTCATCTTCCACGTCCATGGCGTCCCCCAAGTTGTTTTGGGTTTGTGTATGACTGGCGCTAAAGATGGACGTGCGTGAGCTCCGCGTTCTGCGTCTGGTATTTCCAGAGGCGGATGTGATTGTTGATGAGACGCTACTCCCTTGCGATGATGACTCGGTAGCGCCCGAAACAGCGGTAGAATCGAGCATCATCATGACAGCATGACGGCGCTTAGCGCCAGCAGTATAGTCGGCGAAAGCAGGGTCACTTGTAACAGATGTTGCGGCTGTGACAGGAGGGGTGCGAAATATATTCTCTGAAGGTGTAAGACATGCTGTAATAGGTGGGCTGATGGGAAATGACTCGGGATTGTCTTTCTTGGCGCCCAAGGCACGGGATTTGGATGAACGTTGGCTGGCATATGGGTGGCTTGATTGGCGCGCGGGTGGCACGGCGGATGGCGTAGGTGATGTTTGTCTATTGGGAACGTTTGATATGTTAACCGTGAAAGGAGAATGCGGAGTCAAAGGCGCTGGAACAGCCTACGAAAAGGGAAATATATTAGCCAATGCGCAAAAAAGGATGAGAAAGCATACAGTTTGCTGTTCCAGACGAGAAGAAGAGGGACCTGGCTGTACAGTGTCCCTCGTAGTGTCCCCGGGAAAAACATGGCGGGGAGTGGAGTCTTTATTTATGTTGGGGCGGCTTGCAGGGACGCTCCCTCTTACTCTTTCTTTTTCCTTTTCACGGTCTTCATCTTCATCCTCCTCCTCTTCGCGGGCCTTTACAGCCTCCATCCTAGCCTCAATCCAGTCCATGATTCGCCCGATCGTCATCACGTCTCCGGCTGGGTTGCTTGACCCAGATAATGCTACACCACCTGTAGAAACGCCCTGTTGGATCATCGACATGAGATCTTGACAAGCTGTTGCATATCCAGCATTATAAGCGCGTTTGGATGCATGTCTTGAAGATCGATAAAGAGTTGTTATACTGAGCGCAGCAGCTTGTTATGTGTGCTGAACGTGAGTAACGTGGATGGAGCCTGGATAAACGTTCCTCACCTTTAAAATTGTTCAATAAGTCCTTCTCAGCTTTCTCCAGGTTTGCTGCTGGTAGAGACTTTGCCAAACCGTTCAGATCTAGTGATGAATCCATGGCCATAGTGGTGTCGACAAGGAAAGTGCCAGGTACTCTGTGTGCGTGCAATTCAGGAAATCAGTTATGTATTACGTAAGTTGATTTCAATCGCGTTGTTGTGCCGGTTTTGGCCTCTGAGAAGGAATTCGCGGTTTGAGAGGGAGCAAAATCGACGTGGAAGCTCTTGGTCAGTTGAGTGTGGAAGTCCAAGTGCTGCACGGCTTACACCGGGCCACCCGGTAAGCTAGTTTGTGACCGGGAGTCACGCACGCCACATCACATATTAAGGGGAATTGATTGCTCCGAGTAAAACGCGATGATGAGCATGGATGAAGAAGATGACTTTTGTAAGTTCAGAAATCATGCAGTCTGACCTTACTTGATCTCACAATAGACGACGGGAGTCTGGTGGACTCAGAGTCAGAATACACCGACTCCGAATCTGACGATGAAGAAGAGGAATCGGAAGTTGAGGATATTGAATTGCCCCAGGGTGTTCAAGCAGAGATTGATACCGATTTCAAGTGCATCTATCTCCCTTGAGACAATTTTATGTATCTGAATATCAGGTACAGCCGACTAGTAAGCAACATTCGCATGACGGACGATGTCTCAAATACAGCGATGCTCCATCGAGAATGGGACTTCAATATCGCTCAGCAAGACGCGGAGTTTCGTGACGACCTTCGCGAGGCATCCGGGATCGGGAAGAAAAAGGGCAAGAAGGTGCGTGGTCTGTGATGGCCCTTTTGGGCACTCTCGCAACTACTGCTTCGCATCGTGTTTTCAGCGTGGTCGTCACCTAGGACCCGTGCTCTCCCATCAAGTACGCGCCCTGATAGGTGAAGGAAACCAAGCGTATGTCGATGGAAATATTCCGGAAGCAATACGGATGATGCAGGAAGTCATCCGCATCGAGCCTCGAGCGGCGTCTGCGTGGTCCGTCATCGCTCAATGCTATGAAGATTCCGATGAACCGAAGAAGGCGCTGCAACTGCGCATCATGGCGGCGCATCTCCGGCATGATGCAGATGAATGGGAGAGACTGGCTGCACAATCAAGGTGAGGTCGTGATCGGTTTTCATGGAAGGGAACCTTGACCGATGGCGCGTATCCCCAGAGATTTGGGCTACAACCAACAGGCCATATATTGCTACAGCAAGGTATATAGTCTTGATCCGACAAATGTCGATGCACTTTGGGACCGTGCTTCTTTGGCAAAGGAGATAAATGACCTTCGCGCCGTACGTTCCATTGTTTTTTATTCACGCGTCTTCAATATGTCAACCCGATGTAGGCTCGACACTCTCTTCTTGCAATTCTGAAACGGTTCCCCCACGATATGACAGTTCTGGCAGAGCTTCGGCCGATACTCATTGAAGTATCAGACCTTCCCCTCTGTGCCTCTCTTTACCAGACTGCCTTGGAATACTATCAGACCGTTCAGCCCCTGGGTCCTGCACAACCCATTGACCCCTCCCTGATGGACCAACCGTTACCAAACCAAACATTTGGTTTCATCGACATTTTAGTTCTTGCCGATCTGTATAACACGATGGCAGAAAGCGACAATGCAATCCAAATCGTAAGGAAAGGCTGCAGATGGCTGCAAGGCCGCGCAGGCCAACGCTTCTGGGATGGGTGTGCAGACGATCGAGAATACGATCTACCTCCCGAAGATCGAGGCAATATGAATACAGAGCGAAGCGGCGAAATTCAGCCTGGTCAC